ATTCAATTTTACTTTCGTTTAGGCCTGTCCCTACTATGCAGTTAAGGAAGCGAACAAATTTTCAGATATTACTCTAATACCTTATACTACTTTATTTAACAATTCAACAAGAGAGTCCCTAGGAGTTGAATTTAATTCTTTGGGAACTATATGTATTATTGATGAGGCACATAATATTTTTAATGCCTTTGAATCAAGTTACAAGGCTAGCATAGATCTGAATGCATGCAAACAATTAATTCCCAACTGTAAAGGCTATCTTGAAAAGTATGGCACGAGTTTTACTCCAAATAATCTCTCTTTATTTAGGCAATTGCTTCGATTTATAACTATGTTTACTAATAATGTGGAGAGAATAGTTAACTCATATAGATCACTGAAACGACAATCAAGTGATACTTGTGATTCAAAGTTACAGCATAATACTGGAGTTATTTCATATAACTTGACAGACTTCTTTAAAATAATAAATTTTAGCTTTTTTAATACGAATGATCTGCAAACCTTTATTGAAAACAACAATCTATGTCGTAAAATGAAAAGATTCTCAATAATGGAAATATATTCAAGTGATAAAAATGGGAAAGGTGACACAATCAGTTCTAATACATTATATACGTTCAAATCCTTCATTGATGCACTTATTTCGGCTGATAAAAAGTACGACCAAATAATTATTGAGTATAATTTTAATCATTCTTCAAATATTCTAGATATAAACTGTAGTTTAATCCCAATTAGCGTAGACTGCTTCTTCAAAGATTTAATGAAAAATTCACGTTCTACAATGCTTATCGGTGGAACCTTACAACCTATTTTTGAGTACAAGCCTCTTTACAATCACCTTCCATCTTCAAGTGTTTATATGTATTCAGCAACTCAATCCATCTCTAAGAATAATCTTTTGGGAATAGTTGTACCTCAGAATGTAGATGGTAATATTCTAGATTTAAGATATAATACAAGATTTAGCCACGACCAACTCCTAGCTTTATGTCAAACTCTTGCCTTGGTATTACCCTTAATACCAGATGGAATTTGTATATTTTTTAATAGTTTTATATTCCTCGAAGTATTTTTTAGATTTATACATAGAGAAGCTGAAGCTAAACCATTTTTAGAGCAAATTAAGAAGAAGAAAATTTTTAGAGAAAATAAATTATCAACAGCTCTAGAAAATGAACAATTATGGGAATCATATAAAAAATGTATATATTCTAATAATAAAACTCACGCTGGTGCAATTCTACTTGGAGTTTTAAATGGCAGATTATCTGAAGGTGTGAATTTCTCCGACGAGTTATGTCGGTGTCTGATTATTGTATCATTACCATATCCTCCAAATACCCCCATACTAGAAGCGAAGGCTAAATATTTCTATGAAAAATCTGATCTAACTACAAATACTGATGACCTTTCTTTTCAATCAATTATGTGCATGAAAATAGTAAATCAATGTATTGGACGTGCATTGAGACACAGTAATGATTATTCCGTCGTTCTATTACTAGATCACCGTTACAAAAGAAAATATATACAAGATATGTTACCAAGCTGGTTCACTGAACATTTAGTATGCAATAATAATATTTCAAGATGGGACTTTTATGAACATGTATTAAATCCTATAAAAAGTTTTTTTAGTTCTAGGGCTTATCTAAATAAAGAGTGAAATCACAATCAAACTATAACTCATCGGAAGATTTTAAATTGTCAATCAGATGCAGACCACAGAGAAATATGTTTGTTTCATTATTCCTATAAATAACAAAGAATAGAGCAAGTCAATGGACGATTGATACTTACACTCATCTGGAGTTCATTGTAGTTCTTAACTAGACATAAGAAAAATACTTTATGTAAATCTTAGGTCAAGTCTAATTTTTCACAATAATATAGGCTAACTTTACGTTTTGTACAAATGAATTTAAAGTGCAATGTAACTGGTTATTTTTTTTTTTTTTTTCTCTCTTATTACCTGGTATAGTAGCTACTTTTTGATTTTTGTAACTTCTGAATATTTTAAATGAATTTCCTACAGTTGCTTAGAATATAACAGATTATAAGCTTATAAGATTTGTTAGTAACCTATATTTATGAACAACCATAAAATCAGCTTCTGAATAATTGTCATATTCTTCACTAATTTATAATTTACTTTTTCTATATATCTATATTCCTAATAACTACCTTTTGACTGAAAAATTTACAAAAAAAAGTTATTTTATCTGAGAACTAGTATTTTTTTGCTTAATTAAGAGAAAATTTGTGGTATTTGAATTGAATTAGCTAATTCAAAGTAGTGCCTTATAGCATTAGAAATATATTCTATGCAATCAAACAGAAAATGAAAAAAAATAATTCAATTTGGTATATCTCTATCTTCTTGATTAATCTTACTTTCTTTGTTAAAAATAATCTCCCACTCAAATGATTTAAGTTCTAAGACTTTTTTAGCTAGTATAGTTTAAATTATTTACATTTATGGTGGTCAGAAGAAAATATTGAGATTAATAAACATTAGCTACTTAAATAATTAAGAGTAATCTATTAATTCAATACTAACAAAGTGAAATATTACTTTTAAAAATAACAAAAATATAATCCAATGAAATATCCATATCCAATATTATACCGAATTTATCAGCTTTTACTCCGTTTTAGTTCAAACCAAGTAAAGATATGAAGTTAGAACTTAAGTATTAATATTCCTTAAACCTAATATATACTAATTTGGAAATAATGGTTTTGAGAAGTCATAAATCTTCTATTTAGTTTCCCTCTTGTCACAATGAAGTTATGAAATAGACAGTTGTTCTGTATATAGTGAGATTTGGTTCTATTAACTATTTAAATTATAATTGTATAGTACTTTTAGTGAAGAATATCTATACAGTTTCATAGGTATAATCACTTTGAGAACTCTATAGTATTTAATAAAGTAGTTATGTAGTAACAAGCTAGAGGCTAATACCTTAGTCTAGTTTATACTAGAGTACTTGCAGAAACTAAAGCGGGTTTAAATTTTTAGGCCTCAAGACTATTTATTAAGAACCTTTAAATCTACACTTTTTTAGGGAAGGGGAAATTTATGGCTATTAAATTCAAAAAGTACATATAAGATTATGAAATCAAATTTAGAGGGGGGTTTCTCAGTGGGAAGTGATAACATTAAGGTACAAGAAACTATATGTGAAAGTGAGACTGACTCTGATCTTTTTGGTGACGGTGAGAACACTTATATGATTGATCAAACATATGAAGAGCCTTTGTTGAATAGTCAAAGTGAACCCTTAACTTTAGAAAGTGAACAAACTGATAAAGTAAAATTCTTATCAGACAGTAATTTCACTACTTTTACAAACAATGAAAATACCGGTAAGATCACAAAAAAATTTTTAAACCTGTGTTTAAAAAGTCCAAAGAAGTATGCAGACTTTTTAAATGAGAATCGTATTTTTGCTACTTTAAAGCTTCCACAACGACTTCAAATAGGATCTGCTGTAAATATAAGAGAGAATGAAGGAGAAAAGCATTGCATCAATGGGTGTACTGGCGAAGATGGAAATATGGACTTTAATTCAACATTAGTACGCTGGAGTGACAATACATATTCACTATACATTGGAGGGACTTTTGCTTATGATTGTATTGTTGGTAATGAGAAAGCTCTACTATTTGATGACTCGACTGACTCAACATATAAACTTGGATTGTCTGAGATTAAGCACAAGCTAACTCTTAGGCCAAGAAATATAGAAAAAATTATTCATATTAAGGATCCAAGAAATAGAGTGATGATGTCAACCACCATAGAAGAGGCAAGAGAAGCTGAAATGGAATTTATAAGAAAAAGTGAAGAACTTAAAGTTTTAACAGCAATGAAGATACAGCAAAAGAGTGTGACCAACTCAAGAAACACGAGAAAAAATTCCATGACAAAGTCATTTCTAGAGGATTCAAGTGAAGAAGAAAGTAACTAGTATATTAATTATTAAACAATGTTAATTCAACTTCACTATCCTATTCATTTCTAAAAAGTGCACCTGAAGAATTCAATGTTTTGAATACCTTTAGTAATCTAAACCCAATTTATAACTACCGCATACTTCTTTAAAAAACAAATTTTATTCAGCCGTCCTAGTTGCATAATAAATATGAATTCCTCTTATTACAATACAGTAACTTTTTGTAGTTGACTGTGTTCATATTGTGCTATTTAGTATTATAATAAGTAGACTTTAATTCATGTTTTTTTTCCTTATTCCATCAGTTATTCATGAGTTAAAACTTCCCAAATTTATCTAGTTCTATATATGGAATTATTATTAGTATTAGCTTATTTATATAGACAAATAATATTTCTGAAGTATTCAATAACCTTATTTGGTACTGCATATTGTCTTCTTAACATCAGAATAACCCAGGTCTCATAATGTATATTCCATTTACTATTATCTCTTTGAGACACTCTTTGTCTTACTTTTCAAGGTTTTCTCCAACTTAATCTCATCTTTATTATATAATTTCTTGTTAGAACAGGCTTTATTCTTCAATTCGATATTCAAGGGAATCCTTGCAACCCAAATTGGAAGTGCGAGTGTATTTGTGCTTTGTATATATAATCCAGTGATCTCATTTCTCCAGTGTTTACTGAGATTACTATCATTGAAATATGTATATACTTGTTTAATGACATCTTGTATATTTTGTAAAATATCACTAGTATGCATACTTAACTTGGCTACTCTTATTCCAACACATGGACCACGACGTATAGTCATAAATGTGGAATTTAAGGTTTTTTTTAATGTATTTTTTAAATTTGATTCACGCAACTTTATAGCTACAGGTAACTTATTAGTTTTTATGAAGTATGATCCTAATATTTTTGGCATCTTTTCAATTACTCTATCATCACACAGAAACAAGTCATATGCTGAGCAAAGTTCTCTTTTATCTTTAAATGTATTATACTTCTTCACTAATTTTCCTACCCCAATTACCCTAGTAATTATATTAATATCTGGATAATCCTTCTGTAGTAAATCTTTCCATTTACGCTGTGGATCCCTTACTATAAGACATACTTCGTTACTGGGATAGTTGTATAATGGATTTGTAATATCTAAAGGAATGTGCTTGCTTTTAACAAATTTAGGGATATCTTTCAGACTAACTAGAAGAGTTATGTAACAATTGGACATCTCAATACCTACAGAATGTAATAAGTCACTTGGTTTATTGTCTCTTATTTTCTGAGAAAGTTGTTTAAGAGTTTCAATTGCCTTAGATAATCGATCAATAGGTATATTGAGAGGAGTTCCATCATCTAATTTATTGCCAATGCAACCTCCATCATTATTGCAGAGTATCCTTGGCATCAATTTCGCCTTATTAGCACTATTCTGTTCTGCTTCAGTACTTGTCATTTCTTATTCTAATATCTAGTGTTTCACCTTGTCAAAAGTGGAATTCAAGAGACATACCCTGAAATCTTTGCAAGCGCTATGTATGTAGCGCTTCTAAAACTTGAATACACCTTTCACTTAAATTTTTGCAAGAGGAATAATTGTGTATTATTGTTGTGCATCTATTTCGTCTCATATAAATGTATAAACTATATATAACTAATGGAAATGTATGAAATTTATTAATAAAGCTATGTGTAGTGTGGGACGCGGATTTCTTATCCTGAATTCTTCTTGGTGGGAACATATAGCCATATCAAGCGAAGCTCGAAATGAATTGTTTAGATTACTGTACTCCTGTATTTCTAAGACACAGCACTCTTTGTACTTATATTATTCTGTACGTTCTTGCAATATAGGTAGCTGTAACTTGGGGAATGTTTCCGAGAGTTATGCAGAAGACTTGGATAATCAGAAAGATAACTCCACTTTGATACTTACATATCAACATATTCATAGTTTAGTAAAGGCTTATGAAATAGCCTTAGATGCTATGGAATTTCTTAATAAAGCACCTACTTTTGATATTCGCTTTGTTCCACTAAAAACTGAATGTTTAAATCACATAAATAGAACAATTGGACCAATTAGTAAACTATACTACAATCCAAATGTTTTTCCACTTTGTGATGAGCATGGACCACTAGTTTTTTTTGCAAGCGAAGTAAATGAAATATTTTTTTCCATTTGTCAGAAACAATTCTCTTTCTTGTTAATAGATTCAAATGAGTTTGAAAAGTGCAATTTCGTTGATAATAGTGCAATCAAAGATATTGAAAATAACGGTTTTCCAGTCTTCACTATTTCAAAACGAACTGTTTCTTTTCCAAGCTGGGGATACAGCAAAGATTTCTCAGTGATTTTGAATGACAGTGAATTTATGCAACAATCTGTTAAAAGAACTCTTTTTGCTGGGACATTTGATAGATTACATCCTGGGCACAAGGTTAACATAACAGTTGCAACTTGGTTGGCTGAAGAGATGGTCATAATAGGGATAACAGATCAATCACTTTTGGCTAACAAAAGTGATAAAGACTTGTTACAGGTATGTAGCTAAGATTCTTTCACTTTTACAAATGAAGTATTTAACCTTATTTTGGTTATATCTTAGGATTTTTCCCTGAGAGCTGCTAATGTCCTATCTTTTATTTACTCCCTATCACCAGATATTTCAGTCACTATATTGAGGATATGCAGCGTAGTTGGTGGAGCAGATATTTTTGAGTTTGATGCACTTATAGCAACACCTGAATCGTATAATAATGCGTTGAAGATTAATGAATTACGCAAAAGCCGTGGTGTTCCACTTGTACAGCTAGTTGAAGTGCCATTTGTCTATACTCCCCAAATAAAAAATAATTCTGAAAAAGATAAACCTAGTGCTATTACTAAGAAATTCAGTTCTACAGAAGTAAGAGCATATATCAAACATTTTATTAGTGATATAAAGAAAGGAATGATATTTACAAACACCTTGTGGAGTTGGATATTCCCCAAGTTGTATGATATACAGTTGGAGTCAGCATTTCGTCATATCTTGCAGTTTATTGAATCATATTTAGATGACTTCTTAATCCTCCTTTTACATAGGTGGAAAGCAATATACGGTGACAAAAAAGCTGATAAGATATTTATTGAGTGGCTAAATTCACTAATTTCATCAATTGAGTGCTGTAACAGTGAAAATACGACATTTAAAGATGAAGAGTATATACAGGACATATTTAATATAACTTCCAGAAATATTGCAATCTTATTAATATATATATTTATTACTTTTTATTTAACTGATAAAAAATATGTAACAGTTACAAAGTCTACTATAGAGCACATGATGACGATACTTCTGTGGACTGTTAAGGATATATCAAATAGCAGTGGCCATTGTATGAATCCTAACTTTTGTATTCCATATGTATATAGCTGCAATGTTAATAGTGAATTTTTTTTTGAGAGAGACCTTATACAAGAAGATACTTACAAGAGTTACCGGGAAAAAAGACGGACTGAATCATCACTTTTTTCTAATGGGTTAAACACTAATTTTAACAGGAAATGTGAATTCAGTATTTCAGAATCCGAATTCTTTATATCATTTAAGTACTTTAATGCAAAGATCTCCAACTATTTTCAATTGAAGGAGATGGAAAGTAATTCACTTTTCCAATGAAGTGTACTTCTATAACTGGTCATATCCATTTCTTCAATACCAACTACCCATTGGAACATCTTTCTTTCTAATCCAATTATACAGAAAGAAAACTTAGACATTTGTGTAGAAAGTGAACTATCTTCCTGCTCATTTTCTATATATATTATTTTGGAGTATTGGTGAATTTTATACGGTAGTATCCTTACTCTTATACTTGTGTTATCAACAGTATTATTTACAGGCTGAGCAACTATACTAATTTGCAATATAGAGTTGCATGGGAATACTGAGTTATTAGGTAAATTCTCACCGTTACACTCTATATACCAATTAATTCTATAATGTGATAAACATTGAGGAAGTATACTTTTAAGGAATAAAAATCCATGATCCTCTATTTTTTCGTTAATATTTTTTTGATATAGGGCCTGAGGATAGTAAGCACTCCAAGCTAATAGTGGCAAATTAGGATTTTTACATAGTTCGCCGATATACTTTGAAGATATTCTGAACATCCATCTGTACCCTCTCGTTTCTGGGGGTAGATGTATTTCCTCTGAGAACTTTTCTTTGGATTTCATGTTTATTGCAAGCGAGAATTTGAGTGGTAGGGTCTGTGAAGTATTTTCTAATGTGCATATTATCCAATATTCACTTGCATCCCATCTATTTGAGTTACAAGGCGGTAAATCTGAAGGGATATAGTTTAGTATTGGTAAAACCTGCACATTAACAATGTTAGGACTTGGGCACATGCGCGTAAAGATTGTTGCAAAGTAAGAAACCAGTAGATTCTTGCCATTGAATTGATATCGACTTGAATACTTAAGGCAAATCTTCTCAATATTCGGTAAACAGTTACAGTTTATAATAACTCCTTGTCTCTCTAAAACTGTGGGTTTCGCAAGTGATAATTCCATTTTACCCTTGCACAATTCATAGTCTTCTTTGCTTAATAAAATAGATGTACATTCTAGAGAAAAAAGACTATTATATTGATCTTGTTCACAATCTTCAATCCTCTGGTTCTCAAACCAGAGTATACCACTATATATTTTGTTTTGTAAGACAGTATCTGTAAATGTATCTTTTTCAAATTGTTCCCATGAAAGATTAATAAAAGATGGAACTTGGGGAATTACAGTCACTATCAAATGAGGAGAGTATTCTGTTTTGTTATTAAGGGAGACCTTATTATAACCATATTGTGTGTACTTTATCCCAGCAAATTTGTAAGATATACCAATAATAGCAAACCTACCCAAACTTTTAGGAGTTACATTAATTGCAACTTTAACTTCTGATCCAGGTACACAGAAGCGTGTTGTTGGAGGGATAACGACAGAAACAGGATATACATCACACTCAACCTCTCCACTAATAATAACGTGAAAACTGTCTAAAACTAGTGGAACAAATAGTGAATTAAACAGAGATACACTAATAGTATAAGCAGTTCCACATGTCCACAGTACATCCAATAGAGAGTTTGTGGAAATAATAGAACTTCTTTTTTGGTTGTCATTAGATGAAATTGGTTTTCTTTTCTCGTATGGATTATATAGAAATAGGTCTGAGTTATATACTTCATTCAATTCATCTGCTGCTTCGGAAAAAATATGTTCTTGGTCTAGGGATGTTTCTTGCAAAGGTATCCATTGAGTATCAGAGCTATTGTTACAACACATTTCTAGTGAAATATCTGGAATCGATATGTGCCATCCAAACCATAAAGGTGTTTGTATAGATTTAAAGTAGCATTCATAGTGTGAATTTGACTGTAAATTGTTTTTTCCATCAAAATGTGAATATTCATCTTTGTTACAATATGCACAAATCCGTTTTCTTGATGCAGTATCGAAAGTGATTCTATACAATAACAAAGATGGCAATGAAGACTTCAAATTACCGAAAAGTGTCGTAACTTCTGATTGTATTTCAATTGCATCTTTTAGCTGATTTGTTGCAACATAAATTGTAGGCTCACGATGAACAAGTAAAGCTGAAGTACTCACAATAGTAAGAGCATCAATACATTTTGATTGAATCATCTTTACAGTTTCAATATCATAATATGGGGGTAGATATGCTAAATTTTCTACTAGAGTGCAGAGTGCCCAAATAGACCCTGATGAACAACTATATGAAATACTGGCTTGTAGTATCAGCAAGAGACAAATGAGTTCATAGCGCATTGGATGCGTATGCCAAACGAGTCTATTAAATCTATTTTTAGTATGACATCGATAAATATGTAATAATGTATGGATCCCATATTTTGAGAAGTCATAAATAAAAGGTGTTAAATATATAAGTGCATCATCTATAACACCTGATTTATTAGTTTGTAAGAGTTCAGGATGTCTAAATTCGCCTATTAATGATCCCTTATAGTTCAGTGATAAGTCATGTTTATATATAGAGAGATATTGAAGATAACTTGTATGCAAATAATGAGTATTATGTAATGAATGATCTTTTTCTATGTGAAAGTCAGTATTTCTAATACCCTTTGTTTTTAAATTTGCAATATTCATTATCAGTTTATAAAATCCACAGGCTCTACATAATTTGCACATGAAATGTCTCCTATTGCTTTTCTCATCGCTATTTATAAGTATCAAAGGTAAAGAAGTGAGATCAATACGCTCAACTGAGTCCTTATTAAATAAATCTGAATACCATATGTAATTTATGCAAGAAATATTGTAACTTGGGATATAAAGTTTGTTCTTTTGAAATAGCCTGGCTAAATAAAATAAGATCACCCCAACCCTTCTATGACTTCCAATACTCTGATATATCAAGGTGCAACCCATAAGGAAATATGTAAAGATTTGAATATGGTTAAGAGGCACTTCACAAACAGCTGTAAAAACTGTTTTAAAGTATGGATCAAGAAAGTCAGCAACAAGTTTCCTATTAGTTTGATAGTAAGTAAAAATACCACTTGCTAATATTTTTGCTACTTTTAATACAAGTTCAAATAATGGAAATACTTTATTACCTCCTTTAGTAAAGGATAGAGTATCTGGAAGGGAAATTGGGTTCAGTTGAATATTGCAAACTTTCTCCATCAATAACAAAGCTAACTTAAGTCTTTTGACAATCATATCAAATAGAGTTAATTTTCTTGTTTGATTAAATGTTATGGTATCGATAGCAACAGGTATATGTGATGGTAAAGGTAGAAAACAATGTTGTAAAGGAGTTGGTATCTCAGAAAGAAATGACGTAGCAGAATGAACAATTACTTGCCACCATTCTACCGATAAATTCGAATTGTTGTAGTAACTATAAAGAGCTTTAGACTGACCTTCTAAGCAAGATGCAATGTCAACCATGCTTTGTGCATTTGTTTCACTATATACTTCAAGTGCTGTATTATAATAATGACAAGCAGCAATTGGCAATCCTAAAAGTACTAATATATCACCAAGAAATTTCTTCTGTCTACGTAAAGAAGTAGGGCCTGTAAAAGTACCAGATTCACCTTCAGCTGCAAGAATTACATCAAATTTAGAGTTTATACTAAGTTTGAATACTTCAATCATTTTATCGACAATTCCAATATAAATGCACTTTAAGTGATTCATCAGTTCAGCAGGAGCACTTCCGCTCACTTTACACCATCTTATATTACTGTTACTATCTTCAATTGTGGGATTATTATAGTCAAATACATAAATAAAATCTAATATATAATATGAAGAGTTATTAATCAATTCAGCTAGTTTGCTATCAATTGTAAACTTCTCTTCTTCACTTATAATTATCATAGCGAAAATACATTTCCAAGTTTGAATATAAGGAAAGGAAAGTGCAGTTTGATCCCCAGTAAATACTTCACATATAAATTTGAATTTTAGTTTTGAAGTTGCAACCTCGTCATCTATTTCCTTCAAACCAAGGCAACTATATTCAATGCTTCTCAAGTTAATTAGCTCCTCAGCACTGTTAGAAATATCGCTTAAATATTGTTTTATTAAGCTTACTTGGGTATCGAAAAATCCAACTCTTGTACCAGAACTCCTATATAATAGAATATTTACAAGTGAATTATCTTGTAGTGAACAATTGTATTCAAAGACCATTCCTTAAATATACTATATTCTATACCATTGATAGTATTGTAAAGTAATAATTATTTCTTCTTTAAATATCTAAGTATTTAGTACATAGTTTGAAAATGTTAATAATAAAGGCGGTTGTAGGAAAGAGCCAAAGTGGTTTTACTTTAAAAAGCTAAGCTGGCATTAATATCAAATAATTTAAATTCTCTTAGTTTCATTTCATTACAAGAAATAACTCTAATGTAATAATTGCAACAAATACTAGTATGTACAAGAGCCCATTATATCCGAATAATTGAATTTTTTATATGGTTATTATTACGAATGCAATAGGAAGCCATACAAGTTGTATTTGCCAATAATATAAATGTAGATGACTTTTCTAATAATATAGATACCAGTTTGGAATCACTTTTAATACATTGCATGAGGATAATCAGACCAAAGCCAAAGTATATGAGGAATACTGGAGCTCCATAACACCCAGATAACCCCATATAAGCATGTCCAATCTTAGATACATTTACTATGAAGTCTGAAAGTGAATTTCCCCAAGTAATAATAGTGAAGCTAAGAATTTGAGGTGATAGTCCCATTATTTTCGTTTCAAGGAGAAGATATTGTACCAATTCTGGAATTATGATGCTATTCAAATATGTTGAAACTAGAACTTCTATAGAAAGAGTGACCTTGGTTTCTCTTGCGAGAAAAAATTTGGTATAGCATCCCATATATGAAGTATTATACTGAAAATTAGTTCGAATAGAGCAAAGTTCAATAAGTAATTTTTATTTAAACATATTAAGAGAGTGACTGAAAAAGGAAAACATGTTATTTTATATCTTGAATACAATGGGCTTGGAATTGTCCATTCAAAGATTTGCAGTGCCATTATTACAGCAGATTCCTCAATCGCTTTTAAAAATGCCAACATACCCGAAGTTTTATATCTTGACATGTATGGTAATGATACCATTTAATTTGTCACTTTGTGCAATGACTTCTCTATCAAGTGAATCCTGCTCATTTTCTCTTTGTAAAAGTTTATTTGTTTCACAGGTTCCTATATTTACAATCTTCAATATTCTAGAAGATGATATTTTTGAAGTTACTATTTGGAGATTTTATTTTGTTAAATTGTACTTTAACTGATATTGAGTACAAGCAATAATTACATAGCAGTAATACATAATAGTAAGTAAAGGAGTTATTGATACAGGAATAGTAGTCCAATAAGTGAAAAAGTTATAACAAGCTAATATATAAAAACAAAAAATCCCTGGTAAAATTTTGTTTATTTACAATAACTTTATTCGGTGAGAAGAAAATAACTGATTCAAATACTAAGTTACAAAGACAGTTGAACCTGATATATCTCCGATATATAAGCTATCGTCGTTACTTGCGATAAGACAGGTATAAACTTCCATCATTACATCACTACTTGCATTTTCTAAAAGCTAATAAAGTACACCCTGATATATTGCAATATTTAGATAACTTGCAAATTTAACCATTAATGAGGATAGGAATATTTCACCTATGATGCTATATAAGTAAAATAAAAGTGGCCAACCATATTAATATTATCACCATTGTACCCCAATTATTTTTAATATAGCAATAGTGGATAATCCCGTGATTAATTCGGTTTTCTAAATTTGTATTAAAAGCGCAACTATATACTCGTTACTTATAGCTATAATTCTAGGAGAATGAATTTTTTTGTAGCTAGCTAGAACAGATTTCTTTTTGCATGGCTCTATGTTTATAATATTCTTCCGTTTACATGTTTACACTTTCCACATACTATCAACAAAGTTGAGATTGATAGCAACACTGAATTTGCTAAAAGCTTCATTTTGCATAATAAACAGTAAAGAAGTACCTATTATGTATTATTTAGTAGTGAATCAAACTCTTTTATAAATAAGTTTAACAAATTCAATGTAATTAGCCCTATGAAGTAATTACTACAAATTTGGATACCGTTATTGATGGGGCCATCAAAGGCGGTCAGGTTGAGGTTTTGGAACGACAACGCTAAGTCCTAAGTACAGTTATAATTGAGTTTATATTTCTAAAATACATCTTTCCTTAAAGAAATATAATCAGTATATTATTATGTAGTGGATTTATCTTTAAAGAGGAATTTGCACTAATGGAAAATCTACAAATTAGATCACATATAATAACTAAATACTCTTTTGAAGCTCAGATTAGGTCACATTGGGGAAACCCCTTTTACATACTACACAATGATGGAAAACCAATATGTTTCTTTTTAGATGAAATTACATGGAAATATGCAAAAAGAAACAACAAGTCTATTGGTATTTGGCTTGGACTAGGAGACCTACATGAGACAAATATGCAACCTTTTTGCTCAGTAATTATATACTCCTCTGGTAAAATCTTGGATTCTCTTAAACCGAATACATTTGGATTGAAGAAAATTCTTCGTTTAATTCCTTCTAAAATAATGATTGATAATCTCTTCTTAGGTGAAAAATCGAATTATGGTAGTTTCTTGAATTTTGAAGAAACTTTGTATCTTGTAGAGCGAGGTGCAATGTTACTTTTTTCTTGGGATCTTGATAACAAAATGTGGTTGCAAACTCCAATAATGTATCTTTATAGTTTATTTACAAAGTGCAACTTAGGTTCCAATTTGATATCACTGTCATCATATACAACCTTTTGTAAATTAGCTAATGCAGGATACTATATTAGGAGTGGACCTAAACAGAATACACTGCCCATAATCAACTTCAGAGAAATTGATCTTTGGAAAGGGCCTGAAAGTTATGTACTTTATGATTCTAATTTCGGAGATCCTAAACTTTTACCACTCATTTCACACGAACTTCCCAATAACTACCCATATACTATCATTTCTTCAAATACTACTAATGAAGTTATTGAACCTGATTCGACCAACAATTTTAGCTTAAATAAGCTATGTCATTTCAATAAGTTACATAAAGGTCCTAGAAATCTTTCTAAACAGACAATAAAGTGTGTTTACACAGTCAGCGCATCTGATGCTTGTATAGTTCATCACTTAGCTGATCAAGATCATTTAAATAGTACTGTCATAAGTGTTTGCGTGGGCAACAATGCCATATTTCTATCCCTAAGTAAATATTCTAGATAAAACCAGATTTATAAGTTTTAAATATAGATTTCGAGATTTATAATTATATCCTAATATTACCAAGATACCGTGATCTATGGCGGTATGGAGTTAGCGCTGCCACTTTGTCTTATAAGCTTTTATTTTGTAATAGTTTGAAATAATAGTGAAGTATCTGGTATTCACTTATTTATTCCTGTTCACTGGCCACTGTATTTGGAGATATGTTGTTGATCTAAGACTGAGATGATTGGTAATAAGGGAGACTCACTACAGAGATGTAGTGCAGAGGACAACAAACTATCCAGTGAAGCAATAAACCCACCTTGCTATAGGATGCAACGCTTTAGAGAACATCCTCACGCTATACGCTTCGTATTCTCATGGATGCTTCTGACTCAAACCCTACGTAACTATGACACTGGGGCTTTACCAGTTTTACTTGGTGTTATTACAGAAGAATTTGGCTTACAGAATGTTCAGCTTGGTCTGCTTGGTGCAGTACCATATATTGCGGCAATGTTTATGGCTTTTATTGTGAATAGTCTACTACAAGTTTCAAGCCAAAAGTGGATTATTACTGTTTCTCTTATTTTCTTATCCGTTGGGCTTGCACTCATGTTGGCCTCAACATCGAGTGCTTTACTTTTTATATCAAGATTTATTATTGGTGCAATGCAAGCACCTCTAAGTATTTATATGCCTGTATGGATTGATGAATTTACTCCACCAAATAAGCTGACAGCTTGGATGGGTGTTTCACAAATAACGATGATTGTTGGGGTTGCCATGGGATATTTAATTACAGGTTTTACAAAAGGATTTCATAATGGATGGCGATATTCACTTGTTGTTCCCTGTGTATCTTTATTTATACTTTCAATTTGCTTGATATTCACCAACGCTGCATATTTCAATGTGCCATATAACAAATCTAAAGAACTTAAGATAAACGTTGAAAAGATATCATCAGCCATAGCCAATAACATTAGACTTGAAAATGAGAGTCAAGGTACAAGTGATATATATATAAATATTTCTGATAAAAAGCACAAATTTTCACTTTGTTCAATAGAAATGGTTGAAAGCCCAAACACACTATCTACAGCTAATACCTCTAAAAGTAGCTATGATACTAATAATGAAGAGTATTCCAATTCATCCAATAATTTCTCCATCACTCCAATGACAAAAATTATGTTTGATATGAGGAAGTCTCCTCCGAGTATCGACTCAATTATATCTACTTCACAGTCAATTGATAATGATGAGCCAAGAAGTTACTTTTCACCCATAAAGACAGAGACAAAAGCTTTGAATATTTTTGTAAAAAGTTGCAGTGAAAAAACAACTGTGACAATTGAGAATTCTGTTTCTCCATCTATTTCTCATTCTGTATCACTAGCAGATATAACTACTGGAATTTCTCCACTTTCATCATCAAATCGCATTTTTTTTGGGGTAGAGTCATTTCTGTGCACATCTAAGGACAAGAATTCCGAAATAGGTAACTCAAGACTTAAAAAAGTTACTAAATTTTTTTCTTTTAAACGTTGGAAGCTCTTATCTGAAAATAATATTTACATTCTATCAGTGATTGTACTTTCAATAATTTTTTATACAGTAACAGCTGTACAATACTGGACAACAAGATTTTTGCAGCAGACATATAATACAAATGAAGGGATTATTTTGATGTCATTCTCAACCACTGCAGGAACAGCACCTACTGCAGGCATTATAGTATCTGCCCTCTTAATAGACTCAATAGGTGGTTATAAGACTCCAAAAGGACTATTCTACACAATGTTATTTTGTCTAGGATGTTCCATAACTGCAACAGTATTTGGTATAATTGCACTGGTTATTGATCACTTCTTTGCAACTATTGCAGGAATTTGGGGACTACTATTTTTTGGGTCATTTTTAGTTCCCCCAATTACAGGTATATGTGTTGGTGTTGTTGAACTTCAAATGAGGCAATTTGCTGCTACAGTATCGATGATTACCTATCATATTCTAGGTTTTGCACTTGGAAGTGTCTTACCAGGTGCACTTTTACAAGTGACAGGAGTATCAAGGCTTGGTATGACCATTGTTTATGGCTTCCCTGGAATTGGCATATTTTTCAACCTAATTGCTTGTATTATTGCTTTTAAGAAATATAAGGAGTCGGGATACTCTGACAAGTCTAACTTTCTGTAGTAATTTGAATAGTCCCACTAAGGTTTATACAAAGAAAGTGAGCAATATAAATACATATATATTACGAATGCACAAAGACTAATATTTGAAATCTCAATATTTCTTCATGAAGAGATAATAATTTATAATTATTTTTGTTAATCACAACACTAGAAATAGAAATTCACTTAATTGGTTATTTCTCAAATGAGCTATTGCTATTATGCAGAAGTAAATAGCTTATTTTATTCTTTTGTAAATACAAAAAATTGCGATAGCTATTGATATTAATATTTTTGTTGTGTATATGCTAAGTAGGAAGTTGCCATGTTTCTGCTTGTATAAATTCCGAGCATCACTACTAAACAAAAGTGCATCTTGTGTAAGTTTCAAGGTCTTTTCTTCTAAAACATGTAGATTCTCTTTACTGCCAAAGAGGTGTGCTATAGCCTTGTTTACTGAGCACTTAACGATATCAACATGAGATTCAATATTTACACATTCTTTAAGTAACTTGAAATTATTATAACGTTCAAATAGCTCAGCAGTAGCTCCTCTTAGTAGTCTATCCAAGCTACCAGTTCTCAATTGACTTATTATATATGCTATACAATAAATAGTACTATTAGCATTAAAAGTTTTATTTAAATTTTTATTAGATATATTTGACTGTCTGCCGACTACTGCCGAACCAAATAATAATATTTTTAAGCGTACTTTAAGCTCTTGCATAAGCATAGGAGCGTATTTTATAGGAAATTTAGAAGTATCTGCAATCAATATAAAGATCAGTTCACCTTGGAAACATTTTCTTAGGAATATCTGATATAATGATATGTCACTTCTAACTTAAAAAGTAGTAATAGTTTTTCAAACTTACTACTAGATTTCCATCCCATTTTAAATATTTATCATTGTTGTGAGTAAGCTTCTTACACGACACCGCTATTAGAGGAGTAAGTAACATTTTCAATCGTTTATTTATTAAAGTTGGGCATTCTATCAATAATTTGTTTAAAAAAAAGATTTTACCATGTAGTAACTAGGATCATTTGTTCATTTAGCACAAATAGCTTGCTAAATAAAGTAAATGTAATATACCACTTACCTATGCTAAACTGAGATAATAGTTTACATGAGTCACTACAGCGTATAATACCAAGATAGCATAGAGCTAGTGTTAAATACTCTTTTTTCATGAAAAAAAAAAACACCAGTGCGCTAGCCGCTGTAAAGAAAGGTCCAAATATATCCAATAACTTATGAGCCAAAAGAAATCAAATCAGATGTAACACTTTAAATTAAGTAAATAAGTTGGGAAATTTACAAATAATCAGTCTGACAATAAATAAAACAAATTTATTATAAACCAAATTACTATATAAAAGAAACAACTATGTATATATCTAAGTATTTATGTTGTGTCTAATTAATGCTACAATTTAAGTAATATTAATTATTTACTTAATTCCTTTATGCTCATAAGATTTAATTAAAGAGGTAGTTGCTTAGCATGTATAGCCCCACAAGACATGATACGTTGCGTGGAATTTTTACGTGGCGCACTGATGTAGATAATGTCAAGAGTAAGTCAACATGATAATAAGACACAAATTTACTTTGCTGTTAATAATTAGATGGTACCAAGAAGAATCAAGTGTATAAGGACAGAAATTACCAGTGAACTCCAACGCTAGACTTAAGGTTTTATTATGTATAATGACGTATACGAAGTACCATTAACCTCCATACTCTATTCACTTAAAGACAATAATGGTGCCAATTCGGTCTATGAAAGAACTAAATTCCATGGTATTTCTTATTTACCTGAAAATGTAACAAGTCATAATATTGCGTTGCCTACTAGATATATACAGTGGACGGGTAGAGAACAGCGCTCTGTTATGTCATATCAGTACTCAACACCGCCATGTACTCAACATAATACTCGGTGTACCTCAGTATCACCAATAAGCAGAATGTCGCATCTTTATGGTTCAGGACATAACAATGTCGTTGTGATGAGCCAACCTAAAACTCGGCATATTGTTAGGCCAGCAATATCAATTCGAAGCGACTATACTGTGCCTCCAATAGTTTATCGAAAGGTTACCAATTCATCTAGAATAGATGCTGGTTCTTTAATATCTACTTCATCACCGCACTTAATAATTGCACCTGCAACACTAAGTTGTAATAATACTAAGAAATCTCATTGTAGAGATTTTATCCCAGACTATAATAATACATACTATGATGACTACACACTAAAGAAAGCTTCATACAAGTGTCAGATGAATTCGGAGATGAAGGAACAAGTAGCCTGGAAAAATATATATAGGAAATATAATAAACAAACAGAACATAGTAAAAAGGATTCCGAAATAATGGGTCCAACTACTTCAACTACTTCAACTACTTCTTTTGGTTCAATAACTGCAAAGGGTAATTCTTCGATTAGCGCAGATAATGTGCAAAGTCGCAATACCAGAGGAAGCAGTACACAGTTATTAGTGGCATCTGCTATTAATTCATTATTTTCCTCATCTATGTTAATACCTTCTGAGAATGGCTATATAGAGGTTAAGAAAGACTTAGTAAAGAGAGCTACAGATGCTAGTGATGGAGTTCTGCAAAATCTGACTCCATCAGAATATATTCGACTTGAAGACTTAATACTGGAGCCAGCAACTCAGCGTGGAACTTTTGGAGTTGTATTCCGTGGCCGCATTAAAAGTGGCAAATGGATTAATCGAGATGTTGCAGTTAAACGTTGGAAATTCGATAATGAAAGTCGTATGACAGAAGAGAATTTTAAGTCACTAGAAAGAGAAGTTTATGCTTATAGGAATTTAAGACATCCCAATATATGTTCCTATGTCGGTGTTTGTTTAGAACCCGGCTTTTATGCTATTATTACTGAGTATCTGACGAATGGAAATCTATTTGATTTACTTTATGAAAATAAAGTGATTGTTTCTGCATCTGATCGTTTGAAAATAGCTAGACAGTTATGCAATGCTATAAGCTATATTCATAGAAAGGGTATGGTCCATCGTGATATAAAAACAGCTAATATCATACTAGATCATAAAAATAATATGAAATTATGCGATTTTGGGCAGACTAGATCTATGCAATGTAGTGGCAATACAAATACTATTGGGATTACACTCGATGAAAATGGAGGCTCACCAAGATACATGGCCCCAGAATGCTTTTATACAGGCAAAATCATAAATGAGAAGTCGGATATTTGGGGAGCAGCTTGCTGTTTATTAGAAATATTTGGAGGCCCAATTCCATATTTTGAGTTCAATAATAATGATGATGTCATTAATGCAGTTGTAATTAAGAAACAAAGGCCTAAAGTTCCGAATTGGTTTCATCCAACAGTAACTGATTTGTTAAACCAATGCTTTGAAAGGAAAGCTAACAACAGACCAAGTGCCTATGAACTTTTGAGTATTTTAAATAATCTGACTTCTGATGACATTATTAAATATGGAATGAATGTTAAACGAGATATTGATGGGGAAGTTGTAACTTCTGGAGGTAATAGTAATGTAGTTGGTAACAGTAGGAAAGTATCGAATATCATATCAGGGAAGTGCATAGGGAACACTAGCCAACAAAGAAGAATTGTGATCCAAAAACAGGATAATTCACTGAATAGTGCAAATAGTAGGGACTTTCCTAAATAGAAATACAAGAGGTTGCAATATTGATAATAATGAATATGTTCCAATCAGAAGAACAATATTTAATAATAGAGAGCACCTTTAAAGTCCCAATGAGAAGTTAAGGGCTGACAATAGGATTTGTGTATATATCTTTAATTCAGGTTTTTTATTATCTTATTATAATTTCACCTTTAAAATTCCTAATAATGCTATGATTAAAGAGCTAAAGAGATCACTTTCTGCACATTTCAAAACACAATGCATACAAATCTTGGATTTCTACATATGGATAGCACTTCCGAACGAAACAGACCAACATGCTTCCTTAATAGCTTCACTTAAAGTTGGATGAGCATGACATAGTCTAGCAATGTCTTCACATGATGCTCTATACCTATATGCAAGGGCAAGTTCATGTATGATTTCACCAGCATTGGCCGAGATAATACATGAACCCAAAATCTCCTTCGTCTCACTGTGCTCAAATACTTTCACAAAACCCTCAACATCACCTGATACTCTTGCACGTGAGTTAGCATTCATCCTAAATATCCCCTTCTTAAAGGGGATCTGCTTTAATATCAAATCTTTCTCAGAGAATCCTACACATGCAATCTCTGGGTGTGTGTAAATTACAGTAGGGATTGCATCGTAATGTATAGGGCTCTGTTTCCCGTTAGCAATAAATTCTGCAACAAAAATCCCTTCTTCCTCTGCTTTATGTGCTAACATTTGCCCTCCTATTACATCACCAATAGCATAAATATTTGAATAAGGAATGACACGGTATGTCTCATGATCTATAGGAATATATCCTCTGCGATCTACATTTACTCCAATATTTTCAAGACCTAAATTTTTGGTATTTGGCTTTCTGCCAACGCTAAGTAAAACTTTGTCGCATATTACCTATATGAAATGACATATAAGATGAGAGAAATTGTCAGAACTTTCAGTGTAAAATCGTGGCACACCTAAGATGTTCTTATTTCCACAAGTTAGGTGTTGTAACAATTTATCATTAGTATTGCGAACTTGAGAAAATCATTGACACATATACTTTTGCATAAATGACAAAGAGAGATCGCAAACTGTTGAGATTTCATATAATATAAGGGAACTTACAGTTTTTATATCACCTGAATTCTTTACTTCATATGAAACTTGTACATTATTACCATCTTTAGTTACTTCCCTAACCTGAGCGCCAGTTATAATTTTAGTGTCAAAATTTTCTTGTAAATTTTTTAAGAAGATACCCCTGATATCCTGATCATAGTTAGAGAGAATAGTATCAGCAAATTCCAAGATAGTGACTTGACTCCCCAGACGATGCCAGACAGTTCCAAGTTCCAGGCCAATTACACCACCTGAAGGAAAAAATAAAGTAATTTTACAGAACAAGTTAATATGGTGAAGTAGTTAAGTTAAAAAAAGAAAGGTGTTTGCATTCAATCCAGGATTATTCTAATAATCCAGAAAATCCAACTATGCAGATGATGCAACTAAATCTTTTTATGCGTACAAACGACCAAACTCATCATAGCTGATAGGTAGCTCAAAGTTTGGAGATACAAACGCATACATTATTAAGATCTGAATTTCAAATTAAACATACCTCCAATAATAAATAAGTGATCTGGTATCTTAGTAAATTCTAGTGCACCCTTATTAGTTACTATAATTTCTTCATCAACCTAAAGGAATAGAATATCACATTTGAAAATCAACCACTTTATTTATATAAATTAAAAGTTGTACTCAAAAGTTCAGGATTGCAAAAAGGAACAAGTTTCACTGATACTCCTGCAATCTTTAATTTTTTTTGAAGAATTTTAATTAGTATAGCAAGGAGAAAATGATCTCTCCACTGCATAATTCATGGAGAAATGAGTGGACTTGCAGTAAAAAGTTGCTAAATTGTATTATTTATATGTAAATTTTGTGTACTTACATTGTCAATATTAGGCAGATTTAATCCAGTAGAACCCGTAGCAATGACAATATTCTTAGCATTTATTCTTGAGAATTCCAAACCGTTAAAGGTAACCGGCTTAGATAAACCAATAGTAGAATGATCTAGTATTTTAGCTTCAGCATTTACAAAGTCAATCTTGTTCTTAGAGAATAAATACTTGATTCCTGACCTAAGTTGTTGTATAACTTCATTCTTTCTTCTTTGTAAAATATCCAAATCAATCCGATTATAAGATGTATCTATACCCCAATAAGAAGAATTCCGCATCTTCCAGTATTGTAGTGATGCATTAAGCAATGTCTTTGATGGTATACAGCCTTCATTCAAACATGTTCCTCCTATAATGGAGAGAAGAGAAGTTCTAAATGGCTTTAGAGTAAAACTATATTTAAGTAAATAACATACCAGCAACTCCCTTCGAATCAATAACGACAGTTTTAAGCCCCAGTTGACTTGACCTAAGTGCAGATACATAACCACCTGGGCCTGCACCTATTATTGCAATGTCATAGTAAGAAATATTTCTGCATTGACTCATTAGATGAAATATACCACAGGTTGATAATCTACTTCTTAGTGGGAAGATCATTGCAATGTAATACACCTGAATAATATACTGCAAAAAGTAGAAAATTCTCATCCCAAGACATTAGAAAAGCCAAATTGGTTCAATCTCGAAATAGAGTTTATAGTAATATGCTACTGATAATTTATATATGCAGCATACTGAAGCTAATAGTCACATTCTACGCTTCCTAAAACGATTCCTATTTTCTATCTGTCTTCTTTCCTCAGCATCTTCGGTTATTGGATATATTTTAGGGTTATCATCTGATCCCATATCAATATCAGCATTTTCACCCCATTCATTAAAAAAACCGCATGGTATAAATTTGCATTCTGCATTTAGAGATGAATAAATAACTTCCTTATTGTATCTAAATGTTGCATCATCATTGTTCATTGTATATTCACTAGAGAAATCATTGTACTCCTCATCTCCACCATACTTGATATTAGCAACAGTTATATGTGGTTCAGTTGATCTTGTAACACTACTTGAATTACAGAAGTTGTGAATTGTAGCCTTAATAGCGTTGAAGTTTTGGGTTAAAGCGCTATGTAGTAACAAGTGAGATAGTTCAGATGGAAGTCTTAGATCAGATATTAGGTTGTTTATATAATCATTAAGCCGCCATGTAGGTTGCGAAATATTCCATTTGAACTTGTCCATAATAATTATATCGTCAAAAGTCTCATTTAAACTGACTTCAGTAATAAGTAAAGAGTTATTATCTAGAGGTACATCCATGAAGCTGAGTACATATAAGAACTCGAGATACATATTCATTGCATGTCTTAATTCACGCTTAAGCATTTGAAGTGCTTTAACTTTACTGTTATTAGACAAAAATATAGACAGGTGCCTCTCTCTACTAAGATTCTCTACAAAAGCTTCAAGAAGCTCCTCACTTGCATTCGAGCTCCATACAAATCTTTCTGCAGCATAACAACTACCTTGTATACTAGACAAGAATGCAGCTGGATTTGATGCAAATACAGATAAAACTGAACTTGTACCTACGCCTTTTTTGTTTTCAGAAAAATTACTAGCTGAAGCATAATGGCGCAAATTTATTGTTAGAGGTATTAATAACGGATTCATGTAGAGATCCTTAATTTCCTTCGTTACACTCCCTCCTTTGTCTCCACAGAACTTATTTGATAAAGGTAATATAGGCATGCCACTCCTTTTATATCTGTGGTAAACAGTACTAATGTAACCAAATATAGCTGCATCATTGATACATTCAAGTGACTTTATCTCCCCATTGCAACCAGATGTTTCACCTTTTTCTAAACTATTCTTGAGACCTCCTTTACTTAAAGATTCTGTTGGATCAATACTATCAAGAGTTTTGGGAGTTGACTGAAAGCCCAAAGGTAGTGAGTCTAACTTTTGCTCACTACATATAACTCTTGGGACTTCATTTTCAAGAGGAGTCTGGTTTAACTTCACTGTTTCGCTATTCAAATAATCATCACACTTTGTCTGTTCAATACCATCACTATCAGAATCACTAGATATTGTTAGTGTATCTGCAGCAATAGAAGACTGGTCTATAGTGTATTTTTCTCTAGAGCATTGAATTCTAGATGACTTCCTGCTGGGAGCTTCCTCCAAGCTTAGTTTCTTTGTAGGTATAACTTTTGGGGCCGTTGCAGGATCAGATGAGATAATACCTTCATTAACTCTACCATAGTAATTGAGAAGTCTAATTATAGCATCACACTTCCTTGAGATCGAGAAATTTTTTGATAATGGACTTTTTAGTAATATAGAAAGCATTGCTTGATTAATTCCTGTAGCAGCGCAAATGTGTGTTTGTCTAAGCCCAGTCCTATGTAGGAAATCAATTGTTTTGCTACTTATTCTAGCAATATCCGTTGTTGTTATTAAATCTGGATCTGTAGTCCCAAGTAAATTATCTTGAAATAAAAGCTGTTTTATACGTTGCTTTCTTTTTACCTTTCTCCTTAAGTTACCTGTTAGGCCAGAAGCTCCTACCTTTAATACTTTATTTTCTTTTACACTACACCTGGCACTTTTTTTTCTATATTTTCTCCTATTTACCATCTTTCAACCTTTTTTTTCTTATTAATTTAAATTACAATATTTCCTTTCCATCTCGAGCGCCACATGTTGCAAATTCCTATTACATATAATGGATCTAGCAGTTATTTAAAACAGTGCTGAGCACTTTATGCTAGCATTAGTACACATCTATATATATTACATTGTGACTGAAATACACCCTCATAAATTAATATTCCACTATATTATCTATTTCAGTTTGTATAACAAGAAAGGATTCAAGGAAAATAAAATAATGCAAATTAAGGATAAGAACAAGAACAAATATAAAAAGAGAACATACTCAGAAACCTCTATGCTGTAGCATTGTACAAACTATTCAATTGTGGGTCCATAGACACCATATACTCACTTAAGAATACAATAACTACAGGAAATAAGTCCCCCGCAATACCCCACCTAATATTCTACAATGTACAATGTCCTGCAGTGCTACTCCTTATAGTTAATGACATTAATCATATTCATTATTTTACAACTTATTCTACTTAGAGATCAGATTAATGCAAATATAAACCGACATGACATTATATTGGACTATGGAGAGATGACCAATGGAAATTCAAAATCTGCAGAACTGAAATCCCTAGAGTTCCTAAAAAATCCTTATATTTTAGAAGGTGAAGAAATACCAGTTATATTTTCTGTATTAGATTGGTTAGAAGTCAGGTCACCTAAGAAGTTTCTGAGAATTCATCACGTACCAATTGAGGATATGAACCAAAATTCTGGAGAATACACTATAGGACCAATTTCAAGCAATGTATCCAATGAGGTTAATATTTCTACAATAGATATTGGTAATCATAGTCAAAATTTGGATGGAGTTGGAAAAAGTCAGCCATTGGAAATATCATCACCTTGTGAAGAACAAGGAAGTAATCCTACATATATAACTCCCACTCCAACTAACTTAAAGTTCAACAGCTCATATACCAACTACTCTATACTAAAATGTCCCAATAAAGCTATCAAGATCACTGTAGATAAAATAAGGAATATATTACCCCGGTTCCCTATTAAGTGGAATTCTCATAAAGAATCCCAACTTTGCTATTCAATTGATAGTGACTCTAAGTCATGCTGTTATAAATCAAAGAAACTTAAGAATCACGGAACTTTGGTTACTTAAAGTAATATCCTGACTATCTACCCCCAATTAATAAATAGTAACCAGTAACTTGTTGCATCCCAATTACTAAGGTATAGATAATTGTCCTAATTTCAATTTACAAAGTAAATACAAAGTTATAGGGATTTGTTCTGCTAATATTCTATATTTGCCTAGTTGTGACCTCAATAGATAATTGCCAATTAAATCATTTCACAGGCTTGTCTAAAGTACATCAAAGCAATAGATTTTACTTTCCCCTGTACTGATGGATGGGACTCGATATCTGCCTTTTCTATCAAATTTGCTTCGAAATTCCTAAGAACCTTGCTCTTAACATCTTCAAATACATCCCTAGGAACTTGTAAATCAACAAACCCACTTTCTAATAGCTTGTCCTTAATAAGTAAATTCAAGATATCTCTTACTTGTTCCACTGTATTTCTATTAAGTACAATACCATCCTTTGTGGTGATATATTCTTCATTACTATTGAGAAAGTGTACAGTATATTCACTTTCTTCTTTCCCTTCAAAAGGTGGTGAGATAGTTTGTGGTTGATCTTGATTAACTAAATTAACCTCACTAATCCTAATTGATTCACTATTTAATTTTTTAGATGTTAAGGAGGATTCAGCTAGTATAATTGGTGAAGGCTGAATATAAATCTTCTCATTGTTTGGTGACTCAATATTCATTTCTTCAGTAATGACCTCTTCCTCTGTATTAGATATAAGTTCTTTATCAACCACTTTTATAGATGGTACCTGAACCCTCTCTTCAACTATAGTTTCGATAGTATTAGTTACAACAATATCTGCAGTTTCACTAGGATTATTGTCAGGTTTTAAAACTGCTATAACGACATCTTGACAGAAAGGAAGAATATTTTGTTTCTTGCATTCCCTATGAGACATTCTAAGTTCCTTCTCAAGTTTCTTCATCTTCTTTCTACTCTCCGTAGAACCACTATTCAAAAATAATCTCTCAAGGTGAACTAATATCATGAATTTTGCATATCTTCTAGCAATACTTCTCTCCTTTTCAGTTGCCATAATTAACCTACTAGTAATTGGTACCATTGTATCATTTAAATTCAGATTACTTGCAACAAACCTCCTTCTTTTAAAACATCTCGCAACAGCATATTCAAAGAGAGAGATATAAATAAACAGGAGTGTGACAAAAATTATAGATGACTTCATTTCCTTTCTAATTAAATGAGACAGAATGAAACAACATCTCTAACTAGGATAGCTACAGACACGCTGTATTTCGAGCGGGACTCCCAAACGTATCATTGGAGAGGAAATATATCGTGTTATTGACCAGCCGGAAGTTACTGAGACCTAGTTATCAAAGAGTAACTAGTTACCGCCAAATTAGTGATAATATTTGAGAAGTTTAAACTCCATAAGTGCATGAAAGAGGTTAAAAATTACTTAGAAAAGAAAGTCATCGAAATATGTTTCTAATATCAAAATTTACTACCTGCATTATTTGAATATGAAATTTTTTCAATTATGCTAATGCACTTAATAAGCTCCAGAACCAAGCTCTTTATCTGAGAATCATTCAAGATCTTCTTAAAATGATTCAGTCGTGAACGAACTGCATAAATAATCCTTGTTAAAAGTAATTGAGAATGCTTAGTATCAGCGAAAAATCTCTTATTTTCACTTTCTCTAATCTGAGTGTTCTGGTGAAGTTGTAAATATTGTTTATATATTAAAAGTACATCGTATACATCCTTGATATTAGCTATAAAAACACCATTATTTTCTTTAGAATTAATATTTTGTAGAAGTTCCAAAGCTCTATTTCTAATATTTCCTGATTCTCTTAAGTAGTATCCAATAGATTCAGATGATTGATGAAGTCTCTCAATATCTTCATTTAGAATTTGTAATCCCTTAAGATATGAGAGGAGAATCCGATATGTTTGTTTAAATATACGTTCCGCACTAGAAGCTGTATGCTTTATTGTAGAACTAAGATCAATTTGATCAAGTATTTCCTGAAGATTTCCTTGTAGAGAATTAACACACTTTTTGAGTACATATATTGTTTTCTTAGCCTGAGCAAAGTAATTGGCTGATATCCCTAAACCTTTACTCTCATTATGCGCCAACATGTGGGTTAAGTACCTAATGTCAGTAGTAATAGAATCCAACCCAATATCTCTGGTATCATCTAATATCCCACTAAATTCATATATACAAGTATTGTTAATGCTGATGATACAATCATTTAGATTATCAGTATCCAAATCTTCAAATGGATATTTATGTTCTTGTTTATAGAGAATAGGGAAGTTATTCATCCATCCACTGTTTATTTCGTTAATTTTAGTACCTATTTTATTGCATAGATCACCAATCCAAGTTAAATACTTGCCATAGTTGGAATATCTAACACCTCTGGCAGCTGCAAAGTACTGCATTAAGTCCGCGCATCTTTTTACAATGAAAATTGGACCCATAAAGGTAGCAAATACACTAGCATCTCTAAGTAAAAAGATATTTTTATAAGGAGTTACCTCTGTGAATACAACCCTTATTGCTCTTTCCACATTGGAAGCAAGTAAGAAAGTAGTTACATCATTTAATCCAATAGGTTCAAAGCCACTTGAAAGTTTTCTGGCATCACATTCTTTATAGTATCGTTCCAGGATATGTGTTACATCTATTGAATCTGGAGGATGAATAAATACCTTAGGAGGTTCTAAAATAAAACCCCATACTTCATTTGTCATAGGAATTATATTATATCCTGCATTATATCCTGCTTCGATAGCTCGATGCATTTTCCTCCATTGTGAAAAATCCATCATATTTCTAGGGATCCACATCAATGCTTCCTCATTAGGCTGAATCAAATACCTAATTGTAACATCTGGATACTTAGCAATCATTTGTCGAATAACAGAAGTAGAGGAGACCATATCTGACAATATCCCAATAGATTCAAATAACACAGAGTAGAAGGGTAGCCTCGAAGGATCTCTTTGTTCATCATAATCTAGTAAAGATGTATTCTTTCTTAGTTCCCTAGGTTCTTGAGCTGATATAAAGTCAATAACTACATCTTTAGGGGATTTTGCCTTTCCAACAGCTATGCAACGCTTAATTGCAGTTTCTAGGTCACCAGCTGCTACAAAACCACCATCTACGTGAAAACCCAAATTTCTCAGATATTTTATAGGAAATATCCCAGGTATAGTACCTGACCCCACAACAGCTTCTATAATATCCTCCAACTCTAACTGTTCTGTAAATACATGAGCAGTCCTATCAGTAAAACGCATTGTATTTGTATAAAATAGTCTTTGCCTATGTCTTCTATGTAGAAATAGTTCTCTTAATCGCTTCCTAGCAGGAGAATTATCACATAAATAGCGAAAAGGATTTCGAGAGTTAACCATTCCTCTAGTTAAGCTCAAAAACCAGCGGCTATAGTTTTTCTTCAAAGGAAATTTACAAGAAGATATATCTCTTTGCCTAGTCATTTTCCACAAAATAACTAATTCTGTTGTCCATTCTAATTCATTTCCAGGAGGATAAAACTGAGATACTAGTCCATTAAATGCTCCAACAGATGTACCACCTACAATATCCCACCGTAGAGTTACATTCATGTCGTGATACTTTTGTGCAATACCTCTAATTACTCCTGCTTGCCATGGACCCTTGTTAGAACCAGATGAGAGAACTAATGCATAACATATATTATCTCTTGCATCTTCCAAATGATATCTGTTATAGTTACTTTGAAAATTGTTATGAGATGAAAGGGCACTACTTAAATTAATCAAAATATGGCCTAAATAAGAAAGGAGAGGCCAATATATCGTAAAACTCCCAAACATTACCTACCTAATAGCATGCATATTCCATTATAAAAAGAATAAGTCTCTTTCAAATAAACTTTACCTGTAGTAGATACTACTTGTATCTCCTAAAAATAGTTAGCGCTTGCCAATAGCGGTAACTGTATTTAAGTATTTCTACTTTCCTAAGCTGTGCACTTATTGTTATACCTATTAATTTATTGACTAGTATGAAGTCAACTATGCTTAATATTTATATAGATTAATGCAAGAATGGTTAATTAGTTAATAAATATATTTATTTATGACAAAACTGCAAAGTGACTCCTTTACATAAAGATATACAATTAGAATTCACATACTATTAGCACTTTCTAGATAAATTTAGTCAAGATTAAACCCAAAACTTTAAATTTTGGTATATTATACTTTTACATACTTCAATTGATGCATTAACTAGTGACTTTTTATGACGATAAAAAATTCATTGTATAAACCGTGATATCGATAACCTCCCAACCTAGTTTTATATTCCCTTGTGTAAAAGAAGCTCCAGAAGATATGCCAAGTTTTTGCAGCTTATTTAATTATTAAACATAAAAAAATATTAGCAAGGATATCGGGTGAAGAAGAATGTCATATGTACCCCAATGTTATAAATTCCGTTTAAAAGAAGTAGTTTTGCAAGGGTATTATAATTTAAAAAAAAATATGCTTTTAAGAAAAACTACAATGAGGGTTTTGCCAATTTCACTAGCAAAATCACTCAAAAACCTTGGATAATAAATATTTATATTATAACAATCAAATTATTATAACAGTAATTCCAAGTGCAGTATAACAGCAAACTATATATTTATACAAGTTGAGAAGTTTACCTAACATAATATGGCTTCCTGCTTCTGCGACTTTTGGTAGTATGATAAATTGTGAAACTAATTCCTGTAACTGAAATAGCGATCTGTATACCTGTCAGCACTACAGATATAACATTTGCTGCCAATATAGAATCAGATTTTATATTTGGAGCTGTAGATGTAGAGGAAGTTTTATCTAATGTAGAGATTTCTTTTCCTGATGTAGATTCTGCAAAAGTATATGATAGTGGATGATGTGCATTGTATTGTAGGTTATGGTGTATTAAGGCAAATTTTGTTGAATCCCCTGTGCCATGTGATATAGATCCATGAGAGCTTGATGATGCAAGATAATTCTGGTGGGTACTTGGAACTAAATGACTCCCAAAATTAGCTACATTAGCTGAATGTGCGACATTAGTTGAATGAGATCGAATAATGTTGTCTGAGTGAATAGTAGTAGGGTTTTGAATATGTTGGGCTGGAGTATGAGAAGCATGAACTACTATAGCCTTTGCCGCATGAGATGATATTATATTCGCAGTATGGCTTAGTACTGCACTATGTGCTATTGTATTAGCATGTTTATTGATCGCGTTAGATGCCAAATGACCTAGACTACTTGATATTGCATGAGGTAAGATAGTTGGTATGCATAGGATTACTCCAGGTAAAATGGTAATACATAGGAACCACAATAACTTTATATACATTATAACCAATATATATCAGCCAATATATCTAAGATATATTAACTTTTATATCGAGTTATTTGTCTTAATATTATTTTGATGTTTTGAAATTTCTAGTGGAGGTAAGAAAAAAAAAAAAGTTAGCGCTAATAGTTTTCTCTAAGTGCAGTCAAGTATAAAAGTTGTATAGATAATACTTTATTCTATATAAAGCCTTAAGTTGAGTTGCCTAAAAAATTATCTAACTTAGTTATTTAATTTATGATTATCTTTAGTCAGTAAGTTATATTTATCTCTTCAAACTTTCTTGACAAATGTGTTATTAATACCCAAGTTCAAGCAAGAAGTGAAGACTAATACAAGCAATATTTTTAAATAGGGAACTGTGTAATGCAAGATTATTTATTACCGAAATTTAGCAGCGTTGTAAAGTTCATAAAGTTTCTGAGTAAACTGTCAGATTATTACTTAATCTTTTCTTGTGCTCTTAATGTATTCCGTTATTCAAGTGTTTTTAACCTACTAAATCAAAGCTTGTAACAGGTAAATTTCTGTAATTAAAAAGCAATTTTTCATTATTCTCTATTAGTACTATTACTTTCTTTACACAATTCCTAATAATATTTAATGAGGAATGTTATTGCAATCATATAGCTTGTCTTTGTGATAAGACCACTATTTATAGTCATTCTTTCATTTTGTGATAGTGGATAGTATATAATTCCCAATATACTATGTGAAATAAGAGTCTATAAATTCAAATGAGATAACTGTCTAATTTAGTGCATGAAGTTTCAGAAATATTTGAGTATACTACAGTTTTAAAAGTGTCGAAACTCTCAATACTACCTCTGACATTCTTGTTGAACAAAAATTACTAATAAAATTAGTATCTAGGCAACTAAAGAAACTTATTTGTCTGTATTCTCAAGAGTTAAATTCATGCTATTGTATATCAAACTTTGTTGCTATTGAAATTAAATCGTACTTTAAGCACTAGAAAGAAATTAAAGATATCTATATAATACTCATAAATCCCAGTAATTTTTTATTTACTACTCGTTTTGTACAGATATAGCAATTATTTCTTAATTTAGGATATAGTTCACCAAATGTTTAACTTTAGAAAATCTCTGAGACTCATTTAAACAAGAACCTAAACAAGCAAGATAAGGATGGTGAAATAACATTCTTGTGTTGCAGCTTAGATAACTGGACAATTCAATGTTTTACTTATAGAGAGGAAATATTTATTAGTTTAAAAGGAATATTAGTTTTAAAGAACTTGCATATTTTCTTTGAATAGATAATAAAAGAAAAAAAGGTACATATTTATTATGGATTTATTTAAAAAAAAGTAGTCGTTAGATAAACTCGGAAACTTTAAATTAAGTTACTAGTTATTCTAGTATATTGATAGTCTTATCTTACCAAATAAAGCTTTCTTTTTCTACTTTTTTTAGTATGTAGAGTTAGTAGTCCAATACTAAGAGACGTTATCCCAGATGTCAAAAATATAAATGGGGTGACGTAGTTAAATACTTCTATAAATTCCATAGATTGATTGGGCTGGTTTCCCGGATTAGAATTAGCTGTTGCTGCTTCCATACCTGAATTAGCACCATTATCTTGTAAAGATTGCCCATTATGTACAATTAATGAGTGAGTATAATCACTAGAAATTATATTATGTAAATCGTTCTTCGATAAGATAGATACTACATAACTATTTATTATAGAATTATGTGAAATTGGAGTAGCCATATTTGGAGTATTAGATATGGATACGCTATCCGCATTAGTGCCAGTATCAGAGTGGACATTATGAAATATGTTCCTATGAAATTCACTAGTACTAAGAGGACCATTATTAATAGAACCCAATATCCCATGATAAGTTCCTAAATGTCCGTCATGTTGGTAATTGTTATTCCCGTTAATTTCAAGGTTTTGGTCGTGATGACTCTTTAAGTCCATATTATAGTTTAAATTATCAGAACTACCATGCATATGATGCATAAATGAGTTAATATGATGTTGGTGAGGTAGTGTTGGATGTAGATACATTACTGATGGATGCATAAGGCCATGATATGTTGACTCTGGAAGGTTTGGAATAAGATTTTCAGTGCCAAGTTCGGGATTATAGAGATGGGTTGATTGATAAGCTTGTAATGACAAGTCAAATGAGTTACTAAGGTGATGAATGTTCACGTACATACCTTGTATTGTATGGATAATAGAGTAAGTAGCTAAGAAAGCACCAGATAAAATATTTGCAAAACCAAATGCTTTGTTGACCAAGAACCCAATAAGAAAAGTTAAAATTGAAAGTTTATTATGCATCCCAATTAAAAATATAGAGCTGTCATATATAAAATCTAAACCCTCATTCAATTAAGATGTAAATAGTAAATAGGTTTTGTAATGCAGACGTTAGCTGTTTTCTCGTTGCAAGAATCCTATAGTTTCTATCCTTAGGCGGGAAGGTTGTGTCATGTATTGCCTTAGATGATAAAAATGGCAGTGAAACATGAAGTTTTTTTTTCTTAAAAAGCTAACTCAGTATATTAGCCATTGAAAGTTATTACTTTTATGATAGAGATATTTCATTTGGTTATTTTTATTATTGTCTCAAATTCTAAATTTGAAGACGTGACTTCAATATTTAGTTCAACATATATATCAAGGAGATAATCTGGAAGTAAAAAGGATAGTTAACAATGAACAATGATCTTAAACAAATAAAGCACTATTTAGAAACTAAAAAGGAAGATATTTCTAGTGTAACTGATACTGGAACTTGTTTAGGTCCTGATTTCTCTGATGTATATCCTGTAAAGTACAAAGGGAAAAACAGTGATCAAAATATTTGGTTTAACTACAGAACATGGTGTATAATAAACAATATTGAAAAATATGAAGTATATCAAATGGAAGTATTTATGCACAAGTATTTACACTGTGAAGGGGAGACATTCGATCTTAAGAAAACTCTTGTATATCATATTGAGCATGAGAACCCACAGTACCAGCTTATAAGGGAGGATGTGCTAAGATTTCGTCCTTACATACAAACTAATCAAGCATTAATGGAATTTCCTAGCATTCCTGATGATTTCTTTGGCACAAGTGATATAAATGTAATTGCTGGAGGGGGAAGCAAGAAGTTTGACTTTGAGGTACTTGATTTAAATCCACATCCTTTTTTAAATAATTTGTCCTTCATTGATCGTGTAGTTACTGTTGTTATACTAGTTTGTGAGTATTTTAACTGTGATTATCTTCAGGGAATACATGATATTGTTGGATGCTTAGCATTTTTGAGAGATCAAAATAACTTACCTCTAATATATCACTTGATTTTAAGTACTAATATTATTAAAAGATGGAGTCCATTTTTTACTATTTCTAAGAGTATACCAAATAGAATTAATTGTTCTAGGACAAATTCGTCTGTAAATCATATATTTACGTCGGATACTACTTTAAAAGATCATTGTGGAGATAATTCAGAGAATATAGATTCTGAGGAGTTATATTCGAAATTCTGTCATATTTCTAAAAAAATTGAAATTGAAGATAGCCAAACTGATCTTTATATACAAAAACTGTTTGAAGATGATTTTACAAGCCCTATAGGCGAAAGAAAAACTGAAAGTTTTGAAATAATGGCAGAAACAATCATACAAGAAAATTCCCACAACTCTGAATATATAAATTTACATCTTTCTGAGGTAAAAAGTTTAGAAATAAATTTGGATAACTCTAGTGGACAAGGAAATTCCTTTGTAGAGAATAATTTTGCAATAGAGAATTTAATTAAAATGTGTAATGTATTCCACATAATTGGCAGCTATCATATCCCGAAGATTATAGCTGAAGTAGATCAATTTATAGGTACGACAACTTGGTGTTGTAACTTTTTTGTAACTTGTGGAAGTTGTTACTTTTATGAAGTTCCTAATGTATTGCTTTTCTGGCTACAATTAATGTTTTGCTCTGAGAGAACTATCTACAGACCAGCAATGTACCCAGTTATCCCAGAGGGTTTGCAGATGGCAGGTTTTTTATTATCTGTATTGAAGGCTGCAAGTCCAATATTAAATCATAATATTTCATTACTTTTTACATCAGATTTTAAATTAGATATTGGGATTAATCTAAGATTAGGTATTGTAAGTACTCTGCAGCCAAATTTATTTCTAAATAAATTGAATTCAGAACCTTCTTTGATTAACTTCCAAATTGAAGAGACCCTAGTGTCTACGATAGCTAAAGATAAGAAGTGTATGGCCATTGATATATTCCAACTTATTTTGGTAATGGATAATATTCTTGTTAAGACTCCAATATCTCTTCAATTTGAAGTTCGGGATACTTTCGAAGTAATGGATCAATCAGAAAGTACTTCATATACTCATAATGAGGATCAATTTACTATTAACCGATTTATTCACGTACTGGAATCTGAGGAAATTATCAACTATGATAGTAAAACTAACCTTGAACTTTTTCAGAAGACAAACTACAAAAGTTATATAGAAGGTCCAACTCAAATAAAAAGTTGCATAACTGGCAGAGATATCATTTTAGTCGATTTACTAACACATTCACTTTTATTTAAGCAACATATTCAAGGTAATTTAGATTCAAATTTAAACTTGAATTCACTTTCTGAAAGTAAGGATTTACTTACAAATTTATTTATTTCAAGAGATAAAAAACAAAAATATATACTAGATGAGAACTTTTCAGCTCTACTTCTACTTCCTATTCTAAGACACTGTCTCAAGTCAATTAGAATTGTAAAGATACCTGTTGAAAAAGATCCAGTTCACTCGGAACTTTTTATTACTCAAGGAGCACTGCAGCAATTTTTTGAGTTTGCTACTCGTCGTCAATTTACACTAACAGCACAATGCCGTCCTTCGATGTGGATTGTTGTTGGCCCTAAAGCCAGTAATTTGCTAAATAATTTTTTTTCCAAAATGCTACAAAATAATATAAAGGGGGTTCAAACTGTTTGCCCAGGCGATCTAATAACAACTTTACTGAGCCACCACTTTAGTGGTGGAAATAGTATGGATATGATATGGGGAGATATTGTCAGTAGCTCATTGATTAATCAAGTAACTTTACTTGGTAAACAGGAATATATCTGTAAACAAATCCAGAGTCTCTTAGTACATCAAGATGAAATCAAGAACTTGAATAGTGAGGATAAAGTTACTGAAGGAGAAAAATATACTAATATTTCATCTTTAAGTGATAGTCAGAGCTCCGAAAACAATAGCTACAACTTAGAATTGTTAAGTGAACAATATGATATTGATTAATAAGTATTATATATAAATCTATTTATGAATAAAATAAACAAATTTAGTATTTTAGATATCTTATACTAAAATAGATAGAAAATTTATAAATACCAGTGATTTATACTTAAATATTGAAGAGAAATAACGAAATATTTAATTATACCTAAGAAATGTGATGATTTATGTTAAATTGCATTATGGAAAGATTTCAATTTAAATGTTGGTAGAACAGATCGCTTAACACATGTAAAAGCAACGCAGAACATAGAATACAGCAAAAAGTAAAATGAACTATTGGTACTTGGTGATCTATTCTATTTCACTGAAATTGATAGTTCTTTTTGTTTAAGTAGTAAATATAAGTTATAATTTGATTAAGTGGATTGAATAATCACTACTTCTAAGAGTTATCACTCAATTAAATTACAATTACAAATTGTAATAACAAAATCTAAGTGATTAGATTGTATATATACAACTAAGAAATTATTATCGAACTTTGCCAGTTTGCTAAAATGAAAAATCAGATCTAGTATACATAGCCCAAGGAAACTTTGTTCGGAGGCTCCTATTGAATACTTTGTCAATTGGCAATTCATATTTTTTACAAAATGCTACAGATATCCTCGGATCCATATAATTTAACTTCGAAGTATTTAGAGATACTGTCTTATTATCATCCTTTATTTTTATTTTTAATTCCAGATTAGATAATTTTGTTTTTATGGAATCCAGCTTTTTCTGTATAATTTCTGAGTTTGAACTCAAGTTTATAGGAAATTTGCGTGGTTTTCCATTGAAAGAAGTTTCAGTAGATAATTTTGGAAGATCTTTTAATGTAATTGACTTGTTAGGATTCTTTTTCAACAATCTTAAATATACCTCACATATTTTCAGATCTTCTTGAAGCTCCAATTGTTGTTTCAAGAGCTTTTCCATAGAAGATTCATGTTGTTTTGGGATAGACCTTTGATGATTACATAAAATAGCAACTTCTCTATTTGCATCATTATAAAAACGTAAAATATCATTTACATTTGTAATATCTACAATATTGTTTAAATTTGATCTTAATAGATCGTCTTGTTTTATATCATCACTCTTTATTCCAAATTCATTCTTAACCAAGTCAAGGTTGGACTTTGTGGTTTGATTACTGAAATTAGTCAAACTTCTAAGTTTTAGTAGTTCTCTTTCTAAAGTAATTGAAGCATTGAATGTACGGAATACTTTAGCAGAAAGTTCCGGCATTATAGATTTTAAATATTGGTTTAAAGAACTCATATTTATTTGATCAAAAACATTTTCATGTTTTTCCTTGTTCTTACAGAACAGCATTAAATTGTAAAAAGCTGCTGCATCAATGCAGACAGTATTGAAATATCTAATAGAGTCCTTACCCAGAAAATCCAATGTTATTGACTTGCTGTCTTCATTAAAGGAAATATGTTCTACTCTCAAAGAACAACAACCTACAGTATCTGCTTCTTCCTCAATATCCTTTTCTCCTCCCACTCTTAAAGCTAAAAAGTCTATCAAATAAGTAGCAGTTCCTAATTGTCTGTGAATAATATCATTACTTTTCATCTTTTTGTTATAGTCATCACGTATAGCATGGATAAAATTCTTGAGTTTTCTTGCCTTCTCATATTTGTTATAATCACTCATCCCTTTAAATCCACTTGATGCCGATAAAAAAATGTACTTAAACTGATTATTAATACTGTCTTTATAATATGCTAACCAGGTTACATTACTATCATGAAAAACATCTTTCCAAGCATGTCCAATTATACTTGAATCAACTTTTGGTACCGGAGCATCTTCGGCAACATTTAATGTTACTTCTTCGGAGAATATTCTTTTTTTAAGCATCCCAGACTTGGGATGTTCTCCACGTCCTCTAAAGAGCCCTGGAGGTTCTATTCTAAAATTACCAACTTTTTCTTTTATCCAATCAACTAATGCATAAATATATGGTGATTCACTTTCATTCTTTATTCTCTTTTGTTGTTCCTTTTGTTCTTTATTCATATTTTTTTTGCGCTCCTTCTCTTCATCAAAGTGCTCTTTTATTAAAGAAAAGTCACACTTATCCCAATTACAATTTTTGTACAAAATATGACCTTTGGGAATTGAGCTAATGAAAGCTTCCTTAGCATTCTTTACAAACCTTTCTTTGGAAGACCATTCAGTATCTAAAATTTGAGCCCAATAAGTTGCGATCTCTTCCGATTCATTTGGTAACTCAATCTCTTTCCCATCATAAATAAGTGGTACTTTGTGTGCTTGATATGGAGGTGCAAACATCACACCATTGTGTTCTAAATAATCCCATTGAATGCTTGATTCATCTTTAGCTGGTCTTTCCCACCATTTATTCAGAGGTTCATAGTCAATTTCTGTCTTGTGAATAACCTTTCTACGTTTCGCACAAAAACTAACTGTGTCAGTGAGATTTGACACTACTAGATTAGTTGTACTACCATCCATCTTCCTTAGAAGACTCTGTTTCTATGTAGTTACTTGATAGTATTTAAGCTTAAATATTCTAAGTGTCCCATTAAAGTTAAACTAGTGTGCGCCATTAACTCAGAAAACACAGTAGGAATAGTTTAAATAAAAAAACTTTAGAAAGCTTATCTAAAGGTTGCTAATAGTAATGTAATCTTTTTACTAGTATTCTTATATATATTTCCATTATTGATTATTGATTATAATTAGCGATTTATAGCTAACTGTGTGAAATAAGACAATATCACACCACTTTTACACCCCATTTACAGCCAATAGAAATAGCTTATTTGTAGATTAAGAAGATAGAAAAAATAATAAAACTTTATTTTTTAGATATTACGTGTAAGCTACTATGGGTAATACTGTAGTGGTTAGCACTCAGAATTTTTGCCTGTGCTTGCCACCTCTACCATTCTCTCTTCAATATGCATTCTACACTGTATGTCTAATCGATTTCCTAACTGCTTGCCATATTGTAATAGCTTTTATACTTGGACTAAGAAGTGGTATTCCAGTAATATTATTTGCTCTTATATCTACAATATTTGGTTTCGTTGGACTATATTCTATCTATTATTCAGACAGCAAATTTATGTATATTTATACAATATACACATATATAAGGATATGTTTCGATATACTTACAACTCTTGTTATCTTTGTCCTTTTTTGCCTAATATACTTGTCCAATACAATAACTTACGATATATGGTTAGAAAATCAAAAAACTTCTCTATGGGGTTTCAAAATCTTTGCGGATTATTTATCAACTATGTTACTGAGAGGAGAACCAATAAGTATTCAAAATTTTAACCAGGGTTCAGTTTTTTTCGAAGCAAGCATGAGTGTGTGGTTAATTCTTTTTGGAATTTCAACCTTCTTAATTGTTGTTAGAACCATATTTTCTTATATAGCCTACTCTATGACAGAATACCTAATTAATTCTAAGGATCCCTGTGTACAAAAAAAAATGGATATTGTTTAGAAGTTTAAAACTTGCAATATTAGTGCGTCAACAAGTATAGAAAAAAAAAAAAAAAGATGTAGCTTTCTCAGTAAAACGTAAAGCTACTTACTGTGCAATTCTGAGATTTAATTATATAAAAAAAAAATAACGAAACCTCAGGGATAAATATAAAATAAATCTCAAGCTATAATTAATTTTAATAAATAGATAGTATTTATTAAGTTTAGTTGATATTAGGAAACAAGAGATTTATTAGGACAATAGGGACATGTAAACTTCTAAACTTTATAGACAAAAAGATAATTGCAAGAGCTTGATTTATGTATAGAAACCCCATGTTACCAAATATATTTATATCCTTATTACATAGTGTATAGGAGTACAAGAAATCACTTTAGTACCGAAAAACTTACAATTACCTAAATTTGAGCGCTAGTACTACAAGTTCCACATGACCCGCTTTTATGCCTTACTGCTTTGCATGCAAAGTCTTATGTAAGACATACCTAATAGTTAAGTGGTCAGAGAAAATGGAAGTAAGAGATACAAGTTTAGCAACTGATTTAACTAGTGTAAGGATCCCAGTTCAATCATCATATATCCCTGAGGTAACAGTAAAGAAGTCAGTAAATAAAGAGGATGAAGAAGCTCCAACAATAATTCCGTTGCAGCACTCCAACTTTAAATATTCATTATTAAGCAAAATATTTCAACATTCAACAAAACAAATTGACATTTTTTTTTTATTTAAATTTAGACAAAAAAAGCTTATTAAATCACTACAAAATAAGTGTGCTATCCCAGTAAATCCTATAAATCCCATTCATGAACAGCTATTGCGAGATTATTGGGCTCTTTCATATCCTGATAATCCCGAAATTAATTCAATATCTAGCTATTGGAAGTTACTTGGGTTTAGTGGAGAAAATCCACACAATGACTTCATCTTTGGTGGGCTTGTAGCTCTACAACATATGGTATATTTTGCTGAGCATTACAGAGGAATTTTCCGTAAAATTTTGGAAGAATCTCAAAGATATCCAAGTAATGGGTTGAGTTCAAATACTTTAAATATGAAAAAAACAATAAGCACTCTAAGTTCATCTTTTTTTTGCTCACAGAATACGAGCAGTCTGACAACTCCATGTAATCGTACTCCAAAGAGCTATGGCAACAAGATTTGGAGCTCAAGTCCCAGTCTCTTGTCAACTCCAAAACATATAGAAACTGAAGAAATGTGCAAGTCAAATATTCAGAGTTATCCATTAGTACTTCCAAAGATATCTGAATCTGCATCATCTCATTCTAATGCAATAGAATGTGAAGAGATTGAAACTAGAGAAATCCCAGTTTCTTATCCACTCTCAATTGCACTTATTAGTATATCTATTATGGTATGTTTGTATCTTAGATTACTCCCTTGTACATATAAAATACCTGGTTTAGCAAATAAGGTTGCTCCTAGTAAGGTCCTCAGAAATTTCTCCAAATTATATACTGATTGTTCCAAAAATATCCTAGCTGAGCTATTCAGTGTATGTGCAATTAGAATGCATTCTGAATGGGTTGATATTATAAAGTACTTGGGTCCTCAGATAGCAGTAAGGGAATTTGATAAAGCTCTTCGCAACGTACAAGCTGCTATGATATCTAACTTGGAAAGTCTTCCTAAAGATATGTTGGAATTAAGAACAATATGTAATATGCAAAGATATCTATAAATTCCTTTATATTTGTTAAATTTATTGGTAAATATGCAAAAAAATACTCAATAATAGAATATATATGTGGAATTATATTTAGCAAAATTCAAATGAAAGTTATAAGGAATTGTATTTTATTTGTCCTGCTATAGCTACAACTGTCATTTCAATAATTACTCCCGACATCAGTAGTTTTTGATTAATACTTTAATATATATCAAAGGATTTAAAATGAATTTTCAATATTAATGATTGCCCCTTAGTAATCATAAAGGTGCAACATATTGTAAAGTGATATTGAAAAAAGAAATTCCTTCAACCTTTATTTGAAAGAATATTTGATATTCAAAATGCTGAAGTTCAGTAATTTATTATTTACCTTTTATTTAATAACATATCATTATATATCCTAGTTAAGGATGTAATCACTTGTGCTTTTTTTTGTTTTGTAAGACAACTACTTTTAATAATTTCAAACATGTCAACAATACCTAAATATCTTTTAAATTTGCAAATGCAATTAGTAAAGAAAATTATATATCGAATTACCAATAAAAGTAATTTAATTTTCATAACATTACTGAGAATTTTTTCTTTCAACTTCTTTATTTGTGAGAATTAGCATTTCAAACAATAAAGTTATGAGGGAATGTGATCTGTATCATATCTTGATTACAGATAAGTGGTAATTCAAATAGTTTGATATATTTAAAAGTGAAATCTTTACTAATGTTACCTATGATCACACTTATTTTATTATTTTATCTTTCTAGTTCAATGGTACGAAAATGTGTTATATGCACCGTTATAGGCCATATCTGCATTTACCCAGTTTAATAGAGTTTCTTATTAAATTAATTTTACAAGTTAACTAGTAATTTTGATAATAAACATATCCTATCTCGATGATACTATGAGATCACCAGCCTTCTCGATATTATAACATTTCGAAGTACAAAGTAGCTAAGGCATTAGTTGAATGAATTAGGAAGCTTTTTACAACAATTCCAGACAAATTAATGCTTTTTTATATATAGATGTGAAAATAAAAGAGTAAGAAAGATACACAAGAAGTAATAAGAGATAATATATATGATAACAATAAGGAATTGACTAACATTAATTTTGTAACTAGCTATTGAAAGTTATTCTGTTCCTGATTGCCTACTTCAAGTGATAAATCTCCTCCCTGTTGTATAACTCGAGGCATTCTTGGTCTTCTCCCTAAGGTTGTAGTAGAGTCATGATCTAATATTGGATTTATCATTACCTGTTGAAAGCTAGGTATTTCTTCGTCACGTAACTGGTCCAGATTCAAATTGCTATTATACAACTGTTGTAAACTAATCCTATTATTATTTATTCTTTGGAGGAATAAATTTTCATATAGAGATATATTGCTACTTATATTCAGTGGCAGTGTACCTATTGAATTGGTTACTGTAGTCTCTGACTCGGGTTCTATCTCGCTGCTATTAAAAATACTTACTAATGTCGCTGCATTTACGAGATTTGCAGCTGTGATAGCATTCATTTGAGAAATAGTTGAGATATTTAGGTTGGGAAAAGTGGAATTATTTAAAGATGGCAAAATAACTGAAGAATTCATACTATTACTATATGGCCATATTAGATTATTAGGTGTTACGGATATAGATTGACTAAGCATTGGAGTAGCTTGATTTGATGTACCATTAGCTAAATTACTAGCTTGGTTACCTAGGCTTATTGGAATGTTTGAAAAAAATTCAGAAATATTACTATTTAGGAAGGGCATAGCATTACCAAATATAAATGGTATTATCTCTAGCTTGCACTGTCCTACCTTAATTACCATACCGGGATGTATTTTTAATGGGTCACTAAAAGGCTTTAATCTCAAGAATGTACCTAAAGTTGAGATGTCTTTAACATGCCACTTTGACAACTTTGTTATGTCTCTATTTAGGAAATCAACTCTAGCTTGATTCTGATCTGTAGTAGTAGAATCTTGTGGGCTATAGTAGAATATACAGTGTTCCCTACTTATATAACCATTGTTCTCTGTAACTTCAACTTTTTTTAGTCCTAACGCACCAACACTACCTCTACCAAATACCATTCCATATGGATGTACTATTACAGACCAGTATTTACCATTTTCCAGCATTACGGCAGTATCACAAGGAGGTTTTTCACTAGCAATTAGTGGAATGTATATTTCAAGATATTCGTCTATTTCTTCCAAATCTAGCTCTTGCAATGATAAGGGTAAAATAGGGTCTTTCGTTGGTGAATATTCGGGAATTTTATCACTCTTCAGGTGCTCATAAGTATTGTTATTATTAGAATATGTCATAGAATCTTTATCTAATTTAACCTGGTTATCTCCTGAGTAGTTGTCGATATTTATAACTAATCCAAGTTTCTTGCTCCAACGCAGTTTCGGCCATTCACTCTTTATTAAAGGATTATTTCTATGGGGGTTCTTAATGTCAAGTGTAACTTCTTTGATTTTTCTTACATTTATGACAAGCTCAATACGATCTGCTAAATGAATAACTTCTCCAGAAAGTAGTTGGTGTCTAAGAGGAATTTTTAGCATTGTTCCAATGCTACTTCCTAAATCAATAATCCCAAGATTCCAGTCTTTATTTTGATAACTAGAATAAGTATTATTATGAGTTTCTTCTATATTGTAGTCTGAACTCGTGAATTGTTGAGAAAAAGTTGTCTTTATGAATTTGGAATGATCTTGAATATTGACAATTAGCAAATGATTAGTACTTACTGAAGAATGTGGTATTTGTATGGTAGATTTTGAGTGCCTACCTAAATCCCATGGTAAAGAAGTTCTTATTAATCCAAGATCGTATATTTTTGGATCTATTCTGTGAATCCTATCACTAAGAACTCTTATAATTGGGTAAGAGGTAGAGTTAATAAAGTGATTTTGCCCTATTTGCAGTATTGTTGGTTTCTGAGCAATACACTGCTCAACCCATTGTTTAATAGAGTTTTTAAAGTTTGAGTGATTCTCTAAAGAAAATAGAGTCGATGAATTCGGGTTATTATAATCAGGATCATCTTTAAAAGGTAGAGGTGAGCAACCAATACATTGTGTTAAAATCTGAGTCTCAATAGGACCCATCATATAAATGCCATTTGACCATATTAACTTTGATATATCTTTATTTTTAGACTTAAGGATTAAGCTCGAGAATTTATCAATAATACATCGTGTTAAGTCTTCAGCAAACATAATACCTACTCCAAGAACTTCATCTGCAAGAATTCTCCCAAACAATGTAACAGATATCGTTGGCTTACAAAATATTAGATGCCACCATCTAGGTCTCTCAGTTCCAACGAGAATACTCTCTTTTAAAAAATCATACTCATTGAGTTCAGGTACATTTCTACTTTTTTGTAGGCTTAATAACTTGACAATACTATGAAGTATAGTATTAGTGCTGAAATTAAAACCAATGGGTTGTCTACAAACTGGGCAATTTTTTCCTAAAAGTTTATCATGTGTAATGCAGTATCTACAGAAAGTATGTCCGCAAGGAATTGTAACAGGTAAACAAAAGCGATCAAGGCATACAGGACAAGTCAATTCACTCATAACTTTTTTAGCAATATCATCATTATTATCCACTGTAAACAAAGATTTTTCAGAAATATTTGCTTCTTGTTTCACTTGAAATTCTAATTCCCTTGAATTTGGGGGTATTATATTTAAAGTACTCTTGCCTCTATTATTCTGTACTACACAAGACTCATCAACAATATGTTCATTACTATCGCCACATATCATAGTATTCACATCATATTGATGTAATTTGGAGTTGTCATTCAACATACTTTCTAGTTTCTCGTTAATTTTTAGATATACCTTGGCTTTTAACTAGTAATACTTGGTTGTACTACAAATATGTTGCATTTTAATTCACATACAAAAGAATTCGGCCCAACTTATTATGTTATTGGCGTATTTATATTAGCTATCTAGTAGTAAATTATTTATTAATGATATATTTAGTTATGACTTGACTCTAAATAACATTATTTGGATCATGCAATTGACTAGTATCAGGCGGGATTATTTTGCCGCGAGGTACCTATTCGTTGGTTTTTTTATTTTGGAGAAATAAAACTTAGAACTGTTGACCACTTAGAAACCTATTACTACTTATTTAACTCATGAAGGTAAGAATTGAATTTACCGGAGGTTTAGAACTCCTTACTGGTAACAAATCAATATTTGATTTAGATTGGCTTGAAGAAGATAGCTTTTCCATGAAAAAATTAATTTCATACATCAAAGATACAGTTATTGAATCAAGAAAAGATTACTTCGTTGATAGTGATGTAAAAATAAAGCCTGGAATCATTGTATTAGTAAATAACTGTGACTGGGATATTGTAGGAGGGGAGAATTACCAGGTAAAAGATGGAGATTTGGTTACATTTATTTCAACATTGCACGGTGGTTAGGTTTACTAAGGTTTTGCAAATATTTTTACCTTAACATAAATTCATAAAGTCAAACGCATCTAATAAATTAGAAATCATTATAGATTAGTAAATAGTAATTTAATAACTATTTAAATAGGAAGAGGAATATCTCTTTGTCCAAGTAATTTGGCACGTATGAAATAGAACATGAAATGAGCTAGGATAATTATATTAAGAAATTCAGTAGTAATATGTAACTTCCTCCCGGGAATACTTGTATACTTAAATAAAGGATATGTTGCCCAATATAGAAGCATTAGGATTCTTGCAAGTAAAATGAACACAACAAAGTGAGCCAATAGAGATGATACTTTGCGAGGTTTCTTGTTGTAAAACATATAAAGTTGAGGTACTAGAGCAAAAGTGAGTTGCATATCAATATAACACTCCCAGAATGAAAGTAACATAGGTAAATGAGATCTTCTGAAGAGGAAAAGGGGGATACTTGCCAAAAGAGAGATTAAGTATGCTACAATCCAGTGAAATCTCTTGGCTAATGTATGAATCTTCCTTTCCAATACATCATTCTTATTTGTCTTTCCAATAATACTTTCAAAGATGCAACTTGCCACATTTAATCCAAAAGTATCTTTTTCTTCTTCATATGAATCGTAGAAAGAGAATATTATATAGGAAAATGTCGCCAGTGAAATTAATACTGTCGAACAATCACATATATAGAAGTCAATACCTAAAGGTACTTTAAAGTAAGCTGTCATTACTATTAGGATGAGCACATGATTTAATTCTGTTAGTACCAACATAAATAGCGTTTGTAGAGACAGACCAGCTGCGTTTTGATCACGATGAAGTTTTAAAAACAGACTACAATAGCCTAAAAGCCAAGATACTGCTGTAGCATAGTTAAATATGTCATGTATATATGAGAATTTGTAAAGAGCTGGCGAATTTGACATGTATTAACTTGATATATAAAGTTTCTCCACTCGTGTTCCTATGCCTTCTATTATAGAGGGTAATTGCCGCAACTGCTCATCAACTAACCCAAATAAAAAGTAAACAATCTAGACTACATTATATAAAAAGATTTTTAGTATATTTTAATTATACTTCTGCATATTGAAATGTAACTATTATAGCCATATTTAATATGTTACTGACAATATACGTAACTGAGTGGAGTTAGTTTACTAATTAGTATTTCTCTAGTTCAAAGCCTATTTACTAGATGTTTAATATTCTACCTAATTTTGATTCTTAATGGAATTTCGAAGTCTAATGCCCTCATAATTTAGATTAGTCTCTTTATTTGATGTTATATCTTCTATTTCTTTCATATTCTCATCTCTTTCTTCTACTGTATTGGCAGTTTTAACTAATTCATTATCTCCAGATAAATGTCCACGTGATTTGTCCTCAGAATAAATCCAGCGTTGGTATATGTAAATTATGAAGATAACATCATCTCTGAAACAAGCTAATCTATGCATCCAAGGCATATCTATGATGAAAGAAAAGATATCATCAATAAAAGTATTTAATGCCTTGTATATAAGATATCTCCATGGCAAATGATCTACAGATTTTAATTTATAATTTATATATAGCTGAGGAGTCATCATAATAAAGCCAAATGTATATACTGTGCCAGCAAGAACAGATATAAAGAATGAATACCAGCTACGATATTTGTAGTGATTGAGACAGTAAATTGCATAACCAAATGTACATGGTATTAACATGATTGACATATATTTTATTGCCACATAGTCGTAATGTCTGGTTAGAGTTTCAGAATTTTTTAGGTGTTTATCTGTTTCTGAAGTATCATTGAATACCTGTTTAAAGTTTATATATGGGAATTTTTTAGAAAGAACAAATATTTTTGCCTTCCACATTTTCCAAGCTGAAATTGATATTCCAATAAAAATCTCTACAAGTAAAATCCAACTCGTCTCATTTGAATCCAATAAATATAACCCAATAATGAGTTCCGATATAAAGGAAGCAAAAATTGAAAGTCCACTTAGACCGTGCATTGATTCATTATTGTGCCAAAATGAAATATCATTCTTAAATGCTAAAACCTGAAAAGATGAATGTAGTACGAAAAAAACAAAACTAAACATCAAATAGTATCTATTAGTTTCAAGAAAAATTCTCTTAATCATAAAAATGTCTCTTTGGTTTTGGCCTAGACCATAGTGATTTTGAAACTCCCAGGAATCTACCATTTGTCTCTGGATAGAATATTTAAACAAAGTAAATGTATCAAAAGTTAGAGTCAAATTTAGTGGTTTTCCAATCAAGGTTGAGTTTAGGGCAACAAAATTCTTCTCAATGCACCAGAAGTCAGATGGGTATACAATGGGTAAGTATACTCCTAGGTTGATGCTATATTGCATATATGATAGTGGTGGTATATGAGCTTGTTTTGTTGAGTATGTTTGCTGGTCAAATATAACCCTCAGATCTATGGAATTTTTCCAATACTTTATCATATTATCCGTTTTTCCAGATGTACTTTTGATATCTAAGGTTGTTTTGGAGGGATTATCTAGTAGATTCACTAAGGAGTCCTCTTGAGATAATTTAGGCATCCACTTCACTAATGAAATATGGTTCATAGGAATTAGTTCCTTGTTTTTATGTGGAAAAAGAGTCATGATTAAGTTGGCTGAAATATTTAGTTTTTCGTCAAATAATTCTAAAGGTGGTATTATTGTTACGTTTTTTGCTAAACTACTTGACATACTTGTATATTCTAAATTCTCTAGTTTCCATACATTGTAATTAAGAAGTTTAGAAGAGTTTGAAGTAATCCCCATAGTAATTAAATCTTTACTCAACTTTTCAAGTTCCATGCTTGAGATATCTTCGCCAAAAACAATATGTGCGTACATGTCAAATCTATCTCCAGGAGAGAAAAAGTTATGTAATACTGGCAAAACTTCGCCTCCAGACGTTTCTACTGCTACTCTATCTTTTTTTCTACCTATAAAATAGCTTATCGCTATTTGAAATAAGATCATTCGTAAGGCAGTACCTAATAATCCAGAGAACCAACTCCTTTCATCTTGAGAGCTCTCTCGCATAGAGTCATTTGTTTCAGATTGTAGCTGACTTGACATCTAGTACTCTATAGGATAGTTGAGTATGAATTTGTCTATTTGTGTGTGTTTGTTCTTTAGAACTAACCCCCTCTACTTGGAAAAAGTAGCCCTTAATAGTTATTAGTATTTACCCGGTTCCAGTTTCTACCGGGAAAATAAATATGGACGATCTCAAATCCGTCCTTTCTTGACTATTGTTTTAGGTTAAAAGCTTATAATATTGAATTGGATTTAGATACTTGATATATAAATTTGAGTTTTCCTATAAAGTTATTATAATTCCTTTTGAGTGAGTATTATAATTTAGTAGGCTTTATATACAAACCATATTTATCTTTTTTTAAGAAATTAAGGGAGTTAATATTAGGGATATTGAGCTATAGTTACTTAATGCTATATCTTTACTACTAAGGATCTATTTGGAACATTATATCAAGAAATATCTTTAGATATAAGAGTTTTATTACTAATAAGAACTGATGAAAATTATTATTATATGTTGAAATTATACATTATTTATTTTAAAATAACAAATATGAGATATATTCTTTGTTTAGTTATGTACAACTCCTCTATACTTTTTCTTTCAAATATATTCATATTGTTATTAATTAGTATCTAAGCATTTATCCTTAACAAATCTGGTTTGATCTTTATACCTGTAAAATATTGATATTGTAAAATAACTGCTGTGTAATACATATAATTTTTCATTAATACTTTAAAAAACATATATAGTCTTAGTAATAAGAAGTACTTAATTAAATAAGATAGCTAAAAATCTTTAAAGTTATTTGACATACTTGTTTAAATGTTTTTTATGTACCTTTTAAATATACATAGTAAATATCTCCACTTAATTCTAGAACGTTGGTATTGGGTTCATAATAAAAAAAAATTAAATATTGTATTTATTTGTGTTTTCTTGAGAACTATTCAAGTATATTTAATATCTATTGGTAAACTTCCTAGTATACTTAGTATTCCTCCTTAATATTAATTGAGTAATCAAAAAATACACTACCCTAATTTTTTGGTAATATATTAAACCACTTTAGATTTTTTCAAGGGAATGAGTTCATATCCTATCTTTAATTTCTTACTAAAAGGAGAGTGTCTGATATTGGAGGTATTAATTAGCTTTTCCATTTATAAATGAACAGAAAGGGTTGATTAAGTTTATTTCTCTGTAGATTTAGGATACTATTGGATGATGTTATGTAAATTTATATATTAATAATAAAATAGTACTTGCATTTAACTGAACTGAAAATGAACTTCATAAATAGTAAACAAGAAATAAACTGATTTATGTAGCATTTTAGCCCTTTAAAATTAGGTTTTTATTATTTATCAACTTGGAACTTTCTACTCCAAATATTAATAATATTGGATAAAAGTTAATAGTTAACAGATATTTTGTTTTGAAAATACGGAACTTCTGCTACTAATCAAAGATAATAAAAGGTGATTACAAATATTTCACTTATAGTAGAACTACTAACTAGTAATATCTTTAGATTGCTATTAAATACATATACAAATCGGATTAAGCTGTATTTAACACCTATCCATAATCAACTTAAGAGATTTTCGGATGATAACTAACGTTACTATTATTTGATTTATAACTAAAAAAAAAACAGAGTTCCTTAAAGTCTATGTAATTTAAAGCTTACTCCTAGCCATTTATTTAAATAAATATCTTTAAGTTTATATTTACAGATCATACAAGCCCCAGTCCATACTTTTTCATTCTCAGTAATCTAGAAACAAAGGTTACTGAGTAATAATTCTATACTCTCAGATTTACTATAAAGTGTTAGTGTTAAAGTTATCAAGATTTTTTTGTTTGTTCTCTAGACTAAGCTTAATTTTCTTTTAAAAGTTTCCTAGAGACTAGTCCTAGTAATAAATAAAATTCACTAAGCGCTTGCAAACGAAAGTATATATTGTAGAAAATAACTGGATGACAAATCAATGTACTAAGAATTAATGAATCAAATAAGAGATGCTGTATTAACATTGAGTCTACTAGGTGATGGGCAGGAACTATCGACATATTTAACAAATGTAAGTATATTATTGACCATGTAAAATAAACTCTATTTTTATTTTTTATTTTTTATTTTTTAAGATTTTACCATGGATTTTAAAAGAAGTTGCAATATCTGCCAATTCAAATACTGGGGGTGAATACATACGATTATTAAATATAGCAATAAGTAGGCTGAGGCAGAATACAAGTTGTAGGATTGATGCCATACCAATTTTGAAGTTATGGATAGATCTTGAACTTGATACTATGGGAAATAGGTTTGGATTGACACTTTTAAAAAATATTATTCCAATAATATTGGATATTACTCTTAATAGAGTAATAGATGAAGCACAGTGTATTTTGCTTATTCATCAATTATTTAACACATTAGTAATAAATGATAGGGCTACAAGAGTTGCTATTTCCATTTATATTTTAACATTGTTAAAGGTCCTAACATATGAAGAAGCAAACAAACTTATAAGTGACTGTTTTATAAAGAATAGCTATTTTTTATTAGTGTTAATATTTCACTTTGGTGAGTTGGCACTTATATCACCTAAAGAAAAAGATAGTGATATTGTTTGGGGATTATCTCCGAAATCTTGGACTCCCTGGAAAAAGAAGTTAATCAAATATAGTATAACTGAAGTTTATGAGTTAAAGTGCACATTATTTAATAAATTCTTGGTGTTATTTCCAAGCAAGCTATTTATATTAACAGCCCTTATATCAATATCAATGGCTCATGGTAGTAAAGATGAACTTTCTATAAAGGCGTTGGAGTACTATAAATCTCAAACTAATAGGGTATCTTGGCACACAGGAAATTTTGAAAGTTGGGAATTAGCTCCTTTATTGCTAACTCTTTGCAACCGAAAAAATAATATTCTTTTTACTATTATACATAAGATACTAAAAATTGAGGGACTATCCTTGTTGTATATAGAAAATGACTTTATTATTGAGGAAAGGTGGAGTCTCCAAACTACTATCTTTTCTCATTTAATTAATTTAGCTACAGAAATCTTGGCATCTTCAGTGCAGGATTTTACCTTTATTTATTTATCAACATATTTTTCTACCATTTGTGAGCATATCTTTAGAATTACTGAATATAACGGCCACTGTGAAATTTTTATAAATTCTTTAAATCTTATAGCTCTTCTATCTAGTAAAACTCTGGGAATTATTGGAGAGAGAGTTGAAGAAGAAATAGTGACAAGTGATCAAACAAACAGAAAATGTAGTCTTGATTTTGAGAGTTTTATAATGTTATGCTCATCAATAGACTCTCTCTCAAATGTTTTAATAAGATGGGGAAAAATAACGAAAAGTGACTTTATTTTAATTGGGAATCTTTTGAGGACAAATGAACAATTTTGGTATACATTTATTAAAGTTTTGCAGAATTGTATAACACTTCAAATTACAATAAAAACTAAAATTTTAAATAGATTTGACGACGAAGAATTGAATATACTTGATAAATATTATGAACTTTTAGTTAGAGTATATGAGATATCCAAGGAATCAAACAGTTTATTAGGGGCAAGCAATATTCTTAATCAAATATCATCATTACTGTCTGGTTTTCGGAAGAGTGTAGAATATCAAAACTCAGTTTGTAAGCTATTTGATAGTAAGCTATTAGCTTTAGTTATTGCAATAATAAATTACATATGGCATATCTCTACAAATCAAATGGCAATGCCCTTTTTTCATTTACTTCTCAGCTCAATATATAAGGTATTTCCTTCTTATCATATTTATAACTACTTTATTGAGCTATTTTTTAGAGTTACTAACTCTAAATTATTTCTTAAGACTATAAACCTAAAGCCAATAATTAAAACCTTTTCAACTTCTCATTCATTACTTGGACAAGATAAAGTAGATTTACTTTGTAACTTGTCAGATTTTGGCATTGAAGAAACTAATTTTGGAGATGATTTTAATATTTGGTTGAAGGATTATATTGAAAATAACTTGTTAAATAATATAATTTTATCAGATATCATATTAAATAATGAATTATTAACTATTTCTATGTTTATTCAATTAATTGGTGACTTAACTTTAGGGATATTTAGAAAGTATAAAGAACTTGTAAGCACTTTAACGGAATTTACTGAATTTATCGACACAATTTTGGGATTTTCTTCAATTGAATTACTAGTTGAACTTGAAGAAAGTACTAAAAATTTGATCATTCTATGGATTATAACTATTTCTTTAAAGTTTATAGTGGAAAGTGGTTATTTTAATATTGAAAATATAACAGAATGCAATTTTCTTAATATAGTTCTAGGTAAGCTAAATAAATGGTTTAACAAAAAATTTGCAAAGGTACTTATCAATAGTATTAATGATTTCGAAATAGCACTTTGTGTCGTTTTTTTACATTTGCTTATTTACTCCGAGAAGCAATTTCTAAAGAATAGTTCAATACTCCAACAAAATTTGTATACAATTGATTTATTAGAAAAGAAGTTCGAAATGAAAAATATTTTAGGTCTCTCTGAGAAATGTGCAGATTTTTTTTACAAGCTTGACTGGCAAAAGGTTTGGAGATACAGCTATGTTAATGTTCCAATTTTCATTTGCTCAGCTATAACTGATTTAGTTTTATACAAAGCTACTATTACTAATAGCATTAAACAAAAAGTAGGTAGATACAAAAAAGAGATAATTTCAGATATGGAGATAACTTTATATGATATGATATTTCTCAGATCATTATTTAGACTTCCAGAGATGAATAATTTAGTACATTCGACATTGCTTAAAATTAATAAAACAAATTGTTCTAATAATAAAGATCTTTATTTCTCTATTTTCAGTGATATTGAAGATTTGGAGTCACTGAATAACTCAACTAGTCATCTTTTAAATATTGTTTCTGGGATATACCGAGATTTATTGGCTAGCCTTATATGTGATATTTACTGTATTAATAATGCTCAAGAACAATTGGAAAAAATACTAAAAGTACTTAATAAAATACTGGGAGAATGTATGCTTTCTAACAATTCAAAAAAATTTTTATATTGTCACATACTTAAAGATTTAATTATTTTAAAAACGCAGACAATTATAAATGCACAGATGGTTAGCTCATCTGAATCCAATACTGATTACAAACTAGATATTGATCCTTCTTGGTATATTTCAGCCCTATCCAAAAATATATCTTGTTTTTATATAATCAACTCAAAAATAGCTGTTAAAAGTTTAATTTTTGATATTCTTGATTCTAACAATTCAAATTTTAGAATAATCCTGTTTAACTGTTTATTAACAGATTCAGTCGCACTTTTGGAGAATCCTGGAGATATTCAAAATTATTGTTCTTACTACCTTTTTGTCGTTGCTACTGAATATTTTGCTAAACAAAATGGAGGTGTCCTAAAGAATCAACAACTTGAGTTCCGACAGCAAATTATTAAAGATATTTTATCTCTTCAATTGAAACTAATTAAACACATCTCATTAAATATTTTGAACTTCCAAATAGAAACAACTGAAAATTTTTCTTATCTAATGAAAGGATTGGCCTGTTGCTTTCATTTAGTATATTCCTCTAGTATTGGGATTTTATCTTCTATCAGGCAATTACTAACTACTTTTGGTTGCGAACTATGTCAATTATTCGTTAAAACTGAAAAAGTAATGAATAATAAAAGAAAGGAGAATACTCTAGAAAGTACTTTCAGTTGCATTAATATGAAATTTTTAACAGCTCTTGCTGAAATTTCAAATATTTTGGTAATGGAGAATATGAAATATTCTATATGTACTATATTTTTTTTGTTGAACTCACTCTTTCAATTTAAACTTTCCATGGTTCAGTATTTCTTTAATTTCTGTGATATTTATGGGTTTGCTCAGCTATTTATTTTCTCATATCACCCAAATGAATTATTGAGTGACTGCATTTCGACACTAGTATCAAGTCTACAAAATGAAGAATATAATCACAATGAGGAGCTACAAAAAAATATTTTGAAAATATGCAAGGACTATCTAGTTCCTTATACAATTTCTAATTCTAATAACTTATCCTCTTTTAATAGCATCGTATTTTCAGATCCATATACAATTTGCATCATTTATACCTTGTATAATATATTATATTTAGAAAATACTTTAAGTCAAGGTAATATAAAGTGGTGGGTGTCATTATTTTATGAGAACTTCAAATTTTTTTGGGAAATAAATTCACTATTGGTATCAGTGGAAAATTTAATAAACAAAGTATCTATTAATGGAAAATTTACTGGATCTCAACTAATTGTTAGATTTAATAGGATTCTGACAATTTTAACAGTTAGATATTTTCAGTATTCTCCTGAACCTGAATTACTCCAAATATATGAAATTCTTACTTTAACTCATCTAAAAGTATTTCCTAATGATAATATACTAATTTTATTACATGATATGCTACAAAGATTATCAAATCCTCAAGATTCTCTAAATAAAAAACAAGATAATGAAAATACATATAAATTTATTCAAACAATCTTTATATTCTTGCTAAAATCTGAATTTTCATTTATTAGTCTAAATTCAATTGGGACTAAAGAGAAGTCAGAGAATAATAAATTACAAAATATTGATTATATAAATATTACTATTAATAAAGCTACAATAATAATTGTTCAAATAAATTGTCTCGATAAACTTATCTTGAATTTGAATAATTTTATAGTTAAATATATAAAAGCAAGTTTGGAAAATTCATGTCTGAAGATGATATCTTTAAATGGGTTTTGGGTTAGAACTCAAAGCTCTGCCATTTACTCAGCAGAAAGTATTGCAAGCATCCTTAAATCTCTTAATATTTCACTATCCACTTATATAAGTAGTGATTCATTCAATAATATTGTCGATATTACACTTTTAGGATTATCCCCAATGATCAATAGTAAGAAATTCAAATGTAGGGAGACTATACAGTTATATGAAAATTTCCTCCTAAAGTATATCCAGATGGAGTTTAAAATACATGAGGATACAGGAGCAATGATACAATCAAAGTTATTTGCAAAGAAGGTGAAACTTTTAATAGAATATATTGAAAATAATTTGGACTTATCAGAATCATTTGTCAAAACTACTGCAGCCTATAGCTTTATTTTTCAGTTTTGGGAGACAAATTTACATCTGAAAATCTATAACTTAAGTGTATTTGAATCTCCGAAAATTGAAGAACCAAAGCCATACTCATCTTGGCAAAGTCTTTGGACTGAAATTTGTGGATCAAATATTCTAGGAATAAACATGTATATGGATGCAATCTGTGAAAATATAAAGTGGATTATTAAAAAATATCGCACTGTAAAGAATATCCGAACAATTATGTCTCAAATTATAACATTTTTGTGCTTTGCAGTTATAAATAATAATCCATCATTTACTTGTGATCTATCGAGAATTCTTCCAACAATAAAAGTAGTTAAAAATAGTTTCATAACTACCTTTAATAATCAAACTAAGATCTTTGAAATAATTAGAATATTTGTCGAACTTTTAATTGAACCTTCTGTATCAAATGATGGAATATCTTGGGAAATTGTGGCTCTATCTAGCATAAAAATAATGTTGCTATGTACAACTTCAGAATCTCAGATTAACGATGATATTGAGTCATTACTAAATCAAAAACTACTTTGTATGGGAAAATTTGACTTTACAGAAAGAGATATTGCAGTTATTTTCACTTTCTCAGTACATACACTAGTGAATATATTTGTAATTATTCATAATTCATTTATATTAAAAATCTTAAATACAGTATATGAATTTTCTTTAAAACATATTTCGAATTCTAATCATACAAAACATTTAGTCTCTTCAATATTATGTCTTCAATTTATCTCGACTTGGCCAGTAGATCCCTTAGATGAAACTTATTTAGGACACTTTAGTCATTTTGATAACAAATTAAATCTGGGAAATGGCTATAACGAGTTTTTTAATATTATTCTTAATATATTTGAGCTTATTGCATATCCCAAAACTAAGATCACAGCACTTGTACAGCAAGATAATTTGAATCTATTTATATGTCATATTATTGGTTCTCAACTAACTAAATATAGAGCTAAACTGCTACAAGATATGGATAAGATTTCTTGGAAACGCTTGATAGAGCTTCTTCTTGTTACAGCTTTCAACAAAAAACTACCATTAGCATCCAATAATGCTGTAGAAATCATTACTGAAATTGGAATAATTATTCAAATCACTGAACAAAAAGAGTATCTTAGGTATCTTCACTTAGTTGATGCTTTGACTTTGCTTTCACCAGAATTTTTAGATCAGTTTAGCTTTAAAACAGACTTAAGTACTATCGTCAATTCTGAAAATATATGGGATCAAATATATCACTTAATTAATTGCAAAACGCTAGTAAATCACATAAGTGTACATAAATTAAATGAATTACGAACAGTTGTATTTAATATCAATTGTAATTTTAAAAAATCTAAAATTCGAAATGAAAAGTGCATAGCAAGTGGTTAAGAGTTGTATTTAATATAAAACAGATCATTCATTAAATATCCTTCAATATTGCAAGTCCAAACAAACACAAATATTGGCTTTAATACTACTTATTAGTCAAGTTTAATGCAACTATTTGGTGATATTTTGTGAAACTGTCACAGATTCTACTTTATCAAAGATTTATTTGGTTACTACTTCTGTATATCTTAATCAACTTATCTCAAATATATGTTAAACTATTTCTTATTATTTATTACTATTACTTAAATTGGTCTATTCAGATAATATTCAAACTTTACAAAGGGAAAGTAATTCCAAATATTACTAGAAAGAATAGTGCGGTAAATAGACCTGAAAATTACCAATTAGATTCTTTCTGGAACTTGACAATATTATAGAATAATAGGAAAGATATTATTACATATAACCTTAGAACTAAATTCCACATTTAAATAGTATTTAGAGATAGTTTCTTTTGATAGTGTAGATTCCGCATCAAATTTTCACCATAAAACTTTTAGGAATTATACAAAGAAGTTCCTTACTTTTGTACTGCTAAAGATACTGACAATAAATCATCTAAATGTCTGCTAATTTTGAGACCTTATAGGTATTTTTCAGTTCAAGTATTTCATTACTCTCAAAATTGAGTTTCTATATAGTCTACAGGAGTTCCAGGCTATAAATTGCCACTAAGACCGATCTTATTTAATATTACTAGACTACTTTGGCATGTGTCCCTAAAGTATTTAAATATTACGTTTTAAATTTAGCATTTCTTTGAAAACTTACCATTTACTTTATTAGAGTATTGTAGAATAGGGAAATAAATATTCTATTTAAGTTACTATCTATTATTTCAATAGAACAAGTATCAATGTAAATATTACCTATTTAAATTACCTACTTTTGAGCAGAAATATTTCAATCTCTAGTGTTTTAATTAGTGTACTACTAAGATATCAACATGTAGTATAAATATAATAGATGAACTTTGTGTATCTAGCTGCACCCCCATTTAATAAATCAAAACTATGTGAAGTAACCTTGATAGAATGTCTCTTATTTTGTTTCTTGCTGGTTGAGACTTATTCGTAGCTTAGGATTTGATAATTCAGTGTAATTGAGGAGACCAAAGATTTCTCCCTCAAATTTTGTAGTAATTAATCTATTACTATAAAGAGCTTACAAGTTACTAAGTACTGTCATCTTATAGATATCTCTAAGTTAACGCTACAAACTAGAAGGTATAAATAAATAGAGTTGCAAATTTTTATACTAAATCCTTTATACTGTCAATGCAATACTTGTAGTAGAAAGTTTAGAATAAACTTTAATTTACAAATTCTTGCGCTTCAGCTAGAAAATAAATAATGGTATACCTTAACTACTAGGCCCCAAAACTTTCCTCATGAGCGCAGCAATTACTTTCTGGAGCCTAGGGCTATAGAAAAATTAAGTCTATAGTTATGTTTATAGTATTTATTTCTTCTAAAATTTAGCAATTACTGTGTAATCTTACTGAGTAAAAATTACTCTTATTTATTTGAGTTAATAGAGATATAGATAACTTAAATTTATTGTTTCCAGCTACGAAAAGAAAGGGTTTCCAAATAATCCAACTATTGATATAATAAGATAAAGGAAGTAAAGAAGAGATATTATTGCAATCTAATATAATAAAGTTAGGATATAGACTATGGAAGTTTCTTTATCAGAGAAGGCATTTGGGAAGATGGCTATGCACTCACTAAAATATCCAAAGTGTCCTGTTGATGGAATTTTACTAGGATATGAAGAAGATCAAGTAATTAAAGTTACAGATGTAATTCCTCTATTCCATAGCCCTAGATTATATGAAAGTATATCTTTAGCACTCCTATTTATTGAAGAATATTGTATTGAAATAGTTCAAAAGGGACTTCTAAATAAATTTCAGCTTATAGGATATTATTATGATGAAGAGTTTAGTCAATTACAAGGAGCTTTAAATACAGAGAGTCAAGTAGATACTAGATGTAGTTTAATATTGGAAAAAATTCTACAAAACAACGATGCAGCAGTGTTCGTGCGAATGAAAAGAGATCAATTGTTCACGAGAGATTGTTTGACTGCAAGTAAGATGAAGAGTAAACAGCAATTTGAAAATATTTCACTATCAGTATGTTCAAATTCCTCTAATATTCTAAGGGCAGTCAAAGATATGCAGTACTTCCATCTTTATGATTTCGAAGATCACTTGTTAAATCCAAGTCTAAATTGGTTCAATCCAAATCTCCTCAAGTAATGCAAGAAATAGATTGTTTAGAGATTTTAGAACATAGCTTTTTCTCTCGAAGGATTAATTATTTTAATATATGGAGATATCCCTACTTGTTAAACTTTTTGAAAATACTCTGCTATCAATTAACATAACCTTTTTCATTTTGACATTCCACTAACCGCTAAACTGATCTTTTTTTATCCTATACGGCGTCTCGTCTCAAACTTAAATCATGGGATGACTATTTGGCATTTTCTCTATTAATTGCGCTTTTCTGTTAAAGAGAAAAATCGCACTAATCAAGTATATAAAAGGAGTAAATAGTTTGAATAGAATTTCGGTTATTAAAAGCAATTATTTAGATATATTTAGCTGAAGGGACGAGAGCAATATGGAGACATTATGCAATCTATATGAAGGATTTTCTTCATCAGACAGTGCAGTGAGACAAGAATCTGAGAATCAATTCAATAATTTACGACAAGCAGACCCTAATACATTTCTTCAATTAACCTTAGGTATTTTGCAACAGCAACCTAACTCACAATATCGTGTACAGGCAGCTATATCCCTGCGAAATTTGTTCCGAGAATTTGTGTTAACACCAGACAACTGCCTATGGAACAAAATAACCCCTGAAAATCAAAATATGTGCTTAATAGCTTTGTTGAAGTGTTTAGAAACTGAGCATGTAAATGTGGTGTCAATAAATATAAGTGATACTGTATCTTTAGTAGCAATGGAGTTATATCCAAATGGGAAGTGGCCAGAATTGTTACCATTCTTGTTCAGGTTGATATCTAATTTACAGAATTACTTAGGGACTAGTAATGCTCCAGAAAATGTAGTTATACCCGCACGTCATGCATTTAGAATTATAGGTGAGATTATGCCTGTACTAGAAGATGTGGTAGCTACACATAGAGACAATATAGTCTCTACAATAAGTGCAGCACTTCAATATCCAGACATAGAGATTCGCTATGAAGCAATAGGTTTAATTGCAGCTATTGTAGAATCGAGTGGGAAGAAGAACTGGGCTCCATTAGTATATTTGACACCTGTTATTTTAGAGATTTTACAAAACCTCATTGCAACACAGCATGTACTGGCAATAGATGTATTATATCGCCTAACTACAATATCTGAGTCAGATCCAGCGTTTTATCGTCAACATTTTGGGATTTTCTTTTCCCAAATATTAGCTATTGCACAAAATAAACAAATAGGAACCGATTTGCGTCAGGCAGCTGTGGAGTGTCTCCTATGCGTTGTAGAAACACGTCCTAATATGTGTACTAAACACAACAATTTTGTGAATGATATGATAACTACTCTATTAAGTTTTATGCTGGAATTTGAAGATGATCCTAATTGGGCAGAGATTCATCCTGAACAAGAAGAAAATGAAGATAACGAATTTGAGTCTGATATTGAAGATGAAGATTGTCTATATCCTATTGGAGAGGAAGGGCTAGATCGTTTAGCAAGAGCTTTGGATGCTGAAGTATTTATTCCCACATTTTACCAATTTATCACTATTTATATGCAGCAAACAAATGCACATCCTTGGAAGTATAGGTATGCTGCTATAATGGCTATTGCTCAAACAATAGAGTACTTACCAGAGGATGAAGAGACTTACCAAGATCATATGGGACAAATTATTTCGAGAATTATTGCTTTTCTTAAAGATCCATATCCACGCGTGAGGTATGCTTGTTGTCAGGCTATTGGTCAAATTGCTCTGGATCACTCACCATTAGTGCAGGAATTATTTCATGCTACAGTACTTCCGCAGTTAATACAAACTATTGATGATCCTATAAGTAAAGTGGCATCTCATGCGCTCTCAGCACTTGTAAACTTTACAGAAGAAGTTCCAGCTGAAGATTTACAACCCTATGTACAACCACTTATGGAGAAATTGCTAAATATTTTGCATAAGCAACCTCAACCACCTCGCATAGTTCGTGAACAGTGCATAACTATGATTGCTGTGATTGCAGGTGTTATTGAAAATGACTTTGCACCATATTATTCTACTGTAGTACCATATCTCAAGAAAACTATGCAAGAAGCATCTCCTCAATTAAGAACACTGCGTGGAAAATGTATTGAATGCTTAACAATTATAGGTTTTTCTCTAGACTATTCAATTTTTAAGAATGATGCCCAAGAAACTATGGTTGCATTCATACAATTAATGGGAAGCGGTCTAAAAGGAGATGATCCTCTTAAAGAATATATTCAAGAAGCTCTACAACGTATGTGTAGAATAATGAAGCAAGACTTTGTACCTTATTTACCTCATTTACTTTCTAATATATTCCAACTACTGGAAACTAGGGAAGAATCTTTAGCTAATCAACTTTTAAGTGGTTCCAGTGAAAATTCTACAAGAGAAGATGACAGTAAGTCAATGAATATGTTGACTGCTCGTGATTTTATAGGGCTTAGAACTACATTAGTGTTGGATATGGAGTCATCTTTAGATATATTGAATACTTTTGTTGAAGTCTTAGGAGTAAATTATAGAGACTATATTGCAAAGACAATTACAGTTATTTACCCTCTAATTAGATTTGCTTTATCTGATGAGATTAAGGAAAAGACATATGATGTTTTAAGTGGTCTATTGAAGATAATGCGAAGTCTAGTAGATACTGATGATACAATTAGAAATCAGTTTGGACAGATTGTAAATGACTTAATAACTTTGTTTTTAGCTATATTAGAAGAAGAAAACAGAGTGGGTACTACTGAGAGTCAAACTGTAGTAATATCAGGGATTGAGCAATGTATTGATGCATTAGGGACAAATTCAATGAATGTAGATCAAGTTGGAGTTTTTACCTCTAGATGCTTTGATATGCTGCAGCAGAGTTTTTTAAGAAGAAAAAAACTTGATGAGAAGGTTATGGATGAGGTTAACAATTTGCAATCTGGAGAAATTGAAGATGAAGATGACAAACGTGGGATTGAAGAGGAGAAGGAACAGGAACAAGAATTTAGACTATGTGTATTAGGTCTTCTAGGTGTCTTTATGAAGTACTACCCAAATATATACTGGGAAAAAGTCGGTACTATTACAATTCAACTTGTTACTCAATATGTGAATCCTCTACAAAATACTATTGAAGACAGGATATTAGGCTTTCATTTATCTGCAAATGTATTTCAGTATTTATGTCCATTAGCCTACCCTCATTGTACTCCCTGGCTTCAATTTATTTTAGAAGGAATAAATGATCCCATTGCTAGTATTCAACAAAACTGTGCTTTTTCATTAGCACAGGCAGCAAAGCTTGAGCATTTCAGTGCAATTGCAAATAATGCAACTCAAGTAATAATTCATCGTCTACAACAATCTAAAACAAAAGGTAAGGCATTTAACTTGGCAAGAGATAATATTATCAACGCACTTGGAAATATCTTATTTTATCATTCAAATAGTCTAAACAATATAAAGGAACTATTTAACTTATGGATCAATGTACTACCTTTGAAGTATGATACTGATGAGGCTCAAAATACCCACACCACATTGATGAACTTTGTTGATGCAAAGAATCAAAGTGTCCTTGGTAGTAACCTTGAAAATTTTGGACGTATACTTTCTATTTTTGTAGAAATATATAATACATCAATGTCAAATGAGAATTTGAATAATCGTATCAAAATCCTAATTGTTCATACTAATCCAAATAATTTGCAACCTTTCCTTTCTAGCTTAACGAAGAAACAAGTTGACAAATTACGTAAGATATGTAAGTAGTTGCACCATAATTTTTACAAAGGCAATTAATGCTTCTAGAATCTTTAAAATAGAAATTATATGCCTTATATGGGTAATTTGATGATACTGTTAACTGATTCCCAAATTCCCAAAGTAGTGAATTTCGATTTCAAACCTACCTAAGAAGTATGTGAGCTCTGGAGGATGTGGCTTTCTTGATATATTAATCCTTTGAAATCCCAATCTAAACGTTTAGATTCATAAGTGAATTGTGTATAACATAAAGTTAGTTGATAGTAATTCTATCTACTAAAGAGTATCCAACTGACAGCCCTTATCTAATCTAATTTTATATTAATATTGTCTGGTTCATTAACCTCACTTCCATAGATTGTCTCCTGTACATCTTTTCTTCTCTTTTTTATAGCAAGTGATGAAAGCTTACCTAAATGATCCTCAGATTCAACATTTTGCATATAAACTGAACCATTTTCATCTATAATCTCAACATTGGACTGTTTCAGAACTGCAAATATTGAGTTCACCTGTTTACCTATTGAATCCCTATTAGGTATAAATTTTCTTAACGTTTCATCAATCAAAAAGAGTTTTGCATTACTTGGATGACTTAAGTGATTCTCTTCACAATAGTGTTTTATTTTAATAGCACATGACATTAATGAAGCTGTCCTGTCACCGTCCATAAATTCTGCAAGACTATTAATTAATACTCTCTTCTCCTTAATACGCTTGTATCTTCTCTTTTCTGTCTGATTTTGAGTTGAATTTGCTGTTTGACTACTCTTTAATGTCATGACAATCTTCCTAACAACAGGCTCAATATTTGGGACATTACTTGATGTCATATTTAAATTGTAACTGAGAGATAAAATACCATATAATTTTCTTAAAGTAAGATCATTCAAATTTGCTCTGCTGATAATGGTTTCTAGTTGGTTTTCTAAGTTCTCCAGTGTAGGTATTAGTTTTCTTGGTGCCTCATTAGTAAGCCATATAGGAGTAACATGCTTATCTAATATAGTTTTGATTGTAAAGGCTTTATCTTTACTAGATGACTGCTTCTTTTTTTTTAAGGTTTGGATTTCCCCATTTGTAGATGCAATAGACCTATTTGTAATGTTAGGATTTAATTCTAAATTATTAACTAACTTAAGTGTTTGATTAGGTAATGCACGCTCCAGAATAGATGTTGCCACATCTGCCTTCTCACATTCTTGCATCATATTTTCCAGTGATGATGATTTACAATCATCTTCCATAGTTTCAAATCTATCCGCTTAACACGTATTGATATTATAAACCCTGGTAATCAAATTCTTATTACCGCTACTGAGTAATACGGTTAAATCAATTTTACTAAACTAGCTAAACAATTCCGCTACTTTATATCCAGGAATTGATTTGGGAGAAACCCAATTATAATATAGAGATATTACAGTTACTATTCACAGTAGTTCACTATAAATAGTTAACTTGCAATTATTATGATGTATCAGTTATCCCCTAAAAAGTACTGAGATTTCGAACTTATGAACCTCTAAAGTAATAAATTAACAACAATAAAATAATTATTAATCTAAATAAAACTGTACTTAAAAGCTCAACATTATCCATATAAAGATTTCTACAAATTTAAACTAGGAAAACTTAATTTCTAACTCTATACAAATTTATAGTAAGTTGCTAATTAGCCAAAAAAAAATATCCTTGTGAAATAAATAGTTAAATCTTTGCTCCTCAGTATGTCTAATAAATTATTTAAGATATTATATACAAATATAAATGCTGTATATATTGAGCAATTCCTATTAGGGAAGCAAAAAGAATTGTACACTCATCTATCTATACGCAAATTAGGTTATCCATTTATATTCACAAATTAAAAATGTATGTCATCTTCATTTAATACTGAGCATAACTCATTTCTTTAGTAAGGGAAATCTATCATGTTCTGCTGTAGTATTAACATTTCTCCCATATACAACCCCTCTTTCAAGTTCTCTTTCTTTCCAGGACCTCCATCTCAAGAAATTCCTTTTATCTATTATTTCTCTATAAGACAGATATTCACTACCTGTACCACCTGCTTTTATAACTTTGTACAAAGAATAAAGTAAATGAATCGACCACGCAAAATATATTAGTAAAAAAATAGATAATAATAATAAGACCTCAGTTTTGAATGGCCCAAAACCAAGCTTAATAGACAAATTAGGGAAATAAAATAAACCTATAAATTGAGTAATACATATTCCCAAAGAGCTAAATATTGAAAGACGCAATAAATGTTGTGAGTGAGTTAGTACACCAAAGAAAGTAAACAGAAAAGTAGCAAATGAAAACATCACTAAACACGATGCAAGTATAATCACTATTTTATCTCTGACTAAAGTTTCCATTTCACTAATATAGCTTCCAGTTTGTATATTATTGAAGGAATATAAAAGAGTAGCAATTTTGAAATTAACATAGTCAACAAACGACAATTCGGGATCAAATTCCAAGGTAATTGAAGCTCCATTAAAGATATTTAATAACTTAGACCATGGAAATAGGAAGAAAGTAAAGAGATATCCGACTCCAAAAAATAAATTTGCTAAGGCTTGGAGAATATTTGCTAGACGTAATGAAAGGCACATAAAACCTTTCCTTCCCCCACCAATTAATGAGCCATGTTTAAATCTAAATTCTTCAAATGAGTCCATATTCCTAACTGTGCTAATTTTTCCAATAAGTAACTTAATAGTCAGTACTCTCCATCATTCATTACCTTGTACGCGGCTACTCAAATAATTTTATTATTGATTACTCGGTACTTAAAGTAGACTTAAATATAAATACAATAGATATGGCGGTAAATCCTAAATCTAATAGACAGTAGTTATTTGAGAAGTAGACAGTACATAATTGGTAATAACTAACTTCTCGAAATTACTAAATATTTGTTTTCTTCGTTGGATAATTCTTAGATATTGTATATGCGGTTCTCTAATACTATTCATTATACTTAGATTTATATGAAAGTTTTAATTATTTGGATATATTAATTTTCCTGTATTGCCATGACTAATTGTCAAGATATTGTTTGTAGCACTTTGAGAGTCTCCCTTCTCTCTATAGCCTAAAAGAGAAGAGCTTCCTTGACTAATTAATTCTCTATATGGCAAATATTTATTGTTTATATCCCATTTCAATACCTTGTATAATAATAGTAATATGTGTATAGACCATAGAGAATATATAAGAACTATTATATCTAATAATAAGTACACAACTATTTTTGGTGAAGATTCTATTTGATTATATTGACACCAATAGGGTAGGTAGAGTACTGTTGACAATTGAATTATAGAATTAGCTGTAGTGCAAAATAAAGAATATAATAGTAACTTTTTTGAATTCTCCAGAATTCCAAAGAGAGAGAAACACGGACTAAATACTGACAGGATGATAATGAATGTCATAACCCAGTATTCAGGACTCTTAGTTTTCAAAAGTACTATTGTATATAGAATGTTTGAAAACTGTTTATTATTACAAGATTGCAGTAGAAAAGTTGCTAGTCTGTAACCTAGTTTATCAACTAGTCCATCATATTTATAAAATATCTCCTCAATTGGTTCTCCTTCAAAAACTAAAGCAATCCTTGTCCATGATATTATGAATAGCAAAGTAAATGTTGAAATCCCAAAGCATAAAGTTATAAAACTTTGAGCTAAAGTTGATACTTTAATTAATAAAAAAAAAAAATTCCTTTCCTCACTTCTCAAAATAGGAATATTTCTGGGCCTAAATACACTTGATACAGCTAACTTCATTTCCTTGAGTCTCTACTTCCAGATATTATAAAAAATTTTACATGTTGCTGACTGTATAATCTCACTAATCTAAGGTTACATAAGCGCCAAATATTGTTATCAGTCAGAGATATATAAAAATCTAAATAATGTTCAGGTCAAAGTGGGACATTTAATAGTAAATATTCCAATATAAAGTAACCGGTATGGTTGGATATTAAGTTAACTCTATTAAATATATTATTCAATAGGCTTCAAGAGTATTAGAAAAATACTTCAGAGTACTGTAATACAGTAGTTATACATCAACTTATGCATATAAGCGGTATATTCAGGTACATAAGCGCTGGTCATCTCTGAATAAAAGTTCTTAAGTAGAAAAAGACAAGTATAATCAATTTTATAGTTTTAAATAAGGTTTCAGACTTGATATATACCCCATATTGCGCAACAAGAAGTAGCATTATTTTGATATTTGTGCTATAAAGGAGGAAAATGAGTGATGATGATAGGAGCTTTTTTACAACTGAAGGAGGTTCCAACATTGGCAGAGCAACAAATGAGCCTGTTACATATATATGCAGTGGTAAGTTACAACTTTACTTCAATATTTTTATATATCACTTTATTTGTGTTTTTTTTTCTTTTTAGAATGTGGTGCAGATGTCAGTTTACTAACCCATGGAGCTGCTGTTCGTTGTCGTACATGTGGCTGTAGAATTTTATATAAAAAACGTACTCGTAAAATGATTCAATATGAAGCCAGATAGAGTATTTTATATATGGCATATATAATCAACTTTTATGTGTATAACATATTACGTAGATATACTGAACTTATTTAAAGTATTTGATTATTATTAGTACTTTAGGCTATGATACTGTGCAAATAAATAGAAACGGGCTATTAGATAGTTAACTAACTCTATTATCTTAATAATCTCCTCTTTGAAAAAGAAAGTAGCGGTAGTATAATACTTATCTAGTATTATTAACAATGAACTATAATATTCCGCCAAATAAGTGGTTTTATACTTGTACGAGGCGAGGCTTTGGACTACTATTTATAATAAAGAAATGGATAATCTAGCATTAAGCAATATAGAAAAGTTGTGGGATAAGAGTATAGAGTCAGATATATTTAAAATAAAACTTCATAACTCCTTGGGAATATCGAGGCAGTATTCTATTCCTACTCTATTGGTACTCAGACAAAGTCTACAGAGACAAAGGCATATTTATGCTAGTGAAATATATCCCAACCTTCCTATTCTTGTTATAAGAGATTCTAAATGGAAAGAAACCCGTACTAACATGAAGAATGTGACTATTCCACCTCTTTCCCTTACCCCACTAAATAAGCAGCTAGAACTAGAAACATCTACCACTATTAATATAAGTCATTCAAATAGTACCTTGGTATCTGATTTGTGCACATCTTCATGTAATATACTCTACAACATATATAAATACTCCGAATCTAAGTATGATAAATTAAGTGACTTTAAGTGTTATGAACATAAACAACATTCAGAAATAAAACAAGTTCATGAACCCTTAACATCGCGTACTATATCTCGTCTAAAGCAAATAGCTATTGGTAAGAGTTTGCCTGAATACAAGAACTATATAGCAGCAGTTCCAATAGAAAAGAGACCCCCAAATGCTCCCCATACTCCTAAGCATGATAACAAAGTTAGTAGAAGGGAATTTGATCGGATGTATAGAGAATGGAGAATAAAATTACACGAATATAGTAGTGATCTTATGTCTACAGCATCTACTAGAGTCCAGTCAGCTTCTGAATTAAATAATTCTTTGGATTCTATTTAACTATAAGTAATAACTAATTAGGAAGTGACTATTTGACATCTCTTATGTTATATTAGCTACAAGTACCGAATATATATAATAGACGATCTTTTATATTTTTATGATGACCTTATAGTAATTCTGTAGCATTAACTATATATATATTAGATTAAAATAAATGACCTTTTGATCCAGGTTATACGCAGTTTTCCTGGGCGCCCTAAATAACGAATTTACAATGTTTACATTAAACTTCAGAGGTATGCAGTATATACACATTGAAGATAAGGATTTTTTAAATAAATTTATTTATACTAGAGAAGTTGAAAGCTTAGTGATAATAAGCTGGTTGTAATTGAATAATAACTAATATCATAAATATTAGCTATTTCCAAGCATATTAAGAATTTGTATTCTGGTAACAATGCAATGGAAAGTCTTAGCTGAAATATATAATATTGATGCTCTTATACAACGTGTATGTGAAATTGAGGCATATTGCAATCCCCTCAAACAAAAAGATGATATTAAGGAAGATATACAAGATGAATACCTTAAACACAAAATATGTTTTATGAATTTGTACAACGATATAAACAAATATATGGAAAATTATCAGAGCCATGAGATTCAACATGATAAAATCATTAAAAGAATTCAAATAGATGATATGATAAAGAAACTACAAGACGAATTAGATACTTTATATAAAATTAATAGAACCCCATCTTTAAAATTGATAGGTAGCAAGTACTCTTTTAAACAGAAACGTGCAGAAGAAATTCAAAATCTTAGAGATGAATTATTCATAGATATAATAAATAGGTATAATCAATTATTTCATGGTTCAAAAGTAGAAACTAGAAAAGTGCAGACTTTAAAGTCTATTCAATCAAGACACAACACTGAGACTTTTTGTAATAAAAAGTCGAGTTCTTATTTTAAGGAACTTTCTAATACAGATAAGGAAACTTTAAATTGTTGGCATATGAAATCAAAGGAATTAGATAAGGAGATAGAAGATATTGGAAATATAGCTTTGCGAATTAGTGAAAGAGCTGAGAAGTTAACTAATGAATCTGCAAAACACAAACATGTAATTGAAGATATTGTTTCACATGTTAAATTCACATCTTCTGAAGCAACAAGTGTTAATGCAAGTATAAGGAAACTAATTAGGACAAGTAGTAATGTTACTTTTTGTTGTAGGATTAGTCTTACTGTTGCTACTATGGTAGTAGTAGCAGTTATTATAGTTTTAGCTATTAAGAAGCTTGTATAAAATAAATAAGGTTGTAAATACTTTAGGCCATAACTAGACTGATTAGTGTTTTCTATACTCTAAATTTACAAATATTGGCAATGTCAATTTCACAATCATAATCAATAGAATTAACTATAAAATATTATCAGTTATTCCACTGGTAATATAAATAAGAGAATTGTACTTTATAAAATAAAGGGAAATACAATATAATTTGCACTACAACAAAACTTTGAGATACTTGTAAAAGGTCGAATTAAAGTTTATGATAATGTTTTCAATATTAGTTTATAATTCAATATAAATATTGAGAGGGTGTTCACACTTAACATGAATAAATCAATAATTATGAATGATATAATTTATTATTTATGAATTTTGAACTTGACAAGTTATATAATTGTAACTAGGTCAGAAAAAAATAAGTTATTATTATAATATAATATTTAGTTATGTCTTATTATTGAATTTTCATACTTTAAGAATTTATTATTTTTACTCATCTTTACAGTATAAAGTGACTTTTTTTGTTTGAGTAGTAAGTCTATTTTTGTTTAGATGAAAATGAATTATTCAAGCTATAGTAATATATTGTTGACTAGGTTATCGAAATATATTACATTCTACCTATCTTAGGATAGCTCCATAAAGTTTTTTAAATACATAATACTCATAATGTAAAAGTTTTAAATAAATTTTTTTTCAGTAATTTCAAGAAATTCATCTGCTAAGAGTAGAAGATGACCTTTCTTCTTCAGATATTATTTGTAAAAGCAATATATTATGTATCAGGATAGCTAAATTAATGTATAATATGATATTGACAATATTCAATAAACCTAAAGTGATGTAAATATATTACAATTTAATATATAATTTAATACATTTGATCAACAGATTTATTTGGTCTTCTTTTTTAATTTACTCCAATGGAAGAATTTCATAATTTCTCAGTTGCAAAAATTTATACTAATTTTCTATTAGTATAAATTTTTATATTAATTAAATTTAAATATTTATAGTAAAATTCATTTGTTTTTGGTTAGAGTATATATATAAATATGAGAATATTAAATGATTAAAAGTTTATTTGTTATTACTTAAAGAAATCAATCTTCTAGTTTATCAAAAAGTCTAAATATTGCAATTTCAGAAATTTGCATTTACTACAATAAAAATTACTAATCAAAAAGTTCAATTTGTTTAGAAATTCATATTAAAAGTTAAAAGCCTGAATTTGATAGGTACCTGAGACTACAATTATGAACATATCAAGAAGGTAAAATTTCGATTCTAATTTTCATTAAATGTGTAAACAGTCCTGCTATCTTTATTTCTTAAATGAGTTATCTTTATCTAAATATCTTAAATAGTTATTCTATCATAAACATTTACTGTTTGCCAGAAATTAATTGCTGCAATATCACAACTATTATAATAATGTACACAAGTATATAATATAGAAGTGGTAGTGATATTAATATATTACAAAATTTTATACAGTAGTAATTAAAGGTTTGAAGTAGAAATCTAAGCTTTTTTCTCTAAGTACATGGCAAGATGCATAACAAATTTGACGTAATAACTGAGAACTACTAAAATTCAGAACTCCCATCGAGCTCACTTCTTAGTATTCAATAAGTCGTTAAATGACTCTTAAGTTAAAAGAACTATTAGTCCAGTGGTAATGCCTCCTCAATTCGAATATTACCATCTCCAACTTCCTGTTTATTTATTTCTTTTGTTGCACCATCCACGTAATCTTCCTTTCTTTCTTCACTATCATCATTGTTAGTTACTTCCTCTTCTTCAGGTATAGGAATTGGAGTTGTATGAGTTCTAAATTTATCAAAAATAGATGAGATAAAGTTAGTAGCAGAAAATCCATTATTTGGAGAAGATTCCTCGAGTTCTTCCACTACATCGGGTTCTTCAGAGAGAGATGGTTCCGACTGTTGAATATCTTTAATTCTCTCAATATTATACTGTATTGGTTGTATATATGGATTAGAAGTTCCAACTTGTGAGTTCTCTGATGTGAGTCTAAGAGGATAATTAACACTCGGGGGATTTGTATTTAAATTCTCAAAAGTTAGAGCAGCTACCCCTGTTATGCTTTCTGGTGCCCAGTTTTCTGGAACTTCAACACATTCCTTTAAATGGTCTATATTGTAAATAAAGGGAGGAGTTACTTCTGGTTTTCCTGGATCAATGTATTGTTGTACTTCCATAGCATGTACTTTTAAACGTATCGGTTCCAACCAACCACAGTCTTCAGGTTCCATTGTTTCAGCTCCACCATAGACAAAAGTTTGTCTGTGTTGAAGTGGCTCTGTTACTTGCCTTTCAGGGGTTGACATTATTGCTGCTGGTGAAATACTAGAGCCTGTTGCAAAACGTGAAGGTGGGTTTACTGGAGATACATTCAAAGCTGCTGCACTGATCATTCTACTCGGAGGTTTTTGAGGTATCATATTTGTTGATTGTGGAGCACAACACATTAGTGGGTTTGCTCTCTGAACAAACTGTTGAGGGGTTGAAATCATTGGATTTCCATGGGACATTACTGTTGGAGTACTATATTCTGAAACTCCACGACTAGACACAGGACCAGAATGAACTGAATACATCTATATACAATTTTTAGTTGATCCCTGCGTAGATCTTTTATTTCTTTTGTTTTCTTTTGTTTATCCTTACATTAATCTTTGCTGAGATTTAATCTTGTTTCCACTGCATGTAATAGACGTAACATTGTGTCTTTTGCCGTACACAAGTACACACGTATAGATCTGAGGGTTAACTTCACTTATCACTCTATATGTTAGGAACATAAATAATATTTTGTAATATTATTACATAGTAGAGAGATATTTGTCTTCAGCTAGGTATTTGTTGTATCTTCTTTTTACTTTTTTCCCTAAAAAACGAAAGAAGCTACTATCAAATATACTCTTGATTTAGTATCTTTGCAGGCGTAATAGAAACTGAAGGATTATTGTTGCAATAACTATTATTTTAGTGCAAATTTAATTTCAATACGGACAATTTGTGACTCAAAGAATTGAATAGAGGATTGTTACTTCTATTATGGATTTTTGGCGCTCTATATAGTTAAAAAATGGAAAGTAGAGAACCTGTGATATGGCTGCAAGACAATTAGAAATAATAGGGAAATTCTTATTATATGACGTGATATATGCACATAGTAGTATAGAGAAAATTGAAACTAGTTTATATAGATGAGCTGTTGTGAAGGATGCATCACTACTTCAATTAAAAGCTTTGAACTCTTTGCAAGATGTTTGGGGATATTCCTAATAGCTTTTGTATGGTTTATGATAATATTTCTATCTCTTAGTGGGGTGTTCCTAATATTCCCATTATCTATTACTGATTCTTCTCAATGGTTATTCATGTGTCGTACTATATTTCTTTTTAGCACAGTAAATGTTGTCTACAATTACTACTTTTGCATTTCAACAGATCCAGGATCTCCATCATCAATAGATGGAGATTTTAGGGAAGGTATAGATAATGTAATTGAAAACGAACTAGGAGATGAAAATAGGTGTATAATGCTAATGGAGGAATCAAACAATTGTAGAGACAATATTGGAATATCTCATGGGATATATAGGAAATGTAAGAAGTGCGGAAGTATCAAACTACCTAGGACACACCATTGTTCAGTATGTCGACGCTGCATATTAAAGATGGATCACCATTGCCCATGGATAGGTCAGTGTGTTGGACTACAAAATCAACGTTATTTCATTTTATTCATTTCATGGTCCTTCATTAGTTGTTTATTAATATCGCTATTTGCAATGTCTATCTTATTTGAGATTTTTGGAGTGATGATAAGTGGTAACATGTCGTCTAATTCAATTACCTTGAATGATCCTATCCTAATACAATGCATATTTTTCAGTTCTGTTGTATCACTATCATTTACACTGGGTACTGGTTTATTATCTTGTTTCCATATTTACTTATTGCTAACTAATCAATCAACAATAGAATATAGGCAAAATTCCTTTCTAAGAAACTACCTTGAAAAGAGAGGTAAAACATGGGAAAATCCGTATGATTTAGGTATTAAAGAGAATATAAGACAAGTAATGGGAACAAATAACTTTCCTTTATTATTATTTTCATGTTTCCCAACACAAAGCAAATCAGTAGATATATCTACACCACTTGATATAATTGTTTAAATCAACTAAAAAGAAATACTTGCTATAGTTAATATTTAGTATTGACTTCATAGCATATTGTAGATTAATGAAAATTCAGAACTTGAAAATATGAAATTAAGATATTTTGTATATCATATTATTGTGGATATATCTCAAAGGAATATGAGAATGCCTGGGATATTGGTAGTTGTGTAGTACCCTTTTCCTCCATATTATCTAGTCTATTATTTATAAAATAAGCCCCTCCAGCCTGATAAATTATATTCGATAGATCTGGTGGTAACTGGTTTGCATAAGTGAAGTCATTTTTATTTGAATGAAATGCGTCGATTTGCACACTGCAATTAGAAAGGGATTGTTGAACACTACTTGCATCTTCTAATTTATTATTAAAGGTTAGATTTGAAGGTTTTTTATTGTCTTTAGGTGAGAACCTTGGACTTAATCCAAACTCGGATTTAATATTTTGGAATAGTGAAGTATCATTGTTATCCTTATCTAGACCATCTCTATTATTATTACTTAGAAATGTTTGATTCTGAGGTTGTATATTGCCAAATTTCCCTTCTATAGACAATGAAGTTGCATCTTTTCTATTTGTAATGCTACTTTGGGTACTTTTCTTAGGATTAATTCTAGAAGTTGTATAAAGTTTTTGTTTTGTATAACTTGGAATACTCTCTTTCAAGCTGCAGATATCTTGAATACTTTGTTGGTTTCGTAATTCTGAGCTTCCATGGGCAAACCGACAATATATCCCATTTAAGCACTTATTTTTCTTATTAAAATTACAAAGTCTAACTTTATATAATTGTTCATTAGTTATTCTTAAATCTTCCCTATTATGGGCATACGCACAATTAATATCAGTACATTTTTGCCCCAAAGATATTAGTTCACAAAGTTTGGTGAACTTTAAATTAGGAAGAGGTCTTAGCTGTTCTTGTGAATGAGCAAAACTGCAAAAATTTCCTTTACTGCACTTCCCTTCTAGTAAAAAGAGGCACATTTTTGTTTTGTATAGCTGACGCTTAACCACCTCACAACAGCCACTTGAGTTATTTAAAATAATAGCTCTAAATTCCTGTCCCATATCTAAGCTTTGAAAATATTACTAATATATTCGTAGATTTTAAGTGAGGACTGTCATCACTGACAAGTGCATATCCAGGATGTAGGCGCGGAATATATCTATTGCTAGTCTGAACAATTGAAACTTTGGTGGGGCCTGAGTCATGACTCCGTCTATTCTTAATTTTCTTACTAATTAAATGCCATAACCTATGCGACAGATTCTTTAGTTGATATTACAATAGTAGCCTATTGGGTCTTGTAAGGTGCAATAATTGCTATATTTAGATGTAACTTTGGTTGTTAGGACATATAAAGAAACTTTTTTATTCAGGAATTATTGTGACGAGTTATTTATCTAATTTAACTTAGTTAACATATGTAGATTAATGTTTTAATTATAGTGGAGTATTTTGAACTAAGAATCTAATTAATTTCTTTGGCACTATAAAATGAATGGTTAGTGCACTTTTGTAAATTTTACACATCAAATCAAACATTGCATATACTTAACAGAATTTCAGACTGTAGTTGAGCATACTGCTAATTCAATAAAGCCTTGTGGTTTAAGTCCTCAGTAAACTGGTTATCAGTACCAATAATGTTCAGTATTTCGCATTTAAGAGCTGAAAACGTCTCATCGTTAGGACCAAATGTCCATTCTGGAAGTTTATTAAATTGAGTATTTTTAGCAAAGTAGCTGAGAGAATCCTGGAAAGTATCTTGATTATGTTTAAGGTTACAGTTTGTTTGTGAAACTACTGCAGAAATATTAGGTGTTAAGGGGCAACCGAAGTCACCGTTGATCCAATTAGCATTAATTGAAGAAGCTTGAGGAGTCTCTGAACCGGAAAAGATACAAGTTGAGAGGCTACTAACTCCTTGATATTTTAAAGAAGGATATAATTGAGGAGTAAACTGATTCAAATATGGTGTATCAGTGACAATTGAACCTTTCATCGAAAAATTTTTGGGTGTTACATCACAGCTAGACACGAAAACTTCTTCACCATCACTTTTATTCTGAAAAATATCCTTAAAAGAATTGTTCTTTGATTTAAAAATGTTGTTAGGAGTATCATATCTTTTAATTGAAATATTACCTTCCATGGGTTTAGAATTAGGACTTAATTCATAAAATGGACTTGGAGGGATTTCTGTAGTTCTTAAATCATTCAAACTATGAGCAAATGTACAGTTCATATCTCTACACACATCCCCTTTCTTTGTCATTTCGCAAAGTCTTGTGAATCTTAAATCTGGAAGAGGTCGAAGTTCTTGAACTGAATGCGCGAAGGCACAGAGATTTCCCCTTGTACATTTCCCTACATTGTAAAATGCACACATCTTAGTCTTGTACAATTGTCTCCTAACTAGCTCAGATGAGCTCTTTCTTTGAAGTAATGGCATATCGATTCGTATGTTATTATTATTTGATAAGGAATAGCAACTTTCAGTTAAATTTTCCATTCTTAAAACCAAAGTCTTATTTTTACTAAGTAATCAATTAAAGTAAATTTTTACTTATATACATCATCAACCTTGCGGCGACTTGTTAAAGCATAATACTTCCAAATTTCTTGAAGCACTAAATATAATGGATCTTGTAATACACTAAAGAGTAATATTAAATAATAGTGTAATTGGCTAGAACTCGGTATCTGATTTTTACAATGACATGTCACAAATATTAAGGCGGGAAGTGTGCAACAGGCGCCACAACTCCGTACTTGTAACTAAGTATATCTAGACAGGTGCATTAGAAACGCTAAAATAACATGATTAATTTGCTTTTAGTACGAAATAATTGCAAATATTTATTCAGATATTCAGTGTATCTATAAAATGTCAGTTTTTCATTAAATTCTCATCGATTGAAATATACAGTAGATTTTAAGAAGGTATTCTTAGATTTTGTCTAATGGTTAAATACATATTAATAAATTCATTATCTATGTAGGATAGTTAAATATTTATATTAAAGTAACTCTGATGGTGTTATAACATCATCTATTTTAAGTATCATCTTTACTGCTTGTGTAGCAAGAGCTAACTGGTGCTGTTTTGAAGCTAGTGATTCAATAATATTCCTATTCATCATATTTGCAACAGTAAAATCATTGCAATCAATACCTAAGAAGTTATTTTTCTCAGTAATTTGTCTCCTTTGAGCTTCACCAACGACTGAAATAGCATCTAATCCACAATTATCAGCTAAGGCTTGAGGAAGAGATAACAGTGCATCAGCAAAAGCTCTTACAGCAAACTGCTCTATTGATGAGATTGAATCAACAGCTTCCTGTATAGCTATAAAAGAAGCAATTTCAGAAGCTCCTCCACCAGGGACAACCTTAGGATCTCTAATTAAGTTTCTTACAGCACAAAGTGCATCGTATATACATCGTTTAGCCTCATCTACAACCATCTGGTTACCTCCTCTAATTAGCACTGTCACAGCTTTTGACTTACCACAACCTTCAATAAGAATCATTTTATCCTTATCAGTACCAGAGGATACTTCTGTTACACTACTCGCTATACCCAACTTACAGCTTTCTAAGTCTTCAAATCTGGGTACAATTTGAGCTCCAGTTGCAATAGCTAACAATTCCAACTCAACTCCGCCAACCCATCGTATAGCTGGTAGCTTATGCTGAGCTAATAAATGATTAGCTTCATCATCAAATCCCCATTGACAAATAACAACATTGGCTCCTGAAGATTCAACTGCAGCAATCATCTTCTTAAAGTACTGTTGTTCAGCATTGTATAACTTCTCAAAGTCTTCTGCTATTTTAATATCAACCTTATGCTTCGTTTTAGGTTTTGGAGGTTCAAAAGGGCATGTAAGTAGAGCCAGTTTTGCATTTATAATATTCTTCTGCATCTGAGGATGGCTCATCTCTTTATCTAGAACTATACCATTAACAACTCTACTTTCTTCCAATCTACCCCCTGCCTTTCCTTGTATACTTATTAAGTCAAAATTTATGTCCTTCCTCTCTATATCTGCTACTGCTAAGATAGTTTCAACTGCCATCTCAGCAAACTGCTCCTTTCTACTACTTACAACTTTTGATCCCAAAGATGTCATTGCAGAGCTCAATAATAGCTCATTTTCTTTATCAAATATATTCTTGTGTTCTACAGCTATTTCTTCCAGTCTTTTCAAGGCAAGTGAACATGCATATTCATAGCCACTAGCAATACGTAACGGGTGTATACCTTTTTCTAGAAGTTCAATAGATCGCTCTAAAAGTGCACCTGCTAATATTACAACACCAGTGGTACCATCACCAATTTCAGCATCTTGAGATTTTGATAGTTCTACTAATAATTTGCCACATTCATTGTTTATCTGCATCTTATCTAAAATAGTAGCTCCATCGTTAGTTACAACAACTTCTCCATCAGGACTTACTATGATCTTATCCATACCTTTGGGTCCTAGGCTAGTTTTTAATATATCTGCTACTGACTTTGCTGCCAGTATATTTGCTTTGTGGGCATCTATACCCTTTAGACGTTGTTTTTGATCTTGTTCACGAATAATAATAAATGGATTTCCATATTCATCAACAGCTACACTCATCCGCAAAAACTCCTATTATATTACTATTAATTAAGTTTAGTAGTTATTTAATATATTTCTTTCTATTCTGATGTTTAAATTGGAGGTAACTACCACAATATTTTTAAGGTTAGCCGTACCCCTTTTTGTACCTGTAATACTAGTAGCTCTGTCTCCGTATATACCGCCTTTCTAGTTTGTGTGAATATTCTGATGAAGAGACCCAATACATGTATAGGCAGAAAAGTATAGATGGGTATTTTAGTTATCTAATTATTCACTAAATAAATACATTCATAATTAAATACAAATAGCTATTTGTAAATATATTATTAATTTCTTTGTGTTTCATAAAAAAGTATTGAACTATATGTACGTTAAAAGAAAGTGTTCCTAATAATAATGAAGAAGTTAAACATTTGTTTATATAAGTTCTAGTAGTTTAATAAAATATGTCCTAATTTCTCTATTTAATATCTATAATGTATTAGAGGATGACCTTATAGAAATTTAATCTTTAATAATCAAGAGGTGAATAAGATCATAACAAGATAAGTCTCAACAATAATTTTTTATACTAGTATTCTTATTTTAGAAATAAATAAGGGATTTATATAAAATCAAAAATATGATATTGTACTTTTATATTGGAATTTTAGGAAATTACAGTTTATTAAATATTGTATATGTTTAGGTTCTATTAATTGAAGTAAATATTAGACCAAAAATTGTAAAGGAAATTATTTAAAGATAAAATGATTCTTAAATTAGTTCATATTAGCAATGTAGTTTCCATAGATAACTAGGTATTATATAGATAATTTTAAGTTTTAGTTTTAAATTTAATTCTTTGCAATTGAAACTAAAGAGTAAGATGCATCAACTACATGAAGAGATTATCTAGTTGAATAATATAGTATTAATACTAAAAAAAATTCAGATTAAACGTCAACAGTATAGATTTAAAAACTTTATCTATAATATATATCACTGGAAATTATATAATACTAAATATGATCAGAAGCTGCCATCATAGATAATAATACGAGTATATAGTACAATATGATGATAATTGAGATAGTGACCAATAGTATCTACAAGTAAGCCAAAAAATCTAATTTTAACTATTGAGTAAAAGAACATCCCATTTAATTAACAATTGTTCTAGTTCAAATGTTTTAAAGTCATCTTTACTTCCCAATTCCTCGAAACCAATAATTTTATGACGTACGTTCGTATTAATGATGCAAACAAGAGTAGGTAAAATATGTATTCCCAAATTACCGCAAAGAAACAGTGCTTTTTCAGCATTAATTTTAATAAATCTAGTTTCAATGTGCTTGGAAGAAAGAATAGCCAAGTGTTTGTCGAAAATTTGACACCTTACTGTTGTAGGTCTGAAGAAGTGACATATAACTCTATCACTTCTTTTAATTATATCGAAAAAGTCACGTTCACTTGTAATCTCACTATAATCCCCATGACCTAAACTACGATACTTATTATTTAATTCACATTTCATTTTCATTTGAGAAATCCTCTTGCTTCGTATTTGTTCCAGTTCATCATCATCTTTGCATACCTGATCTAAGCGTTTCAGTTCTTCATCTAGTACATTTTCCTGTTCCTCCAAAGTATCAATAACTATTTTTTGTACCTTACTGGCAAGACGTTCCTCCATATATTTATTAATAAATGCTATTGAAAAGTTATACTGGTAATTTATAATTGATATTAAGTTACTCTAAGCTTCATAATATACGCGCAACTTACTCAATTCTTTGACCGTTAACTAAAGCGCAATATAAGTAGCTAGGTTATAATACCTAACTTAATATTACTAAAACTCCAATTAATAAAGCAAGATCTATTGTATTTGATAAAAAAGGAGAACTCAAGTGAATCGATAATGAATGAGGAATATGACGCAATTGTGGCATTTCGTGATTTACTCTTTAACAAATATTATATGTGGCAAAGTCCCACATCACGTTACCCACTGAAAATATATTCAAATGGTGATTGTTATACATGTCGTGTTATAGGGACAATATTCTTCAGTGGTATATCACTAACAGCATACAGATTTGGCTGCAATCCAAGTATAAGTGCAGGTAACAAGTATTTTTACTACATTATCTCTAGTTCATTTGCAATTTTAAGCTTATATAGAGCTATAAAGTAATTTTTTTTTCTTTCTAAAAAAAACCAGTTACAATTAACTAGGAGTTTGATGTTTCAGCTCAGACATATATGTTAATCTAACTGAGTTATGATTTCCACATATCCCAATATTTGTTAAATTAAGGTAATTTAGGAACACAAGTATCCAAAAAGTAGCAAATAACCCAAAAAGTGCTATAATAAAGCCTGTAAATGTTTCTAATGGGAAATGGAAGTATAGAGCAGTAAAGAAGCTATTATAAACTATAATGGCAAGTATTGAAAGATAATAACCTCTTATACAAGCCACAAATAGGCGATTTTGTAAATTACAGCCTATAGCACACCATTCTATTGATATTATAAGGATATACATGCAATAAAGAACAATGTGATCTGAAAAGTCTGAATTTGACAACTTTTTTTCTATAAGATTTATACCCCAATGAAGTACTAAAAATCTATATATAGCAATACCAATATATAGTAAAAGGCGTGGAATATGTACCAACATAAATGGATGAGGAGATAATAATGAAAATATCCATGGGAGTATAATTATAATGTGACCTAGTATTCCAGTTCTGCGACCAAGAATATATGAATATAGTCTCTTACCAAACATGTAACAAGGAGAAACATAACCATTTGATACTAGAAACAGACTATAAAGTAATATTCCAGACTTTTCATTTTTATCCATAAGAGAGTAGATAATATTTGGATATTCAGCTACTTTTTGAACATTTTCACTATACTTTGTATTTCTAATATCATTTATAGCAAATAAAAGACCTCCCTTAAATTTTGTTAAAGTATTATTGCCAATTGACAATTCTATTAATAATTTTGCTTTTTCCATAAGATCATTAGACCATAGCTTATTTTTTTTATAGGTACCACCGCATACTACAATATTTCTTACTAGCTTGTTCTCTTGTCTCATTGGTATATCCCCATATATAATTTCTTTGAAAAAGGATATTTGGCCCATATTATCTTCAATATTTCTAAGATATGTATTGAATAACTCTTGAGAGTTTCCATCAAGATCCAGAAATTCATTGTAGTCTTCAGGTTGTATTTTCCTAAGTTTAATAGCATGAAGAATAATACCACTTAATATAAATGCACACATTATGCATAGCATAAAAATTTGTATAAAGAATAGCTTGAATTCTCTACTTTCAAATAATGATAGCCGTCTTGCTCTTAATTGTTGATTCACATTTCCTCTCCATATTGATTGTGGACCCCAGTCTAGTCCATCATTGTTCTCACTCTCATCCATAAGGAGTATAAATAGGCTATGAACTAAAAGATAGTTGCCTCCTTAATACTTTTTTTGATTCGGTCAATATAATTAATTAGAATTATTTGTACAATACTTTTACTTAAAATGAGTGAAATTTTATTTAGTCCTTCTGAGCGCCTTAAAAGAAGCTGATAGCCTCTGAAGGATGGAAAGGCAATAATATCTAAACATTATTATTGAAACAATGTAATATTGGCTCATTATTTTCTTCTTAGAAATATTGATTCTTATTCTCGATATTATTATGTTTATACATAATTATATACTTTTTTCTCTTATTCACAATATAATACCTTAAAAATAGTAAAATTGATGAGTATATATATTGGGAATATTACCAATATTAAAAGAGATACATATTAAATTGACTCCATATTGTACTTAAATGGTAGATAGTTTATAAATAAGTACACTTTAAGAGGATTCACTGTAGAAACTAGGACATTATACTAAGGCTTATTAGAGATATGCCAGCGCCATATAGTAGTAAATCCAACTGTTCTTTTCCCTAGTAATCACTGAATATTAAACTATTTTGCAAAATTATGATAGTTGAATGTTGCTTGTATTGGTCGCACTATTTGATATAGCTATTTTGGTAGCATTGGTGTGGATATTTTTACTTAATGTAACATCTAAACAAGTTCAATATACTACAATTTCATTCTGCTATATAGGAATTTTGGCAAGTTTATTACCAATAGCATTGTTACCTTTAGATATTGGAATTACAATTTTAGATGTGAACTCCAATGCAAACTTAAATAGTATTATTTTAAGGCTTTGGCGTATCTTATATATATTATTATTTGTACTGTGTTGGATAGTTTATCCAGTCCTTTTTGAATACGAGATGTGTGGTGAATTCAATTGGAAGTGTAAATTGAAAACAAGCCTAAGAAGAAACAGGAGATTTTGGCTGATTCAATTAACTTGTTTTATATTGCTTGTCCTACTTTGTGTACTCATCTTCCAAAAGTATGATTTACAAACAATTCTACCACTAATTTGTATAGCTGGTGGTCATATTTGGGGAATGATACAAATAACTCTTTTATGGGGTTTTGGTTTAATTTCCGTTCCTAAACATATTAAAAATATCATATTTTCTGATAAATTTAGTGGTAAAGATAAATTGGACAATTTATATATATCGTTATATACACTAGATGATTGCAGAGCAATAAACCAACACGAAGCAGATCAATTAAAAAACCAAATATATTATTTATATACTAATTTAACTGATAGAAAATTGAGAGATATGTTAAGTATTATAATAAAATATTTTAATTTTGATTTAAATGATTTAAACAAATCAAAATTAATTGAGAAATGGGAAATAGATAAATATAGTATTAAATTTAATACAGATAATGTTTCATTAGAAACTATTATTGAACTAAACAGATCACTTAAGATTACTCTTGCAGAAAGAAATAGAATAGAAAATCAATGGCTTCAAATATTGGATGAATGTTGGAAATTAGAAGATAAATTAATTAACTTACCTCATTCCAATACAATTCAAGAGGATGGGTTTCTCTTAGTGGGATTTAATCGACAAAGTAATAAATTTAAGCATGAATTATTAAATTCACAAAAATTTGATATTCTATCCAATAAAAGTGATATTGAATATGATTTGAATAATGATCAAACATCACTTTATATAAGGAAGTACGTAAGGCATTATATTAATTATTCTTTATTCATAATGACAGTTATTTTAAGCATTAGTATCATAATAGCAGAAGCAGGCATATATTTTCAAAGTATAAATCTTTCTCTATTTTCTTATATTTTAAATTTGATTTCAGAGTCTAATTTCATCTATTATCCTATTAAAATTTTATTGGTTGAATTGATATGTATAATTCTCCTTTTATACCTTTATTTATGTACATATTGGGTTTTATGGAGTATGAAATTACCAAAGAAGTATGGGATTTATTTTCATAATCAAACTGATGGGTCATGCCTTGTATTTCTGTCTCAATTTATGTGCAAACTTGCAACTGCACTATGCTTTCATTATTTAGCCTTAATTCGTGTTAATGGAACTACATTTGATACCTTTTATGGGAAGCCAATGCACTTTCTTCCAAGAATAGTTGGTAATGACTTCAACTCTATGTACTTCCCACTATTTGTTACTTTCTTGTCTATAATAAATGCCTTGAATTTACAGCAACGTCTTATGAAATCTACAGGTTTATATTGTTTATTTTTTGATTACTATGGTATAGAAGAATTATACAATATTAATAGAGAAACTATGTCTAGTGAATTTAACGCTATTATAGCTGATGGTAAGAGAATTGCTGATTCTCAGAGAAGAATCAGAAATAATGAACAAGATTTCCAAGATATTTAGAATGGTATTGATATTTGTGAGATATAAATTTATTTTGATTCCATTAAAAGTATTGAAATTAAGATTTCAATATTTAATGCTAACGTCTTCTTCTTTGAATGCAAATTTTGGTAATTCTAATATTCTCGTTCTTGTACGTAATAATTTTTTCTTACTGGCTCTATATACTTAATATTATTTAATGAATTTATTAAGATATTTTGATCTAGTTGCACTTAATTACAATATGTAATAGAGATCAGTCTTATATATTAGGATACAGTTTTCATGTAGTAGGGGATTTCCTTTTACTGTTAAGAACAGTTAATAGTTAATCTTGCTATAATATATGTACAAACATTCCATGTTACTCATTGATGCTAATTTAGAGGTATTTGATCTTTTGAAGTGCAACTAGCTGATACAAAGTTGGCATATACAGAACTTTTACTTGCTAATACTAACAAACTCTTTATTACTCTTAGTAACTTATTATAATATACAGCTACAAGTGTAAAGTTCATGAAATCATTGATACTCACTTATCTCAATGTTTCTATCCTCTATTTTCATCCAGGAAATAACATATTAAGTTCTCAAATATTCATTGCATTTACTATATATTTGGAAGCACTTGCATTGATTCAACAATTGAAATTAATGGGGAAACTGCCAGAAATTGAACCCTTGAGAACTTTGTAGCAATGTTAATTTAAGCAGAATAATTCGACTTTTATTCTGGTTGGAATTATTTATATTAAAACAGAATTTCTTGTTATTTATAGCTGATCTAATGCATGTAGTCCTATCAACTGATTTTCTGTTTGAATAAGTAGACTTTGGAAAGGAAGAACTAATATTTACAAAGTTTAGTACGTTAGTGATAGATGTTATTCAAGATTATTTTTTGAAGCATGTAGATAAAATTTCCCTATTGCAAACTAAGTTGAAATAATTATGTAGGATATAGAGGATACAATTACAATAGTAAATGGTAGCTAATTCAAAAATCATTTTCAATAAATTTGTTTTAATTTTGCCAATTTTAACTTGATGCTGTGTTAATTATATCTCTAGTTATCCATACAGTATAGGAGTATTTCTGATGGTTTCTATGGATTCCTTAATATTATTTATTTGACATCTGTATTCTTAATCATCCGCTCCTCCATAGTTTTTACACTGCTCCAATAGAGCTTTTCTATTTCATTAACCTTTTTCTCCATAATTAATCTAGTTTCATTTACCTGTTCAGAGTATGCTTTATGGAGCCGCTGAATTTCTTCTTCTAAGGAAGTAATACATTCACTAGCTTCTACTAAAGCAGCACTAGTAATATGATCAGTTTGGTGATCATTACGTAGCTTTATACTAGAGTTAACTAACTTCTCAATCATTGTAGGGTATAAATCCATATCATTATTTACAGAGTTATTGCTTATTTTATTTAACTTGTCAAGCATCTCATCAAAAGATTCTACCATATCATTGTCATCTATATCGCATTCATTATCTAAGCATGCTCTTGTTTCTTCCAGACCACATTTTATAAGGAATTCTCTAATCATCACTAAGATTAATCTCTTTTCTGTTCCCTTTTCAAATACTAGTGTACAAGTATCTCTTTTATTTTGTAGTTTCATTGCTAGGTGGTATCTTAATTTTTTTTTAAATTTACTCAAAGTGTCCTCACTATTGAACAAGCTACTACAAACAGCTTCCTCAACATATTTTCTATCATCACCAATAAACATCTAATTTAAAAATTAAGTACCAGATGGTATGTATATTCTAGTAATTTTATTTATCAGTAAACTTTTAGAATAGTTTAGGAGTTTGACCTCCCGCCAAAAACCTTTGGAGGGTCCAATTATTTGGTTAGAAATATAGAACTCATTTAGAAGTAGAAATAGTTGCTATAAATCGTTTATCTTCATTTAACTACCCAATTTATTAAGATTTCGTACAGTTTTATGCTCTGAGAAGTTTGTTTATTTCAAATATCAAACCATATTAGCTTTGAAATAGGGTATTAAATATATATAATACATACATTCAATCAAATATTATATCTAACATTTATTAGTATTTGTTAAATGCAGGGTATGAACTATTATATTTCTTTTTTAATCTTTTTAACCATGTAACAGAAATATTGGACTAATATACATGGATATAGGCGGGTACTTACACATAAATAGCGCCAATATTTGTGGTAGAATACAATTCTATTGTGAGGATTTTGTACTGTAATATTTCTTTAAATATTATAATTTCAACATATATAAAGAATCATGAATACTAGCACAAATATAGAAATGAGTGGTATAAGGCAAAGAAGGAGAGGTGTTTTAAGTGATAAGTCTCCAATCACCGATTCCATTTTAAAAAGTGTCAAGTATATTGACATATATGGTAAGGTACACGATGATTATTGTGCTAAGTCAACTAGTGGAAGTATAATGTCCATACTTGTCTATATACTAGTTATAATTTTAACTATAGGGGAATTTTTGAAGTATATAGGAGGAGAGACGGTAGAACATATTGGTGTAGATGATAATATGAACCAAAAATTAGATATTAGATTAGACATTTCATTTCCAAGCTTAAGATGCAGCGAAATATCTGTGGATACTGTTGATAATGTTGGTGAGAACCAGGTTAATGCTCATGGTAACCTATTAAAAATACCTATTGATATACATGGTAATGAAGTACAAGAAGAAATTATGGCTCAGTACAATGAATCTACTTCTATGAAGTGTTTGAGCTGTTTTGGGGCAGAAAGTATACATTACAAGTGTTGCAATACATGTGAATCTCTTAAAAGCGCATTTAGGTATAAAGGATGGTCCTACTTAGATATTGCTAGCAAAGCTCCTCAATGTATTAACACAGTTGGCTGTCGATTACATGGTAGTTTGCAAGTAAATAAAGTTTCAGGAAACATTCATGTAGCTTTGGGACAAGCTACAGTTAGGGATGGTAAACATGTTCATGAGTTCAATATGAATGATATTTCACGAGGTTTTAATACATCACATACTATTCATGAACTTAGATTTGGCAAAGATAATATTGAATTTATTGGATCTCCTTTAGAGAATACCAAAAAAATTGTGACTACTGGTACTTCGATGTTCCACTATTATTTAAAACTTGTACCTACTCAGTTCATTAAAAGTGGATATAGTAAAGTATTGTTTTCAAATCAGTATACTTATACTGAAAGGCAGAAAGATGTATTAGTAAAAGATGGAGAATTATCAGGCCTTCCTGGAGTATTTATTGTTTATGATTTCCAACCATTTGTAATTCGTAAGATACATAATTCAATTCCAACTACACACTTCTTAACTTCATTTTGTGCAATAATAGGTGGAATATATTCACTGATGTCATTAGTAGATTCGATCTTATTTTGGTTTATTAAAAGAACATCAGCTATATTATCAGGTAATTTTAAGAGTAACTACTAAATGCAGGTGTGTTAACTTCAAGTATATAACAATAGTCTAAAATAGTCAAGTATGATATCTCTAATTTATATATCTACTTATACTTTATTAAAATATATAGTTCGTAAATCTTTGGTATTGCCTAATCTGTAGTCTAAATAGTGATATTCAATACTTTTTTATGAATACTCCCCAATTACAATTAGATCTCACCCGCAGTACTATCTTGAGGCGCCAAATTAGTTTTTAGATTTGGATTTAAATATCCCAGTCTCCATGCATGCATTCTGGATAACAACTCGCTGTGGAGTGAAATTTTAATGGGGTTATAAGTATATTTACTGGCTTTTTATAATAAAATAATATAGATTTTTTTCTAATTCTTCTTGCAATATAATAGACGATCTGATAGACTTTTATTAAGATGACTAGAACTCACGAAGTAAAGGATTACGAAAAGGTTGAAAAGATTTCAATATCTACATATTTATGTATGAGGTTAAAAGAATTGGGATGTGACCATATATTTGGGGTCCCAGGTGACTTTTCATTATCATTCCTAAATAATATATTAAAGAGTGAAGTCAAATATATTAACACTTGCAATGAGCTCAATGCTGCCTATGCAGCTGATTCTTATGCTAGAGTTAGAGGTATTGGAGCTTTGTCAACTACCTTTGTTGTTGGGGAATTGAGTGCAATTAATGGTATAGCTGGATCTTTTTCTGAAGATGTTTCTGTTGTCCATATTGGCTCTGCTCCAGCTACAGTTCACCACAAGAAGAAGACTCTACTACATCATTCATTATATGACTATTCAATATCAAAAAGAATGTATGATATGATTACTATTGACTCGGTAAAAATTGATAATAAAGAATCTGCTGCTAGGGATATTGATAGAGTTTTGATAAACTGCATCAAGCACAGTAAACCTGTATATATACAACTATGTGCAGACTACACTAACGAATTAATAGATAAACCTACAGGTCCTCTGAAAATTGAACATAGAAAGAGTAATGAATCTAATTTAGATACTGTAATGAAGCAAATTATTACCCTTCTTAAAAAGTCGCAACAGCCCGTTTTTATACCGGGTTATGAACTACTGAGATTTAGAAAAACTGAACTAATGAAGGAATTACTTGAAGTATCAAAAATTCCTTTCGCTACTATGATCATGGGAAAAACTGTCATCAGTGAACATCACCCACTCTATATTGGTTTATATTTTGGAAAGAAAGGTGACCCTCATGTCAGTCAATATGTTGAGGAAAGTGATTGCTTAATGATTATTGGTGAGAAACTTATGGATTTTAATACAGGATTTTTCTCAGCAGCACTACCAGAGAATCATACCTTGCATTGTAATTTTGGTAAAGCTACTATAGGTGATTGTTCCTTAGATGAAGTGTTTGTCGAAGATATAATTGAAAGACTAATACAAGCTTATAAATCGGGGGAGTTAAAACCTTATAACTTTCAAAGTGCAACACCTCCTTATCCTCAGGCTATGCATCGTTTTACACATAGGCCTCAGAAGCGTTTAGCTCTAGAGCGTCATCACACTCTTTCACTAGATAGAATGTTCGATACTGTCGCTTCAATTCTACCTGAGGGAGTTAATTTATTAGCAGAAACTGGGACATCACTTTTCAGTGCATCTGAAGTCATGATCCCTAATAACTCACAATTTTTTGGTCAGTCATTTTTTGGTTCAATAGGATATTCAGTTGGTGGTCTTTTAGGATTATGTCTTGCAAGTCCAAAGAGAACATTTGCCTTTATTGGAGATGGAAGTTTACAGGTTACAGTTCAGGATATATCAACTGTCCTTAGGAATAAGCATAACCCTGTTATAGTTATTATAAATAATGATGGGTATACAATTGAGCGAGTTATTTGTGATCACCCATATAATGATATCGTAATGTGGAGATACTCAAAACTAGCAAAGTCATTTGGTTTTAAAGATATCCCATCTTTTATTGCTAGAACAGAAGGAGAATTTGAACATGCTTTTACTTATGCTTTGAAACATCCAGAAACTACCTGTATAATTGAGGTAGTTGTAGAAAAGATGGATTGTAACCATACCTTAAAGTGTCTAGGTAAGGAAATGGCTATTAACAGCAATGTTTTGGAGGAAGATCAACAGCCATCACCAAAAAGGTTAAAATCCGAATCATAATTATTTAAATAGGTTGATAATATGAGAGTGTAAATTCATGGAACAGTAAAATATTTCATATGAAATCAAGAAGAAAATATCTTCCATTTATGAAAATAGTTTGAATGTTGCATACTCATGAGATCTATTAAAATTAAAGAATATTTCTTTTGGAGTTATTTTATATTGTACTGAAGTACGTGTCTAAAATAGCATCATCTTTGTGAATCCAATTTGTCATTTTGCATAATAGAGGTAAATTGGAGAATATAATAAATTGAACATATGTCCTTGTAAAATTTATGAATATTAAGTCGCAGAAATTATCAAGATTTTGGTTTTCGATTAAGTGCAATGTCCAGTTTGAAATAAAGGTGAATATTTCTTGTTTTGCTTGTCTAGTTTCATATTAGAAGAAAATGTAATATTTAATAATAAAGTAAAAATAAATAACTGGAGGGGGAAGGAATTACTGAACTAAATTGTATTTTCTTAGTGATTTATTTACCTAGTTTATGATTGTGATATAAGTATTTATACTGCAGAATGATGAAAGGTGACGACTTATTAATGTATATACTAATATTTTAGATGTCTAATAAGCATTAGTAATCATCTTCGAACCATTCTATGACTGTTTAACTATTCCATCATAGATGTTTCCTTAAGCTGAATATTTTGAGACTTCTTGAGGTCATCGGTAGGAATAGCAATATGTTTAACTTTTGAATAGTTGTCATTTAGACAATATCTAGAGATATAGATGAAGATTAAAGTGCAAGAAAAGATGATACCCAAGTTTATTAACAAATTCCTAACCCATGTATGCAACTTGTAACTCTTGTTAAATATTTTTATAGTTGAAAATGAACTCTTTTTTGGGATTACAGAAGATACATTTTCGATGACCTTGTGACTTTCATCCTCTTCATTAACAAGTAGGGAAGATAATGGCTGTCTAAATGTCTTCTCTTTACCTTCCCTGTATTTTAAAATATCATTGAGTACAATTGATAACCTAGCCCCAGCTATTAACAATCTACTTCTAAGTATCTCAAACCATGCAAACTCAAGAAGAGGATCAATATTAAAATTATTTGTCAACTTTTCTTGATTCAGGGGATGTATAAACAGTGCAGAACACATAATTTGAATACTCTCTCTAGCCCAATCATCTATTATATCAATACCTCTTTCTTTCCAAAGTATTGTTTCCTTGTCAAATATATCCCGGATAGCAAAAACATGTGTCCAACCACCATACCAAAATTGAGGTTTCTCAATTTTTAGTTTTTGAATTAATCCCTTTTCCCATATTTCAAATAGTGAAATAGTTTCTTCAGTTCCATTTATTATTAGATGACCATGGAAATCTCTACCTGCATTGCTCTCAGTAAAACCAAAGTGTAATGGCTGATGTAAATCTCCAATAAGATTTACTAAAAATTTGACTGAATCTGAATCTGTAAGCTGAATTCCTTCAGGGTAACTAATTTTATTTCGATCTAAACCTATTAAACGACTATATAAATGTTTAATCATTGGTACCAAACAGTGCCCTGTTTCCTTGCATTCTGCACTGGCTCCTACTTCATTGCAATATTTATCTGAATAAGTATGTGAGAATGATCTTGTACCATCTCCTAGTCCAAACATTTGAGGGGCACTCTCAGGTAGAAATTTATCAAAGTGTAGTTCATTCATATCTTGATATTGAAAATGGAAAGGCATTGTTGATGGATGCTTCTGTGATACTCTTTCACCCCAAGCTGAAATATCTACGATGTCTTTTCCATTCATTAGACGTTTTAACTGATGCAAAGTATTTCCTTTAAGACCTGACATTGCAGTCATTGCAATCGCACTATGGCCATCAGCATCGAATCCTCTACAAAGTCTGTAGCAAAGGAACAACGGATAAGTAACTATATAGAGAGTTCTCATTACCTATTTAGTATAGGATTCTTATACTTTAGGACTTACTGAGATTTAATGGGCGTGGGAGACACAATAAAATAGTGCAGAATTCAGGAAGAGGGCCTAGTAAATAGCCGCTGATTTTCATATAACTATTTGTTCATCAAAGATAATATCATTGAATATATTGTGAATTTTGTCATGTAGCAGTTCATTGACATATGAAAGTGCAGATTCACCATTCTTTAAAAAAAAAAAAAAAAGGGATTTCAGATTACTTCAAATGTAGGATCCTTTATACCAGCTTACACGCAAAATATGTTATACCCGCCTAAATTTGTTTTTGTCTCTAATTAAAACTCCTTGCCAAATCAGCTATAACTGAAAAAGACCATATTGGTACCCTTATTAATAGCATATACATTTGTATCTGAAATTGAGCTTATACAGTATCGATCTTGCCTAGATATCTCGTGTTCTCCAGTTATATTTGACCATTATTTTGTTACTTAGATCCATAGAGGTCTACTGCCCTTATTACTTTGTAATGGCAAATTCTGGAATGAAACGTTCATCCTATGGGCTATCTACGGGCCGTGGAGGTAGTAAAGTAATTAATGGAGAGACTCAAAATATTGGGTTGCGTGCAATATCGAGTGTTCCAAATAGTAATAAAGATAACTTTAGCGCAAATGCAGGTGCAAATGCAAGTACGAGTTCAAATTCCGGAAGCATCCAAGGAGTAAACCAGAATACTCAGCAGCATCAAACAAAGAGAAACTATACAAGTGGAAGTTCTAATAAACGTGGAGGTAACCAAAGAGTAAATTCAAAGGATCAACATCAAATTCACATAGATCAGAAAAGTCGCAATGTAGAGCAATTAAAGAAAAAGGAAGAAAATTATCAAGACCAACAAGCAGTACATCAATGTACATCAGCAGAATTTAGTATATTTGTGCTTATATTAGTTGGTCAGGAAGTAGAAATCAAATTGAAAGATGGGACTAGATTCTGCGGTTTATTTCAATCACTAACAACAAAGGATACAGGAGGTGAAAATTGTATTTGCCTGCAATATAGTAGAAGAGTTTTAGATTTGGATAGTACGGAATTATCTGGAAAAATTGAACAATATGCACTGTTTCCACTTAATTCTGTGCATAGCATGGTTACAACTAACAAGGAAGGAGTTCCGACAAATTTTAATAGTGTCTCAGGAGAAGTTGAAGGTAGCCAGGCTGAGAAAATAGCTGCATTTAAAACTGACACTGAGATTAGCAAGGATAGTAATGTTAGAGTAGGACGCACATTACAACCTTGGACAGATGAAAGCAGTTTGCATGTATCTGAAGAGATTTTAGATTCTACTATTAATAATGAATGGGATCAATTTGAGGTAAATAGAATTAGATTTGGGATCACTGGTACTTATGATGAAAATTTATATACAACCCCTCTAAATTATGATGATATATCTGAAGAGGATAGGAGAAATGCTGAGTTACTGGCTCTTGAGATAGAGCGAGAACAAAGATTAAATGAGCTCTCTCCTGAAAAGGATACTTTAAAGAAGAATAAATATGCACATGATGATGAGGAGATGAAATATAGTTCAGTATATAGAGAGGAGGACACCAAGATCTTTAGAGACAAACAAAAGCTGAAGATCAATGACTTGGGGGAACAAAAGAAAGATAGCTGCAACGAAGCTATTGGGGCAAAGAGTAAGAATTGCAAACAAGGTTTTTCTTTTAACCCTAATGCAAAGGAATTTCAACCTAGATCATTTACAGGTAATTCATACAATTCAAGTAATTCTAATACCTGCAACGTTTACTTAGGTAGTAGTGATGGGAACATAACAACACAAACTTATAGAGGTGAGCAGTCTATCCAACAATACGCTAGATATCAGGTCTATGGAGAGGCAGATGAACTAATCTATACTAATCAGCAAATGTCTTATGACAATAATTATCAAAATGGAGGATATTATGTTTATAATGCTATAGGATACCCACAATATGACGGTGATGATGGTAGTGGGGTTGTAATTAATAGTCAGCCTATTTATTTCGTACAAACTACAAAACCTGGTGCATCTAATTCGGCTTATTATATTGCTGAAAATGTGAATTCAGCTTCTTGGAATGGTCACTATGCCAACGTTGCTACCAATATGAATATCTACTCAAACACAGGAAATCCTCAATTGATATACCAATATAGCTTCCCAACTCAAGGATCTGCTTATTATCAATAAAGGTATAGCCTATAACAGTGGATCTTCATAATCTACACTAATTAAGATGCATTCACAATTTATATTTGGACAATTTAATTTAAGAAATGGTGATACTTCTGTTCTATTTCTAATGGATAGATGTGCATTTTATTGCAAATATTGCTACCTTCTTTGCTGATATTATAAGACTTCATTAATTTATTTGTAAGCTTTTTGTAAAGTTGCATAGTTCTATTTGATTCTGTGAATTCTCCACTAGATTCACTGTCATCTTTATTCAGCATTTCACTATTAATATGCAGCTTTAATTCTTCTGTACATGATCTATAACTATCTTTCTTAATAAATGCCAATAATGTGTAGCTTTGTACCAATGTAAAATTAATCAATTTTTTAATTTTTAAGTTAGTATTTTTGAAAGATGCGAAGCTGAAGGCCTTTTCTCCGGAATTTATAATTGACTGAAGTATCTTCTCTACAAGAGCTTCATCGTCGTTCCCGTCGCTTAAAAGTACTAGAAGTTTTAGATACTCAAATATACACTCTAAAGAGCATACATCAAAGCAATCGCTACAATTCTTTAGTCTCTTTAATCCATATGTAATGTGCTTCTGCGTTTTGAAGGTATCACTTAATCCGTAATATGTATATAATGCTAGGAAAAGATGTAACTCAGAAATTTCCTTCCCAAGTAATACACAATTCCTATTATTTGTCACTGCTATATTGCACCTATACATATATTTTTTCAATGGATCTATTAATTGAGCTAAATATGAGGGGCAAGAGCTAGACATACCACTGCCTTTTGTGTACTTTAACATCAATGTTGGTATTATGATATTCCAGCAGATGTTATGATGGAACCAATATTCTTCTTCTTCATTTGAACTCAAAGTGTTACCAGATAAATAAAGAAATACATCCTCTATTGGAGGGAGCAAAGTAAGTTCAGTATCTCTTAATTTCTCATCAGGAAGTATTATTGATTGTTCTTGTATATGGAGAGTATGCATCCGTTCAATAGAGTGATACCATATATTTTCTACAGCTCTAGTTGCTAAAATACATGGGCAATTCTTTAGTATAAAAGTTATGTGTTGTGTTAAACAATTGTATATTGAAATTATATCATCAAAACTCAGAATAGATAAAGAATGTAGCACTAATGCTAATATCCTCTGAATAATCGATTGTACTATTGAGCATAAACTTGTATCGTGATTGGCGCTTTTGTTAAAACCTAATGAACAGTCAACAATTCTCCTTCCATGCCTTACAATCAGTTTAACTATCAGATGTAATTGACAAAGCATAGTAAATGTATACAGCTTAATATCTGTCTTCTTTTGATATAAATTGGGTACATTATTTATTATTCTATATGCGTGCTGTATATATTTCAGTGCCAAGCTGACAATTTGCTCACTAAGTGACAATGTAATATAGCAGTAAACCTGCATCCAATAGTTTAGTGACGGACTTATGGAGTCACTAGTAGAAGAAATAACACCAACTTTTTGATCAGTTTTAGTTATACTTTTCAATACATTTCTGATGAATCTCTCACCTATACTCTTATATTTATGGTTTTTTAATAGAGTTAAACCTTGGAACCATAAAGTTGTATTCTTCACATGATCTGCAGTTATACTATGTTGGAGCATGTTCATCTCAGAAATTACTTGACATATGTCTTTAGGTTGTTTCAACAAGTTTAACATCCAATCTGACACAGAGGACTTTTCCAATATAGATATTTTATAATGACTAGATTTCAGATTTATTTTATACCTGTTATCATTAAACAATTTCACAAATTGTTGAAGATCTTCTAAAATTTCTATCCAGTTTAGTATTGTCATATTATTGCAGTATTGCAATAATTTATACCATTTTAGATATTCTTTGTATTGCACAAGGTAAGGATCTGGTAAGAGTTGTTTCTTGGATATACCAAATTTATCGAATTTCTGAGATTCAGTAATTAGCTCCAGTAGTCCTGATATAAGCATCCTCAGACGATGTGGGGAACCATTCAAAGTATATATTAACCTATTTAAGAACTCCTTCGATAATATAACGTCTTTCTGTTCTATATATTCTCTATTTGCTTTAGAATAACTACTATCCATACCATCTTGGGAATAAAGTATACATAATTCTTTAGTTTCGTCTTGAATCCCTGCTCTTAATAAATCTATAGATTTAAATGAGGCACCTTTATCAAAGATATCGAAAATATCCACTAAATTCATTTGAGCTACTACGGATATTTATGAAAAACAAATTAAAAGCATCCGATTTCTATTTGAGAACCTAAGGAAGTGGAGTACCTTAAGACTGAGAGGACAGACTGCAACAAGGAATTCTTGATATTCAGGGCAAGTTTAAAAGCTTAAAAAACGAAAAAAAATGTAAAATCCTCACTAATACAGTATTTCGATATTATACACTTTGCATCAGTAACTTCCTATTTCCTCCCCCACTCTATGTTTAGTAAAAACATGCAAGTATTATGGAGCCAATATGATACCGCTTATATTCTAAAGGCGGTTAACTTAGCTGTTTTACAACTGTACATAAATTTCCACTTTTTAACAAAGAAATTCTTTTTACCATCACTTTTTTCCTGGAACATTTAGATTTATAATGTTTCAAAAGATCACTACAAAGTATACTGAAAGCAAATTATCAGCCTGAGTGCACATAGATCTGAAGTCTAATTTTGGACATCACTAGAATGTCTCAAAACTCCAAATATAGTTTTTCCCACCAGCACTCTGGTGATTTGGTTCTCTCCCCACAAACTATGGTAGAGAATCTGCTACTATCTCAGAAAGATGAGCAAAAACAGCAGAAAAGTGGCCTGGATCTTGTGGAATCTGAGGCGACATCTCTGGTCCCATATAAAAAAGTTACAGGACAACTGAGGATACATGGAAGTAGTCATACTAATAAAGATTTATGTACTAAATCATCAAAATATGCAATGGTATCTCAATACTTTAATGTGCATTGTCCTATGTGTGGTAGACTAATGCCTCAGAAGTTCTACTCTGGATTTTGTCCCAATTTAGGATCTCCCTTGACTACTGCAATAGATAGTGAGTCAAATACAATATACTCAAATATATCTACAAAGTCAGATGAAAGAGTAGAATCTAGTGATAAAATTAGTAACCGGGATTCATTACCTAACTCTGATATGAATCACAGAGATAATATGTTCAGTATTGAAAGTCAGAATTACTTCTTTTTTCTTGAAGAACTATTCAAACAGGTAACTTTACATAGAAATGTTAAATACATAAAGAAATCATTTACTGAGTGTAATGATAACAATAGTAATTTAGATACTGACTTAAATATAACAAATTCAAAGTTTACTAACCCATACTTTAAAGTGCAAGAAGTGGACTATTCTAATACTCAAGATTCATTTGGAGATCCACAAACAATGCATTTCTTTACATCTAATTTGCCGGAATATCCCAATTCAAAGTTTTCTGAAACCCCAAATTTCAATCTTGTTAATTTGAAATCAGATCTATTGATGACTGGATACTATGGAAAATTTTTTAAAGAAATAAAGAAGCTAGGAAGTGGGAGTTTTGGTCAAGTCTACTTATGCTCACATGTCCTAGATGACATAACATTGGCATGGTATGCTGTTAAAAAGGTTCCAGTTGGAGATGATAGAAAGTGGTTATCTAGTGTATTACGCGAAGTTAAAATCCGCGAATTATTTCACCATCCTAATATAGTTCAGTATAGGCATTCGTGGCTTGAAATGTACAGCTCTAATGACTATTGTCCTAAAGTACCATGGCTATTTCAGCTAATGGAATATTGCAACTCCGGTTCACTTGAAGATTTTATTCTCAAAATGCTAACAAATAAAGGATATAACTCTCAAAAAAGAATGAAACAAAGCAGTTCCATTTCTAATGATGATTTATCTAGAGTTGAATATAGTCAAGAGTTACGTTCATCCCAATTAGCTGTAAAGAGCAATATTCAAGAAAATTCTTTATCATATAGCAATCAGACACATATAAAAGATGATCATATATGGAAAATTTTCTTTGATGTAATACTTGGTTTGCAGCACCTGCACCATAGGGGTATTCTTCATCGTGACCTAAAGCCGTCTAACATACTGTTACATATTGTCTACGATGAATTTTTAGCACAACCTATTTGCCAAGCTTTATTGTCTGACTTTGGAACTGCTCAGGTGTTACAAAGAAGGTATTTGTATTCTAGAAGCGAGACAATGAATGACGACATCCATGACACTAATAGAGACATGCCATGTTTCCCTGATGATGTATTCTTTGTAGTGGAACATATGCAACGTCATGGATATACGGGCACTGTAGAGTATACTGCACCAGAACTACTGATTCAAGATGAAAATGGACTTTTCTGCGGCGAGTATAATATATTTAGTGATATTTGGTCATTAGGGATTACTTTATATGTCTTGTGCTATAACAATGTACCTTTCCAAGTTGATACATTTAATGGAGGGGATCCAGAAGATCCTCAACAATGCAGAAAAGCTGTACTCAATGGGATGCACAACTTAGATTTCCCTGAATATCCTCTCAGAAGCTCTGACTTAAAGCTATTAATTAAGGCTTTATTAAATCCTGAGCCAGAAAAGAGGCCTAATACTGATGATATACTTCGCCATCCTCAGATTCAAAGCAAACTCAGATGCTCAGACTTACTTGTTAATGCAAGCATTGAACTAGCAAAGATGATCCAAAATAAAGGTGTATCTACCTGGGTAGAGTAGGAAGATATTAGTATGTACAAAAACATATTACAGAAAATATTTTTCGTTAAAATCCAAATAGACAAAAACCTTAAAAAGAAGTGGTTCTAGTCATTAGACAGGCTAGCCTCTATACAACACTGTGCTCACTTCCCAATAGAATATACTTAGGTTAGATCCACCTAAGTGTTACTGCAATGGCTAATAACTCATCACAAAGTAATACGTCCCCACCTAAACTTTCATCGTCTTCTACCGCTAGGAGTAGCCTTTGTTGAGGAGGGTTTGCTTGTAGGTCTAACACCAGATCTTACACAGCAGCCAAATCTGCAACATCCAAAAGCACGTCTTAATATGCAATAAATCACTTTCCATGCCATGAACAGGACCAAAATAGAAAATACAATATACAACAATCTGTCGTGTAATTCTTTCGGTATTGTGTCTATCAGTTCAGGATGTATATCTTCAATATTTAAGACAAGATTGTCAATCCTTTCATTCAGCATTGCACCACAAAAGTGTGCATATTCAGTATATGGCTCCAGAAAAACGACATAATGACCTGCATAAGCCCTTAGAGTATTAATAATCTTTGGAGAAAATTCTCCACACTTATCAGTGAATGGTTTTAGGTATTTTCTGGAGTATTTGCACAAGAGAGTTAATTGTTGGTGAAATTCTACTGGTAACTTATGGTAGCAAATAACAAACAAAGTTCTCAGCAGTTTACTGTAGTGATATAAGTAGTGTTTTATAGTTCTCCAGGTTATAATTACAGTTTCATCAGTTTTTGATGTACATTGGCTAAGCTTCCTTTCGTATTTCTCAGCTGACTCAAATAAATGCTTAACTTCACTCCTCATGCTCTCTAATTTACTTGAACAGTCCCCATGATGTCTTACTAATGATTTAAGTTCCCTCTCACACTCTTTCAAACGCTCTTCAGATGAGAACTCTTCAGCATTTATCTTCAGTACCGAAGTGAAGGATGAGATTAAGAGTAGCAAAAAAAATAATATACCTAATCTTGAAGACATAATAAACTGATATAAACAAATTCTAGAAGTAACAGCTAGTAGTAGAATCAATATGATTGCACTTGAAATCTTGGTTTCCCACTTTCTCCTTTTCCACTTTTTGGCAGTGCCGCAGCCCCCCTCATACACCTCATGGCTACAACCCCATTGTCCAATATCCATAAGACAGGACGCTCTATATTAGCGGCGTCTGGTGAATTTATATTTATGGCGCATAAATTGAAATGTCATGTTTCATTTGTAAGAAGAAGAAACCATTGATATTGAATTATTGAATTACTTCACTTCATGCATAATTTTTGATTCAAGGAATATTCTGGATTTTTTATAGAAAATATCTAGAAGGGCTTGATATACTTAAATACTGCAAAACTTTTCATACTGGAAGCCTTGAAATAAATCACTTGTATTACCTAGCACAACAGAGGACACTTTAAAGGAATAAGATATTTGGTATTTTATTCTATGTATAGTCTAGAGTAAAATTGGTTATTTGGAGGTTGCAAAGTGAAAATGAGAACCCCCCGAAACTCATTTTAACTAAGAATAGTGTTATAAATCCTATTTAATACTGATACTTTATATTAAGGCCCTATTTGCTATTAGAGGTGCATTCTATATATTGCAGGAGTATGCTTAATTGTTAGCACTAAGTATATTCAACACTTTAATATTTCTAAATCTCATACAATAGCTATTTTCAGTAAAGTGAATAGAATAAATAACAATATACCTAAACCAGAGTTTTCAATTTACCTAGGATCTTAATTTCTTCTAATTTGTATTTTCTAGACTTTTTATTAAATAATCAGGAAGCAAATACCATGGTATACTTAGTAAATTTAGAAACAAGTTCTCTATTAAATTTGAATTTCAAAGATCAATACAAGCTATACTATTATATAACGCTTTTTTATTATATTATAGAAGTTTAACTAATAATAAAGTAAATTCATACACTTTGGATAGAATAAAATATTTTAAATGTGATATATAATTATTTTATCAATTAGCCCTTATCTTTATCATAGTGATGTACTTGAAATGTAATAAAGCTCTTTTTACATATAAAAGTAGGAAAGGGTTCATATAAAGAATTACAATAATAGGAAAGTTCATTTGCTTCAATGAGCAGCTACTATTATTCTCTAACCTTTGACAATTTTCTTAGCAATATAGTAGTAAATATTTATATTTGGTGATATTTAAATTGCTTGCACTCGGATTTTTCTTACATTTGAATTATATTCAGCTAATTAGCACAATATCCTCAAATCTAAGCACAGTAATAGAAAATACTGGGGTGAACTTTATTATCCTTATAGAAATAACTAAATTAAGAAGTTTAAATAGAAAATATTATATCAAACACATACCTCCATAAATAAAATATAGGATGGATTTTATAGTTATTAATGCATAGTTGTTGGGAAACTAATATATAAGCTTAGTAAATTTAAAGATATAAATGAGAACTCATCAGGAACTGCTCTTTATACTGAAAAAGTAAATATTCAATTATCTAGTAACTCCAAATACTGTCAACACTAGCTGGACAATTCTTTAGTCTAATATGGTATGCAGATCTTCATTGACTTCTTCATAGTCGCTCATTTCGACTGGATAGCTTAGAACATTACTCTTATGACTAGATTGGTAGAAATTATTGAAGTCTGACTTCAGGATCAGTTCATAGAACCAATGATCTGGATTTTTATATGATTGTGTCAACTCAAAAAATGCTTTTGCTAATTTTTCAAAGTTTAAATTAAACTTTTCTACTATACTTTGAAATGAAGAATCCATAATCAACTTTTCTAAATGTGATCTATCAAAAGAAAAGCGTCCATTTTTGTATGATTGAGAGAATTTATCATGATTAATAGTAACTTCATGAAAATCCCCAGTTGTTTCATTTTGCAAGTAATTCTCCTGTCCTGCAGTCTTGGCAGCCAGTTTATCTACACCATATCTATTAAATAAGATCGAGTGTCTACAATAAAGATGGCAAATTGACAACAGCTTATAAAAAGAGTGAATAATCCCATTTGTACAAAAACAGCGTTTCAATATGTTGTCAAGCATATCATCTTGGCAAGATACAAATTGTTCAATGCTTGATATGCTATCTTTTTTCGACAAAAATGAGTTCCATAATGGTTGAATAGCATCATACATGATAAATTGTAATATTCCATTCATTAATATTAACATCCTTTGCCTTAAAGAGTATGACTTTTTGGTATCATGATAGAAAAATAAGTATCTAGTTAAACCATTACCTTTAATATATTCCCACAGAGGAGATATTGTTTGATGAATAATCCACACATTATTTAGTAGAGACAATATATATTTTATCTGTAAGATTAGACGAAATATTATCTGATACTTTCTTACAATCTTTTTTGGCCAAAATAGTAGCATTAGTTTCAATTTAGGACGAAATTCCAGTGTGATGTGTTTAAATGCTTCATAAGAAATAGGTAAATGTGCTTTAGAAGTATTTTCATCATGTTCATTGTTACTAAAAAAATCTATATATAGGTCAATTTCTTCACTAGAAAAATCAGTACATTCATCTTCAATTAGCAAGTTTACTTCCTTGATACTCTCTGGTAATAGTAATTTACTAAAACTACATACAAAATCTAATGAACCATTTGTATTACTCTGATCATCTATTCTGTAGTATTTCATAATAGTGTCGTTCCATGCTTTGCATGTATGTACAAAACTACTTTTCCCAGAAAGACCGCCACCTAGTATATCAAGTCCAGTTGAATCAATAAATTCCTGAATAAATTGGTCATTATAACAGAAAAAAAGATCACTAAAGTAATTTAAATACTCCCAAATATTATAATTTTCTTTAGAAAATTGATATAGTAAAGTTTTACTACTTTTGTACAAATTTTGTATAAAATTATGTAACTTCACAAATGATAAATCCTCAATTCCACTAGTTAAGTGCATCAATAAATCACTTTCCATTGAATAAATATTAAGTACATTAAGTATATCAATAACCTTCAGGTTACTAGAACTTATTTCTGTTAAGGGTTCATGATTCCTCAGAATTTGCTGTACTTTACCTATATATTTTATCTCAGTTTTAACAGGAAATACCAATGTTGGTAGCTGTTCTGTAATAAGTTTAGCTATTCCTAATACAGATTTATTCTCCTTAAAGATTTTGTCATGTTCCCTATTACTTTTGTAACTAAATTCATCATAGTAGTCAATAATACTACCACTAGATAGCCAGGGATAAAGGAAGTACTTTATCCAAGGTTCGCATACCTGTTGTAGCAAAAATTTAGCTATTTTTAAGGATAATATCTCACCATGTAGATGATTTTCAATCACATCAACAATTACATCAATAATATGTCCTCCTTTTTTACCAAGTGATTGAATAGCTATCAAGTCCAACACATTAAACGTAGTCATTGCATGTTGTATTTGATTCCACATTGATTGGAGAGTGACCTGACCTTGTCTTACAGTAGTTTCAAGTTGAGAGACTCTTAAAGTAAATTGTTTCAAAAATTCGCGAAATGTATTGCATAGTGTCTGGGATATAATTCCAAATTGACTATTGCCTTCGTGAATGTTGAGATACTGTAGAATACGGCGATACAGAGCAGATAGTTGTAGTATTCTATATGTTAGTGGATATGCCATTGGATCACTCATATTTGTTATCTTAGAAGTAGAATCATCAACCTTTATACCAAATATATTTGAAGAAAGGTTCATGCTACTTTTCAAATCAAGAGACTGCTCTTGTAACTTTTCAATATTTAGTGGGTTATTCTCTGGATCATCCACTATATGAAATACAAATGTTGATAAAGAAGTTCTTAGTGATACACAAATGTCATTGCTCATTAAATTTACATCTTTGCTTTGGTTAGATATTATAAATATTGTTTCAGGGAGATATCTCTCATAAGAATGACCAGTAAAATTATCACTTGGAAAGAAAATATGCTCCGTTGCCTTTATATATATTCCTTCAAGTCCCATAAAAGAGTTTAGGATATCTTCTAGTAATAACTGTTCTTGTACTTTCGGTGTAAATGAGCTAAGTGGTTTGATTGGGAGAGTAGAAGTGGTCTTTCTATCTAATTCAGCAATTGCATGATTAAATACATATCCACCAATACAATTTGAAGTTATCTTAGTAGGATCAAAAGATGAAATTGAGATATAACTGTTACATGCACTATTTTGGGGATTACCTAACATATTGTCCCACCCAGCTGGAGTATCCGATACTAGGGTGGATCTTCTTACTAAAATTCTTGAAAGTTTAAAACATGGATACAGATCTATCAAGGATGAATTTGGTAAATTCTTAATGGAATCCATCTCTAAAAAGCAAAATGACACTATACCTGGTGAAAATATATTCTTTCCGAGTGGTTGACATTTACTTTTTAAAATATGCTTCAATTTGTACCAGTTAGGGAATATTTGTTGACTTGCACAAGAACATTCTAATACCATCCAATAACAGCTCCTATTAGATGGGATTAGTCCTCCTAATTGCAAGGTTTTATGGGATGTTAAAGATGAACTGCAATACGTTGTCAGTATACTGAGTAATTCTCCATTTGCTACCCACCTAATAATTAGAGTATCACTATATTTCAATGTATTTGTATTTGGAGTATTTGATGTATCCATATTTTCAGCTAATATACACTCATGAAATATTGGCACTCTTTCAAGTTGCCATTCGTATGGTATTAAGATTCTGGGCTTTATATTTGTATTAATCATCATAGAAAGTAATTCATCTACTTTAGTTATTGTGAAACTGGAGTTATGAGATTTATAGCCGATTGCAACTAATTCGTTCTTAATTTTAGTGCAAAGATAGATAATATCACCAGACTGCACATATTTCGGAGGTATCGATAAAGAGGTTCCAATTAAATCCTCTTTACTAACTATATAAAAACTAGATGATAAAGATAAACATGGAAAATTTGTATATCTAACCTCATACCCATCTAATATTCTTTCATATGGGTGATTATTTGATACTCCCAAACGCAGATTTCCTATATTAGCTGAGTCGATATATTCGGTGATTGACAGATATTCACACATATCATTACATACTCGAAAAGCTACCTATTGAAATGTCACAAATTTTAAGAAATTATTACATTACTCCCCACAATTTTATTTTAGAGATAAATGTAAACTCCTAAAAACCTTTTTTATATTCCTTACCTTATCTTGATACTTCACATAAACATCATTTACAGTAGTCAAAACACCCTCTGCTGTTGAATACATTGAATTCATCTGTATTTGTCATAGAAAAATTGCAGCAAATTTCTAGCCTATAATTTGGGATATTACTTATTGACAACAAGAAATTTCATAAGGCAAAGCTTTTACTTGGCGGTTCTTTTGAGCTTATTTCTACCACAGATACACGTCTCTACACTTTCGTGACTCTAGTAGTACCTTTTCCTATTAAAAATAAAGCAATTATAAGTAAAATAAAGAGTTTTATTGACACATTATATCCTATTAATTACTGGTAACTTATGTCACATTTTTTGTGACTATTAAAAGCAGAGTATTAAATTCCCTTGCAAAATCTCCTGTAGATAAATAGCTTAATTACAAACTATTAAAAGAAATTTATTATAAACCATCAACATATTTTATTTCAAACCATGGGTGCATCAATGCATCGGAAGCAGATATCCTCTCAGAAGGATTGAGCTTTAACAGTAATTTCAATAAGTCAATAAATAATGTCTCTTGACAATCTAGAAGACTTTCAAGTGTAGCCGAGTTATTTCTCGTGTAGACACGAATTTTATTAGTGCCAAAGTCACTGTTACTGTAAATTTTTTCATATAAATGCCCATCTTTTGTTATTAAATTGCTAGCAAATTGTGATCTTGTAACCATGTCTAATGAAAGTTGCCCCATTATTAGTACAATATTTGATAAAAGTTGTTGAGTAGATTGTGCAGGAGCAAATAATGGTCTTCCCATCCAAAGCTCAGCCATTACACACCCTACACTCCAAATATCAGTTTTCTCGTCATACGGCAAACCTAGACAAATTTCAGGTGATCTGTAATAGCGGCTTTGTATGTAAGTTTTGCCACATTCTATCTTCTCGAAGTGCAATTTCGTACTACTACCCCAATCTATTAATTTAATATAAATAGGATCTTTAATAAGATCCAAACAATTATTGAAACTATTTATACAAGAGTTAGTTATATCGTTTGCATCTATGCAATCGAAGACTATATTTTCCAATTTAATATCACAATGTACAATATTATAATTTCCATGCGCTATACTCAAACACTTTAAAAGTTGAAATATTACTCTCTGAATTCTCCCAAGTGTATAGAATCTTTTAATTGGTTCATTAAAAATTTTTTTGTTAAGATAAATATCACTGTAACCATTAACACTAGGTGCCTCTAAAATTGTATCATCTTCAAAATAAGATAAATGTTTATCTTGTACCATAAGCAGATTTGGTCCTAGTAACTCTGTTACAATCATTATATGGTTATGACTGATTAGGGTATCAATGTATTTTGGTATATAATTAACCTCTTTATTAAGCGACAACTCATTCAGAATTTCCGCTTCCAGTAAAGAATCAGAAAAATAGTTTACATCACTATTTCCTTTTTTCATTATTTTCAAGCATACCCATTTAAAAAATAAAAGGTCAATTGCAAAATAAGCCCTCCCATATGTTCCATCAGATAATACATGAATCAATAAATACCTATTACCCATAATTAAATCAATGAGATTTCTCTCATCTATAACTCTAACTATATCTTCAAAAGTTAATGATAGAGATTCTGATCCCTTGGGAGATATATTGCAATTTTCAATTTTTGAATAAATAACACTAGGATTCATCAAGATATCATCAGTAAATTCTATCTCCTTTTTAGTTAGAAAGCTTTCAACTGTTTGGAAATCATCAAGACAAAAATCTTTTGACAGTGAATTTCTATAAGAGATCTCCCATATATTAAAGTTATCACTGAAATATCTCAAATTTATAGGACGCACAGAACTAATAGTCTTCTTATATCCAGTATTTACCATTCGATGCAGTCTGTTCTTCTGAGATCTTTGTTCACTCTCAACAATATCAGCAAATGATAAGCTATTGGTACTTATTTGCTTATCCTCAATATTAAGTGAAATATCCATAATATTTGAGCTATCTAAACTCTTAAAGTTCCCAAATGACGGTGATTCTACCCACTCTTCAGACTTATTAAATTGACTACTGTCGCAGATATCAAAGAATGGTAACAATTCTGACCGTGTTAGAGTTAAAGACTTATTTGCAATAGCATGTAAATTCCTGATTATTTTATCTTCATTCAAATCTGACCTAAATACTACTTCATTATGTATATAGTATTCAAAAAATAGCTTCTCATAATATGAAAATGGGAAGTTACAAACTGACAAGTTCTCATATTCATACTCACTAATTACATCTGCTATAGCGTAATGTTTACTTAGTACTTTTTTATTATCAAGTATTGTATATATTGATTCCATTAGCTTGCTGATATTCTTCCTGATGTACATGTTTAAATCTGTTATAGTTCCCACATCAATATAACTAGAAAGAAAAGTGGAATCATTATTCATAATTTTTTTTTTAACATATAAACGTTTATATATATAAAGATTCTCATAATTAGTATCCAAACTAACATCTTCAAAATATCTGGATCCTTCAGATTTTCTTAAAGGTATAATATTACTCTCAACTAGTATTTTGTCATTGGCTTCAGTCTCTTTTTGGAAGTGGCCATTTTGTAATTTATATAGTCGCATCACTAATGATGCTATATCATCCACTTTCATTTTGATGTTCAACTGATCACCTGTAAAATCTCTTCGGTCAGAACTTTCAGAATAGTAGTTAATATTTTGTTTCACATCATTTGCATAATCTGTTCGAAGGTAATTTATTATATGTTGTGTGATCTTCTCGGATACTACTTCCCAACTACCACCTCTTTCCCAATAAATAGAAATAATCCCTAAGACGATTGATTTTATCGTCTTATAAACTAAAGTTTTCTTCTCTTCAATTTCTGTATTTCCGTTACACATTTTATTATATCTATCTTTAATTATTGAAACCAGATTTATGTCCCACTTATAGTATAAACTATCCAGTATAGATTTGATTTAATTCAAAACTTCTAGTAAACTTCCTTCTATAACCTAGATTTCCAATGAAATATTATGAGTAGGTGGTCTAAAATTCAAACTGTACCATTTTGGGAAGTATTAAGAACGAATTCACTGGAAAAAAAAACACTTTTCAACCCGCTATTATCCGAACAAGCGATACTTAAGCAGAATAACAACTTTAGATTATTCTTATAAAAACAGGCCACCTAAAGTAGATTATCCATCTAATCGTTTGAATTAAATTCAATACAATTTGTTGACATGACCAACTATGACTTTAATTATCTTCACTACTTCAGAATTAATCTAATATATTTGTTTTGCTATTAGCTAAATTCTGTTCCTCATAATTAAATGAATTTTCCGGTACTAGATCATACAGAGATTCTTCTTTACCCTTAAATATCAAATTTAACAATTCATTGGAACTCCTATTTCTCTCAAGTTTAATTGATTCCTCTGTAACGAGCGATGAAGATAGCGTTGCTGGAGTAGTTTTTTTAATACCTGAAGTTAGCAAACCCCTCTTAGAAATATCGCTATGTCCTCTTGCTAAACTTATTGCTAATTTTGCTGCAGGATAATACATTTGCGACTCTTCTAAGTCATCATGTTTCTGTTCCTCAATCTGTCTCTTTCTAGCTCGAGATTCTTCGTACTCTGGTCTCTTGTATATAATATATTTTCCACTCCTTGTAAATCGTTTTACTCTATCTCTAGTAACACCATTAATTAATACTCTGCCCTTTTTATCTACCTTTGGTGAAGATTTGTTATCTCCTAATACTCTATATTTGCTCTCCATCAATGTAGGTAATTCACCATCTCTTTTTTCTTGAATAGGCTGTGTTGAGGTTTTCCCCACTTCTAATACTTTACTATTATCTAATAATTTACTAGTTTGTTCCTGATTACCTAAGTTTTCCTTATGATCATCTAGGATTAATTTAACCTGATTTCCACTCTCATCATCTTCACCATCCAAACTTGGCCCACGTCTTAAAAATCTTTTTTTTTTATTTTCCTCTAATTTAGGACTATTATCTGAAGAATCTGTGAAGCTATTATCTGAAGAATCTGTGAAGCTATTATCTGAAGAATCTGTGAAGCTACTTTTCTGAATATTCTTCTCTGTAGTATCGGCTAGTAGTGATTCTTTATTCTCCTTATTTTCTTCCGATAAATTAGCTTCAACTTCTTCATGTGTATCTATTTTATGTTCTGACTCATATTTGTTATCTTCTTCTGCTTTAATTGCTTCACTATTATCAACCTCACTATTTACTTGTGGCTCCTCTAATCTTACAGGCTTCTCTGAATATTCTGATTTCGCAGTAATATCATCTTTATCTTCAACCTGAGAGTAGTCCCATTCAAGTACAGCATCTCCACCCGTAAATTCAATGAAATGTTTATCTTCCTGAAGTAACTCATCTATTTTCAGTGCAAACTCATACATTAAATCCAATGGTGTGGGGGCATTTTGATCTTCATTATCTGGTAATATTGAAAATGCAATTCTCTGACCTTCGTAATTGACTTCAGTACCACATACTCTATCAGGTGATATCAACAATGCATTGCTGATAATTTCTTCTATATTCTCTATCAATGTCACAAAATTGTTGTCATCTACAATTTGGCGTGCAATCCACAAATTCCCCCCTATGCTTCCTTCGGGTAATTGAACCTTTCTTTTGCGCCTAGCTTTCCCTTTCTTTCTTTGTATATCTCCTAATAAGGATTCTCCAACCATGCTTCCTGTCACAGCAGAATCTTGAGCTATCCCACTCAAACTTTCAGTTTTATCTTGGGGTTGTTCTGTATCTAAATTTTGATCACTATGTCTATCTTTCTGAAGATCTACAACATCAGCTTCGATATTTGAGGTTGCTTTTGTTAACCTTCTCTCCTCATCTTGTGATGATAGCAGCTCATCAGGATTAGTATCTAATAACTTTGCTACTGCAATTGAAACCTTCCTTTTAAGTTTTTCCTCTCTTCTTATGCGCTCTTGTTCTCTTTTCTCCAAAATCTTCCTTCTTTCTCTCTCACTAACTTTTTGTACAACTACTAAAAAAACTCTTGTGCAGATAATACTTCCAGGGTATCCATTCACTGTTACTGCAATGCTAAAAGTTGCAGAGTGTTCTCTTGTATAAATAACTTCTAATTTACCTAACAAAGTATCTAAAATTATTTTTGTATCTGCATGGTTGAAAGATAGAGGAAATCCCAACAATCTGTGCATTGGTGGAACCTTTGATTCCATTGCAGTTTTCCAATCTCTAAACTTTGCCAAAGCTAATACCTCACCATCATCATCTGCTATTTCTGCCTGCTCAAGTAAATCTAACCCCTTCTCCAAAAAACCCTCTAAATTTGGATCACGGTTCCATCTTGTCGTTAAATTTTGAGAATTCCTGTGAGTTTGTATTTCATACATCAACATATTCTTTACAGTACCTTTCATACTAGTAATTGAAGATATTGTAGGTTTTGAGGAATATGGTTGGTAACGAAATCCCAGTGGATAGTCCATTGGAGAATCAGTACAGCTAACAAAATATGAAGTATTCCATAAATCATAGTATATATTTCCTGGATTAGCACTACTTTGTACATTATACCACATATTGCACTCATTAAATATGGTATCAATAGTTTTGTAGGGTAACCTTACTACTTTTAATAAATTTTCCGGTGGAAGTTGATCCTGATTTTCTTCATTGTTTTGCATCTGCTTAGATAACAAACGCTCTCTTTTTCTAAATCTTATAGAAACTTCTCTAGCTCTTACTGTATCTAAAAAACGATTTTTTAATGTATACACCTGTCCATTCGTTACCTCCCAAAATTTGACTATTGTCATATTATTCACCTCATTAAAATGCCATGTCATAACCCAATAATGAATCAAACCTCTACCAACAGTTCCTATACATACAAATGATTGAACTTTCAGCTGTAATAACATTGAAACTTGCAACAAACAATGATCTATTACATTACCACCATTATTGAGAAGAGTGAAATCTGGAGTAAACCAATAACTTGATTTCTTTAGTGTGAATGTCTCCAAATCCAATCCAGATACTGAAAAACCTTTTGTTTTTATTCCTGGAGTACCCTCAATGAGTTTATCTTTCACTTTCTTAGGAGGATCTCTATAGGTACTAGTTATAAATGGAACACATCGAATATAATGAAATATACTATTAGGCGTAGTATTTGTTAATGGAGATGGAATCGGACCTACAAATTGACACAATAACAACTCGTTTCCTCTGTGATTAAATGCAGAATACAAGAAAAATCTTTGTGAGGCACTTGAACCGACTTTTTTATCGAGTATCAGCTTTATATTTACTTTGTTACTCACAAAAGTCTTTGGAGCCTGACTTGGAGATAATTCTATTCTACTTCTTAAAAATATATCTATTGTTTCTCCAATCTCCTTCTTCTTATTGAATAAAGAATTAGTACTATCCCCCTTTAAATTTAATATATCAGGTGTGATAAATGCCTCAAAAGAGATATTTGCTGTTCTTTCTGTTGGAAATAAGAATTTTAGCTGTGTACTTTGTTCTAATAACCTAACCTTCAGTTTATTTTGTTCTCCATAAATATAAGAAGTAGTTACTTTTTCTGTTACAGATCGTTTCATTCCTTTTGCTGTAAATAAAGTGTCCCATATAGTAAATGATGTAAAACCGGCATGTTCTACCTTCTTAATTTGATCTATTGAGTTAACCCATAGATCTATATATACATCACCTAAACTCTCTAAATGATGGGCATATAACTGTGAAATAGGAGGTAACTGCAGTGGAAAAACGATATAGTCACTGAATAAAGATGAAGATGATGATCTAGAAGACTTCCCAACTCCACTAGTTCTTGCAGTTAGCCCATGATGAGTAACAGATGCTCTTATTTGTGCAAAATCTAAATTTTCAAAAGTAACTATATTATCAACCTGTTTTATTTTCACAAGAAGATATACCCTATCTGGAATAAAATGTATAAGACCTCCTTTTTGCCTCTGTAAAGGATAGTGAATAAATGATATTGTGCCTAAAATTGTTCCAAAATACCATGTAGATAAATCACTTCTAATTTGAGATTTACTAGATTCTGTTAACCATAAGGGACTAGTCAATGTTGATTCTACAACTGTGCTACTTTCAATTAGCCCCTTTAATGGAATATGCGCTTTTGCTTGAACATTATGTTTCCTATCTTTTGTTGTATCAACTATTTCAATATCCAAGAAACTATTTTCTAAATCTGCAATAGTCCCACGGAAGTACATTGCTCCAATACTATCCCATATTGGCCAATTAGTCTTACTCTGAATACTACTTGAAATCTTAAACACTTTAAAGGGATTTGGCCACGTTAGATAAATTCGTAATCTAGGACAGCATGTTGAAGGATGTAGCGAAGATTGGCTTAATTCCTGCTCATATAAAAGACTATCTTTTTTTTCTAATAATCGAGGAGTTCTCTCTCTTATACCAAATATATTCAATATATTTTTCCAATATACTGAGATATTACTACTCTGACCATCATTTTGAGACAAACTATTTAAAACTACTTTTGGATCTACTTCAGTATCAGGAATATTAACAATATGAGATTCTAGATTTTCTACCTTCTCTATAGACTCTGAATTATTTACAACGAAATTATCTCTATATTGAAGTGGTTGTGATTCAAATCTTTTTTGCAAATCCTTCTCGATATCATAAATAAATTCATCCTTTATTGTTTTGAAATCATCAATATTATATATAGACTGATAATGTACAGCATTATTTAAGCTTAATCTATTTCCCTTATTAGATGTTTGGTTAAGTTTGTCCATCATATCTGAGTATGTAAGTAATCTTTTTACTTCCCATCTTTTGAATGATAACTGAAAATCATAAAGTTCTTGAAAGTAGAGATTGAATGTAACTTTGTATATTTCTTCTGTCTTGTTATTTTCTATCAACCGAACCAGTGTGAAATTTTGCTGTATCTCAGAATTAGCACAAACTAGTAATTTAACTTCAAATATAGCATCCAAAGTATTTAGTCTAAGATTATGATATTTCCAAGCGGAAATCTTTAATTTCTCTCGTTCAAGATCATTATAAGAACCACGATATTCAAATACAGGACTAAAATCAATACTTTGAGGTTTACCCTTAACAAGATTATGAATAACTGGACTTCTTATGCGATGTTTTAATGATCCATCCGCCAAAATGTACTCATGAGATTCATCTCTTACTCTATATTCATCTCTTGATGTTCCAAAATCGATTTCCAAAAAAAGATTACATTCATCTGAAAAATTCTCTACTATAAAATTCCACATAGTAACCTTCCATCTCCGCTGAAGAGCCTTATATATATCAATTTGCTCTAAAAAAAGTAAGTTCAACTAAATAAAATTTAGATACATGAAATAATATCGAAATTAGATCTTACCTTCTACATTTTGTTCAATAAATTTATTAATAAACTCATCCATTTGCATAACAGGAATATTGGCAAGTTCATCAATAAATTGAGGGCCTTGATCAACTGTTTCATCCTATAAATATAATATGATTAGCATTTATAGCTATATTTTAAAATATTATATATCCAAAAAAAAAAAAAACTTACAGTAACAATTTCTGGCCCTTCTTTAGCAGCCAAATTACCCTCAGCTATATCTGCATCATTAGTTGGCTTTATATCATTCTTATTGCGATGAAATATATTCGATACCTTGAATCCTGGTTTAAGAAAATTTAAAGAGCTAAACATCAATGTAAATATTTATTGAGTAATAGAGACCAATAGTAAATACATCAAGCATGCACCTATTGTGGGGATTGTCACTCTTAAACTGGATCTCATATGTTTTGGCGCTGTAAATAAAATAAGACACTTAAAAATTTTAAGATTAAAATGAACCTCAAAATATGGCATTTATAAAGGAGATATATGCATTAGAATATTTAACAGTTTATAGTACTTCCATAACAATAATCATACTAAAAGATTTCTTGATGTTATCATTAGGACTAATAAATAGACTTACACTGTGAATAAGAATAAACTTAGGAATATAGACCTTTATAGTTCATCTTTTAATATACTAAAGATATATAGTAGAAGCGAAGAGTAATAATCTAAGTTATTTTATAAACATATACTTTAATTCTTTAGGTTGAAATTGAAAAGTGTTCACTGCTTACTATTCAAACTAATAAAGTATAAACAGAAATCAAAAGATAACATATATCCAATACTTAGCTGTATAATATACTTAAGGAGTGAGTTTAGAAACTCCAAGATAAATGAATTTTATATTTTCAATTATTGAGAGATGTTAAATATAAAACAAAAATATCAACGCTGAACTTTAATAATGTAGGATAGTATATTGCTAAAAAAAGGAATTTATATTATATTATTAGAAATGAAGAAAGTGACACTCATTATAATATATAATTAGATATTAATGTTATAAAGGTATAAAAATACTAAGTATGGGAAGAAGAAAATTATGGAGTAAAATGTGCTAGTATTATTCCATATATATATTTATACTTTTGGTTATAAGTGGTACTTATAAAGTTCAAAAAATCTAATAGTTAAGTTAGCTATTCAGAGTTATTAATATTAAAATGCAAATTATAATGAAGAAAATAATATATAAATAAAGGAGCAAAATAAGATGATAACAGATCGAACTCTTAAAGTTATAAAATGTCCCAAGTAAAACTATATTATACTGTCCAATAGTACAACTAAATTCATTGGCATTGCACCACAAAATCTACGAGTACAAAAACTCTGCTAGATATCTGCTAAATTACTTTAATAAAAAGAAAAAAGTATATTAGATTTATTACTACTAATCAGTGTGTACGTAGAAATCTATATTATTTGAGTTCTAGCATTAAATTGAACAAATGAAAATCTTCATATAAGTTCTATATAGAACTTAAAAATATCATATTTTACTTCATTTATTCTTAGAATGTTTGACTAATAAAGTGGCCATTTTTTAAAGTTTATTGTACCCCCTCAAAAATTTGAAAGAATATATCTATAACTCTTATATTTACACCATTAAACAAGAATATTATCTATCTAAAAATCTTTTGCAATGTAATAGTTTTAGAGATATTCTTGCTAAAAAAGACTAATTTGTGGTCTTTTTTTTTCAGTGAATGAATCACGTTCATTATTTTAATTTTGTTACAATATATAACAAGATTTCAACAGTACTTGTAGGTATTCTTAGGATTAACTTATAGACCAAAGAAAGGAAGACACCTTGATAAGTATTTAAAAGGAATATTAATGGACACGCTAGTCAGTAGCAAGACTTGTATTACATTTATATAAAAAGAAAATTTTCAGTTATAATATAAAAGTGAGGATTTAAATTAAATAAAAATTAAAATTTTAAGAAACTCTAGTAGTATTAAATATTGTAAAAGTCTTTGTTAGTAGCTAGGTTGGATATATTATTGAATATACTGAAGTTAGATCATTCTGAAGTGATATACTTGACTTATTATCAATAATAAACAAAGTATAAATAATAGCATTAAAATAACCTCATTTGAACAAGAAAAAATAATTATATCCAAATAAAAAAAATAAATAGAATAGATAAATTAAGAATAGTTTCAACAATGTTTTATTATTTGGCAAAAAAAAAAAAAAAAGCCTATAGCTCAGTAAAATTTGATCCTTTTTAAAAATATTAATATTGTCAAGGAAGGTTAACAGGTATATTTATACTTCAAGATTTTCCATAAAAAGTGTCATTTATTAGTGAAGTAGTATTAATTCAGCTCCTATTATAGCCCAACCAGCCAATATTTGGCGTAAGTTTACCAAGCGTAGAGTACCCCTCTTCCAAGAAGTAGCCCCATATCTATTAAGGCTTTTAAAAAAACAATTAAAAGGAGTAGAAAAAATCAGAAGAGAATATTTGAGTACTATTAATTATATATAAAAGAAATTTAGAGTTAAAGGAGGTGGTTTAAAACAAAAACTAGTAATGGACCTGACACCAATTTTGCTAAACTGTCATAATCCAGTGGAGTCTATCAGAAAAAGTGCAGAGCAACAATTACATCATGCTCAAGAAGCTAATTTTGGTGATTACTTAGTTATTTTGGCAGATGAATTACATAATGAGAGCAAGCCAGAGCTATCACGACAACTTGCTGGTTTATTGCTAAAAAATGCAGTTTCAGCTGTTGAGCTACGTCTAGATATAGAGAGGCGTGGAATGTGGATATCTTTACCTCAACAGATAACAAATAAGATAAAATCTGCTGTTCTAGAGTCTCTATTAAGTCCACTTGCTAGTATAAGAGGAGCAGCTTGTCAAGTTATAGCTAAACTTGGACGAGTTGAGTTACCTTGCCAAAGATGGCCAGAGTTATTACCTTATTTGTTGAGACTAATACAAGAATCTAAAGGAGATGAGTTATCTTTGGTACATAAAAGATCTGCATTAACAGCGCTGGGATATTTGTGTGAAGATTCTAGACAATTAGAAAATGAAGTAGCATCTGTCATTATTACAGATGATATTAGCAACCAAATATTGACGGCTATAATTCAGGGAATGAATGACTCAGATATTGAGACATCATTAGCAGCTACAAAATCTTTCTATTTTGCTTTATTTTTTGCAAGAAACAATTTTAAAAATGAACACGAAAGGAATTTAATCTTTCAAGTCTTATGTAATTTATGTGGAACTGAGGGAGTAAAAAGAGAACTATTACAAACAGCAGCATATGAATGCTTAGTTTCCATAGCGGCTGAGTATTATGAATATTTGGGACCATATCTACCAGTCATAGCACCAATGGTAATAAAAAGCATTAAGGGTATATATGAACCAGTAGCAATCTGTTGTATAGAATTTTGGAATACAATAGCAGATTTGGAAATAGATTTAGTATTAGATGATGAACAAAATTCTCTATCAATACAAGTAGCACCTAGTTGCCTACACTACATTAGACAAATTCAGTCAATGCTTATTCCCGTAATGTTGGAGACATTATTAAAACAAAATGATGATGATAGTGACCCAGAGAGTTGGACTGTTGCTAAAGCAGCAGGTGCATGTTTGACACTTTGTGCTCAGCTTTTAGGAGATAATATTTTAGAACCTACACTAAGCTTCATTCATGCAAATTTTTCTCATACAAATTGGCACAATAGGGAGGCTGCAGTACTAGCCTATGGTAGCATTTTAGAAGGCCCTAGTTTCCAGCGAATGCAACCTATAGTGGAATCTTCTGTAACAAATCTATGCCAAGCTTTAAATGATAATGCTGTTGCAGTACGCGATACATGCGCTTGGACTATTGGGAGAATAGTTACGTTTCACCCTAGTATTATCTTTCCCCTAGTAGGGTTAGCTCCACAGCAACAACAAAACAACGGAAATAGTTTATTGGCTGTACTGCTACAGAGACTATTGACAGATGAAGCTCGTGTATGTGCTAATATTTGCTGGGTTATACATCAGTTGGCTGAAACATCAACAAATGTTGAGGGAGCTGGAGCAATTATGGATATGTGGTTCCCTTACATTATACATAGTCTACTTCAGGCATCAAAGAGGAGTATTGCAGATGAATATAATATGAAGCAAGCATGTTACAATGCTATAAGCATGGTTGTCACTCAGTCTGGTTTAGGAAATACAGATAATTTAGTGAATTTAACTAAAGAATTAATCATAGGGGAAGAGTTTGGACTACAAAAATTAGTTGAAAATAATCTAATTCCAAAACCTGAACCAGTAGCAACGAATATTCAATTAACGTGTGGTGTATTGTATGCATTGACGACTAAGCTGGGGAAGAATATCAATCAATATTCCTCAATACTGTTAAGGTTATATTTTGATATGCTACGACAAGGAGGAGCAAATGAAGAAATATTAATTGCCCTGACTGCATTGATTGTATCAATGGGTCTTGATTTTTCCCCTTATTTACAGGAATGTATTACTGTGACTCTACCATACATGCAACGATATGATGAATTGGAGACTTGCAAAATATCTATTGAATTAGTTGGTGATATGGTTAGATCTGTTGGGCAAAATATTTGTCCTTATTTGGATACTCTAGTACAGACATTATGCACATTGCTGGCTAAAAGTGAAGTTGACCGTAAAATAAAACCTTTAGCTATCATATCTTTAGGTGATTTAGCAATGAATTTAGGCCATTCCTTTGTACCTTATATTGGAACTACATTGCAATTATTTCAACAAGCTGCTTTGACACAGTATAACGATGGTCCTATCAATAGTGAAGATTGGATTGAATATTTGGGTGAACTACGTGAAGCTGTATTACAAGGTTATACCAGCATTGTTTACGGTATGAAGGATGCTCAAAAATTAGAACTTATAGGATCATACGTCCCCAATATGATACAGTTTGTCAATAATATTGTCAATGATTATAATAAGGAGTTCCCAAATGACAATAACTTAAAAAGTGCCACAGCTCTTATTGGAGACCTAATAACTGCCTTTAATGGTCAATTAGTTCAATACTTAATGGCACAAGATAGAAGACAAATTTTGGAAAATATATGTAGTGTCGGTGAAATATCTAAACACCCATATATTATCAATAATATCAAATGGATTAAGAAACTCTGTCAATTACCTTCTTAAATTCTTTAGATCTCAATATGAACTTGTATTTAATTTACTTAATCGTTAGATATAAATAATATTATACTCTACACATCATTTAAATTATTATACGGTTACAAAGAATAAGTTTTAAATATTTATATGGATAAGTTCTATAGTATAGCCAATCCTGGGGAAATTAGAAGTTTTGGTGAAACAAAGTATATGTTCGAAAAGTTAACTATATGATACGACTTGAATAATATTCTACCAATTTCCATATATTTTTTTTTAAATTAATGGTTGGAAAATAAGTACTATTATTCACTCAATTGAAAATAAAATGGTAATGGAAGAACACTTGGTATACAATATAGACAGTCTTATATTCAAGTGAACTAGTAAGCAATAGAATATATTTCTATTTAAAATCTCCAAAGGTGTATATCTAACAATTAGCAACTATTTATTTTAAATAACGAGTCATAGGTTTCTTCGAATATAGTATACATTAATATCTGGATCCACAGTACAACTTAGCTCTGTTTTAATATTCCCAAGAATATGTAATATTTAATCTCAACTAGAAAAAATTTAAATAAAATTAAATCATTCATTTATATCAAACTACCTTTTATAATTTTAACTTAAGTTTGAGTTTTAGTTGAGATCTCCGCAGGACCTTGTTATCATAGTTGGTCACTTTTTTTTTTCGTCTGAAAGTACGGAGTTATCTTAAATTTACTACAGCTCTATAATACTTCATTTTACATCTGAATATAGACTTACATATATTACGAAGATATTCTATAAATATAGTGTCAATATAATACTTTGTATAAACTATTCAGCTGTATTAAGAGCGTTAGGCAAGATACAACTCTGCCAGAAAGGATTACTTATAATATATTTAACTGAATAAGATCATTTATATTGAGTACAATAGAAATAAAATAGGATGATTTTTGATGTTACCCCCAACTTTGATTACAGAAAAAAGAGAACGAAAATTGAGTCACTGAACCTGAGAGTACTTAAGTAAAAATAACTAGCTGGAAACTTACTGGAATTATCTTTAAATTGCAAGTAACTGTGATAATAAGATTTCTCTATAGTACTAACTCCATATATTGCAGTTCTTTTTATAACTTAACCAATTTTAATTTGAAGTTGTTTCCTCAGCAAGTTCTAAATTTAATTACCAAGTTCACTTTTTACTAAATTTGCAAACCGTTAATAAGTAATGAGAATAATAAAATTCTTAAATTGTCAATATATTTTATCAAACCTTTAATATAAATAATATTTTATCAATAAATTGTCTTTGTGAGATATTACTTCATTAACCAATTCCTTGTTTTAGGGATGTCTAACTTCACTTTTATCCTAAATACTGGATTATAGATTCAAGCATTAATATCTTTAATATTGTAACTGGTTTATTTCTTATATACTAAACAGTTGACACAATTATGAAATATTACAAAACAGAAAATTCTTGAAAGTTAAAGACTAATAGGAGTTTTGAAATAAGCTATTAATAAATATTACTATTATACCTCCAATACTTAGAGAATGTATCTGCCGAGCTATTCATTATTCTATTGTAGAAGTATGTAGATGTTAAATTTAGATGATACTTTGCACTACTTAGATAAATTATCAATTGTATTTTGCATCAATTGTACTTTTTTCTATGTATTTTCCTATAAATGTATATTAGTTTAGAAATAAGATGATACTCATTCGAACCACTTTAATATAATAAGCTTTAAAATTCTTGAACCTTCAGATCTTTAAATAGTTCGCTCAATTAATAACTAGAATATTTCTAAATTATCTAAGTAAATACTTAATGATAATATATTTTGGATCCTTAATGAATAATTACAATAGTATATTATAATTAGTAATACTCTACACTAACTTCACAATAAAAATACTACATAAATAAGTATATATGTACAGTAAGTATATTAGTTAACTATTTGTTTAAGAATTAAAAGAAAAAAAAAGGTAAGAAAAACAAAAATTCACATCACTTGATAATTTATATTGCATACATATCTAGCGCTATAAGTAAAAATATAGCCAACGACTAAGAATAAAGTAGTTTAATGAAGACTAAAAATAAGGGGAGAATCCTATGAGTAGGGCATAACTAGTTTGGGTCAGTAATGAGGGCGAGTTAATTTAATTATATTTATTCTATTATGTGAATTTATCTTTGATGTTGTGGTTGATAGAACCTAAACAATGTAATATAACTTGAAGTTAGGATAAAGTGCAATATCCAATTTATCACTTAGTAAAACATAAATTTTATATTTGGATTATATTTATAGTGAAAGATAATATCGTATATATGTATAACTTCAATATATCTTAATTATACATTCGACTGACATTAAAAAGTAACGGTTTTTAATTTAAAACAAAGTCTGAACTGTTAATAATCCACTAATAAAGTATGGCGGGTAGATAAATAAAGACAACTAGGGCGTTACTGGCTGAGCGCTAAGGGTGTACTGGCTTCAAATCGTCAAGTAGAAGAGAAGCAATATATTAGATACACGAAGAATTTGTTAATTTAAGACTTGGTAAATATAGAGTACTATATTAGAGAGAAAATAATAAAACACCAGTTTTGAATTATGATGAGAAATGAGTCTGGAACTATTCCAGAGAGAAGTGCTGTTGATGACTATTCTCCAGCTATGAGTGTTGGCGAAGAGAGTAGCATTAGAACACTATTACATCAAGAAAAATCAGGTACTAAATTTATGATAGCTTCTGAAGAGAAGCTTATTGAATTAGCTGAATTCGAGGGTAATGAAACTCAAATTATAACAGGAAATAGTAATATCCCTAGATCACCTAGTGCTATGTCCTCTAGACGTCAGGATACATCAATATTTGAAGAAATCTTCTGTGGATGTGTAGAGAGATCAAGATGGAGAAAAGTTAGACCATGCTATTTAATAACAACTCTTATTGCTTCAAGTTTAATATTTGTATTTCTACAAGAAGTTGTTTATAGTAAACTAACAACAGGTCATGCTACAGTATCATTGTCAGATAACAGTTTACTTGGTCCTCCTGCACAAGTAATTTTTAATATGGGTGCTTTAGACACGAACTTAATACGACAGGGTCAAATTTCTCGCCTATTTTGGTCATTTTGGTTACACACAGGACTTCTACATCTGGCAATAAATGTCCTAAGTCAAATTGCTTTGGGAGTTATCTTAGAAACACGTTGGGTTGTATGGCGTTATATAATTCTTTATTATATAGGTGGTCTTGTAGGGAATTTGGCATCTGCAGTACTTGATCCATGTTCAATATCTGCTGGGTCATCTGCTTGTTTTTTTGCTTTATTAGCTGGTGTAATAGTTATGTTACTTGAAAATTGGAAACATACAAATTGGCAATTCTTCTATGTTATATCAATATGCCTTGCTACATTATTAGGAATATCATTGAGTTTTATGTCAAATACTGATAACTGGGCTCATATTGGTGGATTCACTGCTGGTTTTTTATGGTCATTAGCAAGTATTGAAACAATTCCTCATTCTAATATATGGAGGGATAATAGACGGAATCATCATGGTAATAATCATAGCCATCAAAGGAATACTAGACATAACATAACTCAAAGTGATGTTGAAACTGGAAGAAACTCACCAATACTTCCTGCTAATGCTTCATCAATACATACACGAAATGATGATCATTACTCACTCTCAACTTCCATATCTAATCATTCAAAGTGGTCAAGGTCATTCCTATATCGTCGTTTTGTACCAATTAAATGTGAATGTGGAGGTGCTATACAGACAATTCGGGTTGTTGCATTCCTGACATTAATTCTTATAGTGACATTTGGATTCCTCTTTCTACTTTACGAACCTATCTATAGTCGATTTAATATTGCTCTTGGACATCTATCCTTCTTCGGTATTCAGGCCTGTAGTTGTTGTATGGCACCAGAAGGACAGTACTGGTGTTCCGGCGCACCATCATGGATTAAGAAGTGTAATCAAACTTCATTTATTTAAAAGTTATCTTAAATGTACATCAGAGTAAACATTTTTTTTTTAAACTAAGCTATATTAGGTTAGAAGTCTCACTGATTACTTACACTTAATAATATATGTAAGGTGTAGATGTTATTTGTGGATAGCCACTACCTTGTATTGGATATCCTGTATAAGGGACTTCAATACTCCTACCTTGGTTATAGTTTGGGTATGACATGTATACAGGGTAAACAGTAGTTTGTACTGTTGAGGCACAGCAGCAATTACAGTTTAAACAACAGTTTTGATTATTATTACATTGGTCTATGTAATGACCATTATAATGATGGCCATGATGATGATGACCATAATGATGACCATGATGATGACCATGATGATGACCATGATGATGACCATGATGATGATGACCATGATGATGATGACCATAATGATAAGGTTTACAATTACAACCAGAATGACATGAGAGACAACTTTGGTTACAGACACACTCTATATTAGTACAACATATTGCAGAAGTATTGTAATTGAGGCAATCTAAAGTACTTATACAAGTATGAGTTATTGGTTGGGTAACATGCTCATGAATCTGCTGTACCTTAGGTGGGCATTTATGACTACGGACTTCTTGAGTTGTGGTTGTAACAACCGCTTCATGACATCCAGTACTTGTTACATAACATCTTTGAGTAGTAATTGGGTTAGATGATTGAGAAGACACAATAGCAGAACCATTACAGTGACACCCTGGTGTTGAACAACCTGATGGCACCAAACTTGTATTTTCATTTGTTTGTACAGTTGAACAGGCTGTGTTTGAGTTACCCTTATTCTTTGAATATAACATTTAAAACAAGTCTTATTATTTCTAAAGATTAATTTATTATGGATTTAAAGAGAAAAGAAAAACTTTACTAAATTAGGAATAGGTATATGAAGCCCTATGAGGCGAGAGATAAGTAGCGGGTCCCCCCCCCCCTATTACCTCTCCAATAAATAATACTGTATTGAATTAATGATTGAATTAGATATAAGTTTTGAGTCATCATAATCATCTTTATTATCAAAAATTCATGTTCACTTAGTAAAATGTAATAATTTATTAGTTTAATTTATTTTATACCTTAAGAGTTTAATTATTTGAGGTCTAATTAAGATTTGTAACATGTGCAATATTACGCCCCTTGTAAATACTATAAATTATAAATATGCCTCATTAAATTTAATGCAATATAGAAACTACTTATATATTAATTACTCTAAATAATATATTTAGTTAACACTAGAGTAGATACTAGAGGTAGCATACCTTCAGGCGCTAAGATCATTTTTATTTCTGATTTAGTACTAAGGTTGAAAGTCAATAATTTATTGATCTTTTGTGTGCCAGGATGGTAATATATTAGTAATACTAATAGTTATATATAACAGAAATAAAAAATGCGATTTTTGGAGCATTCAGGTTTAAATAAACTTACAGTTTTACTTAGTAATTTAGATGCTGGAGATCGTATTTTAAATGGTAAATTAGAATTGTTTACCTGCTCTGAAAAAGACCAAGACGAAAATGATTTAAGTGCAAGAATAGACCGTGAAGTTTGCGTATCTCCAGTATGGCTTTCTAGATCTCCTATTGGTCCAATACAACGTCAAGATGTCCGTCAATTACTAGTAAATTTGATTAGTACCATGAATCAATGCTTCCCAGATTATGACTTTAGTTCCTTAACACCAGATAATTTACATAAGGAAAGGAGTTTTGCAGATGTATATAGTAATATAAATTATCATATATCCAATATAGTAGAACGAGTTTATCCAAACTTCTTGCAAGATTTATGGGACAATATTCGCGATGCAGTAAATATAAATAATGTATCTGTATACTCCTATCGTATAACGGGAGATGATGAATCAAATCCTTTTTCTGATGAAGGATGTCTATTTGCATTTGATTATTTCTTTTATGATAATATGATGCAAAGGATTCTTTTTTTTGCATGTACAACAAAATGCAAGACAATAATAGACACAGGTGATACTCCGCGGAAATTTGATACAGATAGTGAATATGAATCTGATAAAGATATAGATTATAATCATGAATATAATCAGGAATATTGTTTGGAATCTGACAGCACAGAATTCTAATCTATTAAGGAAGGTTTATTTAGTATGCTTATATATGATATATATAATTTAATTGTTTTTCAGTTGTTAATATATTAATATAAATTATTATTTCTATATAAATTAGTTTCTGTTAAACTTTTTATTTCATCATTTTAAATCTGAGTTTAACTTTTCTTTAAGTACCATACCATAAGATGTTATTGGTTTTATACTTGTTTCACTAGTCGAAAGTACTTCAATATATTTGCCTAAATTTTTTATCTGATCATCTTTAATTTTGACTGTATCCTCAAGAATTTTAATGTTATTTTCTAGTTTTTTATTCACATTAACTAAATGTTTCTCCTTTTCTCTCAGTTGTACTATAATTTCCCTTTCTTGCAATAACTCAATAAATAAGTTTAACATATTATTCATACAATCAGTTAAAATTGAGACTTGTTGAGTATTGTTTCCATTATATCTAGTTTCACAAAACTTAGAAATTGAACTTAATAAGTTATTAATAGTTTCAGTATCTTCTGAAATTGTTAGAGAGTCTATATTTTGTAGAAATGTGGTAAAACTATCAAATATACATGACATTAGAGTATCTGGCTGCAACTCTTGGAGTATATTATTTACTGATTCTATTGAATCTAATTCATCCTTGTAAATATAATTTTTTTGGTCTACTTCCTGAGAAAAAATATTTTCAGAAATTTCTACAAGCTTTGAAGGTTCTGACAGATGACTCCCATTGCATATTTTCCTTAAATTAGTAGCACTAGTTGTTTTTTCAGGATTATTAAGGTGTACATTTGTTTCATTATTGTTATCCTTATTCTTCATAGAGATAATTTCGTTATTATTAATCTTATTCCCAAGTGAATCATTATTAAAATATTCAACACCTAAAAAGTTTATCAGATTATTGTTTTTGTGTATTATAAGATCTATTGGATTACCTTTAATTAAAATGTAATTTAGGCTTGGGATTGATTCAATTAATTGCCAAATTTCATTAATATTACCAATTAAATTATAAGATATATCTAAGTATTTTAAATTAGGGAAATTTGAGGCAATTCTAGAGACATTCCTAATCCCATTACATTTTAATTCTAGTTTTAAAATGTCTTTATAAACTGGAATATTTTTTAAATCATCATCTCTAATGCGTTTATTACAAAAAGAAAGAATTTCTTTTTTTTTAAATATATTTCTATTAGGATCATTCAGAATATTATTGATTTCCTTAATAAAGTTCTCCTCACTTAATTCTAAGTTTGAATAGTCTTCAGAGTTTAAAATTCTCAAGAATAGATTTTTAAAATTTTTTACTTTCAATACTTGATTTACACCAAATTTCTGAAACAGGTTTAAATATAATCCATTTTGATAAAAATCCTCTATAAAATATTTTTTTATAAAAAATTCTCCACTTTTTATAATAGCAAATTTGAAGTGTGTAGAATTCATTACAACTTTTTTTTAAATAGAAAGTAGCCCGACTCCGCTTTATATTGCTACTATAACAATAAATTTTCCCTCTTTTCTGATTTATATAGTATATGTGCATTATTTATAAGTATAAATGCAAAAATGAATTACGACCAATCAAATTTACTTCAGAAAATCAAGAAGATCGCTTTATGGGCTCTAAAACAATTTTAAGGGATAATAAAGGAACTGTTTATAAAATAATCCCAAGTGATAATAGAAGAGAAGTTGAATTTTATATGTCAATAGATAAGTATCATGTACTTAATAAATACTCAATTATTCCAAAATTTAGAAAGATCGTTAAAGTAGAGAGATCTTCAATATATAAGCAGTATAATAATAATGAAAGAACTAATAATCAAAGACATTTTATGATAAGACACTTACCAAATTTTTTAATAGCAAATTTTCTACAAAATATCGATCTTAGAAATTCCAATGAAAGTATTATCTACCAAAATTTAGATTGTTCAAATTTCCAATCATCTTGTTCTAATAATAATTCAATAATGACATCATTGAAAAAAAGTAATATGGAATATAAAATAGCCATAGCAATGGATGATTTTGTCAAAGGTTACAAACACCCACACATACTTGATCTTAAGCTAGGTACATCTTGGATAGGACAAATGGAAGGGGAACCTGCATTCAAAGCAAGACAATTACTATTTGAGATGTTTCCTAAAAAGGAGGATAGAAAATTAGAAATAGAAAAACGGCTATTAGAAAAAATTCAAGAAAAAGAAGAAAGTAAATCTAATTTAAATATATCAAATAATTATAAATCAATATATCCTTTTAATCTAGAAATATCCGATGAGGAGTACCAATGGAAATTATGCACACAAAAAAGTTGTATACTAAAACGTATATCTGGACTAATTCATAGAATATATAAAAGGAACATAAAATCAGATATAATATTCAGAGATTCTAATTTAAGTAATTATAATATTCAAAATGACAATAGCTATTATTCTTTAGTATCTCCAGCTTCCGCAAATATTCATGATTTAAGATATTTATTGAAGTCCTACAAACAGCAATTAACTATTGAAACAACATGCCAACATGAAATTGGAATTAGGATTCAGGGTCTAATAGGAAATGATAAGTTTGTTACACGCCAACAAGGGAAGGAACTTTCTGCAGTTAAAACAAAACAAACTATTGAAAATTTTTTATCTATGTCTCCTCAACTCTGTAGACTAGCAATAAGAAAACTTCAAATACTAAAAACTTGGCTTTTAACTCAAACAAATTTTAAGTTAATTGCAACTTCAATTGTACTTGTTTTTGATAGGTAAGTATAAATTAAATGAATTAAATTGGGTATATACTAAATATTACCCAACTATGTTTAAACTCTCTTTTTACTTATATATAATATAAATATCACTTATTATGGAACATGTTATACCTGTAAAATCTTATTAAATTAAAATATTAAGTTCGGATATTGAAAAGTGTGATGTAAGATGGCTGGATTTCACACATGCATTAAAGAGAAATAGTTCATGCTTAAATAACTTTAATCAAGGTAAGAAAAGTGTAACTTTCAGAATCTTAATGAAACATGTTCAAAATTTGAAATAAAGTCATTATTAAGATAGTAGAATAATTTATATATGTACTATTATTTCTTAGGATTAGTTCTAGGAATTGATTCTGTACTTGATATTGCTAACAAAGTACTACTAAAACAAGAAACAAAATAATATGAGATAAATATTTAGTTCTTATTTCACTAATGCAATATTGGTGCATGTGAAACAAAAGTAAATTTCTATCTAATTTTTTATGAAATTCAAATCTAGACACTAGTAGATACGCCACGTCTTGAGATGATTATAAGTGATTATTTGATTCCGCTTAATTTTTAATAGTTAATATAGGGACTGGTAATAGTGTTGAATATACTAAATATCAAATTTTTGACATTGGAGTGTCTTGATTCATTTATAATTGCAAATTGACCGAGCCTTAAGGCTAGGTCACACTTTTTTTTTCTAATGGTACTTGCTCCTGTTATTGAATCAGCTCAAACAAGTGTAATTGGTCCAATTAAAAATATTAGTTTGGGTGATGAATCAATATCAGATAGTGTTCTGGACATGTTAGATATTTCATCCATGGAGAGTATCCAAGAAAATCTTACAAAGAATATTGTGGAATTTTGGAAGACAATGTTTGAGATACCACCTACTGAGACATCTTCATACGTGTGTTTATCAAGCTTTGGCAAAATTTTAGTTGGAATTTCAGATAATTGCCATAGAAATGGCTGTTATTCAAAATTAAATATTTATAGCAAACTAATTTTAGAGGAAGATTCAGAAGAAGGTTATAAATGTAGACGAAATTCTAAGCTAGAAAAGAATGAAGCTTATATTTCAAATAAATTAGACTCATCTCCTTGTAACTGTACTTCACTTCCAAAGATTTTATCTAATGCAATTAGAAATCAGTTATCAGGATCAAATGTTTTGTGGTTATCATATCTGATGAATTCATTAAGCTCATATAATCTAATACATTTGTTATCTGAGATCATTTCTGAACTAGCACAAGATAATACTTTAAGATTAATACCATATATCTTAAGCCTCTTTGGTGATATTGATAACTCAGAAGTAACGAAACAATGTAATTGTATTTTAGATAAAAATTTAGAGGATTTTGGAAATAATGAGTATTTATCATTTTGTTTATGTAATAGTGATCCACAGTATTGTGCTTCTATAGATTTGAGATTTAAAAAATATATAACTAAAGCTGAATTTGTAGGTTTAACATTTGGGGTATTTAATTTGAATTGTTTTTTTGATCATAATAAATGGACACAGCTGAGACTTATAAAGTTATGCTTAAATGATGAGGAATTTAGAAGAAAATATAAATTTAAAACTCCTGGATTTGTAGATGGGCAAAATTCCGAAGTTCTGACTTCTATAATTTCGACTAAATTTATTAGAAAACTTTTAGAGAGTATAGGATTTGATGAAATATTAATTCAGGAGATATTTGATACTACGGCAGCAATTATTTTGTTGAGTGAGATTGAGTTACAATATGATACAAATGAGTCTAGTGAGACATCTACTGGCAATATTTCAGTCACAAATACGAGTATTCATAAGTTTAGAGAATGTGGAAAACTTTTGGAAATAGAAGATAGATGTTTACTAAAACTTTTACAGATCTATCAAGGTGATGGGATGAATCAGGGTCCAACATCTTCATATACTGCAACTACTACTCCTGTAAGATCAAGTGACTCAGTTCCAACCACAACAAACGCTTCTATTAATTTGTCCAATATGATTTCAAGTCCTATTAGAGTTTATAGAAGTATTGCAATCCAGAAACTAAGGGCAATTTCACTTATATATAAAAATTTGGTTGGAAAAGTTTTTACTAAGCTTGAAGAGGTCTTAAAAAGTAGATCAGTAAGTCCTAACTCAACTGTCAAATCAGACATTCCTGAAATTCCCAACTCTAAATTGAATTTGCACTTTATAAAATCTGATTCATTAGAATTATCTTTATTAATTGGGCTAAATACATCTACTAGTGAAATTAGACCACTTTATGAACTATGTAGTTCAACTATTGTTGACAATCTGATATGTAGGATGCACGAAAAATGGCGTGATGTAACATATGGAATTTTATTAGATGAAAATATATCTGGTGTATTAAATTCAAAATATACATATATGCTTCAGTTTGTAGATAAAAATTATCAGAAGCATTTACAAAACATTACACCTTCTAATTTAGGTGTAATTGTTTCAAATCTTGTCTCAGCGAATTCAAATAATAGTCAGTTTGAATATTGTAAGAAGAATACCACTCAATATAATAATGAATATACTCTTCCAGTTGAATATTCAATTATAAATAATGATTATTATTGCAATTACAATTCAATTTCATACTTGTTATCATCATCTTATGCTCAGAATCAAAATATAGCCCTAACAAATTATAATTACCATCAACAATATTCAACACATAGCTTAAATAATTATTTTCGGAATGGGAATAACTGTTCTAACAATAATCTTGTGAATTTTGGATCTTCACTAACTATGAATATTTGTCATAGTTTTGGAGAAGTGAAGTACCTTATCCCAAGAAGTGTCATAATTGATGCTTCTCAAGGAGCAAATGATATTTTAGAAATATTTCCTGAGTATAAATTTATTGACTTGATGTATTTAATTGACAAAATAAATACAAGTAATGTAATATCTGTTGGGATTGTTTTAAAGAGCAATTTAGACAACTTTTCTTATTTAAGCTACAAATCCCAGCCTTTTAGTTTTTCTAACTTAGTATTACCATTTTGGTTTAATTGGTATCTTGGTTTAGATATTCAATATACCCACCAAGAATTTGTCGAATTATATGGTCCTTTAGTCTTTTTATCTCCAATTCGCTACTTCAAGAATAGAGAAAACTGTAGTCTTAGTGAGGCAACTTCAACATCGAAGGATTTACGAGAACAAGACACAATCAATAAAATGGGATATATGTCCAAGTTGTACTTACCGAAATCTTTCAATATTAATAATAAATACAGATATGCCCTTATATCAAGACATTTACTGAATGATTTATCTGCACTAAGATTTATACCTAGGCATACATTATTAGATATTCACATTATATCAGAGGGTATATGTGCTACTCCTATTGCAAAAATGGTATTAGAAAATATGAGGGAAGATTTATTACCTAGAATAAATACTTTACTAGGTCCTTGCATAACAATTACTGAAGTATTTTTGGAACATTTCCTTGATGCTTTTGATAGATCATGTGATATTAATGTTTCTACCCAAGTTTTAATTGAAGTGAGTAAAACTCCTAGGAGAACTTTGTCTAATATTTTGCTACTTCTATTTCAGTTACCAATTTCTTTGGAGAATCATCTTAGGAAGGAATTATTAGACTCTTTAAGTAAAATAAATATTCCAGGATATTTCTTGGAGATGATTTATGAAAATGTGAACAATCTCTCAGATAATTCAGATTTACCTTATGAATCTGCTAAATTTATTCCAAAGATAACATCTCACTCTCAGTTGACAAATTTAATTGGTTATTTTTTGTGGTATTTGAAGTTTTCTGAAGTTCATGATAAATCAGCATATTTAAATATTATAGATTATTTTAATAAACCACAATGCGTTAGTATTTTGGTGAAATCAAATTTCTCCTTTATGCAAGCTTACAAGTCTGTTTTAGCTGTTTTAAGTTATGAAAATAATAGAACAAATAAAGAAGTAATGGAGGCTTATATTTCTTATGAATCTTTAGTAAAACCTAGGACTATTTCACCTGCAATTGGCATAATACAAAGCAATGAGAGCTGTTACTATTTATTACCAAGAGAAAATTTTATGAATGTTGAAATAAGGGAATTAGTTACCTATAACCTGCCAAAGAAAGCTATATTTCAAGGTGATCTCTTAGAAAATCATACTTTTTCTGAAAAAGACAGAAACTTCAAAATTTGTGATAACAACTCCTTGACTGTAAAAAATAGTTCGAAACAAATTCAGGTCTCAAACTCTAACTCAGGTTCCAGCCAAAATACTCAAATGTTATCTCACTTTTTAACTATTAACACAAGTAATATTTTATTAGATTTGCAAGAAGCAATGAATGGATACAATGAGGTATTGATTATAAATAATCTCGCGACTCTTTACTCTATAGGGTGCATTCCCTCTTCTTATCCTGATCCTTCTAATTTAAATGTAACCATTCTAAAGAATTCTAGTACATTAGCAGGCACAAAATCCTGTAAATCCTCTCTTAAAGGAGGGGTCACTTCTGCTTTGATTGATGCTGCATACAAACTTTTGTCTGATATAAACGATGTTGATTGGATTTCAAATACAATTGACAATGTATGTAACTCTATTTCTTGGAATTCTTGCAGAAATGGATGGAGGATTCCACAATTAAACAGACTTTTAAAGAAAGCTACATCTCTTGGAGTACACCAGCAACATCTTCGAAATGCTTACAGAATTCTTGAATATCTTAGCTCTCTCTCTTACTATCAAATAACTTCTAAAAAAGATCTTTTGGAGAGATTTGGAGTAAATTCAAGTGAAGGTGCCATGGAAATTGGAATAAATTTACTAAAAGGAGCTAGTGTATTACCAGATGATAGTTCTAATGATTTACAATTTACAGGTCTAAGTTCAGCTGTAATTGAAAAACGGCCAAGCCTTAAGTATCCATCTGCTGCTTATATTCCTCAAAATAATGACTCACCCTGGCTTGGTGCTTTAATATTAGTTTCTTTTTCTCAACTTAGATGCATTCAAGGACTTCGTGAAAATGGGACTTTTTTTATAGATAGAGAATCTTCAACTACTAGGGGAAATAAAGATGCTGTGCAGTTTAGAAACAGATCTTCAAATTCACCTGTTATAAATAAGCCTTCTGGTATAAATAAGGCAAAGCTAACTTCAAGTTCATCCTATAACTACTTCAAGTTTTCTCGGTCAACCATAAAACTGAATAGGATGAAAGTTAAACAAATAGGCGATGTATATGACCAACTTAAATTTACGTGTAAACCAATTAGGAAATCTCTTACACTTCAGACTGACAAAAAACTAAATAAATTGGCTTGTATAATGTATAATTGCATACTGGAATTTTGTCAAGGAAATATCTTTATATCAGATCCTTGTTTAATGTATGGAGTTATTTACACTGCACTTATAAATCCTAGTCTCATAGATGAAGTTTACGTGCAAATAATGAAAATACTTACTAATAACCCATATAAAACTATTGAGACTATGGCTTGGAGATTTTTACAAACAGTTTGTCAATACCTGTCTCCTTCAGAAGAGCTATTTTATTATATTCGGCAATTCCTCATAGATGCTAGAGGATACTGTGATGATGATATTGCTAGAATTTCTATTCAAGCATATGAAGATTTGAATATTACTTATGTTCATCAAAATGATATTCTACCTTTTACTGGGGTGATTTCAGACTCTTTTATCCAGCTTAATGTATACTCATTAGATGGTTCAAATCATAGAATATTTGTACCATATAATGCAAAATTTCAGCAAGTTCTTGAATCTGCTATTCATATGTTGCAACTACCAAGTACTGATGGATGGTCTTTATGGGAAAGGAAATATGACTACAGTGGAAAAAATGAAACAAATAGAAAACCTGACCAAGATAGTAGATTTGACGAATATCACAAGACACTAAATACTAGGAATTTTATTTTATCTAGCTTTTCTGAATCTTTTGGATTTATTATGAATTATGAGGAGAAGAGTCAATATCTTACTTATTTAATTGGACAGTATGGTGGTGAAAAGTTTTTGGATTACTTTGCTAATAAAGCTACTGGGGACTATGGTACCACTGTAACACGTAGATTTGATCTTAGAAAATTATATATAAGTAGTATTAGATCAAAATACTATGCTTTTAAGAGTGGAAAAATTCCAATTGCAAATGCTGCAATTCCGGGTGATATATCTTGCCACTTTTCCCCTAAATACCAAACAATACTAAACTTGAAGTATATTTCAACTGAAACTTGTGTTTTGGATTTTTACAAAAAGTATAAATCTGATTCTAAACATCCCTTTCCAGAAATCTTCCTTCGCAGAAGTTATTTATCTCCATTAATGAATGATGATATTCCATCTAACCATCACACATTTGTAAGGCTTGTTTATTCCCAATCTGTTATAGAATTCATCTTCTATCCGTTATTTGAAGCTAAATTTCTTTCTTTGTGTGATATAATTCTAAACATACTATATTTTGAAGGTAATGCTGGAAGACTCTTAGAAATATATAAACGAAAGATTTCTAATTCATCCAATAAAAACTCCAATTCTACATGCAATTCTCTATTGACAGAGATAAATGAAAATGTATTTTCACCTTTATTGCAATCTAGAGATATGATAAACAATTACACAAAAAAAGATTCCGGTAATTTTGGATGCCACAGACCAAGGAAATATAAATGGAATGTGAATTACTTTTGGGTTATTCCTTTAAGATATAGGTGGATATACTCTAGGGGTAAATTACTGCAAGGTATATTCAATTCTTTATGTAATAACACAGATATTAGAAATAGTAGCCCTCAAGTCATAAATAGAATGAGAAGTCTCCCAATAAGGCGGAGATACACAACAATAGAGAGTGCATGGGAAATTCAATCTATGTGTAAACTGATAGACTCTATGAAAATAAATCTTAAAGGATATGGTGGTATTACTTGGGCAGTAGAAACGTGCATTCTTGGTTTAAATATTTTGCAAAATATCTCTCTTGTCTATAGTAATCCATCATTTGAATTGCAGGTTGGTGGCCTTGGAAGACTAGAAATGTCTCTTCCTATCCTCAATCCTATTTTAAGACCAAGCCGTCTTGACAAATTTTTAAGCTGTTTGATAAGCTCTTTAAATAATAATGCAGTAAATTGGGAAATAATAAATGAAACAAGAAAAAGTGGATCTTCAAAGACTAACTTTAATCAAAATTCAATAATAAATAGGCGGGTTCCATGGAATGACTTGATTGCATTTGATCCATGTTATTTATTTACTTTAACTAGAGATCACTTAATACTGTCAGCTTCTGATTCCCCATGGAGGGATAGAGCAACTACAGAATTCAATTTATACCAAATACTTGGTATTGAATCTCTCAACAATTTCTCTTTTGGTTTTGATTCCTGTATAGTTCTGGCTATAGAAGTCAACTCTCTGCCTCAAATTCTTTGTCTAAGGTTACGTGGAGGTAATGTTGATGACATCTTAGATGTAATATCTAAGGGGGAATTAAATATTAAGTAAGAAACTATAAGGATGCTAAAAGTATTTGCTGATAAACATGAATATCTTATAAATATTTTAGAAAGCACTATATTCTCATTTCTTGATATTCTTGTCCATCTGTTTTTATATGAGATTTCTACATAAAAATATATTTTATACTGTACACTTTCCCTACAACTAACTTTTTTTAAGTTATTTTTTTAACATAGTGATTTCTGCTTATTTATATAAAGATAAGAATATCCTTATATAATTGTTTCACTTATCTCCCATTAGAAAATTCCAACTTGAAGCATATGAAAGGGACGAAATTGCACTTGTAGAAATGAACTCAATATCTTTGCTAAAAATAGTAATGTTTCTAGGAGTTCCATTATTACTCGGAAATGTAAAGTGACTTGATTTCTCATTTATATGTTTGCATGTAGTAGTATCTTCTTCAGTATCAGATCGAAGCCCTAGAAAATCAATACCTATATTATTTATAATGTCATGTGAGTTCTTGCATATAATATCATAGTATGTAGCATTAGTCAAACTGATATCCGACTTTGGACTTAAACCATCAGTTTCAGCTATCACTGACTCTGCATAATCATGCAATGAAATTTGTATTTTAGATAATTCAGTAGATTTTGTGTCACATACATTTATATTCTCTACAAGTTCTTCATCTTCTGGTATAGTTTCTACATATATGTGTCGTAATTGGTAATTCTTATTATTATTGTGAAGTCTTAAATGATCACATAAATTACTTTTATCATTGAAGTTAGGAGATGTTAAATGGCCATTTGTACTCGAATTTATGAGTGCAAAGTTTGTATCAGGATCTTCTAAATCTTCAACTATTTCCTTAAGTATACTCATCATCTCTCTAACTTTTGATGGAGAATGTGTAATTTTATTTGTCCCTAAACTACTTGTTATCCATGTTATCAACAGAGCTCTTTGCTCTAATGGGTTTAAATCTTCAAATCTATCAGGTATTTTATTTGGTTCCTCATTAACTTCAGCAATTACTTCACAAATTTTTGCTCCTGATGTAGATAATAATGATCTTAGACTATAAGATAATGTAGGGCTATCACTTTCTTTCCTATACATATCAACCATATTTCTGTCTAAAGTTACATTTACCTTTTGAGATAATACCAATGCTTCTATTGGATCTATAGATTCACATAAATCAGGATTTTTTAGTCGAGTTAGCTGATTTTTCAGCTTATTAGGTGATTTTATTGATTTTAAATAACTATTACTAGGACTCTGTAAGTAAAGGCTTTTAATATCAAAGTCAGATTCACACAACTCACAAATACTAGTACTATTTATATTATCACTTATTTTATTGAATTGGAAGTGTTCATTTATTACTAAGTTATTATATTCAGCAATATTTAATTTCCCATCAGGGATTATTTCCTCAAACTGCTTTGCTAAAGCTTTTACTTTACCATTTGGTATAATTTTTTCATACTCAAACTGTGAATTATTCTTTAAATTTAATCTACATTGCAGCTTATTTTGATTGGTTTCACAATTAGAGCATATCGGACTTTGATAATCGCAACATAATATACAATTCCCTTCTCTACTTCTGGGTGTAAAGTTTAGTTCCACTTCATTTTCCATAATCTTCGTTTGGTTAAAAGAACTCTTCCTCTTCTCATGTATATTAGCTTCATTATCTTCTATTTTAACAACATCTTCAATAGTATAATTCTTTGGAATTTCACTATCGAAATATTTTTCTTTGCAGTTTATTAGTGAAATATTTTCTTCATTATTTGACATTTCTCCCCTTCTTCATATTATTCACTAAAATCTACAAATAAGCTAAAACTCTTTTTATGTAGATAATTTAACTAGGTGATTTATTACAAAGCATTATTTTAGTCTCTGTGCACTTAAAGGCTATTAGTAACTTGTTCCCTCAGTTTTTTAGGTATACATGTATATTGAGCGCCAAACAAGATCTAAAAATTATCATATTTTAACTTTTGTTAAAATTTAATAATTTCACTAAATTCGATACAAAAAAGAGAGCCATAAATTTTTGTATCAGTGCAACTTTTTGCAAAAAGATATATGAAATAGTATTAAGTATTGCAGTAATACTTAATTATAATAAACTTTATATAGTCTTTAAGTCCAAACTCTATTAGCTTCAGCTTAGTCTACTATGAAAATTTATTCTAAATTAACTTCAATAGTTAAGTAGTTCAGACACTTCTTTTTTACTGCAAAAATTATAGTTTAAAAATGGTGCAATAAACTATTTACATCTAAAAATAATATATAATTATAGGATAATAAATCTTATAAATAAGTAGTAATTACTCAAGTTTACTGAATTGTTGATTAATAAGTGATCTTCAATGGTATACTTCCTACTTTTTAAAGATATATTACTATTAAAAAATTCATAGATGATAATAATTCATATATTTATATTGGAAACTATTTCCACAATATAGTTTAACACAACAATACCTCTGACCTATAGCCCTTTAGTGTTAATATAGTTTATAAATTTAAGTAGTGTATATGGTAGAGAATATCTTCTTTTAAAGTTTCCGATACTTATTTTTAAATGGCTTACTTTATAGCCTAACAATATAAATCAATAAATTAATTTCGTGATTTATTATTATTAATTTAAATGAGTTAAGTCAATGGATAAAGTTCTAAGGTATCACGAGTGACTACTAGGGTGCAAATGTAATATACAAATTACTCACTATGATAAGCTACTTAATATAATCAAACTAAAAATAATGTTTGATATAATATCTTACCAATTTGATATAATTTTGGTGAAATTCAGCTGAAAATGAGTTGATGAAAAAAGCTGATTAACAATACAATCCCTTCTATATAGCGCCAAAAAAATCTTAGCTTTTAATAAAGTTGGAGTTCTCTAATAATAAACTAAATTTTTTGATGTTTGAAGAGGTTATCCCTTCTATAGTTTGTCGTGAGGCTAGAATTTTGGGAAGAGTTGAACTGTCGGATGGCTGTATAATACATCCAACCGCATTAATAGATGGAGGAAAAGGAGGTATTAGGTTTGGGATATCAAATGTTGTAGAAGAAAGGGTGAACATAATAAATGATAAAGATAGGGAACTAATAATAGGCGATCATAACTGGTTTAAAGTGGGTAGTTTTATAGAAAATCCTCTACAAATAGGTAATTATAATATTTTTGAAATTCGAAGTCACATAGGTGAAGGAAGTAAGATAGGAAATTACTGTTACATATCAGCAACTGCAACTTTACCAAAAAATACTTTGCTTGAAGATAGTAATGGAGTGTCAAATATTGATAATACTTTAATAATTACTCCATTAACTACAATAAATAAAGTAAGCATAGATGATCATGTTAAGTTTCTAGGAAATATTTTGTATGGAAGCTCAATGGAGCAGAAAAAAAATTAATTTCTAATAGGTTAGGTCTAGTCTACTTACTTAGATATTATTGGTAATAAAAATTTAAATTAACTATTAGCTTTATAAATATGAAATCTGCAAGATATAATTCAAGCTCTACTTATACCAGGAGAAGTTCCAAAAGCAGTACAAATAGCGATATCACAAATCAAAGTAATATAAGCAGAAGTAGTGGTTATAGTTCAACCAGTAGAAAGAGTAATAGGACTAGAAGAACTAATGATAGTAACAAAAATGGCACTAATAGTGCAGGTAATAATTCAAGTTTAAATTCTAGCTTGAGTAATGATTCAGATAGTGTATCTAGTGTTGAAACAAGTATTAGCAAAGGAACACAAGTTAGTTCGTCCAGTAAATCTAGTAAATTGACTAAACTGAGTAATAATAGCAAACTATCCAATAAAGTGATAATATGTCGAGGTGACAAAGAGATTAAGTCTGGTTGTGAATCAACTTGCCCCACCCAAAGAAATAAGGTTTCTATTAATAAGGAAGTACAGAATTTACAGCTATCTAAGAAAAAAGGAACTCTAAAGATGAAATCAGCTAAAGATGAGCAAGTTAAACAGATTCCTAGTAGAAATTGCTTATTTGATGGACATATGTTGATCCATGGAAATATATTTTTTGTGAATTGTCATAATTACCCTACAGGACAAATCAATATAGTAAATCAGTGGGGGTCGGTAATTGTAGAACCTCAGATCAGATGTTGTTGCAGTTTACCAAACTTATGCCTTTTTAACTGCATTTATGATGATAATCCTATGAGTTTAACTATTTTAAATTATTGATTATAAATACACTTCAAAATAAACTCAAAATTTTCTCTCAAAATAAATCTTTGTTCATAATATAAACCATCATATTTCAGAGCTGGAAATGCAACTTTATAGTAAAATATTGCGATCACTTGCTTAAGTAAATGTGAGAATAGATAATATTTTGTTTGGAAATACATTTTTAAACAGAACATTTACTCAATGTAAATTTTGTTAATACCTATGAACAATACATCAAAGAGCTTATATTTAAAGATAGCAAAGTCACTCTTATCCAGTGAATAGCTCAAAACCCTATAATAAACGATTTTTAATTCAGTTAGTGAATAATAAAAGCTGTTTAATAGTCTCTATACTTTAATAAATAGTATTTTGCACTTTTCAATACAAAATTTGAGATTTCTCTTTTTGATTCATAATCTCCTTGGAATGTTAAATTTTATAATTGGATGAATTCTACAAAATTTCCCATTCATATTATTCTAATACTCACACATTGTAATAAGGTATATGCTAATAATATTACAATTTCTGGTATCTTTACTTTTAGAACTAATCTGAACTGTCAGTGGGTTGAAATGTTAATGTAACTTTTTTTGAATAACAAAATATAGAGTATTGTTGATCACTCAATCTTCATAAATGGTGATTCCAAAATTTAGAGAACTTGTGATTATAATCAATATCCCTAATTAGTTGAATAAATGACTAAGGTATGATAATATCACTATAATACCTCTTAATTTTAATCTGAAATATGTAGAAATTGAGTGATCATCAAACTTCTTTAACTCATAAACATATCTTGTTCAAAGTACTCTAAAAGTATTAATAAATATTTTAAAATAACTGATTCTGATCTTCTTTATGACTAATATTGTATTTGAGATATATCTATAAATGAAAAAGTTACATTTATATTTTATTCTTTGAGGGAAAACCCTGCAAATCCGAATATTTTATAATAATCATTTACTTTGTATGGAATAATCTATTTTCTTTCGAAACCTTAATTATATAGTATATTAGATTAGCTGAGTTATTTCTCTGATATATTGAACAAGATAACACAATATTAAATTTATAATAGTTCTAGTACATCAAAGATTAAACAGAATGCCTATAGGTAGTACCTGAAGTGTAATTTGAATAACTGACAGTTTTCATTCTAGAGGATATCCAAAATTATAGTAATAATCAAGATTTAAATAATGAACTTCATAAATAGCATAATACTTACATATTTAGTTTTGTCATAAATTACTTATTTTTTTCTTTTTAGAGAAAAAAAATTTAGAAATGCAGTAGCTTATTAAATAGTTGACTTCACTTCGAAATAATAAAAACAGTACCAGCTAGATAGAAATTATATATGTTTAATAAGTAGATTTACCTGGTATGGACCTCTATCTAAGGATTATATCAGTATCACTGAGGTTTTAAAATTCCCTTTATTACAAAATCTTCATCTGATAGAATAATATTTTAATAGTATCAGTTTGTCTGTCCATCAGGGAAATCATTCTTGTAAAAATTAATTTCTTTCATCCATTTAGTGCCGATATTGTTCAAGAGTAATTTGTGATTAGTTAGTACTCTATTAAAAATATCTTTATTTGTACATAATTTTGATGAGTCTAATAAATCTCTACAAAAAATACCGTTTCTGATAGGAACTGAATAACATAAATCTTCTAAGTCCAAGTCTAAAACTTCAACGCACGAAGATCCAATATCTCCAAAGAACGATATATTATGGCCCTCCTGTATGTAATTTTCTACACATTTAGTTGAAATGACTTTTGTAATCCCAAATGCATCAATAAGAGTTTGACTAATACAAAGTGGGGCTCCAAAAATAACATCATCCACTGCTCTAAGTGAGAGTACTGTCAAGGCTCTTTCCATCATCTTTAAAATGGGAAAATTTGGGCCAAATATATTACGAACAGTTGAGTCATCATAAATACCAACAATTAAAGTTCCTCCACTTTTCTTTGCTTCTTCTAATAATCTAAGATGTCCAACATGTAATATATCAAAGCTCCCATCAACATATATAACTTCATTGCAAACCTTCTTTGGTGATGATGATCTAGAAAGAGCTAAACAATTATCAGTAAAATTCTTTCTATTATTCTCATCTTCCCGAGTATCTATAATAAATTTTAACATTCTACCGGTAGAAATTAAACTTTGACAAGGTGAGTAGCAGCCATCTACAATTTTATCTAAGTCCCATATTCCTCTTTTATTGGGTAAATTATTACTACAGCCTTCTTTATAGCTGCTCAAATTTATTTTTAAGGCACGTAATAAACGAGTTATCACTGCGGTAGTACTTACACCCTCAGTTCTTTTGAATATCCTTAGCCTTCCAGCTAGTCTTGGACTTAAATATGGATCTGAGCCATCTGAACAACATACTGGATCATCTCCATGAGCTGCATAATCACATTTCAACTCATCTAATAATTGTGTACTAACAGAATATGGTGTACCAATAACTACATTATCTACCCATTTACATCCTCGCATTAATTCTCCTCTCTCTTCTTGACTATAAATAGGGTAGCAGCCTTTAGCCATATAACATTCTGAGTCTGAATTTATTCCAACTGTTAAAGAGTCTCCTAGTAATCTGGCCTGTCTTACTGCATTAAAGTGCCCAGCATGCATCAAATCAAACACGCCATCTATATATATACTCCCACATAGCTTATTATTAGTAAAAGATTCCATTATCTGGTCTTTATAGTTCTGAGGAATGTCAATTTCTAAAATTTCAGATATTCCGTCATAAGCCAAAAAATTAATATCTCAATAAGTTACTAATGCTGAATTGAGTAGTATGTTTACTTACATGGAATTCATCCAGTTTAAAAATTGTTAGAATTTTCTTTTCTCTTGAGTATTCCAAAAAGAAAGCTGCTATCACCGCTACAACCAAACTATCCCAAGCCGGTGATGCAGAATATACCGGGGCTTTCCCACCCCCACCTACGCAGTAACTCCTTTGTTGCACCTATTCTACTTTTTTTTTTTTTTTTTTTTCTTTTTTACTATTAAGAATTTTAGTAGCTTTGTAACTGGGATCGATATTATAAGATGGTGGTTTATTCTGCTTCTGTTGTGAGCAAAAAGAGAATTCTGTTATCCCGACAATTTGTAGAGATGACTAGAGGAGATGTAGAGAACTACTTGAACACTTTTATGAAGAGAATTGAGCATTATAATCTTAGTAATGAGTACACTTATATGGAGAATGGGGATATTCGTTATGTTTATCAGATTTTAGATGATATTTATATGGTTTTAATGACTCCACTGAGCTCGAATATTATAGAAGACTTGGATACTCTACGCTTATTTTGCCAAGTTTTATATGATAGTTGTAACTGTCCTCCACCACTGACAGAGGAATTGATTACTTCTAATTGTTTTGATATAATATTTGCTTTTGATGAAGTTATTTCTTTTGGTTATAAGGAATCTGTAACTTTGAGCCAGATTAAAACTTATCTAGAAATGGAATCACAAGAAGAGAAGTTGCATAAAATTATTCGTCAAAATAAGGAAAATGAAGAAAAGGAGAGAAGAAAACAAATTGCTAGTAAATTAGACAAGGAACGTAGTTATGATATTTCATTAGCAACATCAACAAACAATAATTTAGTACGATCATCCTTATCAGGTATTGCGGCTTTTGCAGAATCAGTAGGAGTTAGCAAATTAGTGCAATCAGTCGGTATAAATCCAAATAAGATAGGTTTTGGAAGTAATATGAATAGTATAGATAATATGAATGTATTATCCAATATTCCTATCTCTACTAGTATTACCTCAAGTACTACAAATACATTATGTACAAATTCTAAAGTAGGGATGAATGCACCTTCAAAAGGAATGTTTATCGGCAAGAAAAAACCAACAATGGAATTAATACAAGAGAAGGATGATAAGAAAGTAATAGAAGAGAAACAATACGATTTAACATCATCACTTCCTTTATCAATATCAGAAAATATCATTGATGATGATAATGCTTTGATTGAAGAACGTTGTGAAGCTATCTTAGCGATTGATGGGAGTTTATTATCAAAAGTAGATATTCAAGGGACATTCCAAATTAAGTTAGAAAAGGGAGAATTTCCAGAATATACTTTTCATGAAGAAGATGAACGCTTTCAATATAAAGTTCATCCTAATTTAAGCAAAGAAAAATATCAAAGAGATGGACTTTTAACATTAAGAAAAGATTTAAAGAGTGCCCTACCTAAGAATATTTTAATCCCGCTTGTTAAGTGGCGTTCTTCAGGTAATAATACTGTTGGCACGTTTGAACTACCCATTACAATATCCTGTTGGCCAGTGGAGACTGGAGATGGGTTTACTAATGTTACTCTGGAGATAGAGAGTAATAGATTAACAGAAAATATTGCTATTATTATACCAATATCGTCTATAATAAGTTATAACATAAGTAATGGGATTTTTGACTCATCCCAAACTAATTCCAAAAATTCAGTTATCTGGAATATAGAGAGTCTATCTCCCGGTAATAATGCTATACTTGAATTTATTACTGAGCAAAGACAATTTGTTCCCATAAAAATCAACGCTTTTATACCTACCTATAGCTATTGTAATTTAAGTCTAGTTAGAGATCATATGAAAGTACGACCTTATAGAAAGACCTTACTGAATTTGACTCTTAATCAATAAATTAAAAGATTGCAGATATATTATATCTTAGTTTTCCTACATTATTGTTCTCTTGATAATTTATATTTACACTAAATACAATGTTGTTTATATTAAAATTTTGAGTCTTGGACTTTATACTAGAGGTATTGTGATGCGGTAACATGAGCAGCGTTTTAGGCGGGGTATCTTGTTGCACAATAGGAAGTAGACCTTTAGGAATCAGGACTAGCATATAATCCTGATGAGAGGGATTAATTCACTAATATTTTGGATATTAAAGTTATAACACTACTAGAACTTGCTGTGTAGTTTGGGGTGCAACAAATAAGGACTTATTTTATAAGTACCGGTGCATAATTTTGAGTTTGTAACTTAAGATGAGTGGAAATGAAGGTGGGTCTTTTTTTCTTTTTTCTCCTCCCCTTTTCTTAAAAAAGTGTATATTTTTAATTAATGTATTGTACTTTGTATGTTTTCGGCTGTTTTCTAATGTAGGTTCTGAAATTCCGGATCATATGAGAAGTGCACTACAGGACTATCGAGAAAAACAACGGCAACGATTTTTGCAGCAAAAAAGTAAAGACAAAACTGAGTCTGTGCGGACATCATGTTATCAAACACTAGGAACCTTTAGAAAAAACAATACTAAAGAAGATTCATCTAATTCTAAAGAACAGGTTTGTCTGGAGAAAGATAAACCAGTAAAGTTGGGTAATGAGGATATAACTGAGGTAGATAATGGAAACTTTCAAGAATCTCAATATAAAACGAAAAGTAAATCATTCAAGCAAATGTACAGTGAGCACAATTTGAATAATGGAAGAATATCAAGATCTCCAGATGAGATATACAATGAAAGATTAATAAATGATGAAACAAGTGTAGTTATAGATACTATTGGATACTCACCTGAAAGTCGCGACTCTCATCTATTATCCCAACAAAGAGATTCACACCAAAATTCATCTAATTCTAAGAAGTTTGGATCAGGGTTCTTCAATAGTATCAAGGCTTGGGCTTCATCAGTTATGTCTGGACATTCACCCCAAACTGGAGCTCGCTCAAGATTTTCAAGAAGTAGTAGAAATAGTTCTAGGCAACAACGTTCAAATAATACTATATCTGATGAAGAGTTAGCACGGAGAATACAAATAGAAGAATTTAATGTAGCGAGTATGGTCCCTGAACAGAGTCAACTTATACATGTCCCAACTCCTCATTCATTTGGATTATTTCATAATGAAATGACATCTCCCAGAACATTTATATCTTCATCTTCTGCAGTACCTATGTCTATTGCTCCATTTCAGGGGTCTCCATATTACAATGTTGATTATTCATCTCATTCATCAGATGATGATATCAAGGAAGTGGAGAAAGCAGCTATAACTAATAATAAAGAAGACGCCAATCTAACAGAATCACTAGGCAGTTTTACAAAACAAACAAGTAGTATATTGGAGGATACTGAAAGTGAAGAAGCACAGCTTAAAATTGCAATTCAACGGAGCTTAGTTGAGAAGTAAATATGGAGTATGCATAATTGAATATACTTATCTCGATAGAGCTAACATATACAATTAAGATATTCCAATTTAGTACCAGGAATCAGAATTGCAGAAATTTACAATTTTACAATTGCAACCAAGTTGTAATATAGTCTACATGATTCTCTGGCATCTTCCTAAATATTACCCTACCTAACTCTAACTATTGAATAGTCCGATCTCTCAATAAGATCTCCTTTTTGTACAAGAATTTTAATAGCCTTAGAAAGATAATGAGGATCAAATCCCACAAGAGCTAAGTCTTTAACAACTGTCCCCTTGCTTGCTCTAGCTTTTATTGGAAGTCTAGTTTTAATGGCATTCTCAGCATCAACTATTGCAGCTTGTTCAGAAGGTGATAAATTATCTATCCATAAAATATTTGACCTGATAGCTTCCATAGTAGCCTTTGTAAATAACTTAATAGCCATTTCAATATGACGTTCAGAGGCAATACTTTGCATTTCCATCTTAGCTAAACTTTCAGCGATTCTTGTTATAGCTTCTAACTGACGTACAGTGATCGGGATGCGTTCTCTTCTAGCTGTTATCTTATTCCCCGAGTTATTAGAACGATTCTCTTCCCTAATTTGCACATAAAAATTCTCTAGTATTGCTGCAGCATCTAGTGATAGCCTAGGATGTATATTCTCTCTGCAAAATGAAATATAACGTTGCAATTTCTCTAATGGTAGTATTGATTCATCATCAGCATTAGAATTTCCAGCTCCAAATGTTAATCCATCCTTCATGTTCCCTGAATGGAGATCAACAATATGAGATGCAATGAGTTTATCTCTTGTTATATCTTTTTCGTCTTTTAAAAGAAAGATAAGATCAAATCTAGATAATATAGTAGACTCAAAATCATGTTGTTGAGTAATATCCTTTGTTTCATCATAAGATCCAAAAGAAGGATTTGCAGCTGCTAAAATAGAACATTGAGCTTTCAATATAGTTGTAATTCCAGCTTTAGCAATACTTATAGTCTGCTGTTCCATAGCTTCATGAATCGCTACACGGTCATCATCTCTCATCTTATCAAATTCATCAATACAGACTACACCTCCATCTGCTAAAACCATCGCACCTCCTTCTAGTGCATATACCCCATTACTATGATCCCTAACTATTGCTGCTGTTAATCCTGCTGCACTACTTCCTTTACCAGATGTGTATATGCAAATTGGAGCTGCTTGTTCAACAAATTTTAATAGTTGAGATTTTGCTGTAGAAGGATCACCTAAGAGTAAGATATTCAGATCACCCCTAATCTTAGTACCATCTGGTAGAGTTTTAGCACTGCCACTAAACAACAAACAAGCTATAGCTTGCTTGATTAAGACATTGCCATATATAGCAGGAGCTATACTTCTCATTATTAACTCTTGAATATTTGGGGTAGCTGCAAGACGCCTAAATTCTTCAATCTCATTATAGCGATCAGATAGTAGACTAGACATTACCAAGTTACTTGGTGAATTAAAAAACTTCAGTTCTCCACTTGATTTATATCCTATTAAACCCAAAACATGTAAATATGATGAACGAATTGAAGACATTCCCGAAGAACTTATCCCTCTAGAAGACGTTTCCTTCTCAACAGAAGATAAAACTCCAATGACATGTAATCTATTTCCTGGTATTGCTTTATCTATCAAATTCCTTGTAATATGTAATGTAATATGCCTAGGAATATCTCCTGTTGGTACATGCTCTGGTAGTTCCTGAAATTTCATACTTTGAATATCAATATATTCCGATTCATCACTTAATATAATAAATGGATCTAACGGACATTTAGGAGCTTCACTAGTTGGGATGGTACCACATACTCTTGGCAAAAGTACACCTTGTCTCCAAACTGGAATATTCAATGTTCTAATAACTTTACATTGCCTACACATTATCCTCAATTTTATAGCCTTCTTTTGAGGTCTGGATGCTTGAATAATAATTCCCGGAACTACCACTAATTTCTCCATAGCCCCACTCTTCAAATCACGAATCAATGTTTGTTCTTGATTAGAAATTAATTGTAACTGTATATCTGGAATTGAATCGAATGTCATCTCCAATTCCAAACTCGTATTCTTTACTGAACCAGTAATGTCCAAATATATCTCTTTTAAAACCTGTTCACATATTGGAATATATCGTAAAGGAGCTCTTCTAAAGCACTGGACTAGGCCAGTAGATGATACTACACCTCTAGATATTCCAATACCTGATGTACCATCTTTCTGGCTCTGAATATCATCTATACTAGTATGGTCAGCCGTAGCGGCTCCCATTTCTGAGCCTGCAATATCATCTGCTGTTAAATGGTGAGTTTCAATGATCAAAGAATAGTTACCGATAGATACATTAGATATTAGCCTTTCCCTATAAATATAATGTCCATCTAGGTTAAAATTCCTTATAAAGTAGTTAAATTTTTGACGACACTCCTCTACAGTTAACAAGCCCGAATTTGCAACATTCCCCTCATTCTCATTAATCCATTCAGTACCCTGGTTACCATCTATAATTGCACTACCATAGTACACAGCACCACTTGTGACCCCTAGCATCTTCTTCTACTATTTGGATTTTATCCAACTTAGCATACTTAGTGGGGTTACTTGTAAAAAGTGGGGTCTTATATACCGCCTGTAGTCAAATGCACTAAGCTCCATCCTGGCCTAATATCTTTTAGAAATAAATTTGAAATTTTGTACAGATCTTAATATTAAAGTTGCAATTTAATAATTATAGAAATGATCAATATTGAAAATTCGAAAAGAACCAAATAACTTAGTTCCTTCTCTCCTTTTAAATATTTTAAAATTAGGTATCTGGTAATATTAAGAACTTTAAGTATTTTTACGTCTTATCTTGTAGCCAGATGACAAACTATGAATATATTTTTCATCTGAGACTTCTTCAGGTATAATTGCCTTTTTAAAAACAAATGTTCTATATAAAGAAAATGCATCACTCTCTTGTTGAGTCAAAATATTAGCATTTTTTGGATTTTTTATCCAATTTGATATTCTCAAATTAGGGTAGTGATTACATACATACTTTGTGAATTGTGGGAAATTTGATGTATATAAAAGTTCTAGACCTACTTCCTTAGCTAAATTACAAAATGCATCCCAAGGTACTACGTACTCATATTGATTAATATGTTCAATTAACCAAAAGTCATATTTTAATCCCCAAGTATTTCTGAAGTATGTTAATCCATAATTATCTTTTTCATCTTTAGAAATTAGATCCCACATTTCACTATCAATAGTAATACTATAGATAGAATTGCCTGAAATATATTTCAAATCACTCTTAGGTGGACCTACATATTCACTTTTATCTATCTCATTCTCAAGCTTTATACTTTCTACTTTCTCAGAACCATATTTTATAGAATTGTAGACTTCATCACATGAAATTGTAGTACCAATAAATAATCCCCCCGGATTCATATATTTAACGACATTATTCAAAAATTCTCTAGAGACCTCTTCATTAATTAACATATAGTGCAGAGCAAGCTGAATAGTTACAACGTCAAATTTGTAATTCTTTAATATATTTGTATATGTAGATTTAGATAAAAGATTTCCAACATGAAATTCTATTGGAAAACAAACTGAATGTTGATATCCCTTTAACCTATGACGAGCTTCAGCTATCTCTTCTGCTGAAATATCAATACCAATTAATTTTTTAATTTTCTTACCTTTATATTTTAAAATATCTTGACCATGACCACATGCAAGATCCAAAATATAATATCCTGAATCTTTAACTTTTAGGGGTCCATCAACAAATAAATCAATTAAAGCTCTTTTAACCTCATTATTATATCTACGTAAACCCTGTATTATTGAATGATCAGCTTGCTTAATTTTCTTTGTATTATAATGTGCCTTTACAGATGAGGTAATATCTCCGAAAAAATTTGGATAATAATATGACATGAATCTCGGTGTTTGTGACATGGATAATGTAAGACATTCTTCTAAATAATTAGCAATAATACGACTATTCAATACAAATTCTGTTACAATACGATATAACCCATTATTCATTCCTTTTTTATATAAATCTACATGCTTTAAAATAATATCTTTACAACCCACAAGAAGGACCATCCAATATTCACTTTTTTGAATATCTTCATCATCATCTTCCTTATCTTTTGTTATACTCTTATCATTATCTAGATCCTTTAATTCTTTATTATTTTGGGCAACATGGACTATCTTTATTTCCCAAAAAGGATAGTTTCTACCAATTTTGCGATAGAATTTCCATCCTACAATATTTTTCTCATGTTTAGATAATAAATTAAATTCTTTTGGTTTAGTATCTATTGCTGTTCTTGAAACTCCTGATATTCGATAATGTACAAGTGATTTCGGGCGATAGATAATAATGTCCCCTAAATTTAGCTCATAAAAAGTATCCTTTTTGTTACCTTCATTATCAGAAACTACAACAATCTCATTGTTATAATATTCCTCAACTAATACACTCAGAGGTAAACTTTCAGCTTCCCATGAAGTTCTATTAGCTTTTAAAATACGTTCTACTAAAAAGCTCTGTTGCTTCCAACTAATTTTATCTATAAATTTGTAATCACTTGAGCCTTGCTCCAGTATACATTCACCAGCTACTGGTAAATGAATATTTAAACCTGAAAATACCCCACTTAATTCACCAAAGCTAGCATATATATCGCTATTAGGATGTTCACTACATTGAACAATAAAGTCTCTTATTATATCTATAATACTGGCTCTTTTTGCTAGAGAGATAAAATGTAGTTTTGCCGAATTTTGAGACATCTCAAATATAAGTAAGACCAATATGAAGAAAAAATAACCTCTAAACCCAAAATAATATTAATGAAGACCTAAATAAGTAAACATTGACTAACAATACTTCAATATTGCTCTACTAGCTATACTTTTAAAATAAAATACAACTCTAGAAATAAATATCTTAGCAGTGTACATAGCGCCATAAAGAGTGGTATTATTTATTTAAATAGTTTAAAAGTATACTTATCTAAGGTAAATTTTTATCAATAGCACATTGTGAGGCATTAGCATCAAGAAGAGATTTATTCTCTGCTAAATTACTTATTAGGTTATGAAGAGCTAAGACTGAACGTACACAACTAGCTCCATAAATTGTTAAAAGGATATCTGCATATTCACATCTAAATGACTCTGAAACTTGTCTAATAGATGAATCAGGTAAAAGATTAAATATATCTTGAAGTAGTGAGATGATATTATGATTTGGAGCAATTTTCTCTTCTAATATATCATTAAAGTAAAGTTTTATATCACTTAATTTTGATATTAGCATCTTACAAGCAATTATCGTATCTGATATTTGTGCAGCCAATGTAGAGGTTGAAGCATTCTTAATATCTCTTAATAAATGCTCTACACCTACTTCTTCTGCTTCAAAAGCTCCAACAGTACAAGGTACATGTACAAATGTCCTTCGAAGTAGTTTATCACTGGTTGGTTCATCTATAGAAATATATGCTGATGCTGGATTAGATAACAACATATTTTCTTTTATATTCACATCAACTATTAAATATAGTGGATTTTGACAATAATTACGAAAAAGCTCTTGAATTTCCAAATCTGCAGCTTTTGTTTTTGGACCTGTACTATACCAACCAATTATTTTTTCACGAGTATTAATTTTTTTAAACATTAAGTACATCTGCTCATGATAATTATGGTCTAAATACCATACCATAGGATCTTTTGAATCTTCTTCAAAAGGTAGTGCATAGCAGTTCGTAACATGCAGATGACCTTCTTCTTGTATCTCCCCAAGTAGAGTACCTACCACACGTTTTGTTGCACCCTTAACTACTCTAGTGTAGTGATCTACTATTGATAATAAAACTATTGGATGTACAACTACATTCAAATTATGAAAACCACTTTGTGCTATTTCTTTATCTCCTAAAGCCCCACGATTGCGGATTGAAACTTTATTTTCATCTGACATTGGTATTCTAATTTTGTAAATTCTTCAGAAGTATTCCCTCTAAAATTCACAAATATCCCTTATATATTACCTTTCTTATGGCTGTAATGTAGTAAAATATATAACTTTTCTTTTAGGAAAAAAAAAAGAAAAATTAACCTTTATAAATATCTTATCAGGTAAGCACACTAATGGCAGCGTATACTGGCGCCTTACAGTTTTAAGAGACTTTACCTTTTGTTTAATATGCTTTATGAAACTTCAAACCTTCTTTAATGTTACAATTATATGTATTATAAATTAAAAACAGGAAGGGAGTGTAGTATATATCTAACAGATTATTCCCTATATCTTAGTTCTTTATAATCTGATATTATGTTAAATAAGTAATCTAACTTTAATATACATCTAAAATTCACAATATATAGCTACATCAAATGTCTCGAATAAAATAATCAAATTTCATTCTCATCCATTGTAGATTTTGATCTCTTGCTAATTTGCCAAAAAATGGCTGCAGCAGGGTAATAACATAGGTTAAAGTCAACGTCTGTATAATATTCTCTTTTTTTTATTGGAAAAATTGCAAATTCTATTGGTTTTAAAGAGGTATGTTTAATATCATCTGGTCTATTAACAAGACGGAATAAATCAGTGTAAGATCTTCCAAATACTAAGTTTTTTTGATCTATAGATGTATAATTGTTATTAATAAGTAAGTCATTTTCTTTGATTCCATATCTTGTTACAAATTTGTCAAATGGTATATCTAGATTTTCAAATATATTCTTATTTTTATAAAACCAGTATACCATATCACATTGTCTAATAAAATTGCAGGATCTCCAAATTTGAGAACCTCTATACGTTTCTGGAATAAAAATAGTTATCTTATTAGAAGATTCTCCTATTTTCAAATTAGAGTTTAAATCTTTAGGGTATGGTAGAACGATTTCCCTAGATAAGTAGTTAGATTTTATTCCAGATTCTTCTATAGATTTTAGTTCATCAGATGTTTTACGAACACATCTTAAAAGTGCACTAACTTGTGAATTACCTATTGGAGATATAGATAATGTAGAACAATTATTATTGGAAGATTGCTTAATATTATCATTTGACAGATCATTTGATGTTGATAATATTTGTAAATCCGAATATTTTGATTTGTCTGATGATTGTAAAGTATAAGGGATATTATATTTTATCATTTCTGAAGTATTATATGCTGGAATTTCATACCTATCTTTTTGAAAATCAGATAATTCTGAATAAGAAGTATTCTCAGATTTTGCAAAATATTTATTACTTAAATTTTGAATATTTATATTCTGATCTAAATGAGAATTTAATAAAGGAGGTAATTCCATATTATCATTTAGTATTGCTTTATATTCATCTTCACTAAGATTACCCCAAAGATGTAATCGCAACTTCCACTCTCTCAGACGTCCAGAAAAGCATGATTTACTTATATTAGCATATACATCTGGTGTAGTTGGATGCCAACTTGAGTTCAAATGACGTTTTCTTTTATCATGTCTTACTGCTCTAGAATATCGTTCATATCCTCGACTATTCTTTCCAATTTCAATTTGTTTTAGCCTTTGGCCAATTCTATGCTCTTGAGATTCCAATTTTTATCAGTTATTTAGTTTTAAAAGTTGTGATCATGGCCTCCAGTGTTTTTTTTTTTTTTTACAATTTGTACAAATTTTTAAGCGCTATCTATATCTTCTCGTTTTCCCTTTTTTTTCCTTCTTTTTAATATTATTAGTATATTTATCATGCGGTAATACCCGACCTGTATGAACTTTAATTGAAATATTACCATTGCCAAAATTTGTTACACCATTAATACCAATGGTGACAGACTTTATAAATGCATATCCTTTATAATACTAGATTTCACTTCTTTCATTTTTCTTCTAACTGCAGCCATCTTCCTTAATCTATCAGAGTTGAACTGCTGGATATTTCTTATTGCACCCCCCTCACTAGATATGTCATTTAGTTCACAAAGTTCAGCAAGACCAGAATCTGGATATTTCCTTTTTAAATATAATAAGATATCATCAGATAGTATCTGACCACGTCCTTGGTGTAATGCAATTTCGTAAGATTTCTGAATTACATCATCTATGAAACCTTTCGTTATACATGACATAACTAAGGCTACTGATGGTCCTAGGCGGACTTGTGAATAATCTTCTACAATTAGTTCATTTAAGAATTCAGGAGTTATTAAATTTTGAGACTCTTCATCACTTAAATCTTTATCTAACCTACTATTAAGTGACATTTGTTGGTTTTTTTTGTATTTAAAGAAAAAAAAAGAAAAAAAAAAATTCCCTATTAAGAGCGCCATAATACAACCGCTATTTTATATAAAAATTAAAGTTATGTTTAGTATCACCCCTCAAAGTATAATTTTATTATTGTTCACTTATATTTATTTGATTTAAACTATATTTAGTTATAAATTTACAAATTTCTGAATTTAATTTGCAATTCAGGTACTTTAAGTATTAAACAACCATTACAATTTAAATATATTTATTATAAAGATCTAAGCACTTCTAAATCCTAGCTTTATACTACACTTTGCAATTGAATATGTTTAGATATAATTAAGTTAGATATTTTATTATGGTTCTAGTATATGACTTATTATATATACTACTTCTTTTCACTTCTTAATAGCGGTGGGGCTTGGCTAACCTCTTTTGCAAAATTTATCTTATTAGTTAGTTGACCATTTATTTTCTTTAGTGTTGATAGAGAGTTACAAGTAGTAGGATATGATCTTTTAGATATAAATTCTTTATTTTGGGTTATAGATGGCATTTTTGATGGTACTTTAGCTTTCAATTGTAACGATTTTGAATTCAATGAATTTAAGAGTGATGTTTGTTTAATATTTTGCCTTTTGAATGTATTATCCATATCATATCCTAAATTATCTACTTCTGAGCTTTTTGAAGGTAACTGAATATCATTATTTATAAGTATAGGAGATTTTATAGAAGCAACAGTTTTCATTTCATTACCGGAATTGAAAAATCCTACCTTCTTATCTTGTATTGAAAAATTCGGGTTTATTTCTTTTGTAACTTCGGATTTAGTTATAGAACTTTTAGGAACTAGAATTGTTTGACTGGGAATATTTTTTCTCTTCAATAGTAGAGTATTTTGTGCAGATAATATATTTTCCTCAGTTATTGAAGAAGTTTTTACAGAATTCATGTCTTTCTCATATATTGAAGATACTTTTGAAGATACTAATATGTCTTTTTTAGGAATTGTAGATATTTCTAATAATATTTCTTTTTGAACAGTTGGAGTAGTTAATTCTACCAACTGCTGTATAGATTTAGATTCTTTAGAAAATGGTAATTTTAATTCTAGAGAATTGCTAGGTGTAGGTTCCTTTACAATTGTATTCAAAGCTAATTGTGTCTCAGTATGTGTGTTTACTTCAATATTTACATTTTCTTTTTTAGGAAAATTTTTGAGAACTTTAGAAACACCAGAAGTTTTTGATGACATTTTACTAGCTATATCATTTGTTCTCAATATAATTGTTTCTTGGAGATTATTAGATTTTAACTTGGTATTAACCACACTTTTTATTTTTGTTTGATACTTCAAGATATCTATATCTTTTTGTTCAATAGCTAAAGATTTCTTTGTTAATTTACTTTCTAGTTCAGTTACCTTCAGCTGTTCCAAAGGGAATACTTTCGATAATGTTCTATTTTCTAGTTGATTGATATCTATTACTGTCTTAGAAAGTTGTAAAAGTTCTTTGAATTCAGTATTTAGGGATTCTTTTTTTAGTGGAAGTTTATGTAATAACTTCATATCTGGAACTACTTTTTCATCTAGTTCTTTCTTCCCCAAAGAAAGTTTAGATATAGAACTTTCATCTGAAATAAGAAATATATTTGATTTTTTATCATTGGATTCTGTTAAAGGCTTTGAATGTAATTCTTTAGGACTCAAGCCACTTAACAGTTTATTTTTGAGTATAAGAGAAGTCTTAGTTAAATTTTGTTTAGGATGTATATCTGATTTAGTTTCTATTTGTTTAGGATATATATTAGATTTGGTTTCTATTTGTTTGGGATGTATATCTGATTTAGTTTCTATTTGTTTAGGATATATATTAGATTTAGTTTCTATTTGTTTAGGATGTATATCAGATTTAGTTTCTATTTGTACTGAAGTTTCCATTATTTTTGACTTATTAATAGGTTCACTTTTTCCTTCATTGATTTTTTCTTCTCCTTGATATTCCTTTTCAGACTCACTTACTTCTGCAATAATAATTTCTGGACTAAATAATCTAGGATCATCTTTTCTACTGTTTATAACTTCAAAAGATTTTGTAAATTTATACTTCTTTTTATCTAAAGATTTATTTGATTTAGATTCAAATATAAGAAATTCATGCATAACTTTAGAAGCTGCACTTAAAGTATCTTTAGTGTAATTACTGCTACGGAGTGATCTTCTCCAGTCCATTTCTTTATCAGCTAAATTACTTTGTTCACAATTATAGCCTCTATGGAGTACATATACTTGGTCCTCTGAAGTATCATTTACATAATTATTCCATTTATTTGACTTATATTGAAAGCTAGAAGTTTCATTACCTAAACAATCATCTATATATTCATTACTATCTTCATTAACAACTGTGTAATCTCCAATTTTGTAAACTTTAGCTTTAGAAGATGTAATATTTCTATTCCTATGAGTTTTCAAACACTTTTGTTTCTCAATTTGTTTTAATACATAATTATATGTAGGCCAATTAAGTTCGGGTTTAAATGTACAACTATCCAGGATCTCCTTTTCTTTTTTTTCTTTTTCTTGGATAATATTCTCTATTGTTTTCTTTTTTCTATCTAGTGTTTTTTTAATATGGTCGCTTAGGGTTCCAATATTTGAATTGTTCCTTAACTTAGTTGTTAGACAATAACTTTTTCTAAAGTTACTAACACCAAGATTAGTACAAATATCTGGAGCTAATTGCTGTTTATATGACTTTACAGATAAAACTTTTTTTCCAATTTTATTTGGGGATATATAAAAATCTCCCTCATTATTATCTTGTAATTCTTCTTTACCTAGTAGTTCTTTTTCATTTTTAAGTTTCCTTGTTCTACTATATTGGTTAGCAAATATCGACTTTAGTTTTGAAAATAATCCATAGCCAACATCATTTTCTAGTATATTTTCAGCAATATATGGTAGAATTTCATTTTTTTTTAAAACTCCTTTATTATTGAAACATAAAGTTAATGTTTCAATAAGTAGTAATAATATTTGGGCTTTTTCTGTATCTTCTTCAAAAATATCCCATAAAATTTTTTTAGTTTCATTTAAATCTATATAATCTTTTTTTCCTGGGTCTAAAGTATAGTATATTCTTAGTGCTATTTTCCACCTTAAGTGCTCCAATAAATTTTCGGAATAACGAGATAAAAATTTGTATTTAGGCTTAACTTGATCATTTATAAATTTTGATCTTTTTAATTTAAATTGTTCCTCATTAACAAATTTAGTATCTTGTTCTAATTCAGAATCTTTTTCAAAGTACTTAGAAAATCCTTTAGTTTCAGTTTTTAGTTTATTTAAGTTATCATATAAAAATTTTGGCATATAATTAAATTTTGAATATCCATTATATATTGGACGTTTAAATTTGGGATCTAAAATATTTTCTGAGTGACTATCTCTTAGCCATATAGGTTTTTTACTTGTTCCAAGTTCTATATTTTTTACTGGAATCTTGAACTCCTCCAAATATCTCTGACTCAGTATTTTTATTAAATTATAATCCTTTTCTTTATCTCTTTGGTTCAATACTTTGTCATAAGTTCCATATTTCTCTACATTATAGTGTATAGAATCCACTAAATTTTTGGTATTTATTAATTGATGCATTCTATTTGCAAGTAATATTGCTATTTAAATTAGTTAAGAAAACCCTTAATTATTTTGAAATACATTAAGTCTATATATTTTAAGCGTCGTAAAAAATAGATTAGTTTTAGAATCTATTCCCTTTAGTTTAGGTCTTACAATAAATATAAAGAAATAGTTTACTATTTCGTGATAAAACCGTATATGTCTACAGAGATGTGTGAAATATACGGTTTTTAAGTACTGAGTAAAACAGAATATATCAACTTATTAAACAAAATATTAATAAATCCTGTGTACTAAATTATTTTTATTACTTTCGTCCCTTCTTTCAGGGGGGAAGAGTCTAAGAATAAAAATGACGTCAAATTTGCTTATTTTAACCGCGCGCGCCTCATGCACTACTTTTAAATTCTTTTTGGACCTACACTAACTTTTTAAAAAAAGTGTTAAAGAGAGATATAAAAATACTATATGTATTTCAGAAATAAAATGATCATTATTTTAGTTTTGTTGCCATTTACTATGGTGAACAATAATTCAATAATTACACCTTTTTTTTTAGATATAATAAGAAGATCTATGTGTTTTGCTTTATTTTGCCAAATAAGCTACAATAATTGGCATATCATAAAATAAATTACTATTTCATTTGATAAATATAAATTTATTTGTATTTTGGCGCTATATAAGGATATTACTACTACCTATTGAATGTGTGCTAAAATGTGTGCTAGGAAAAAATCTGTAGAGTTTTTCCCCCACAAACTAGTTTTTGTACTACCAACTAAACTTAATAAATAAATAAATTTTCTATTTAAATTTTGATACCTTGATGACTAGAAATATAGACTGTGAGTTATATGGATTCTCTATGCTTTTGAAAGATGTCATCTAGAATACCTACATTAAAAAGATCCAGTACTATAAAAAAAATCATGGTTAATAGTAGTTTTTGTACAAAAAATACCTCTAGAAATGAGAATATAAGAGGAGATAGTTTTACTAACAGTAATAATACCATAAATACGAGGATATATATTAAAAATGACTCATGTACAAGTTTAAGAAGTCCACTAACATCAAATGCAAATGTGAGTTTTGGAACTAGCCATGATACAGATAGTAAGCTGAATAAGAGTATATATTTGAAAGAAAATAGAGATAATAATCAAGAAGTAAAGACAAAAGTAGAATTGGTATCTAAGGAGAAAACGACAAAGCTACCTAGGGTTGCCCTAATGACCAGAGGCCCAAAAAAGTTAGCAGCTAATAAAGAAATTAATGATAAAAGTGAAATGCAAACTATTAGTTCAGAGTTAAAAAGTTTAAATAATATTTCTAAGTCTATTACAAAAAAAGTTAATAAAGCTTCAACTAACTCATTAAATAGTAAATGCAGCTTGAAATTACCCAAGTCATCAAAAATAGCTCATAATAATCCACCTTTAGGTATTCGTCAAAAAAATTTAATTCGTGAAAGAGAAGAAAAACTTTCTAGATCTAAGAAACTGTTGGAAGAAAGAGAACATAGTTATAGAGAAGAATTAATGCTGGTTAAAACAACTAACTCTGAACTTTTATTAGCTGAAGAGAATTTCCAAGAACAGAAGAAAATACTTAAAGAAGAAAAATTGAAATTAGAAAAACAAAAACAACAATATAGTGAATATGAAATTGGGAGTATGAATGAAATGGAGAAAAAATTAGCAATAATTCAAAGTCTTGAAGAAGGGCTACACAAAACAAAGATATCTAATAAGGAATTTTCTGATAAAATTGAAGAAATTAAACATGAAATAAAATTTTTGAATTCCGAGATTTTAGCATGTGAAAAGTCGATTCAATTATGTAAACTTGATAATAAGGGAGGAGGAAAATTGGTAGATAAATTAAAATATCCTTTTAAGAAATCTATAAAGTATACTCTGGAATTAGAAAAATCATTCTTAAATGATAAATTAATAATAAATCAGCTGCAATATAGAATTCATAAATATAAAAAACAACCAAGATACGTTTGCAGGATTTATTCACAAGAAATCCCAACAACGGCTAAAATATTTATATCAATCCCAAATGCTCCGAATGAAATAAATTCTGAGAGTAGAGAAGATGTAAAATTTATAGATAGTAATGAAGAACAAATATTAGAAAGAAAATTTCCCTACTTTACTTATTCTGCACAAGATCAATGCATTAATATTAGTAATAGAGATATTTCAATAAATATCGATAAAGTTGTAAATTTTGATGAAACTAGTCGTCCAACATCTCTACTCATGACAGATTTAGATACTATTCAAGATTTGCTTACTAATACAATTGAAGGGTTTTATTTAAATGATGATGAAACTTTAAGTATGGATATTGGACTTTCTCAAGAGGAATTTCCATTTGTACAAGAAAGAAAAACAAAAAGTTCAATGTTAAGGAGGCAATCTTTACTTCATACAACTGCACTAAATAATTTAGATGAGTTTGAACATTCTAAGGATAAAATAGAAATTCTTAAATTAGAAATTCCTAATCAAAATTATGGTATAAATTTGAACTCTAAAGAAAACATCAACCAACTTTATTGTGTAGATTTAAATGAACAGAAAGATATTGAAATGGATATTTTATTAATGGTGAATGATATATTTAATGCTATCAGATTAAATTTGGGTGACAAATCTTATATAACTAAAGATACTAATCAAACGAAAATTGATATAGAATCTATTTGTTTTATCAACATTGGGGGAAATAATACAGCTTCTCGTCTTACATTTTGGGGTAAAAAAGAAAGTAGATGTATTAGTAATATATCAAATAAAAGCAACTCTAAGAACTTCTTACTTTTCAATAATTGTCCTGATAATTCTATAGAGATGCCAGGGATACTACATTCTGTTATTCATCAACTATTTCAAAATATGAGATCTATAAGTTTTATTAAATGGGGATTACAGCTTGATTTAGGTATTCAACCAATTATAAATTATAAATTGGATATTTCCAGTGAAATATTCACCACTGGTGATAATTCTCAAAATGCGTTATTACTTAATAATTATATAAGATCTCACCAGTCTAACAATATATTACAAGAAACAAAACATAGTTCTCCTATAAAATTTCCTGGAGGTTTATCAGGTCATACTCATCTTGAACATATTTATAATAAATTAGATGAGTATGATATTAATTCAGAATATGATGAATACTCTCGAGAAGAAAAGACCTCTTTTTTAAAATTATCTACTAGATCTTTTGACAATCCGGATGAATTGTTAAACTACATATATGATTCCATTAATAAATTGGATTTTAATTATCTTGCTGAACTTGATGTAGCTTCAGGATCAATTTCTAATTCTAAAAAGGAATCTCACATAAATTGTAATATATTATCTTCTGACTCTATTGAAGATGGATGTGATCCAGCAATAAAAAAATCATTTCATATTGTTTTAAATTTTAAATTAATCGCTACATTAGAAGATAAAGAATTGAAAGTTAATTTTACGATGTTGGATCTTAGTGCCTCTGACCAAGATGAAATAGATAATGATATACAGAGTACTTTAGATTTATTAAATGGAAGATATTCTAAGAGTTCAATTACTGATTTTATATCAGATTTATTTATACAAGAAGGACAGTTTCAACTACCACTCACTTATGTCTTATTTCATTCACTAAAGGTATAGAAGCATAGTAGTTGTTAGATCTCTTAGAATAGTCTAGTAAATTGTCCACGACTTGTTAACAGGGTTCAATTCAGTTTATTTTTACTTTTTATTTTATTTTATTTTCTTGTTTTCACAAGTTTATGTAAATATATTGCTTCATTTAAACGTTAGTATACGCTCACTTTAATTTCGAATAAGTTTTGTGTTTTGGCGCCTTATAGCGCTTACATATTGCATGTATCGTGAAACTGACGTCTCCATAATCAGGCTTTAATAGAAAACAACTATAAACCATCTATACTAGTAATTAAATTTCCTTCCCTTCATATTTTTGGTGTAATTTAACTTGAGGGCAAGATTAGTTTTGGTTTACTTGTCTACATGCCTTTTAAATATTATAATCTTGCTTATATTAGGTCATTATAATAAATAAGAAATAAAGGACAGAATAATACTATGACATTAATAAATAAAGTTATTATCGTATTCTTTACTATTATTTGGGGGAGTTTACGAAACTCTGGAAGTTTAAGGTATGATAATCTTAAATATTTGGTTTTTATTAATTTATCACATCCTAATAACCATACTGATAATATTACAAATACTACAAATATTAATAATATTGCAAGTGATGCAGATATTAAGAATATTACAATTACACATTCAGATATTAAGAACACTACTAGTACTAGAGATAATAAGAATATCACAAATACACATTCAGATAAAGTGTTGAAGAACCAAATCTCAGATTTATATAAGTACATTTCTGAAGTTTTAAATAATCGAAATATAACATATGGTTCACTAACAACAAACTGTTTAAAAGTTTTCCCGAGTTTGATTCCCATATTTAAAAAAATAGCTTTTATGTATCATTTTGAAACATTATCTAATAATATTTATAAAGAAGTTTTATCCAGAAATATTTTATCACCAAATACAAAGATAATTCCATCTAATTTGACAAGTTTAACTTTAATATTAAATGATGAAATTAATAGTACAGTTGATATTTTTAATATTACTACTGGAATAAGTAATCTCAATATGTTCCCTTATTCTAGAACATATAACTTAGCTAATGCATTAGCATCATTTTCTAAAGATAGTTCAAGTTTGATTCTGGAAGTGGAAAGTCTAAAAGATTTAGTTCCTAAAATTTTCTTTGGTAATCATACTAATGTTATTTTACATCCTTTTAATTGTCTCTGTAATATAATTTCTGATACACAATCAGGGTTAAATTTACCTCAAGTTCCCTTAAATAAATGCCTTGAAGTAATTGAATCAATTAATAACTTGAGGGAATCTAGTAATTCTACATTTTTTGATTTAACTCCTGCATCGTTAGGAACTTTTAAGTCAAAACTGTCAATCCCAGACGAATATGTAAGTGAATCTAAATCACTAGAATGGAGAAATTCAAAGGTAATTGGTCAAACTTCTAATATTAATTCAACTGACTTACCAATTCCTCTTGATGGAACTATTCAAAAAAAGAAGATTCTCTATACAACAGTTAGATTAGGTCGAGAATTATTAATGGAACACATATCGGCTACTTCATTGCATAAAGAACAAACTTACTATGATAGTAGAGATATCGCTACAGGATACTCATGTGTTTATACTCCATATAATCAGGGAGAATGTGGCGGTTGTTATGCATTTGTTGCAGTATCTACAATTAATACTGCAACATGTGTTCAAACAGGATTACTTATTGCTTCTTTATCACCACAACAAATTATAGATTGTAGTGGCCAATATGGTAATGAAGGATGTGATGGTGGTTTTTATGCAAACTCATGGAGTTATGCTTTATCATCAAATTCTTCTCCAAATAGTATTTGTAGTTGGGATAATTATCCATATGATGATAATGTAGGAACTTGTACTGCAAGTCAATGTACTGGATGTGAAACAGTTGGATCATATGAGATATTCTCATCATATAGTATTAATGGTACTGATGGATGGGATTTTGTAACAAGTATGTTACCTAGATATGGAGTTATTGCTGTGAGTGTTAACTCGCAATTACCAGGATTTCATGAATATTCAGGTGGAATATATAAGGCTCCTAAGTGCTCATCTAGAGAGGAATTAGATCATGCAGTTTTATTAATAGGATATGGCATTAGTGATCAAGGAGAAAAATATTATGTTATGCAAAATAGTTGGGGAATTACTTGGGGAATTGAAGGTTTTATGAATGTATCTGCTGATAGTTGTGATATGTTCTGGCTCCCAGGAATTATAAACCAATTTCCATCTGATTCAATTAATACATGTCCAGGAAATCCTTCTCTGCTCATTGGACCTAATTATGCAGCACCTGTTATAATTAACACTTCTAATGCTATTTCTCAAAAACCAAGAATATCCATTCTTACAATCATATTAGCATCTATATCTTATTGGATACTTCATTGAGCACTAAATGGTTCATAAGATTTCACAGTTTATCTTTCGAAATATATAATTCTCAGGTATTCAATATTAATTAATACTATTCTAAAATTTAGTATAACCTATCAAATTCACTATCTAATTTATCTAGTTAATTAAATCACTTAATTTTTTTTTTTGTAATTAATTACCTACTAAATATCCACTTAAAATTCTACTATTACATCTTATAAAGGGAAGAGAAATAAGAAGAGTGGGGGGTGTAACATAACAACTAGTGATTTTCATTCTTCATATTTACGCAATTGCGCGCCTTTTTATAGAATTTTTTTTTTTTGAAGTACTTGTTTATATCAGAATAAAATTGTAGGATTTATAATTAGAAGAAATTTGCTTTATAAGATTCACTTTGTAATTTATTTAGCATTACTTTGGCATTACCATCCTCTTTTAGATGAGTTTTGCTAGAAAGAGGATTGCTCAAGAAAGGTCTGAGTGGCGAAAAGATCATCCAGTAGGATTTTCTGCTAAATATGCACCATCAGAAGATGGTGAAGGCCAAAATATGATGAGATGGATTTGTAAAATTCCAGGAAAGAAAGGGGTAGGTGTAATTATAGATTGTTAAGATACTATTAGCTATTTATATCACTATCACTATTTATTATTAATTTTATCTGATTATTTTCTTAGACTTTATGGGAAAGTGGTGAATATACATTAAATGTATCTTTTCCTGAAGATTATCCTGCAAAACCTCCAAAGTGTATTTTTCAACCACCACTATTTCATCCTAATATATATCCGTCAGGTACAGTTTGCTTGTCTATCTTAAATGAAGATGAAGATTGGAAACCCTCTATAACAATGAAGCAAATACTACTTGGAATTCAGGATTTGCTTGATAATCCTAATATTAAATCTCCAGCTCAAGCGGAATCTTATCAACTTTATACAAACAATAGGAACGAATATAATAGAAGGATTAAACAACAAGCCATACAAAATAGACCCTCAGACTAATATTAATAAAGAAGTTTGTATTTTATTAGCACATTGAAAATTCGTTATGCTTATAACTATTAGAATACTAGATCTCTGCTTTATAGATGTACCACCCCCGGTATAACTTTTAGTAAAATGAATTTTACCGCATGACTATTAGTCTTAGTACTATTCTCTGTAATTGATCATTAATGTAAAGATTAATGAAGACTAATGGTCTGCACATAGTGCAAAACCATATAGGTTTTAATTGGGACTTAATTAAATCTGATGTTTTATCTAGTTTATGTTTTAATAACACTGTCAATTTAGATCATTATTTTGTAGGCCAAAATAATATATCAGAACTATGGTTTCAAAAAACAATTGATAGTTTATCCCGAGGTTTTGTACGAATGGTTTCTACAGAGATGCAGATCTATGCAACTAGTCGTTCTACTGGAAGGTATTCATTTTTCATTTCTGATTGTATGGGTGAGAATTTATACAAATTTGATCCCTACAAGAGATCTACAATGCTAAGAGATTTTTTACTAAATACATTGACAAATTCTCTAAAATATTCAAATATACACAAGTCAAATAAATCTCAATATAAATGTAATTCCCCTACTAATAATTTTTCAAATATTGTAAAGAATATATTACAAAATAATGTAGATATGGATTGCTCTATTATACTATGGTGTATATTACCACCTATATCATCTAGGATAATAAAAAGTACAGATAATAATACTTTTCAACAAATGTTAGAATGTATAATTAAGCTATGTCAATTTGAAATGGAAAAGTTATTAGTAAATTTTTGTAATATAGATGTAAATATAATATTTCTATTACACTTCCGGGATACCTTAAAAAAGTTGGATCTAAAATTAGAATTCCCAATAGCTGTAATTTCTAATGAAAGTAGTCAAGTTAAGGTAACATGTTTAGACTCAGAAAAAATAATAGATTTTATGGACATTATAATATGTAAATGCTTTAACTTGGTACCTTTAGAAATTGGATATTTTCCATTATATAATATGAAAAACAATAATTCTATAACTGCCAACTTTTTTATTAATAAAAATGGGAGTTTCCAATATATACTAGATTGTATGTCTAATAATAAAACACTCTGTATTAGTAATAATGCTAAGAGTAATATTAAAGAATTACCTAATATTGAATCTGAAGAATTGCAAATTTCAAAATTATATGAAAATAATAGTGAAAAAAGTAATTGTGAAATTTATATCTCTGATTCTGAAGAAGGAGAAATAATGGATGAGTGTGAATTGAACTTAGTTATTTATCAGGAAGACTTTAATATAAATGGTTGGAATAAGATCATTCCTGTTATAAAATTAGATTTACTTGGTGAAATTAATAACCATTGGCAACCAATATCTACTGATTGGATACCTTTGGCTAATCCTATAGGAAAAAATTCATCTTTTTTATTAAGTGCAATACGAAATCACTTAAATTCTAATGGTTTAGTCTTAGGATATGGTGGAATTCCATTAGCTGTTTTATTGCATTCTATCAATTCAGTAACATATAATAATTCTAAATCAAATATTATTCTAAATAAGTCTTTATCACCATTTACTTTGGCTATTTTGGATAGAAATCCCAGTATAATTACTTCATTATCTAGATTTCTAATATGTGAATATAAAATACATAATGCCTGTAAAGTATATTCAGAAGAATTAAATAATCCAAATATTATTGGTGCTATTTCATGTTTCCTGGAATTATTTAAACAATTTAAAATTTCTTTACCACTTGAAATTGTAAGAGAATCTGGGTATACTTTTCATCCACAAATTTCAATTCATAAAGATGAAATGGTTAATTTAGAATATAAACTAAGTTTAAGAGAATCTATGATTAGGATAAAACAAAATAATTCTTTGTGCTGTCATCTTGATTCACTTTTAAATATAATGCCCATATTATTAAGTGAAATACATTCAGATAATAAAATAGATATAGATAAAGAAATGGAATTCCAATTAAAGCAGGAGACTGAATTATTGAATAAAATAGACTTTAATAGAAAGGCAATAATTCATATTATGTACCCAATTTTACGTAGAACATCTACTATGGAGTTTTTAAAGTCAAATCCATTAGAGGGGTATTCATGGAAATCAAATATTATATCTCAAACTTTAGCATTAGAACAATGTGAAGACTTTTTATCAATGTTTCTTGGATATCAAGTCTTTAAAGGTAAGGTTATTGGTCCAGATAATATTGAAGAAAGTACTATTGAGTGGTTTTTAAATAATTACCATTATTCAAAAAAATATATTCCTTCTTTTATTTGGGAGACTTTATTGAAATTATTATACTCTCTTCGACATGTTTCAAGACAGCATAAAAGACTACTTTATATTATTAATCATGGCAAAGATGTACAGATTTCCGATCATTTAAGCATAAACAGGAATGTAGAAGAACAAATACCGTCTGAGTATTCTAAGGTATTACAAACAATTAAACATAATTCAGCTTCAGAATCACTATATATATGTGATTTATCTCTATATCAACATGAAAAAGTGACATATTATACATCTAATATATCAAACAGATTATTTGATGGCGAGTAGCACTTTTTTAATTATTTAATCCTATCAGAGGATGACTCTAAGTTATAATTTATTAGTATTAATTGTTAAATATAAACCTGAGAAGTAAAACAGAAAATTTAGTGTATTCCAACTTTAATAAGATGACTATCTATGATGTATTTATTGAATAAGATAGATTTAGTTGTCTACACTTATTGGGAAATATTTCCAAAATATATCCAATATAATCAAAGTGTTCTACAATAGTTTAACCAGGATTAGACTCGATTGTGTGGCGGGTGATTAGCGCTACATTAGGCGGTAGTATGTATTACTCACAAATTAAAATTTTTCTAGTTATTCTAATAAAGCTAAGTAGTCTTGTGGATTCTATGAGTATATACAACTAATTTAAAATATTTATTAAAGTTTTATAAATTTCTGAATGTATTAAGATAACCCCATGCAGAGACAATATACTGGATATTATGCATCTGCATCTATAATTGAGGATCAAAATATAAATTCTAGATATAATTTTGGATCTCGTCTACTACATGGTGATTCATTGCAATTTTCCAACTCTTTAAATTTAAATGATATTTATCCTATAAATATTAGCTTAACTGGGAATTTAGGTGATAGGCAAGTTAGAGAATATGATGATTATATAGAGAATTGGGAAGGTGATGAAAATGGTTTAATTTGGGGAAGTAAAGAATCTAAAGATGGGAGTTGGAATGAACAGTGGATTGAACAAAGGAGAATACCGAAAAGTTCCCATTCAAATCAGATATCATCATCAGAATCTGATGATTCAGAGGATAAACAAAGTGATTCAAATGATAGAAATAATAATACAGCTTCATTAGGGCAGTTAAATGGTATAAACTATATAAATCATACCAGATGGACTGAGAAATGGTTTAGAAAAGGCAGAAGAATGTATATTAGGAAACGTATAGAGAAATTATGTGAAAATAATGAAGAAATTAAAGATGTTTGGTATGAAGATATAGAGTGCACTATATGTGATCAAGATAAAACAAAATTAAAAAAAACAAATAGATATGGAAAGAATTCAATTACAGGAGATGAATGGAGAGAAACAATTAAACATGAAGATAATAAGATAATAAGCTATTTAGAAGAAAGAAATTTAACATCTGACATTCCAATACATCACTTTAAAATTACAAAGCTATATCGTGATGGTTCAAAAGAGATTCAAATACGGTCAAATAAACGAGACATTAACTTACGAAGTACTAATAAAGATTCTTTTAAATCACAATATAGTCTATCTACAACTTCTTCTATTGAATCACTAAATAATGATACATATAAATCTGAAACATCAAATAGTTTTTGGGAGGAACATATAAAAGAGGATAGTAATGGGAAAAAGGAAGGTAGAAAAAGTGGTACAGATTCTCAAGGAAATAATTGGTATGAAGTCTGGTTTGAAGAAGAGGATGGAACAAAAGAGAATGATCGTTGGTATTATAATGAGAATCACAGATGGGGAGAAAAATATGGATACTCAAAAATAAGTAATGAATGTTATTCTGTGAAATGGGACATTGATGAGACTGGATCTTCTGCAATTAAATGTATAGAGAAATCTTGGGATAAACCTGGTGAGAATGATAGTTGGGGTGAATATATAAAAGAAGTTGTGGATTATACAGATAATTTGTGTAGTAACAAGCTTAAGTCAACTACAAAAAGCCATTGGTATAATAATGGAAATGAATCATATAAAGAACAATTTCATGAAAAAGCTGAATTTGATAATGAAATTTCTGAAATAGTGCCCATTTCTATTAATAGAGATGGCACAAAATTTGGATTTCGTGTTAGTGATAATGAGTCGTGGGGAGAAGATTGGGAAGAAAATTTAACTATTGATGATGATGGGAATATGATAAGAAAATTTCATTCAACTGATAAATGGTGGGCAAATTCACAAGGTGAAAAGTGGGGTGAAAAACGAAAACTAGAGTTAAAACCTAGAATTAACGATTGTAGTAATGAAGTCACGGTTTCTAGTTCTCCTGATTTATGTCAACATACTATTAAGAATGAAAGTATTTATTCTAATTCTTATATTGAGTATGGTGAAAATTGGCATAAAACAAACCAAGAGGATTTTATAGATAAATGGGAAATTAATGGAAATACTAGTAAAGGCTATAAAACTGGTTGTGATAAAAGAGGTGGTGAAAATAGAACTATATTATGGGAAGAAGAGTGGAATGAATCTACTAATGAGAGAACAGAAAATAAGAAATGGACTGTATATGACCAGAATGGTGAGGTTGAGGTTTGGGGAGAGAATTTTACAAGTGAAGTTAATGGGAAGAAAGTTCGTAATAAGTGGATAAAGAGATTTAATCATACTAATCGTGAAATAGTTGAACAAGAAATAACTGAGAAATGGGAAGATGATGGGAAAGGAAATATAAAGACTTTAAGAGAAGGAAAGGGAGATAATAATTGGTTTTCGGAACAATTTGGTGAATCTCTTGAAAATAGTGAGAAATGGGCTTTTAAAGAAGGATATGATGAACAAGGAACTTGGATTGAAAGATGGTCTGAACGTCCTGGTTATAAAGAAGCTTGGAAAAAAGGTGAAAATTGTTTTGGGGATAGGTGGGAAGAAGAGTGGAAGGAAGATTTTTATAATAAGTGGAAATGGGCACAAAAATCTGGCAAAAATGGAGTTGGGGATGAATGGAAAGAAGAATGGAAAGAAGAAAGTAATCCTGATAATACTAGTAGGAAACATGCATCCAAATATGGGAAAAAACTTAATACTGGTGAAGAATGGAAAGAGGAATGGGGAGAGTTTTATGCTGGTATTGGACATGAGAATATGGGAGATGGAGGAGCCCCTGCAGAATATGTTGAAAAGTGGACTAATAAATATGCTACTGATGGCAATGGAAATGTATGGGGAAATTCTTGGGGTAATAGATGGCAGTGGGACTCTAAAATAAAATCTTGGGGGGATATATGGATTAATGATAAAGTACTAGAAAAGTGGGCCAACTAGGAATTGATCGTTGAGGATAAATTCCTAAGTAACTTTGTACTATTAGGTAATTTCTGTATTAACCTGTAAGAATAAAAATATATTAAAATTCACAAATAGGTAGTTGAAATTTACACATTAAGAGATGCCTTAAATTTAAGTTTATGAAGAATAAAAACTCAGTTTGAGAGTTTAGGAGTGAATTTCATAGGATTGTTACTGAATCACTAATTAGGCGCCTGTGAATTATCAAACGCGCTATTTTTAGAAATCTTTCTAAAGTGAATTTCTCTATATTTAGAACTCTCATTACTTAGAAACATAAACTATGAGTTGGCTAGTGTAGATTTATAAAATATATTTTAAATATATCATGCCCCGTTCAGAAGTAGGTACTCTTAAATGGGTCTCCAAACAGATTAAAGCAAAGGGTCTACAAAAATTACGTTGGTATTGCCAATTATGTGAAAAACAATGTCGTGATGAGAATGGCTTTAAATGCCATAGAATGTCTGAAGGCCATCTACGACAAATGGAGGTTTTTAGTGGGAATCCAAGAAAAATTATGAATGATTATAGTAGACAATTTGAAAGCGCATTTATGCAGTTAATGAAAACTCGATACTCTCGTACAAGAATACTTGCAAACACTGTATATAATGAGGTTATCCATGACAGACAGCATATACATATGAATGCTACTATTTGGACAACACTCTCTGACTTTGTCAAATATCTAGAAGGGACAAAGAAATGTAAAGCTGAGTATACTGAACGTGGTTGGTATATAGAATATATAGATTATGAAAGATTAGAAAGAGAAAAAGAAGAGAATAGAAAGAAGAAATCAAAACAGCTACAAGATGACAAAGAGAGAGCTAAGTTGGAGATGTTAATTATAAATTCAAAAAATAAAAAGGAAGATATTACTTTAAAACCTACAGGAATGCTAAGAAGTAATAAAATTGATGATCAAGATAAAATAACTTTTGAAATAAATAGTTCAAATAATAATATAGCTGTAATTCAGTCTAATTCTATTTTAAGTGATATATTTAATCAGGAATACGATTCAAGTGAAGAATCTAGTAAAACAATTATCCGATCTAGTAGAAAACGATCAAATAGTTTTCCAAGGTATCTATTGGATTGACGTACTCATTCTTAAATATATACTTTTTGTTATTTCTCTTGAGCATATTCAATCACATACATCTTAGCCATATTGTTAAAAGCCTTCATATCCCCTGATCTTATAATATTTCCAGCATCACAATTAAGAGGGCTTTCTGCATTCGGATCATATAATAAAGCAGTAATTGCTCTGCAAACAGATTGTAGAGTCCATGCTGGACTCCAGTTGTTTTTTATCACATCTAAACAAAGTTCACCTACAAATTTAATATTTTTGAATAAGTGACTATACTATATATTTCTAATTAAAAGTAGTAATAACCAATCATACCTGTCTGAAAGTTTACATTTGGATGAAACAATGGAGTTACAAATATTACAGAGGGTGGAAATAGTGGATATTGTGGTGGTATTTTGAAATTAAGTTCAAAGATTCCATTTTCATAAGGAGAACCTATAGGACCAATAATTTTAGCTACCCATTCATGTAAATTATCATCCCTTAGAGAAAATAATATCAAATAATTAAGCTATTTAAGTAAATGGTTCGTATCTTAGAATATATATTTTCATACCTGGGTCCCAATTTTATATCACTATCAGAATATTTTTGAGCTTCCCTAGCCTCAATTATAAGTCTATTTCTACAAGAGCTCATTTAGAAATACAGTTGGATCATAGGAAAAAAATAATAAAGATAATAGGAAACAATGCAATATAAACGTGTAAATAAAGGCGCGAGCGGTAAAAACAAATTAATTAGACTTAGAGACTTCGGAAACTTTAGTAATATGGAAAAAATTTGATGGTTTTAATTAATTTCTAATATTTCCTGTACAAAGTAGATATTTGTTAATGGATTCCTTAGGAATTGAAGGTATTAGGCGTGAACTTTCAGAGCTTATTACATTAAAGGAAAGTGTAAATAGGAAAATAAACAAAATAAATGATAAGAGCAAAGATACAAAGACTTACTCAGCAGAGTTATCTCAAGTAGAAAGTAGAATATCACATCTTGAAGATTCTATTAATAATGACACATATATCGAGAATTCTGAGTTGAGCTCTTTAATGGAAGAAATTAAGAAATGCTTTGAGATACTAAATAAAATAGATGAGGTTCGTGCAGTTAATTGCAGTGATATTAATGAGGTAAATAGTAGCTACACTGGATATATCAGAGATAATGATGTGGATAATCTTATAATATCTAATAATAATGACGAAACTAACCAAATAGGTAATCAGGAATCATTTGATAATTCCAAATCTCATGATATTATAAATAGTCTGGCTAACTTGTCAGTAGATGAAAAACATGAAAAAGTAAATACTGCAAGTAAGAAACTTAAAGATCGTGTAAGTATATTTCCAGAATTAAGTACAATCGCTCTAGATATATCATTTAATCACCGATTGCAACCTCAAGATTCTATTGGGAAACATATACACTATACTCCACGAATGATATGGCATAATCCCTGCTCAAATTTTCCCTCATTACCTCTTAAAAATTTCAATAGCCCATCTTACTTTCAGCAATTGAGCCTCGATACTCTTTTTTTTATCTTCTATTTTCAACAAGGGACATTTCAACAACTCCTAGCAACTCAAGAACTTAAGAAAAAGAAATGGAAATTTCACAAGAAGTGTTTTGCTTGGTTTTATAAAAGATCTGAAAGTAAGGTAATTACTGATGAAACTGAAGTCGCAGATTTCGTTTATTTTGATTTCGAGAAAGATTGGTGCCAGAAGATAAAAAGTGATTTTACTTTTGAGTTTGCACATTTTGACCAGACTTCTCCTATATTGAGTAAATCTAACAATTAGCAATGATAATATCTCATATTGTAAGTTTACCAATATACTATATTAAAATATAGATTTGAGAGTTATCAAGTTATATAATTATTTGATGAATATTTGGGTATCATCTTATTAAAAGTTTCAATTCATTAATAAATATGTTCTTATTACTAAAATGTTTCCAAACACTTTTTTATTTGAAATTTGGGAGATATATAGTGAAATGGGATTTTTCTTTTTGAAGCTACTGCTCTATAGTGTACATTACCACTCTCTTTTGTAGTAGATAGAAATCTATGTTAAGGTTTAAAATTATCTTAGTAGTTTTATATGTAGTCTAAAATAGTATAGTTTGTTTTTTTCATGGCTATAGGTACTTAATAGGTATCATATTTCTTTGAAAATAAATCACTGATCCTTTGAGGATGTCATATATAACCTACCATATTATACCACTACTTTGGGTGCATCACATGGCTTGTGGCGCCTTATTGAGGTGCATAAATGATATTTAGATTCTGAGATATAAGATAACAAGACTAAAATAGGAATGACTATCCAAATGGATAATATAAAAGGTTTTTTAATTGGACACATTAATATCCTATTTATCCGAAGATTATTAATTTTGTAGATATTATTTCTTTGCTAATAAATGTAAAAGTATGTTTACAAGATCTTCACCGAAGCAAACAGATTCTTCTCCTCCGATAAGAAATGCAAAATTTATGAACGGTTCTGCTCCTATAAATAAAAGTTTAGTAGATAGTAGTGTAAATAGTTCAATGTCGGCTAATCAGAAGAATAAAAGCCAAAAGCTGCCTACAGTTAAGAGTCTGGCGAAGAAAAACTTAACAGATATGAAAAATAGGGTTTACACTCCTAGTGAGATTGCTAATTTTCCTCCTACTAGCCCTAATAAATTTGCTAATAATTTGGTAGATAGTGAAAATCCAAATTTAAATACGGTAGTTAATAATTTGGACTCAAGTAATATTTCAAATACTTCACCTTCGGGAGGAGCTACTGCAAATAAGGTACCTAGCTCTAATTTATCACCTGAGGTTGTATTAGCAGATTTAATTAGAAATGATCAGATTAAATTACCTAGTAAACTTGATATTCCAAGTAAATTAGATGAATTTATATATAGTGGAAAACCAGGTTTAACTCCAGGAGTCTCAAGTGAAGCAGGGAGGATTCACGATAATTTAGATTCCCTAAGAAATACCTTTGCAAGATTTGTAGAGTATAGATTTTATGAAAGTACAATAGATAAATCGGATCTCAAGAGTAGGGTATTTATGCGAAATTCTTTGGAAAAACTTAAAGGATTAAATTATCCTACAATTAAAATGAAACAATGGGAGGAATATCAAAAGATGTTAATTGAAGAGAAAAAAAATTTGTTACTTTTTCAAAAACATAGAAGTGATAATCAATCTCTTGATGATGCTTGGTGTCAAACAGAACCCAAATTTTATGAAGATTTCATTAATACTACAATTAGAGATAAATTGAGTGAGCTTAAAAATATAAAGGAAAGTAGAAAGATATTAACAAAAAAATTAAAGAGTCAAGGTTATTTAAGTTTATATGATATTAATGAGGCCAAAGAGGTTATGGATGAAAAGTTCTTAAACCAATTTGGTTTGGGTAATGCATTTTTAGATGAATCTGAGGATTCTGATGATCCAGAATATATAAAATATGAAAATATACTTGATATTTACAAGAATTGCTTTGACAATAATAATGAGAAGGAATTTCGTGAATTAGTTTTTGGAAATATAAAATATAGAAATTTACAAAATTCCAATTTAATTGATGCTAATAAAGATTCTAAGAAAACTCTTAGATCGAAGTTAGTGAACTACTTAGATGAAAAGTTACACTTTTCAGATGTCCAGAAACCTTGGAAATGGGAACAAGAGTTTAAAGTATATATTGGAGATAAATCTATAGAAAATACAAATGTTCGCTCTAGGATAGAAAAAGATAAATATTCCCTTAATTTGGTTGATATACCAAGAGATTTTATTAAAGATATGATAAATATACGTAAGGAATATAAAAAAGAATTAATTAATAATGAAATTATAATAGAGGAGATGAAAGGTATTATCAATAACTGTTCGCATAGGGATGTATGTTCAGAAGCTGCGAAAAAGCAGCTTTATAACATTGATAATATTAAAAAGCATATGCCTGAATATTTAGATACAAGAGATAATACTGAAGAGCAACAAAATATCAAATGTAAAGCTTCAAATAAAGCAGGCAAGTTTAAAAATACTCAGAAAAATAATGTTGTACCACTGAAGAAATTGAAATCATTATCTGATAATAGCTTTGATTCTCCAAACATTGTAGATGATAACTTACAGGGTAATTATTTCGAAAGTAATAGGGTTTTACATGATATTAATATTTTAAGAAGTGCAGCTGGTGTTTTGAATATGTTACAATGTTTGGAAAAGTCTCAGTATGTACATTATAATAGTAAGAAACTCAAGGAACAAATATTAGACGACCTGAATGAAAAAGATATAAAGTTAAATCCAGAAGAAAAGAGTGCATTTGATATGGGAGTTGAGAAGGTAATAAGGGAGATCTTGAATAAAAGAAAATAAATCTTAGTATGATATATTTGAAATATCAATCCGATCATTTCGGTAGGCTATTTTCTTGAAATACAAGATTCATAATCAAGAGTATCTTACTGATTTATAAATTTATTTTTATTGTATATATAATTAGTCTAGCTTAGGGAGTGATAAGATTGACTAAATATTTAGTATTACCTAGGATAATGATTAAATCCTATAGTTTAATTCATAATGAATCACTTTAAAAAAAAAAAAAAAAAAAAAATTATATTTAAGTTGTTATATATTAGAAGCTTATATATACAAAAATATATAAGTAATTATTGGGAATATTCAGTTGTTAATCAAATGAAATGTTTAGTGCAGATAGAGATACAGTAGGTAATATTGGACATAGTATAGGTGATACATTTTCAGTAGTAGTTCCTATGCTATCTTCTATAATATTACAGATATTTTGTTCGTGAATATTGCCATATTGATACTTATTTTTCTCAAATTGGTTATTTCCATCAATTAATCCAATATCAAACTTAAAGTATTCACTTAAATGTGGTACCGGGCTTATCCAGTTGGATGGAGTCTTGCAAAATTGACCATCGGTTTTATTGTGACTATTATAGTTCCTAACTGGTGTACAATTAGGAGATGTCATTGGAAAAACATTAATATCTTCTGTGAACCACTGAGTTACTAGAGGTGCTGAAATAGGGACTAGAAATTCAGATATGCTTTCACTATCTATATTTTGTTTGCTAAAAACATCATCACCTTGAGAATATAGTTGGTAATTCTCTATACGTCTACTGCCTAATTTGGTTGATTTTCTTCTTTTATTTGTATTTTTGGTCCTTTCTTCCTTAATATGTTCAAGTAATTCGGTGTTAGGCATTTCATAAAAATTAACTTCAGTGGTATTTTCTTTATTTTTAGAGTGAAATATTTCTTCATTATTGATTGTATTTAATAGTTTAGATACAGATCCGCTAACTTTTAAGGTATTTTCCCCAAATTTCTTATTTTCTATATTTTGACGGCTATTTTCAAAAGCATCTGAATTTCGATCATTCGGTATATAATTTACACTATTCCCAGTAATATCTTCAATAGTTGTATCGATATTTTTATCTTTAACTTTTTTACTAATTTCAGAATTTAAGTACTTGCATTCAAAAGGATGAAGAGTTCTAGTTCCGTGAACCATATGAATCCATGATATATCAACAATAGGAACAGATATTGATGTTTTAGATTCAAAATTCATTTCCAGGAGCTGCAAAAATTTAATAGTTTCAGTGTCAGTGCAGACTATTAAATTCGAATTAGTTTCTTTAGTAAACTTTGATATTTTTGCACCAAAACAAGGTCCAATAGTATCAACAAAGCAACAAATAGAAGCTCCAAGATCTCTAATTATGTCCTTAATTTGAGATATTGACTTCAGATACTTGTTTGAATATACTAGAGTAACATTCCAACTCCAAAGGGGCCATGGACCTTGTGAAGGTATCAAACTTGACTTATCAGTAGAATTAATCTCATCACTAGTATTTATATTATAAAATGTCCCAATTGTTTCTTCTTTTAGTACTATTTGAAATTTATTTTCTTCATTGCATCCTCTAATTTTCTTTCTCTTATTAATGCGGATCTGTGCACTCCTGAATTCCAATTCATAGCTTTTGTAGTCCACTTTATTTCTTTGATTACAGCTATCTAAGAGCCACTTTGGACTTATAATATGAATTAAATATCCATTTTCACCTAGTGAATGTGAGCATGCCTTCTTTAAATACTCAATATCATTTTTGAATTGAATAAATGATGACCCTTGTAATGTAGAAAGTGGTTGGTATTTTGAGTACTTATCATTATCAGTAAGATCTTCTGCAGATCTCTTATCAAGTTCCTCATTACCTTTATTTCTAGTAATATTGATATCAAATTCGTCATAAGGTAATATTTTAAGATTACCATATTCACTTTTATAAGGAGATAATGAGCAAGGTATAACCAAGATGTGAACAAACTTTTCATTCTTTTCACTAAGGTTTTCAGATATTTTGCCAATAAATTCACTGACTTCTTTAGTACCAGATATTGTAGGTCCATATAGATTCTTTAAGATTCTCTGCATACTATTGGTCCAAATAGCATGACTTAAAGAGGCTTGGCCATGTTTAGAAGAATTATAAATCCGATTCATATGTGGAAACTTGTCTAAAATAATTATGCCAATGTTACTTTGATATCTTTCTAATTCAGTTCTAGTATTAATTGAAGGCCTACTTAAAGGTCCAAAGACATCGGGATCCAATGGCCTCTTTTCAAAGCAAGTTGTAAGAAACCATTCCAAAGTTACAAGATGATAAATTTCTAATGGTAATCTAACAGATTCAGCAATAGTTCGAACTGACTCATTATTAGAAAGGGTTATATTCTCCCCTAAAATACAATAAAATCGCACAACTTGTAGCCAGGAGCAGACGAATCCAGAAAAAGATAGTAGATAAGGAGAATTACTGTACTTTTGCAAATGTTCCTTCCATCCCCTTTCCAATTCCTTTATATTTATTATCTTAGCTCCTTCATCTGAGGCCCTTTCACTAAAATAGTCGAATTTCTCAGTATCAAAACCTAAGAAACAGAGGGCTGTATCAGAAAAAATTTTGAAACTTTGGAGGCTGTTACTTTCGAAAGATAATCTTCTAGGATTTAAACACTCCCCAACTTGTTCCAATCTTTGAAAAGGATTAGTTGTCCCTATTCTATGTAGTAGTTGTTTTCCCATGGGAGTACCTAAAGATACATAATTTGAATTCGAACTTATATTTGAATTAGCAAATCCAACTCCTCTAAAATTCATCCATTGTATATTTGTTGATAATGAGGAAGGTCTATTTCTTACTCCACTTGTAGTTAAGGCTGAATGTTGGAAGTTTGACTGTTGATTAGAATTGTCAAATGAAGATGAAGAAGCTGCAGTATTTTGTAAGTGAAGAGGTAATTGTTGATTTGAACAACTTGAAGCCATATTTGTATGACTCATAGAATCTACTATTCCATTAGAAAGTGAAAAATCCAGTAAAATGCTGGAAAGGGCTGCTGCAGCAACTGTATTGCTTCCAGCAGTTCCGGCTTGCACTGTATTAGTTAGTCCTAAAGAAGCTTGTTGACCAATACTTGAGGAAGAGTGATTACAAATACTAAGCCTTCCATTAGAATGAGGTACTAAATGTTTTGTTAAAGATGAAGATTGATTAATTTGTAGAGGACGTTTTCTTGGTGGAAGAGAGAATGAATGTTGATTATTTTGAAATACTGTTGAATTGAGAAAAGGTATTACTCCAGTTATATTCAAATTAGATGATCCTATTGCATTGTTTATAATACTAAAGTCTGAAGAAGCTAAAACTGGGTTTATCTTAGGATTTGGAAGAACCAGGATATCATCATCTTTAAAGTATACTCTACTTATAGGACGCCACAGAAGTGCCTTATTAACAAGAGATAAGTTTATCGGTTTAATAACATTACATAAAATAGGGAGAATACGATCCCAAACCATATTCAAATTAGATATTTCTGCTGGTAAGAATGGAGGATCTGTAGTGCATTCAAATTTAGTAATTGTTACATTCGAAATATCAGAACAAAGCATTTTTATACCAGTTAAAATATTAGCAAGGGAATATGGAAGTATAAAACCTTCAATTTTTAGTTCATAAAAACCATTAGGTGTAGATTCAGAAGCTTGTATAGAATTAGGTGTATTATGTATATAATTACAGTCACAGGTTGCAGCTTTAAATACTGTATCCCTTACTGGGAAATTAGCTACAATCTTCTTTGTTTCCTTTATAAACCAAAAAGGATCATAATTACTTATTGAACTACGATTTGATTTTATATTTAAAATATTATTATTTAAGGTATTATTAGTATTTTCATCTGCACCAAGTAGTTTATTAGTACTATTAGATTTATTACTAATTGGCCCATTCTTAGATATAACTAAAATATTTGAATTTTGCTTCATATTTGTTTCGAAGCAAGATTTTAAAAGGTGCAAAAATGATACCACATCATCACCAGTAATATAGATAGAACTCCCAGGACTGTGAAATAAAGATTTAATTTGAGAATTATTTTTCGACATTAATCTCTTAATCCTCTCAAATTCATGATAAAATGGTATATTATTTGAGCGAAAAGCCTTTCTCTTTGCAAAACAGCTATGATTACCAAAATATCTAGTATCAATGTCATCAATAGATGAATTGCATACTTGACGAGATACACAAGGAAGAATAGTGCTGGAATTGGATAAATTCTCAGAATCTCTAGAATTATGAGATATATAGCTATAATCTTCATTATTACTTTCAAAATAAGATTTAACTTTTAATCCACTTTTATGTAATAAATCTCTCAATTCAAAACAAGATTTTGGAAATATACATTCTGTTGGAGTAATCATAACAGACCATTCCCTAGCTTCAATATAAGCTTGATAATTCATATTAGATAAATCCCCCCCACTTTTTACTTGACTTCGATGTTGATATGTGTAAGCTTTTAGTAATGATGTTACCAGGTCATTTATTACTACACTTTTCACATTCCCTTCATAAACATAATGTTGTAAATTACAAGTTATCATATGTAGAATCAATGCACATTGAGAAGCATTTATAGGCCTATAATCCTTCGATAATGAACTTCTTGATTCCAAAATCCCAGACATCCCAGAAAGATCTAACGAATTCATTGTGCAACTTGTATGGTGTGGATTTGCTAACAGTGCTGTCAGAGATAACAAAAATGAGCTATTTGACCGTATTGCAACTCCTGTAGATAGTTGCACAGACTTAGAGATTTCCAGTACACCTGCCCATGGAACTGAAGGATAAACACACATTGAGGGCCGATCTGTTCGTCCCTTTCTTTCATTAGTTATCTTATTATTAATATTTCCAGGTTTTTGAATATCAAGTCCATTTTGTCTCAAAATAGAAGATACTTCATTAATTACAAACTGCATTGGTGCACGTGCCGAATTCATATTACCTTCAGAATCCTTAGGATCATTAACAGCTTGTTCTAATATCTCATTTTTATTAATTTTGTCATTGTTTGAATCACTATAACTTATTAACGTATTTGACTCCATACTAAGTTAACTTTTTTTATATATTATAAACAAGCAAATAAGCTAACTATATACCCAACTATGAACTAAGCGTTAATTCCAAAGCTTCTTATTTACCCAAAATATCTAAAGATCCAAAACTCTTTTAATTCTACATATAAGTCAGCTCAATTCCCAATTATACTAAATAAGCAATAAAATATAAATCAAATTCCAACCACAATTTCCTCAACTAAATCAATTAATCTAATAAAACATCATAATATACTCCGAATTTAAGCTTTAGTTCATTACCAGAAGAGTTTCTTTTGACAAAAACTCAAGAATTTACTAAGTTTGTGGGGACTTTTTAGACTCACTCCTGGCGCCCATGCATATTGTGGGCCTGTAATATAACGACAGTAATAATGTGAGCCTATGTATTAAACACTTCTCTATATTAATACAATTAGAAGTTCTTCAAATTTAATATTTGATGCTTTCTATACTACTCTAATAATAGCACTAATCATTTTTTCTAACTTATACTACTGTAGAAGTTAACTTCGTATATACTCTAGTAATTACACTGGAAATCCAAAACATATGCAGGAATTACCATTAAGTAATTGGAGTTTACACTTGTTTCTTGAAATTGTTATTGCATCTAGTAAAGAAAGTGAATGCTCATTTTTATAATCTGACCAAATTTCAAATATTGAAACTGTGAAGAGGTCTATGTCATGATCTGTTACATCCCATAGAATACCTAGTATAAAAGGGCTACCACCAATAAGATAATGGAAAGGTGTACAAAAACATTCATTAGAGCCATAAGACCTCATTCTAGAAGAGCTGCAGCCTATGAGTAAGGCAGGTGGCAAATTATATACTTGTATTTGATTTGACTTTGCATTTGTAAAATGAAAATTTTCTCTAGTTGAAGGAATTCCCTTTTCAAAGGCTTCTCCAGGTAAAAACTTTTCACCAGCCTGATGACCACAGAATAGGTATAGATTAGATTTTTCATTAGACATATTAGTTAATATATCTTTAGGATTTGGGATGAAGTTAGATATTCCCGACTGATTGGAGAATCTAAAGATACTTTTTAAGTAAGGTACAATAAGATTTTCTGTTTGTATAAGATCTCCTGTTGGATTTATACAATAGAAAAGATTACATTGTCTGCATGAGAAAACTGCATAAGGGGAGTTTTCATGCTTTAATTTTGATTTAAAGTGTCTTAAATTTGATAAGGATATACTTGGATGAACTCCACGGGTTATCGGCTGTACAATATTACATTCTAGCCCCTCTAATGGTAAGTTCATAAATAATGGATCCAAGTATAAAATTATGGGATTAGGTAATTGTTTTATTAACAAAGAATTACTTACTTCATCATTTTTGGTAATTTTGTTACTTCTTTTATTTTCTTGATCTAGTTTCGAACTTGAGATTTTTTGTATTATAGGAAGGAGTTTATTCAACAAAAATGTTTTAATTTGATCTTTAATTTTGAAATATCTTAATAACATCTTTATGATATCAATTCCCAAATTACAACTTTTGGTTAATAAAATTAAAATAGATATTTCTATTAAGGCTTTTTCTTCGTCATTAGTGTTGTAGATGGTTAAATCTGTAGTATTTAGTATATTTGAGGTATTTTTAGCATTTCTCCTATTAGATTTTCGAACTTCTGAGGATTTACTATTAATAAAAAGCAATTCTTTTTGAGAAATAATATATTGGTTATTAATAGTATCTATTAGGTTTTCATAATTGAAATATTTTGGCCACCCATGTAATAAAAAGTTCCATTTATTAAATATAAGTGCTTCAAATTTTACTAACCAGATTTTTAATTGATCTTGTATATTCTTTCGTTTAAGCCACCATTTATTTACATATAACTTGTGTGAATAATTGGGTAAACATTCTTTGGAAAGCTGGTTATTATCTATAGGTTCATTAGTAACAATACTGGCTAAATTTTCCTTTTGAATTTGTTCATATTCTTCTAATAAAGATTCCAATGTTTTGTAATGAATTCGGCGTACAACTATGAAGAGTGGCTTTGTAAAAGTAGAATTATCTGGAGCTTCAGAGGATTTGTTTAAGTTGGGATACCTTGAATGTTCATTTGTATTCTTTGTTTCGATTTCTTGATTCCTAAATTCAAGTAAATCTGTAATATATTTGTCACTAAAAAGTGAATTCCCTATAAGTAAACGACTTATTTGTACAATTACATACTCATTGGGATTTTGTTTGCCAATATTACTTTTTAGGAAATAATTACTTATCCTTGAATCCACTTCGTTACACCTAAATCTACAAGTAAATGTAGATAAACGTATAAATATACTAGACCAAGCTAAGTTAATATCATTTAAATCAAATATAGTCTTGCTAAAATCCCAAGAAGATAAAGTGGAGCTTTTTAGAAGGCAATTTAACGTATTTCTATATTCAACTTCAAAAGAAGAACCTTCTTCAAAATTTTCTCGTTGTAGCTGATTAAATAATTTTTGAAATATTCTCATACAATAGATAATATAACATGATTGTACTGAACAAGAAAGAGGCGTTAAAATTCTGATTGTTTCAAGAACTTTGGGTATATGATAATATCCAGTTAACCAATGTAAGCATAGGAGAATATCTAGTATACAAGAGATACAAATATTTATATACTGAAAGTTTTTAATTTTATGGCATAATTGTAGAGTAAAAGTGGCAAAATGTAAGCTATTAATTATATTTACCTTAATATTACAATTGATTAGACCATGATTTTTGTCATTTGCATCAACACTTTTATCGTAAATATTGTATTTTGTGCTAGATGAGTTTTCTTCGTTTTTTTTTATCACAATTTTCTCTTTAATTAACTTTTTCTGTTTAGATTTTCTACTTTTTGTTGATAGAACATCATCTTTAATCTGGTCATTTTTACCAAAAAAACCTATTGTAGACCAAACTTTTTCAAGTTCAGATAAGATAAGATCCTTAAAATCTGCATCAAAGTACTCATTTATATTTGAGAAATTTTCTGAATTGCAGGCTAAAAATAGTATTGTATCTTCATCTTTTTCACTTTTTGAAGTTGTGTTCTTTAAGCTAAGTGCCAGCTGAATACAATTATGAGATAAATCTAAAACAAAACAAATTGCTATATCTGATATAAAATTTATATTATTGTCCAACATATAAAAATTCGAAGTGATTATATCTAAGAGATGTTGATATTTATATTTTGATGTGGGTTTTGTAGACCTAGAAGATAACTTTTGTATACACTGTTTTTGAAATAAGTAAAGCCAACTGTTTTCTTGCTCTAATTTTCCCAATATTTCAAATATGATCTTAGAATAATTTTTAATAGAATCAAAAAATATCTTTGTATCCTCATCGGTATTATTTCTACTTATATGAAAGTATAATAAGCAGTATACAAGAATATTTAAAAGTTTCTGAAATATATTATTTAAGTGGAGACTCTCAGTCTTTGAAGTCTTTATTTTATTTTTGTGTTTATTTTTAATTAAATCAGATATAGGAGAAAATACAAGATTCAAAATTTTGTTGATATTTTTCAATGATTTATTATTTTCATCAGTCATTCTATATATATCTTCATCTGCTTCATCAAATAAATTATTTCTGGATTTTATAATATTATTTTCACTCCATATATCTCCTTCTAGTTGTTTATCAACCACTTTTTCGGAGTATGTAGATTTATTTTTTTCTTCTATTAGTTTATTCACTGAATAGTATAAGTTGTATTGAGGGTTACAACGTCCAATTGAACTAGTTAACAGAAAAGATAACTGATTATATACAATATTTACTGCTTTATAGTAGGAATTTGTCCATTCAGTACAAATATCTAAGGCTCTTTCATAAATTCCAAAACATCTTTCTATAACTCCACATTTCCACCAATACTCGCCCAGTGTGCAAAGTTGTTCAATAGCTAAATTTTTGGAATTTACAAAGGAGTTAGAATAATCTTCCATAATAAGTTTTCCAAGAATATTATGACAAGAAGGAAATTTGATTTTGTAGAGGTAATTTGTTGATTCCATAACCAGTTTGTTGGATTTTGCTAAATCAAGAAATGGAATAGATTTCTTTGGTAACATTTGAATAATTTTATTGGCTTCTAGTATATAAAATAAAGCTATATCTGGTTTATTAGAAGTTAGGAAATATTTTGATAACTTTTTATATACTCTACATAGTGTTACTAAGCAATTAAGTCTATTTTCAGTATTAAAACGGAAAGGGCCAGGAGAATCTTGTAAAATATTTGAAGAATTATCATTAGAAAAGTAAAGAGACTTTTTATATAAACTATCTTCTGTTGATTCTTTAAAAAAATCTGTATTTGAAGTAGTTTTTTTATTATAAATATCTGCAAACATTTCTTTAATAGAATTTAGGCAATCTACTATATTGTTCCAGTCCAAGTCATTACATATTTCTAAACGATATAATTGAAGCTGTAGTAATATTTCAAAACAAAAAGTGTGACTTGAATATATTCCCTGTTGATTTCCAAAACTTGTTAAGCTTGGGTGATTCTGGAGAAAATATAAAAAACCTTTATGAAATATTGCACAAATTTGTTTCCAATGATTATTGTAGGATGTATCAGTTGTAAGTGCAGTGAAACGGTACAGGCAAATTGAGATGACAGATGCTATTTCAAATTGCATTGACAAGATAAAATTTGAAGATGATTGGATGCTAAAGTTTCTCATCAAATTATTTTCAATAAAACTTTTCGTGTTGAAATCTATGATATTTGCAATTTTTTCTATAGACTTTGATTCATCATATTTAATGTCCTCTATACAAAATATCCAGCATGACGAAAGTAGAGAGAGAACAAGTGATAAATGTTTGATAACTCCTTGTTGATAGTTTAAAAGCTCGCATAATGAGATTGACTCTAATATACAATGAAGATATATTTCCAACATTTCAAAAGTTATAGCATTATTAAAGATACTTGACTGATCTATAAATGATTTCTCGCCCTTCCTTATATTATCTTCATTATCTGATTCAAGGGAATCTATCTGAAATCTTACAACGCTATGTGTTCGAGCTAGTTGCATATTACTGCCCATTATAGATTTTGATTTATCTCCTGAACCTTCCTCAAAACGAACTCTTCCTGGAGTTTTAAAGCTAATAGCTGTATCTCTATTTCTAGGCGTTGTGAGTCGCTTTGGTGTGAAAAATTTTTCGTTCTGACCCTTTTCACTTTGTTGATTGGCTGTCATTGAATACAATGGCTTTGGGATTCCCAAGTTATTTATTCCAAGTGAGTCATATTCATCAGTATAACTATTCGAAACAAGCTCGAGACTTTCATTTCCAGTAAGAAAATGTTCCTTCCAAACTGAAGTATTCATTGATATTAACCCTTCAGAATTCACTATACTTTCTGTTTTTGTACAAAGTGTATTAAAACTATTAAGTAAATCGAATGAAACAGAAATATATTCACAAGATTGTCTAGAACTATTCAAACTTGACTTCCACCAAAAGTCTGAGATACTACTTGTAGATTCCATCATCGTTTTAGCTTTAAGCATGTTTATTTTCCCAAGATATAGATAAAGCTGAGACTTGACAATTTCTTCACATTCTCTAGCTTCAAATACATCCAGTAGATGAGATTCAATTTCATTCAATATGCCCATAGCAGCCTCTAAACATGAGTCAAAAGGTAGCAATATATTTTTTTTTATTTTTCTAGAAATAATTATACGATGTATCCAGATCAAAAAATAGTATAGACAGAGTTTAATATCACAGTATATAAAACTATCCAAGATATCTTCACTATTTGGTTTAAATTTGTCTAATATAACGTTATATAACGAAATTAGCCCTGAACAAAATCCATTGTTTATTCCTTTAATATAAGCATTACTATATTTATGATTTACAGAAACCTTACTATTATCTTCTTTATTGTCATTAGCATGCACTATTGTACTACTATGCCTATAGTATGAGTAAAAATAAAGTTCTAGCCTAATCCAAATAAATTCAAAAAAATTAAACGAGTTAAATTGGGGAAAACGGTTGATAATGTCAGAATAGTATTCAGGATTCAACTGAAGTATCTCTAATTTTGATTTGATATACCTGGAGGCCAAGGATTTTAAGACTCCTATAAATGGGTTGCTTATTGAATCCATTGAGGTATAATTTAAATTGAATTTTAGTTCATCAATTTCTAAATAAAATTTCTTTACTAATTTGTCAATTCCAAGAATTTTATTGCATATTATAAAGTAAATTAAGAACCATCTCGTATAATCATCAACAGAATGGAATATTAAACTCAGGCAATCTTCAATATTTGTAAGGATTTCAAAGTACTTTTGAAGCTTCTCATCCCTATTATTTTCATTTTTAAGTTCACTATCACAATAAGCAGCCAAAGCTGAGCTTTCCTGTTCTAATGCTAGTAAAAATAATAAGACATGAATTGGGCAGATAAATGATGATGCCTCTTCGTCCTCTTTATATTCATCTAATGTTATATCGTATCCCTGATTTTTTTTAAATCTAAAACTACTCATTGTGTACTTTTGAATTTTTTTTATAGTCTGAGATCTGACAGTTGATAGTCCTTTTGAATATAATCTTGAGGTAAAAGGTGTCATTAAAGTTTGGTTTGTTGCTCTGGTTCCATTAAAATATTCATGCATAGATGATCTATTTATTGAACTTTTACCCTCATCTGATATCCAAAAGCGTGAAAAAGTTTCTTGAGTTAAATACTCGTCTTTAAACCCAGCTGTTAATTGAAGCTTTAATAAATTAGAATCTCTTGTAGGTGTATTTATTAACCCTCCATTCTGTACTTCTAGTGTAGAATCAAAATCTAAACTCCTAATTTTACTACTTTTATTTACTCTAAGTATTTTATTCTCAGAAGATATCCAAGGAATATTTAAAATAGGAGTCAGGGTATCAAGAGCTAATCTAGCAATTCTTGATGCATCTTTGTAATTTTTGCTAGATCTTAGCTGTGAAGCTAATCTTATTAAATTCTCACTTAAAACTAAGAAAAAATTAAATCTTAATTCGTCAGACAAATACTGATCTTCCATTTTTTGAAAGTATCTATATTTTGATACTCCATCCAAAAATTCATAAATTTTTCTAATTTCCTCATTATCATAACCTCTATATCGAATTAGTCGAATTAATATTTCCGTTGCACATAATCTAGCTTTAAAAGATGTATTTAATATATTATTAGATAATAAATTTAGTGAATTGTCATTTTCTTTATCCTCTTCACCTCTTGTTATTGAATTAATATTAGTAGCCAATTCACCTATTTTTATATTTGAAGAGTTATATGAATTAATAATAAAATCTCCACATGACTCTATTAATGAAATAGACTTTTCAAGTATGCAAACTAATTTAAAAGTAATCTCCCATTTTAATTTTAACTTGTCATTATGAATATCTTCAACTGATTCACTTTTTTTAAGTACCGGTTTAATTATAGATTCAATACAATTTATCCTTAATGCATTGAAGTTTCTACAAAAGTTTAAACAACTCTCTTTACTATTTAGTTTAAGTAAACCAGAATCAAGATAATTCTGTTGAGATGAAATTAGGCAATTCAAAATTACTAAAGTATAAATATCCTCATAATTTAAATGAGAAGAACTTAAAACTCCAATAATCAAATATACCATAGATTCATATAAAGATCCAAGTTTTGAAAAATTTTCCATATTTAATTCTTTGATTTTTCCAGTAAATTTATCCAATAGTAGAGAGCTAGATAAGCATAACCACAATTTAAAACAATGAATTTCTTCTAAGCTACTAAGTCTTAATTTAATACTTAGAAAACATGAGAAGTATTTGAAATATTTATTATTTCTAAGTTCTAACCGATCTTTTCTATTAAATAGAAATAATTCATCTTCCATGTCTATGCTTTTATTGAGATATTTTATATACTTGTGAGTAATTCCAACCATTAAATTTATTAAAGAATTGAACTGAGATATAAATTGAATTACTAGATCAAAATTTATGTGTTTATCATTCAACTTGCTAAACCCTTTTATTAAATGCAAAATTATATTATAAATAGCTTGTGCTGTGTTGCTCAGAAATGGTGATTCCAATGTTTGTTCTAGTAACTCTTGCATATATGTTTTGCTCCAATTAAATTCATCCTCAAGTTGAAATAAAATATATTGATTATAAAATATATGAATCCAGGTCTTATAGACTATTTCTATTTGCCATCCTATTTCAAGGTTAGATTTCGAAATAATGCAAATAAGATCTCTTAAGTGCTTTAACATATCTATGAACAAATTAATCATACAAACCCGAGTATCTAAATCATTCATGTTACTATTCTTAATTTGAGAAATATTTGTATATTGTATTCTGGCACCAAAGTATTGGATCCAAATATTAAGGCATATTTGCCAAAGGTCTGAACATATATTCAAATAATCCTGACTTTTATCTATATCAGTTCCTAAATAATTTTTGCTAGAAATAGACTGACATAATCTTATTATCGAAGACACCAACACTTTTTCAGTATTCCACTGACTCTTATTATTTATTAAATCACTTAATACAAATAATGGAAATACCATTTGAACCAAGTTACAATAGTATCTCAAAAACTCAATTCTTTTCAATTCTATAATACTTATAGTAAAATATCCAAATATATCTGGCAGAAAGCCTATATTTCTAATTAAATATAAATTACACTTTTTATAGTTGCATAACTTGCCATCACTGTGATAAAGAAATATCCCAAAATGCCTTAAAAAAAGCTTTATATTAGAAGCATAAGATTTTGTAAGTCCAAGTTCAAACAATCTGCAAAATAAAATATCAATACTCAAATTGAAATCATCAGGACTTTGTCTTTTATTACTTGGGAGATTTAAGATATCTTCAATTATAGTAGATATAGTATTAACCCCTAAAGTTACAGCATTATTAAATCTCCTTGCTTCATACTCAAACTTAATTTGGCTAGACCATTGCTTTAACATTTAGTGTGAAGCTAAAAAAAAGTTTAGTTCTAGGTATCCAGTATTAGCAGTATGGTTTACTGCCGAAGAAAATTTTAGCCACTTATTATCACAAAGCTTGTTACTGCTTAAAACATGAAAGTTACCGCTATGCTAAGAAAGCCCTAAAAACCTCTTTAGGATCTTTTATATACAAATGAGATTTATTTCTTTCCCTTTGAAATATTTACTCAACAAAAAGTAGAGTCAATCTACTAAGTTAATGACACTATAATATTAGAAGAATTAAAGTTGCTTTATATTGCTCAAGTATGTACTCTAACGTGTAAATATTTACTAGACTTTGTGATAAATAAGGTTAATATTTTGACAAATTATACTATCAAAACATTTAATATAATTATTTTATTAATAATTTGCTCAAAATTAAATCATATTATCTTATCATTGTATAATTTAGATCTTTATTTTTGATTAAGATCCGTTAAATATTAACTTTTATACTTAGCATAAGTAAAAAAATTTCTATATATATGAATCAAAATATCTGAGAAATATTTTTTGCTTATCTAGAATAGGTAGAAGTAGAAATATATATATGTTTTAATACAAGCCAAATTATATAGTAATTTAAAACTTATTTTGAAATGTGATATATTCAAATTTCATAACCTTTAATAGTTAATATTAATATATCTCCTAATATTAAAAATTAGTAATTCAAAGCTAAACATGTCAGGAATTTGATTTCATATAAATTTACAATAGCTCCAACATTTAAAAAAAAAAAATTTTTGAAAGATACATTATTTCAATATTTTCAGGTATAAAGAAATACTTCCAAGATTTATTCACAATTATTTCATCGAAATATTAGTTAAACCTATTTATTTAGTCCATAATCTTTCATTTTTTATTTTTTTTTATATAAAATTTGATTATTTCAAATGATTATTAAAGATTTATTTTAGTTAAAGTACACTTTTTCCCCAGAATCTTTTAAAGAATTTACATTTTCATAGTTTTTAAAATTAATTGTAACCAAAATAATCTTTGTTTTATTTAGAAATTTATTTATATAGTTATTATGTGTGGATTATGATTTCATAGTTTAAAATAATTGATTTTTTTGTTTTTACTTTTTGTATGGTATTTTTTGAACTATTTCTGTGCAATATTGCAGATAATAGCAAAAAAGTTGAAATTTGATATTTTTCAAAAGAAGTTTTTTTGATATGAATATCTTAAAATAGATTCAATAATTACTAATACTTAACAAGGTCTAATTTTAAACTTTTTATTTTCCAATTGTTCATAATTGTCAATATATAATTTATCAATAAAGTATAAATAAAACTATTTTATAGTCTTAAATTTGAGAATAAGAGATCTAATCTAAAAATAAACTTTCATCCTTAGCTTTCTGTTATAGAAATTATGTTTTGAAAAATATCAAATGAAAATATATACTGAAAATTGTCTCGCAAGTTCATTTTTTTTTTTAGTTTCAGATAGATAAAATATACAACAGAAATTAGTTTTTTTTCGATTTTTTTTTCAATTAACCAATGATACTAAATTATGTAATTATATCAGAATACTCAATTCTATAAGTAGACTTCGCCCATCCCAATTTAAATATTGAGATGATGATGTAATTGGGAGGTTTTTAAAGAATATCCTTAGTTCTATCTGTTATAATATCTAGAAATCAACCAATATATGTTTCAAAGATAATATTGTACTTTTAAATAATTTATACACACTTTATAGACTGTTAAGTTAAATAGATTTTTCTTCTCTAATAGGCTATTTTTTCTATAAAATCTCTATCTATTTATTATCAAATGATTTTTTGGAGAAGTAATTCTCTCAAATTTTGAGTATAGCAACATATCTACTCCTTGGCTAGAAATGAAATATTGTCTATAACTACATTGATATCTTAACCTACCAAAACTTCTATACTAAACTTCAGAAAATATTAGTAATCCAAAATATTAAATATGAAAAAAGTCCTTTTAGTATTTAGACTCCTTTGAATTCAACTTTTCTGTTTGATATTACTAAATAATTCACATTTAGTTAAACTTTGAAATTATCTGAGATTTTGAGCTTGATAAATTTTATATCTTCGTTATTTAATATAAGAAAAAGTTTCAGAATAATTTCGAATTTTATTTTATATTGTTAATTCTATGATTTTTTTTTTTGTTTCTAATTATAGATTTAAAGAAATTATCTGAAAGTATTTCCTTCTTAATATATTTTTAGTATTATTTTTTTTTTCTAGTGAATAACATGGCAAATACTATAATCAAATAATTTAGATAGTTTTGGATTACTTGTAGTGGGTTATTTTATAATAAAGATTCTTAAGGTTAAGGTTTCTAATATGAAATTAATTGTTTAAGAGAAGAAAACAAAGATTGAAGATAGTTCTGTATAATCTATAAACTAGTTACATAATTTCATAAATACCAATTCCAAAATATTTAGATTATAATTCTTAAAAATTCATTTCCTCTTCCAAGCTAATATAATCACACATTTTGAATTGAAATATTTTACTGTTTTTAAATAAAGGATTTTTTAATTATAGAAGTGAGTTTAACACTAAACTCTTGTTTAATAAAATAGAAATATTAATTAGAAATTAAGTCAGAAAAGTATTATGTTATATCAGTGATAATAAACAGAATTCTATTTCTTGAATAAAATGTCAGAACTTGAAATTTAATTAAAAAAATGACTAGAATAATTTGATTTTACATAGTTAATAATATGATCTTAAACTACCAGATCGTGTAAGATATCTTCAAATTATTGATATGCCAATAATTATTCTAAATATCCAAAATATAATATTGAATTTTTTCTTGTGAAGAAATTTTGATAAATTAAAGATTCTTATAGAAAATCTAATAGTCTCGTAATTTTTTTTTTTTTTTTTTAATAGGTTATAGACTACAACCAATTTTCTCATATACTAAAATTTTATAAATGAGAATTTTCATTTTTGAATAATTTATTATTAATTAAAGAAAGATCTAATAAATCTAAATTTTGCTAAATTATCTAAAGAACAGCTTGATATGTAATACTATATTACTCTGAAAGGTAAAAGTGTTGAATATTCATTAATGCTCTTGATAAATAACAATTACTTGCAAAGCCTTGTAATTTTAATAAATAGGAATAAATTAGTGCATATTTAAACACTCAATTCAAACAATTTAGTTTTAGCTTAAATTCCCGATACTTATTTATATTAAGGTGTAGACAATCAATTTAAACAAATATAGTATTCTCGAAGGACCATTAGATTTAGCCATAACAAGAGATAAACTAAAAAATATTATAATAAATATTAACAAATTTTCATTCAATTCAAAACTCAAATATTTGTAATTCTCATATTTTATAATAGGGTATGGAAAATATCCAAAATTTAACAAAAACAAATAATTAACTCTTAAATAAATTGCAAATTGATAATTTGGGGATATGTAAATTTATATAAAAGTTCTAACTTTCACCTTATAATTTGCAATTTTGATAACTTTTTTTATTTGTAGATAAACCAAGATAATTTGATATCTTGTTTACTTTCATATTTATGAAAGTCTAATAAGCTAAGATATAATTAGAATACAAATAAAACATTTAATAAATTCATTCTTTATTACAAGAAAACTCATAATTTAAAGGTCTTTATAGGATACTCAAAATATTTATTTTGAAGTTTCTCTAAAAATATACTCTTCTATAGTTTATATATTTAAATCAATATGCTACTATTTGAACCTCATTAGTTGAATAATTTTTTTTTAAAAAGTTTTAATTTTAGTATCTAAAAAAATTTTCAAGCTACTTTATCATCATAAAAAAGATTTATTGAGAGATGTAAATAATTGCTTATCGAATTTTATTTAATCATTTTTTTTGTTGGAAATATTCCTAAAAAATAATATAATTGAGTATTTGTAATATAATTGATAATAAACAGCATAATTTTATCTTATTTAGATTTTTTTTTTTAGTTTTTAAAAGATAATTGAGGTATCAGAAATTAGAATATCATGGAAATTAAAAACTTACAAATAGATCGCTTGAAATAAAGAAGGAATTTAGTTATTTCATAAGTTTAATAACAAGATTTTTTAGATTTAGAGTTATCTAATTACTAAATAAACAAAATAAAAAAATGATATATTAGTAAACTTAACAAAAATAACTCTAAAGATTAGGTAGATATATAGTTAATTAGATAGGTGGTGACATATTAAAAGTGTATCCAATAATACAATAACAGATCATTATAGTAATAAATAAAGCTAATAAAATACTAACTTTATACTCAATCTGTTCGATATTATTTCAATAAAGTTATAAAAAGATCATTACTTTGTAGTTTATATTATAATAATTATTTTAAAAGATTGATATATTTAGATAAATTTATTCTTTTGTTAAAATTTGATGAGGTACTGCTTGATAACTTAGTTGAGTATTAATAGAAATATGTGATGAAATGTAACTAACATTTTGTCAAAAATACCTTGCAAATTAAGTTATATATCTTAATTCTATATAAGGCATATTGATAATAAATTACATATAAGTTTAGACTTTTAATTATAACAAGAATGAAGTAGAGGATACAGTTAACATCTAATATTGCAATGCAATGGACACTTATACCTAATATTTAGATCTGTATAAAGTTTATATTTGATCTTGGTACTAATTTTTCTTTTATTAATAATATTATAAATATCTTTAAATTTGTTATAAAAAGGATTGAGGTATTATATTGAGTTAGTAGTAATATAAATTTGCTATATATATATCTTATAATCTCTTTTTACAGGAATTATAGAAGTATTAATTAATAACCTAGCTACGGCTATAAACAAAATTTATTCTTCATATTTATAGTATCAAGAAATCTAATATAAATGGAAAATTTCACATATATTTCTATTCTTAAGATACAAAACTGTTTAATTATCTCGATGGTTTAACTTTATTTGACAAATCTAACTATAATATAATATGCTCATTTCTGAATTATTAATCACATAAATAGTTCAATATTTATTTTAATTAAATTAATTTCTATTAATAACTTTTTATATACTGAAATATAATTACTTGTTATATACTAATTTTATAAAGTTATCAAAAATAAGTTATTCAAACTCATATATGTAACATTTCATAAAATAAGTGAATTCAAGTAATTTATTAAAGATAAATTTATATAAAATAATGTATAAATAATAAATTTTATTTGATTTAGAAATAAAAACCATTCAAATTTAAAGATTCCACTATTTTATTAAAATATATTTTAATTCATTATTAAACTTATTCTTATCTCCAGTTATACAAGTATAAATTGAATATCAATATAATTTCTGGATAATAATTAATATATTAAAAAGTTTGCTTTAAATAATCTTCAAAAATACCTCTTTTATCAATAGATAAATTATCTTTATTTTCAATATATAATTTTGTAGTTTCGCTTAGTATATTAAATAAAGCATTTGATGTTTTTTTCCATTCTATCGTATAATTCATATCTTTTTTATTGTTTATGTAGCAACATATTTGCATCTTATTTATATCTATCCATGTCTTCCATGTAATCTCTAAAGAATCATGAGGTATTGGATTGTAATGATCAAATCCATACATTATTAGTGTACGTATTGCATTTAATCTAACTTTTACAAATTCACTTTTATTACTTATTATTTTACAAAGATTATCCCATATTTCCATATATATTTTTAAAGTTGAAAAATCAGATTTTAAAAGTTCCTTGAATGTGGAATTCATAAATATCATTCCAATTGCATATATTGCATTCCACTTTAGTTTCTTTATTCGTAAAGATGTATCTCTTGATTGCTGAATAGTATTATTTAGTAAGTTTAACACCCATAAAAGTATATCATTATTATACTTTTCAAATATGATGAGTCTGGATATATAACCTAATACACGTATGAGCTGAGAATTACATTTTAATGTAATCTTTAAATTATCATAAAGTTTGTTATTTTCAATATAATATTTAAATGATTGCAACATTGAAAACCAATTTATTGAGTAAATAGAATATTTATTCAATTGATCAAATTGATTATTTCTTGGAGTATAGTTAACAGATATAATTGATGGAGCTGTTATACATAATTGTTTACGATTATTCAAATAATTCATGGTAGAATTATCATCCCTTTCTTGAAATAAGCTTATAGTAATTATTGAATTAATTACAATATTTTCAATATTAATGCTTAATTGATGTTTATTATTATTCAATATTTCAACTAATTTTGTTATAATGTAATTTTCAAGAAGGTTTCTAATGGATATATCTGAAACTTTATTATTTTTACCAAGTAATGTATAGAATATAGATGGTATACAAATAATTGAATCAGAATAGATATAATATGTCATTAAACATTGAATTGTACATATTAATAATTTATTATCATTCAAATTATTAAATATATTTATTAAGATTGCTAAAAAACTTGTTTCTCTATTATATATAATATCTTGAAACATATCTTCAGTATCTTGAGGAAATATATAGCTAAAGAAATTGAGTATATAAGGTAAAAGCTCCATATTATTCAAATATACTGTTTTATTAAGCGAAGGATATTTTTCAGATAATATATATTTCCAAAATTCTAGTTGACTTGAAAATATATAAGCTTGTAGTTTTTGTACAAAACTCCACAATTCATTATAAAATTCAGTTGTAAAATTTATTTTTCTATTTCTATTATTACAATTAATATCAACATTGTCATCCCAGTTTAAAGGATAATCTAATTCAATTGCCTCATTCTTGAAAAGTAACAAACTTCCCTTATAATTAATCGCAATTTTTAGTAAAGACTCTAAAATCTGAAATAAACGTAAATATATCATAGATTCATATACTTCAAAATTATCTAACAATAATATATTTAAAATACTAAAAAGTAAATTCTGGGATTCTTTTAATTCCATAGTTACTTGTGACTCATTTACATAAGGTATTAATAAAAATGGAGCTGTATCTAAACACTTCAATATTATATTAAGTCCTTCTCTAATATATAAATCTGGAGATTTATTATATAAATTGCAGAATTTAGAGTTACTTTGAAATATATCTGTGTGTTTCAATGCATTATTATCATTAATTAATATAATATATATATGTGTAGTTTTGATAGCATTAAAGAATAATTTTCTAAACAACTTCAAAATAATTTCTAGTGACAATTCTTGTAATATATTTGAATTTAATAAATTTGAAAGCAATTGAAATACAGGTACCATTAAAAATTCTTTCGTAATTGCCAAATTAAGAATTAATGAAAGTGAATATATAAGAGAATTATTAATATTTTGATCATTTATCCAAAGAATTGAAGGAGTTTTAGTAATGCAGTTTGACAAAACTCTTAATAAAGCTGTTATTGTGTCACTACAATATATATCTGAATCTAATAAATGTTGACCAAATTGTAATAGTAATATTATTAAATCTTTAATTATATCTGAAAATAATTGTGAAGTAGTAACAAAACTTGAATTTATTTTATACCCATTAAAACATTCCCTTATATTATTAGATCTCAGTAATGGACATTCAAATATTGCTTGAATACAATGAATAGATGCTACTCTAATCTTTGAGTTGTTACTAAACAATGAAATTGCAATAATTGGTACTGGATTCGAAATATTCTTCAATATTGCAATAAAACTATGTGATAGAATATCCAAAGTATAATTATTAGTATAATTATCACTTAAATTATTCCAAAATTTTGGATAAAGAATCATATTCCATTTATCTGTAAGTTCTAACTTATATATCTTAAATAATTTTTCAAGACATTGCAAAGATAATATTTGAATCTTAATATGTATTGAATGTTCAAAAGATATATTTAAAATATTATAAGGAATAGTAAATCGTAATAATAATAAAATAATAGATAGAGTTACTGTATTTGTTGCACATAATATACCAGTATTTATGTTAGTGCAATATTTCAAATAATCAATAGTAGCATTGAGATCTTTTAAAACTTTTAATAATAGAGATAGACATGAGTTAGATCCTTTTTCATAGTTAACATTGCTATCTTCATCATTTGTAGATCCATTTCCTGGATTTAATAATATATTTGAAGAATTATTTTCCAGAGAGTTACTTAAACTGATATCTTTATTATGATAAAATTGACAAAATTTCTCAAGTCCTATTTGAAAACATCTTAATATTAAATTAAGTACTTTAGTATCATTAATCGTATTATTAGAATTACTTTCTATAAAATTTATTAGTAACTTAATTTCCTGTAGTTCATTACATATACTTACTATTACTCTTGAATTTAACATAATATATTCATTATTAAGTTTATTATGGCCACTAAATTGTTTTAGAAAATGTTCACATTTATTAGTAATATTAATTATCCAAGTAGTATCTATTTCAATCATTTTTTCTTGTGTAATAGATTATTGTCAAATTTTTTTTTTTTTTGTTTTCTCTTAAACCATATATTCACATTATAAAAACCTTTTTAAAAGTATTGGTATATGTATTTAAAGAAAGTTTGATTCGACAATTAAAGTAGAAGAAAGAATATTTCATTAACAATTTTAATCATCATAATTTTTTTTTTTAATTAGGCCAAAAAATAATAAAAAAGGTACCTATTACTTAATTCTAATAACCGGTACCTTTTATATTAGGCGGGATATATTATTATTTAATTTGGCGGATCTAAATTTAATAATTTACTAAAGGAACTCTTGCTTTATAAATAAAATGACGGATAATTTAAATGAGAGCAACTTTAGAGAATATCTTACATACGATTTAGATGAAATTATTCCTATTGGGTCAACTGATATAGATAACAAAATCAGATTTAAGGAAATAACTAATAAGAGATCATTAGAATATTCACAAGGATTTAAATCTTTGTCTGCATATGATTTTGTATTTCCCTTATCTAAACAATTATGTAGTGATTCAATAACAAAAAAAGCTGCAGATATTATTATGGAAATTGTTGAATTTAGACTGAGACAAATTTTGCAAGACTCAATAAAATATTCTTTTAAAAGGGGTGGTAGTGGCCCCTTAAAAGTATATTCAAATTATACAAAGAAAAATTTATTATATATATCATTAAATGACTTAAAAAGTGCAATAACTTGTATAGCTGGACTTCCAAATGTTATTTCTGAAAGATATTCAGCAAAACAATCTAAATATTGTCCTTATATAACTTGTAATTCTAACCCTAAATATATGATAACTGAAGTAAATAAAGATGCATTTAGACTTTTCCCTGGGAGAGTTGCAGAATATTTTGTTTATTTTAGAAAATCTAATGTAAATTTGAATTTATTTATGCCAATATCTAATATAAATGAAAATAAATCATCTACAAATAATGAATTAGATTTTTTCCATTCAATTATATTACAAATGGATAATGAAATTCCTATTGAACCAATATTAAATATACATTGGCTCGCAGTAGATGGAAAATTTGTATCAGAACCTAACAATGATTTTAAATATATTTCAAATTATTTAAATAAAAATAAATTATCTAAATCAAATTCTATTATAGCTATTGAATCAGTATTTTATCAAAATATATTATATGACTCTAATATATCAGAAAATATGAAAATATTAATAAATCAGGGATTAGAAGGTTCACTTCCTGATGAACAAAAAGATTATTTAATATATTTAACTAAACTATTTAGACGTGGTTTTGAAGGATATTGGTATAATTCTTGGATTTTAAATTATAAAGGTCCAAAATGTTTATCTAATAAATTATGTAGATTAAGAGATGTATATGGTTTATCTGAGAAGGATCTTGATTCTATATCATCTATATTAACAATAGATAAAAGCTCAAATTTCAAAATGGATGATGATCATGAATATAATGAAAAACAACTTGAAATTTTATTACAAAAACAATTAATGAAAGATAATGGTAATATACAAAATCTTACAGGATTAGAACTTTATTTAAAAATTGAGAGATCATTAAATCGTTTAGAATCAAGTACAATGTTAGAACCACTATTGTCACATTTAATAAACTTTATTTATTATAATACTTATCAACTTTGTAATAATTTTCAAAATTTTGGGACTCTTCCTCCAGCAGGATCTATAAGGCTTATAATCCGCATTATTAATTCACTTATAAGCAATCAATATTGTTCAAATATTACTTTATATATACATTTAATTACTGAATCTTTATTAAAAATAATCATTGTATGCCCTATAAAGTACAAAGAATATTATAAAAATAATTCAAAATTAAAAGATATATCTAGATTTGAAAATAATCTAACTAATTTATCAAATATACAAATTTCAACTTTTATGTTAATTGATAATATTTTAGCAAGACAAGAAGCAGCTCAAACTTTAGAACGTATTATTATTTTATGTAAAAGAATTTTACCAATTGGTGCTAATAAATTAGTTAATAAATTATATAAATTTTATCAAGAATTTTTAATTAAAAATGTTTCTTGTTTATCAAAAGTTAATATATTTGAGATTGCAGCAATATATGGTGTTATTTGGGGAATTAAAGGTCTTGGAGAAATTGCAATTTTTACACTTTTATTACCAAGGCTTCCAATATTTCTTTCATTTTATCCAGATAATTATGATATGAAAGTATGTTATAGTTTATTACATACTTCATTAATTTCAATTATATCAAATATGGTCAATTCTATTTCAAATATATATAACAATATAAAAGATCACTTTACAAATATTTTATTACAACATTGGGTTAATATAATCAATAAAATATTTCAAATATCAGGAGATTCAGTTATTCCTATTTTTATGGCTTATTATAATAACAATCAATATGATTTACAAGAAACTGTCTGTTTTCTAAATAATTGTTTATTTAATAATTCATTTGATAATTTTATTACTTGTCCTATTTCTAAGAAAATACCAAAATTACAAACTGCTACTCAATTATGTAGTGAATATTTCAAAAGAGATTTACTAAATGAACAACAAAATACAAATTCAAAGTTTATTAAGGATAATGATATAAAACATCTCACTAGTTCATATTTATTTTTAATATTATAATTATTTATTTATTTCTATCTTATTTAAATCTTTTTTCTTTATAATATCTAACAATATATAATTATATAAATTAATATCACTTTTTTCTTTTCCATTTTAAATTTTTCACATAAAAATTTTACTAGAAATAGTTAAATCATAATCATTGAAGGGATCATATTTCCTGCTATTTTCATTGGATATGTTAAAATATATGCTTCATTTGTTAAACTTTTCTTTAATTTCCCACTAGTATTATTACTTTTAAATTCTTCTCTTAATTTGTTTATTGATTCTTTCATACTAGTTCTATTTCCAAATAGAGCATATTCAGGTATCTTAATATACTTATTATTTTCAATCTTTATAAAATAAGTCCCACTCTAAAAGTAAATTTTATATAAAAGTAATTTTATAATTATTAACTAATCAAATAATAGTGTTGAAATATTCAATAGATCATACCTCATATTTAATCCTAGGTCCTCCTGGTCTATTACATTCTCTCATTTCTATAAATTCTCTACTACATCCACTTTTATTAGGTTTTCTAAATTATCCAAAATTATATAAATCAACTTTTTATTTAATTTTATATATTACAATAATTCTTACCGTATACATTTTATTAGGGATTTTAATTCATTTATACAATAATTCCTTTGTGTATTATTTGAACATGCTTCTAGTTGTAGTTCTAAATCTTTACACTTTCTTGATTCTAAATTTGATTTACGTAGACATCTAAAATATTCCTTCTGAAGTTCATTACAAGTTCTAATATTAAGTTCCATTAAAATGTTTAATATATAATATTTAAGAAAGTTAAAAAAAAAAAATGACGCTTAAGGCGGGTTATTTTCATTTTTTTTATTTAAGATTTTTATTATTTTTATTAATATTAAAATTTCAGCTAAAATTTATTATTAAAATTAATAAATATAATCTAAGATGTTTTATATATATCCTATTATAATATAAATAATTATATGTATAATATATAATATATGAATAATATTTAGGTAATTAATAAATTTTGTGTGTATATATGAATATCACACAAAATGTCATTATAACTTTAAGATTTTTATTTTTTAATTTATATTAGAAATTATTTTGTTCTTAGTGAAGATTTATATATTTATTATATATAATGAAGCTAAATAGATTGAAATTATTTAATATGATATTTTTGATAATTATATATATTAGATATTATCAATGTTTTGAAAGATTAAAAATAACACCTTATATTATTAAACAATTAAATGATGGTGAAATAACACTTACAGAATTATTAGACCATTTCATTGTACCAACTGATATTATAGTTTCATATTTACAGAAAGTATCACCATCATCTCAAAAAAATCTACAAATTGACTTAGATGGTATACTTGCACAAGTATTTGAAATAGGAGGAACTGTATATATAGGTGGTATACCACCAAAACAAGAAGATAAATTAACAATATATGAAAGATTAAGAGATTTATCTGATCCAGGAAATCCTGGAAGAAGATGGTGTTGGAAATTTGTAAAACATGTTCAAGTAAGTTAATGTAAATTATTTTTACAAAAATTAGTAAATTAAGATCATATTATAATTATTATTAAGACTATTTTATTTAAATATACCTTTTTTTTTTAGGCACCTTATAATTGGGGTCATATTACAAATTTTGAGAATTGTGAATTTGCAGGTGATGATGCTAGATACCAAATTACAGAAGATGCTGCTTGTACAAATACAGGAGGAATGGAAGTTAGTTCAATTTTTCAAGGCACCTTCACAAATTACGAATTATCATGTATCTCAAGAAGAATTGCAAGATTATCATCTGCTGATTCATGTTGGATTGTAGATAAAGCAGTAAATGAAGAGATGATTCATAATACTGACATTCCTTTACAGAGAAGTACCCCTTCACCAATGAGAGTAAAAATTTCCACTAAACCACATATAATATTAAAAAGACTTTTTGGAATTGAATCACAGGCCTGTAATCCAGAGAATCTCGTTGCTCCATTTAAAGGTCTTGATGGAACTGCTTTGATTGCTTCTAGATTTAATAGGGCTGCAGGAGGTATTGAACATTTACAAAGATGTGATGGGTCACAATATATAGAAGTACTTGTTGAATTAGAGGATAATTCATATGGAGATATTGTTTGTATACCAGATCCTCCTCATCCAACATGGTTATGTTCAGGTCCAGGAGTATTTTGTAAACCATTTTAAAAATTATAACAAAATTAATGAATATATATATATATATATATATATATGTATACATTTCTTTTTTTTGAATAAATAATCTAACAATGAGTGCTGTATCATAATTTATATATACAAATATATATTCTTTTTTTTTTTTTAAATTTTAAATTCATCAAACCATGGATTTTCCAAAGCTTCCAAAGCTGAAATTCTTTTATTTGGATCGTATAATAACATTCTAAAAGGAAATTTAATATAATTACTAAAGTTTTATTTAGAAAATAAAAAACAGTTTATAATTTTATAATTTTTAATATTTAACTTACCTTTTAATAAGACATTTTGCATGATTATCTTTAAATAAATCTTCATTCTTGCCACTTTTTATTAATAAGTTATCTATCCAATAATCATTAATTTTCCAATGAGGCCATTCATTACTAAAGTCAGGAAGTGTATTAACTTCATTCCATACATCTTTATTAGGTGTGCCAAGTAACTGAAATATTTTATATAATGTTGCTATCTCAGAATCACCCCAAAATATTGGTCTACCAATAATTAATTCAAGAAATATGCAGCCTATACTCCAAATATCAACCGCATTTGTATAATGTTTCATTCCTAATAATAATTCTGGTGCACGATACCATAACGTAACAACTTCTCTAGTAAGAGTTTTTAATGGGAAAGAATAGAGTCTTGCTAGACCAAAATCTGCTATTTTTACTTTTGGATAATACTTATTATCTGTAACAAGTATATTTTGAGGTTTTAAATCTCTATGGACAATTCTTCCAGAATGTAGATAACAAACCCCTTTTAATATCTCATAAATTATATATTTAGCTAGACTGTAAGGTAAGATTTTTTGTGGAAACATCCTAATAAAACGTTTTAAGTCATATGAAATATATTCAAATATTATATGAATACTATTTTTAGCAATAAATATATCCAATAAATTTACAATATTAGGATGATTTAACTCTCGTAAAATAGATATTTCTCTTAATGTTGTTGTAGTAATTTCCTCAGTATTATTACGGAAGTACTTAATTGCAAATGTTTTACCAGTATGTTTACAACGGCAACGATAAACTACACCATAAGTACCTTCACCAACAATTTCTAAACGTTCATAATCTCGTAATACTTCATTATTGGTTTCATCATCTGCATATATTATTCCATTAGAGCCACGTAATAATTTATGCAACATAAAAATTGAGAGAATATCAACATCCCAAGGTTACAACAAAATTAGAAAAAAAGTTGTAATATAAAAACCAAGTTCTTTAATTTCCATACAACTCTCTTATACCCATTTAATGATAATAAGAATCTAATTCTTTTAAATATAATTCAAAGTTTCAATATTTACCCCATAAATTTGTCTACACACGTGTAATATAATTTGATTAACATGCAAAATACCGGTTATACATTCTATACCGGCCTTGCATATAAAAAAAAATATTAAAAAAGAAAAAATGCATACATATGTTGCATGCAAAAATTCAATTCACTTTAAAATATTTAGAATTTCTTAAAAAAATTAATTTAAGGTAATAAATATAGAATTATCTGAATATAAAAAAAAAAAAAAAGAGATATTACTCTACTTTATGTCTTTTTTTTTTCTTTCAAGTATCTCTATAAGAATAACAGTGTCTTAATTATATAATAATCTAACTGGAGCATCAGAAGATTGTTCAATAGCTTCCCACCATGCAGTATATCCTATTGAATCATCTAATCTATAATTAAGTTCAGTGTCTTTACATAATTTTCTAAATTTATTATTTGCTGTTTGTAAACCAATACATTGAATTTTAGAAACATAGACTTGGTTCTCAGTATTAACATTTAAATCCCATACTGGACCTTCTTTTCTCAAGGTAATATCTGCTTGACTGCATTTAAAATAATATTCAATACAACATTTTTCCCATGGGACAATATCAAGATCTATTTTGCACTGTACTTCATTTAAATCATTAAAATTAGAAGTATCATCATCAGTTTGAAATTCTATAAAATAATTATTAGTTAATTCATCATTATTTAGATCTGTATTATTTCCACTATTATGTTTTATTGAAAGATAAGATTTCCAAGAACAATAAATAACTCGATTATTTTTACCATTTTGATCATTCTTTGGAGCATATATCCATATAAGAGTACCATCAATACTAATATGAATAGAAGATAAACATTGAATAATTCTATAAAATATTTCATTATTAATATCTTGATAATTTTCATCTTCAAGTGGTAAGAAATATTTTACATTAATACTTCTTAAAGTTCCAAATTTTTTTAATATATTATACATTTGAAATAATATAGTTTCGTATTTTACTGGTGAATAATCAAACCATATCGTCTTAGATGATTTATGTAATGATAATAATTGATAAGCTTCCATAACACAATTACAAAATGGTGATCTAGTCATTACATGTTTATTATATTTCCAAATAACTTTAAGGTATTGTTTCATCATATTAATAGGAATATCTAAAATTACTGCTTCAATATCTGGTCTTGACTCTAATACAGAAGATAAATAATCAAAATTATCTAATGAAAAGTCTTTATTACCATCAAAAAGAATTAATTCATCAAGATGATGGTTATTATATCCAATATCTTTAAAATATTTATATAAATCAAGGCATTTATTATATGAATTTATTATTGGAAAAATTCCAATACAATTATACATTGTATCAAATTGTAATGTTGGTATTATATCCATAAATAACCAACTAGTTGTACATCCTATTATTATATAAGAAATACTTTTAGATAAATCTAAAAATTCAGACCTAAAGTCTATTGCTGGTTGATACTTATCATCTATTTCTAATGCTTTTTCGCAATAATATTTGGAATTAATCTGATCTTTTTTGGATTGGTAACATTTAGCAAGATTAATATATGTTGATGGATGAATAGAATTAGGATATAATATTAGACTTTGTTTAAAATAAAAAATTGCTTCGGAAACAAAACCACTTTTTAAACATACTTGTGCTAATATATCACATACATCAATTGAAATTTCTAATGGATATATATTTTTATAAACCTGTTTTAAATCATATAAAATATCACTACGCTGGCGAATATTTAGATTATTTATATTATCTAATATTCCTCTCCTTAACATCCAAAAAACATATGGATCATGTCCACTACATCGTAATATACTTAAAAATGTTTTTAATTCAGGATTGAAATGATAACAAATTTTATTTGTTAAGTCTGTATTATAATTTAAAATATTCCTTGTTTCAAAACTTCTTTGAATATTAAGTAATGTATCAGGAATTAATTCATCCATTGAATCTATAAAAGAAGCAATAGTTCTTGGTATATTTGACTTATTTTTACCTGATATACAAGTAATTTGGAAAGTATCTTTATATCTTGTTGCAATAGAATATCCTCCAAGAAAATCAAAATATAATTTTATTGCATGTAAATTTACCATAAAACTCATACATCCATGGATAGCAATATGTGGTATACGTATACTATTAAATTCAGATTCATCTGGATATCCTTTATCACCAATTAATACAAGTAAATTCCCATTACTAAATTCATGAAAATTTCTTAACATTTTTATAGCACCAATTGGTAATACAAAAGATAATTTCCTATTATATGAAATATATGATTTAATTACGGATCTCATTATTTCATCATTTTCAATATATTCCAATTTATTATCACTTTTAATATCTTCTAATATATTATTATTATTAAAATTATCTATCACATTCATATTCTCATCTCTGTTATTTAATATAGATTCATTTAAATCTACTTTTAACCAAGACCATTGTAATGACATTCTATTTGTAATATCTGGATGTGTTATATCATCTTCTTTATTTATAGAATATACTGAAACTAATGATCTGTAAATATTATCAAAAGATTCTATTGCTATTGAATCTGTTAATAATGAATCTAAGACATAATTACAAATTAAAATTATTGGTGAATCTGATTTTATCTTTTCTTTTTTATCAGTTCCAATAATTATGTCATCTGGAGTATTATTATTTGCATCAAATAGTGCAAAATCAAGCCACTTTTTTTCTGAAAATTCATTTAAAACATTTCCTTTATCTGATAAAAAGTTAATATTTTCTTTAGTGATATCAGTAAAAATATATTTAAAAGGTATATCTGGATATCCTAAATCATTCCATATTATTTCATACTTCTCTAATGCTCTTAAAACTATATATGTAAATCTACCATGGCCACCGCCAACTTCAATTATTTGTACTTTTCTAAAGTCATTATTTGAATTAAAGTCAAGTATATAATTATGAATTAATCTAGCATAACATTTTGCAAGACGGGTATTTGAAGTAATAAAACTTGGCACTTTATTTTCACGCCAAGCATCTATTGATTTTACTTCATAAAATCTTTGTAGTATCTTCCATAGACAGGATTTTGGAAGTGGAGTAGCTGGTTCTACAAGAAACTTAGAGTTTGGATCTTCTTCAATTACTGCTTCTTTACCAATTGTAGCCATTATTATTTATTAATACTTATATATATTAACAATATTATATATATATATATATATATAATATATATATAATATTTATAAAAGTAAAGGTCAACACCTTAATATAAAGGTCTTATAATATTTTAAGATATCAATAATTATTAATATTATCTGAATTTAGGAAAAATAAAAATTTAAGGTATAATCTTTGATATTTCTAATATTTACTAATTCTTGGATTTGTGTGGACTAAATCTTAAATAAGCGGGACATTTATTTATTTCTATTAGATATACTACTTATATAGTATGTTATAGTGGGGGGATATTACATTATAGGATTTCTATAAGGGTTGATTATATTAGTATAAGTAATAAGATTATTAATTTTTAAAACTATAGTAATAATAAAATATTCTATATAAGTAATTTTCTATTTATTTACTTAGACTTTTTTTTTATATCTAATAATCAATATGAATGGCCAAGTATTAAATATATTATGTATATTTGGTATATATTTCTTTTTTATTCTATATGGAGTCGTGCAAGAAAAAATACACAATTTGGGTAATAGAAAGATCAATGATCATTTTCATTATAACTTATTTCTTGTTTCTTGCTTCTGTTTGGTCAATAGTATTGTAAGTTTATTTATATTGTGGGTCAATAAAAAAAGATATGCAAATATAAATAAGGATCCAAAAAAAGTAGATGGAGATCAATTAAATAATCAATATCATGACAATTCAATCTTAAATATAGAAATTGGATGTCTATATGAGATATTATTAACTTCTATAACATATGTTGCTGCAATGGTATTAACTAATATTGCACTTGGTAAAGTAAATTATCCAACTCAAGTATTAGTAAAATCAGCAAAATGTGTTCCAATAATTGTAATTGGTTTATTATATTTTAAAATTAAATATCCCTGGTATGATTACTTAGCAGTTATTACAATAACAATATCATTATCATGTTTCAATATGATGCAAATACAAAATAAACAAGCTGATACAAATCAAACTTTATTTGGTATCGGATTATTAAGTCTATCATTATTATGTGATGGTTTAACAGGTCCAAGGCAGGATAAGTTAATATCAAAATATAACATTTCTTCAAATAAATTAATGTTTTATACAAATTTGTTTGCAACCATAATGTGTGGAATATTATCATTAATAATTGAAGGCTTTGAACCATATAGATTTATATTAAGATATAAAGACAGTGTTTATTTTATTTTATTATTATCATTAACCGGAACGTGTGGTCAATTTTTTATTTTTCAATCTCTTATTAGATTTGGCTCTTTATATCTAGCAATAATAACAACAACAAGAAAATTTTTTACAGTATTATTATCGGTTTTACTATTTAATCATAATTTATTATTTGGTCAATGGATTTGTGTAATATTAATATTTATTGTATTAGGTATTCAATCAATTTATTCAAGATTAAACGTGAAGATCAATAAAGAATAGAGAATATAGTGATTATAAATAATAATTTATATAAATTAATAAGACATTAGATATATTAGATAAATATTTTGGATAGATAATTAGATCAATTATATGTTTAATATTCTATTTAGAAATTTATTTATATAAATATTAATTACACTAGATATACTTTATTTCTATTTACTCTATTGTTTTGTTGATTTTTTAATTGTAATCTTTTTAATTCAAGTTCTTCTTCTTTTTCTTTAATAGCAGCTTCAAGAGAGGATGCATGTAGAACTTGTGCCATATTAGATTTATTAGATGTATCTTTTAATATTCTTTTTATTCTTCTTAATAATTGTTCATCCCTATTAACTGTTACTTCAAGAAATTGTAATTCACTATATAAATTATTTTCCCATTCTGACACAAAATCAGAATAAAATCCACTATTATTAACTGATAATTTCATATTTTCATATAATTCCCTAAATCTATCAATAAAGCATTCAGCTTCATATTCTGCCCATTGTTTAATAGAATCAGGAGATGCAGACCATTGTTGATCAGATATATCAGCTACATGAATTGGTGTATACATATCATCTGATTTTTTACTTTGAGATTTTTCAGGATAATTTCTTTTATCAATAATATTATCAGAATCATATTCTATTCCAACTTGTCCCCATAATTGCCTTTCAGCCATTTCTAAATTTAATATATTTTTTTCTAAAGAATTATTATTTTGCTCATTTCTATATTTATAAGAACTCTTTACTATAGCAATGATTTTATTTAATTCATTATATTCTTGTTTACTTAGCCATAATGCTCTTAAGATTACTATACTATATGCTGGGATTGTAATATAAAATAATCCTGAAACTAATGGAAATATAACCATTATTGTAATATATTTTTGGCATTCAAATGCTTCAGAATAATTAAATGTACCAATTAATAATTGAATAACTCCTTTATATATACCTACAAATGTTTTATATTGTGGAATACAAGTTGAGTATGTAATATATAAAAGTAACATTAATCCAACAAATATTGTTGATTGAAATAGGAATATAAGAAATAATGCTAGAAGATACTTATATAAACTATGTATAAGTAGACGAAAATTAATTGAAATATATGCCAAAAAATTTAAAAGTCTAATTGATAAAAGCCATAAACATATAAGTGTAACCAATACAAAATTATTAGATATATAACTATATGTTTTAGTTATATTAATATATTTACTATTATAAGTATTAAATACTTCTATTGAAAATGCACAATAAAATCCAATTCTGACTAGAATAATAATTATTATTACTATATCAAGTAATCTTATTTTACTAGAAAAAATATAATTTAAAAAACAAAAAATCCAAGATCTTTTGTATCTTCCAGTTGAAATAGGAGATTTCTTATAATAAGAAATAAATTTCTTACACTCCAATGAAAATACAACCAGATATCCAATAAAAACAATGAATATTAATACTTCAATACATATATGGATATATAAAAAAATTTTATTTCCTGAAATATCTGCTATAAAATTTTGAGTAGCTTTATATAAATTTCCAGAGAAATCTGATACAAATGAAAGTGAAACAATATTAGTTAATTGATATTCCAGAAGTAAATTAGTTAGTAGTACATCTAAATATATTATTTGGTTATTACCCAATAATATATATAAGATACCCAATATTTTATTAAAGAAATTTTGAATAGATTGTTCATATGATAGTATTATTGAATAATAAAAAGGAAAATTTAGAATTTTATTATTAATAAATGTCATATTAAGATTATCAAGTAATAATTTATTATTGTTATCTAATTCTCCACCAATATTTCGATAATTAGTTTGAAAATTGAATACATCTATTAATGATGAATTATTAGATTTTATTATTGATATATTTTTAGAATCTTTTATAGGGACTGCTCTAATTTCAACACCTAAAGCATTATTATTATCACTATTATTAAGTAAAAGATTGAAATTATTAATAATAACTGGATCGGAATTATTAGACCTATTTGGAAAAATATTATTTACTTGACCTAGTTGAGTTGTATTATATAAAAGATTAGTAATAATTTCAGTAGACCAAAAAGTAAGCTCATATGGAGTATTTGATGTAATAAAATCTAAAGATACTGGTTGTTTAAGATACACTCCTTTAGGAATACCAAGTTTATAATTATAACTTTGTAAATTAGTTTGAATAGGTTTAAATATATTAGTATTTATATCAAGAAAAAATTCATCCCATGCAATCACATTGACTGAACTAGATAGCAAACCTATTTTAGTTCCTAACACTGTTGCAGCTATTATAGATATAAATATTATAAAAATTAATATAGAAAACCAAATACTTTCAGGAATATAATGAATTTTTTCAGTAAATGTAAGTATATTTTCAATATTTGGATTTGTTTCACCAGCCATGACATTATTAATTAAGAATGGTAATTCATCATCATTTTTTAATACATTAGAATTAATATTTGGATATGATGTATCTAAATTAGATGAAAATGGTACAGATGGTAAATATTTTTTATAAATGGAATTTTCCATATATTCTATCATCCTATACATAAGTTGATAACTAGTACTTATTTTTTTAGAATCACCAAATTCATTAGCTAAAATTCCTGGTAAAGAAAATATAGCTCTACCATGTTTTAAAACCATATTGTAATATTCATACACAGCTTTTGTTTCCAATGATTTAGCTAATGGTTCTTCAGGATCATTATTCAATTCACTTTTTAGAGAATATTTTAATGGTGTATCTGTATTATTTTTTAACCCATCATATTGTCCTATTTCTTGTAATATTACACTAGATCTTTGTCTAGAAACAGGTTTATTTAAATTTCTTGAAGCTTCTATAGTATCAAACTTTTGTAATTGTATTTCTTGAAGATTTTTTGTAGTCATAAAAAGATTTTTAGAAGTTATTTTGTCCCATAGTTTTTCAAAAGTAGTTGGTTGGATCATAAAGCTTGCAAATCTACTTCTAAGCATTGTAAGATCTGAAATTTGAGATATTCTTTTATCTTGATCATTAATTTCATTATTTGAAGTATTGTATTTGTGACTTTTTATTTTATTTACATCATTTACTGTTTTTTTATTATTATACCATTTATTAGATTCAAAATTTATTAATTTATCTGAATATTCTTCAGGATCTATACTCCAAGGAGACTTTAAAAAAAACAGTTTTTTTGAAGTTGTACAATTTTCCCAATACCAATCTATAGTATCAATTGTTGAATTATATATATAACAAAAAACAGCAGTTATAAAACTTGGGAATATAATTCCAAAGATAGATAATAGTGGTATAATAAATATTGCTGCATAAATTGGAGAAGTTATTACTATATTCCATAGTGATGAACAATCACCAACAAATACCATAAGAATAAATAATATAGAAGATCTATATTGACTAAACTCTTCAATTATATTTCCAAACAAGAAAAACCCTATTACTGCATAAAAACAAAAAAATAAAGATCCTACAAA